GCTTCTAAAATATCATACACAATGTTAAAATAGCAATATGTCAGCGAGACAGCACCTAGTAAAAGAAAGCTTGGGTCTACTGACATATTAAATGATCCTCCTTATTCAGTGATTTAGATAAAATTCCTTTTGAACTACGCGGAAAAAGTAGCAGTGGAATTTTCGCTTAAACAATTATATTGCTCTTGATGTCACTCCTCAATTAACTAATCACTGCAATGAAATAATTGCGCCACACCTGTAACGCTACATTTTGCAGCAACATGCATCTATAATACACATTTGAGATGAAGCGCGACTAAGAAAAGAGATAACTTTCGTCAACGCTACTAAACTTATTCCTGTCTTGACATCATATCAAAACATGTATACACATCGCTATTGACAACGATGTTGGGAAGAATAGCTAATAACGATACTCGGTACAGGAGGAGAATAGAAAAAGGAAAGTCCAATCGATACATAACAATGTTTCTCAAAATAGGAAAGGGGTAGAGTTGACTATGACGATGCGCACGTATTCGGACGTTACGTCGCAACACGCAACGAAAGTTAAAGACTCAACAGACTTGCAAATTGTATTTGTTCATAGTTATGATAATCAGGGGACAGAAAACATGTACAGTTATGCATTCGTTTCCACTACATATATGAGAGCCTAGAAAGAGAAAAATTGTCTTTATGACTCTTGAAAGAAAAAAGTATATACTCCGGCGCCGGTTGTAAGTAAATATTCAAAAAAAAAACATACTACGTGATAATTGTATGCATACACACACACCCGTGCAACATGAAATAAAAAAAGGGATACAAAAGGCATGCAAGCGCGTAAGTTTAAGTAGTCTGATGGGGTGGCTACAATCCACCATTCTTCATCTTTATTCCTTATATCATACAGTAGTACAGTGGGGTCCTCGCTAATTTCAAGCAAATGTATTAGCGGCCTCTGTCATTTTCGTTTGTCCACCACCTACCAAAGTTTGCAAGGTCTGGAAGCTTAACTGATGTGAAATCAACGAGGATCCACTGAAGAAGCTTTTTATGGTCCATAGTACATACAAACTAAAGTTGTAAATCGAGATCATCTTGCTTTCCATAGTAGTACAAACAGTAGCTATATATACTGGAGGTGCTTCTGCTGACCCTCACTATACTACATATGCTGTTCTACTCGATAGTATATTACAACTTTGATGGTAGTCGTGAAAATAATGAAAACCGGCTATCATTGCCTGAAACGTTTACTTGCAATGACAACAACTCACGTACAGTTCTGTCGAAAGATAAAAAAAAGAGAGCAAAAGTTACTGCATCAAGCTATTCAAGCGAGGGTGTTGTATTTTTGTCATGCATATCTGTTGTTACACGGCAGATCTGGCTCGCACCAATCCAATGTGGAAAATCATTGCCGCAGCCAGCCGAACATTGGGAACTGATGATGTGAGCTTCTTTCCTTGTATTGTTATACAAACAAAGTGTTGGGTCCTGCTTTAAATGGAAAAGAGCGAGTGATACACTGTGTTACAAGATTGTGTAGCTCTGCTTACTATTTTACGGCAGTCATTACTTTATTTCTTACCAACAAGGACGGACCCTTTCCTTCTCCTCTTTTGTTTCTCATTCTCACTACCTGCGTATATTTTGCTCAATGGAGAAACCGCATCCAGTAAATACTACAGTCAAAGCTGACATTGTTGTTGTAGCAGACAACGCGGTTAAGAAGGGTGATGGTACGTCCATGTCTTCCTACTACGACAAAAATGATCCACACACTATAGCCTCTGAGAAAAAACTACGAAGGTACATATTACAGAAGCACATAATACCCAGTATTGTTTATACAAGATCCGAGGTGCAATTACTCAAGCAGTTATATATATTCCTTGATCGTTTCTAGAAAGATGGATATGCACATCATGCCGATTCTGCTGTTTGCAGAATTGTTTGGACGTTACGAACAGTAAGAGTGATTATCAAGACAAATGTGTATATCTTGGACCACGGGTTCAGCTGATCACCACTGCACCTTTTCTCATCATGTATGAATCATTATTAATGATAGATCGGTCGTAACGAATGCAAAGTTGGGTGGTCTTTTGGAAGATTTGAATATGTCTGAATTCCAGTATCGCTGGTGTCTATCTGCATATTATGTTGCATTTTTTGTAGTCAATATTCCTATCAATATTCTCTTTCGTCGCGGGCGGCCATCCATCTTTTTGACAATCCTCATATTGTAAGTGTGGGAGAAACCTTTTGTGTGATGCTGGGGGTTGTCTTGACTCAAAATCATCTTTTATCTACTTCAGTACCTGGGGCACACTTGTCCTGTGCATGACAGCTACCACAAATTTTGCAGGACTACTTGTATGTAGAATCATTTTGGGGGCATCAGAAGCAGGTAAGTCGATAGCAAAAATAAGCGGGTGGCTAATGATATGTAAATCATGGAACCTTCTGTAACATTATCATATTCTCGAAAAAAAGTGTACGATCCGATTCAAATGTACGGCTGTATTTTCTTATTATTCTTTCGTTCACAAAATCAGCACCATTTTCTATCATAAACAGTATTGATGGGCTCCCTCTCTCTCTTTCTTAATTTTATTGTAGGTACTATATTTCTCTTTGGTATACGAGACACGAGCTTGCTCGACGCTCTGGATTTACGGCTATTGTCTCAGCCTTAGGTGGGGCCACAATTGGACTGATAGCATTTGGAATCAGTCAAATACCAACCAACACGTTGAATACTTGGCAATGGTTAGTTTTTTCTGAAGAGAGTGAGATAGCAGAAGATCGTTGTCTTAAAAAATTATTTTCCTATTTTAGGCTATTCATCATATTCGGTGCACCATCCATTCTACTCGCAATCGCTACGCTATTCTTCCTTCCCGATAAACCGGAAACTGCAAAGTTTTTTACAGAAGAGGAGCGTAAACTAGAGTTGGATCGACTTAAAGCTGGTAATTATTCAACGTCACACTTGCATTTCTGCATACTATATAAGTACATAGTATATCTTTCTGACAATGTTACTACTATGTGTGGGTATGATGACTTTTAATGATAGATCAAGGTGCTGCAGAGGATTCAACTTGGTCGTGGATCCAAGTGAAAAGTGTGTTGACGGATTGGAAAACATATGCATATGGGATTATCTCTGGTTTGAGTACCATCCCTGGTGCTGGTGTGCGACTTGCCTTACCATCCATCATCGATGGCCTGGGTACCTGGGCAGAAGATATCTCACAAGCTTTGACGACACCGCCAAACATTGTGGCATGTTTTTTTATCTTTTTGACAGCGTATTATTCGGGTGAGTTATCCAGAATTTTTGTTTGAAAAAAGAAAACTCATCAAATACTACTGTATGTGTATTTTCTCATGTTAGATCGGCTATTTCAGCGAGCTTACTTTTTGATCGCGGCTAATGTGGTCGCTATCATTGGATTTTTGATGATCATGTTTATCCCAGAACAGCATGTTGGTGTACGGTACTTTACAGTGTGTATCCTTATCGCAGCCACGGTAAAATTGTCTCATTTTTCAGTTCGTTTATCGCACTAAGAGAAGAGAGTGCACAACTACTAAAAAAAACAATTTCAGCGAGTAGATGGGCCGATCCGTTTAGCATGGTATACCAGTAACCATTACGGCTTGACGCGACGTGCTGTTGCATCGGGCATCATCTTTTGTATCGATGCTATCGGTAGCGCTGTGGGTGGTCAGATATATTTCGATCCACCACTGTATTGGAAAGGCCATGCCATCGGACTGGCCACAGTTGCTCTTCAATCCATCGCAATCTTGACCCTACGATTCACGCTCAAGCGCATCAATAGCAATCGAGCCAAAATGACACCAGAGGAAAAGGAACGGCAAATTGAAAAGTATGGTGGACATGAGTTGGTTGGTGACAGACATCCTGATTTTAGATATGGATTGTGAATATGTGATACTGCAATAAGTGATACACTATTGATCGCAAGTGCGATAATAGAGGAGACCACTTCCTTGCCCCACGGGATATCACATAAACTTCTCTGGCAGTTCCTGTGTCGTCGTGGCTTTTGATTCTTAATAATCTTTCATTGTGATCTGTATGATGAACGCGAGCGTTTTACATAGCATCTCAATTCTCTAATAATAATTATATAAATTCAATAGTTACCAGCTAAAATATGAGCTTCACTAAATGCTTATTTTCATGCTTCCTCGGAACATGGATTGGCAAGCATGATAGGGCTCCCACAAAAAGAAAAAGCTTGTGCTACGATAAAATCTCTCGAAATTGTTGGTGGCTATATGATATATCCACTCGCACAAAAAAAACATGCTATGATAGGTCACGACAGACGTAAACATTTTCAATCAATGTTGCTGTTGCATTTAGGGAAACCTAATTAGGTTTTGATTGAACAAATGGGCCTTTTGAATACATTTATTTTTTTTTGCCTACAAGCGAGATATGCACCAGAGACACGTTATGACGGTAATGAACTACAGAGCAACAATAAAAAAAATTGGTTGATTCAGTTCTCCTCCATGTCCTACTTTTAATATGTTAAATTTAGAGATAAAGTGTGTACCATTTCTCAGATAATCGCGTCGCCGGATAATACGTTCTCCAAGAAAAGTCTGAAGTTGGGAAACTGCCCGGGCAAATGCAATGGGTGCCTTCATACGTCAAACCGAATGATTCGCATTGATCTGCCAAGATGAGCTATATATGTAGTATGTGTGTATTAGTAGTGCTTATATTGTTCGCCATGGCAACATGGAGTGTAAAGGTTGGAGTGGCTGAGAGAGCTTACTGCATGCGGTAAGGGGTATAATCGCAAGGCATGATCGAACGCCCAATAGATGGGTTTTACTGTTAAAGGAACCGGGCATAAATGGCCTTGATCAATGACTGTGCGTACAAGCTAAGAGAAAACGAGCATGATCGATCAGCCATCTTTCTTTTTTTTCTTGTTTCATCACGAAAAGCTGTCCTTCATCATTTACATGTTTGGTTGGTTCATCTTCTTCAGTCATTTGAGGGAATAATAAGGAGTTTCGCCATAAGCGACTAAACAAATCTTCGCGGAAAACGACGATATCTTGCGTGCAATAGCGTATTCTTGATTAAAAACCCAAATCATTTTAGACTTTTTTTGTTGTTATCATTGGTTTTCCACCCAAAAAAAGGGTACCCATGTGCCTATCAACTTACCGACATGGATTCGATGCAAAGATGGCGTTCCGTACTCTTCCTCTCATACGCGCTGTGAACCATTCAGGAATCACTGTCTGTGGTAAGCTGCCGCCACCCATGGAAGGATCTTTATTACCGGGAACAAACACAAAGTACGAATGTGTTGCTATGCCTCGAAATTCTTGAATCAGGTCTGCCAATGCAGTGAAATTATCTGGATAATCCCGTAAGGTAGAGGTTTTCTTCTTTTTTAGTCTCTTTCTCATTTTCTCCGTTGAATATGAATCTATACATATGCTACTAGTACTACTAACCTTTATAGACATGTGGATCGATAGAATTGTCTTTACAAAAGTCGCCACAAAGAATAAATGCTAATGGGATCTGTGTGTCGTTTTCATAACCTTCAAATACTCGACGCAACGCATTCATCACCTGTTTTTTTTCCAAAATAGCGGGTGTTAGCCTTTTTTCAAGTAAATCCCCGGGAAACAATGAATATCAGTTCTTTACCCGTGGTTCATCGAGGTGCACATTGGATAGAATAGCAAAGAATACATTGGTGTTTGCGACTTCTTCCGCTTTTAGCCGATCCTAATCTCAAGTGTTAGTGTGTGAAATTCCTGGATCTTACATCATATTTAATTGACTTACCTCTTCCACTTTCAATTTTCTCAATCCAAGGAAATCAACGCCGGAGTAAAAGGTACTTTTTGAACGGTATAGCACATTGAGTATTGATTACTATATTACCCCCAGTAGCACCCTCGTTTCCCCCCCCCCAAAAAAAAAAAAAACCAAGAAACTTACTCTGTGAGCGCCCGTGATTCTGGAGGTGGGAAACCAAGTTCTTCTGCATGGAATATATGATCATCACCATAGAGACCTTCGACCAAGGCAAAAGTGCCGTCGGTAAACATCCCTGCATCATATGCACATGACGAGAGATCCAGCTCTATATGTGCATCCTCATCTTCCAAGAATATTTTCCCTTCTTCCAGCTGTGTCAACATGCCAAAAAGCAAGAAATGCTCGCGATCACGACCAATGAGCGTTTTGATGGGTGCAATCTGTGAAAGGGGATGTACGCGCAAGTCAATAATAGAAAGAAAAAAGGCAAACATATATCACTTTTTACCTTTAGATACGTATCATTATCTGATACATGCGTGGATGGTGGACAGAAATTCTCATTGTGCATAAGCCGTTGTTTGATAATATCGAAGCGATCGCGGTACAGGGCAGCTTTTTCATTTGCGGATCCAAGCAATACAGGCTTGTCGTTGCACCTAATACACACATATTTTTTTTCCTGTAAGTCAGATTCTCTCTCTCTCTCTCTCTCTCTCTCTCTCTCTCCACAGGCAAGGTTCTTTTCTTTCCCCTCTCACACCTTCTTACGTTATAAAAGTCTTGCGAACATGGTTAAATCGTAACCGAGGCATATCAAAAGCACTGACCACGTCAAAATGCTGTGTGACATCGACGCGATCAATGATTGACATTGTACGCATATCGTTATTGATGTTCTCTTCTTGTGTCGAGTCTCCTGCTCCTTCCTCTTCCTCTTCTTCTTCTTCTTGTGAAGTCATTCGCGTAAAAGGTGTCGGTGCATGTGCTTTTGCTTTTTTGTTTTGCATGGCCAGGACCACTTTATAAAGTGCCTCTTTACTGACAATCGGATCGCCCTGGAACTGTTTCAAATAACCTTGTGCGATCGTCTTGATTGTGTCGGCTGCATGGGTGTCGTTTTTTAATAGTTCTGCGAGGTAATTGGTGGCTTCCGTTTTTAAATGGAGATTGTGGCCCTTGGTGAAGGTAATGTAAGTCAGTCGTCTGATTTTGGCTGGTGTGCTCATGTTTGCTTTTTTCGAGAAAAAGGGAACAGACACAGGCACGACGCGAACTTTTTTTTTTTCAGCGCGAATTTTAATAGCGGATACCCAACCAAAATTTACGCGAAAACTAAAGTAGGCACGCGTTATTCATTTGGAACAAACGCGTTCCTTGTTTTGATACACAGTTTTTTTTTGGGTGATATCTAAGGAAGTTTTCGCTTTTTTTTAATGATAATAAGAATAATAATAGATATGCATTGTGCGAAACATGTAATGATGTATAGAGGAACACGTGTGGGTTGGCCAAAAAAAAGGGACAGCTCTAATGATTGTTGGGTAAGAGTGGTTGTTGTTATAACAAAGGTTGGAGGGGGATAAGTGCATTGCGAGTTGTGTGCGGCGGTTGGGGGTGGGGGGGGTAGATAAGTGATGATGCAACAATGTGTAATTATTTATAATAAATATGTGTGAGTGTGAGAGATGGCAGATTGGAGAGAATGAAAGAAAGAGAAGGACCAAGGTTGGATAAAGAGATCAAAAAGAAGAGGACTCGTCCGTCCAACCACCGAATCCCAAGGGCAGACTCTGATGTCGCCACAACATGTTTGGGTCATCGACAAAAACACCCGAGGGAGGACCTCCTGGTTCAGCCGAGGATGAGCTGGTGTCGATGGAAAACCGAGTGATGTGACACAACCCATCGTCCATACTGGCAATATTAAACAATTCCTGACGCAGATCGGCTGTCAAGCCACGGATCGTGTGTCGAAGAATACATGTTGCTTGCATGCCTTCAGTAAAATCACTGCATTGGATCCAATTGTTGTTGTTGTCGCTGCCGTCGCCAAGGGCTGCATTCGTTTCCATGAAAAACAACGGTGGCTCGGTCAGGTCCAGATGGATATCTGCCGAAACATTGTCGGCCAGACTGTTGATCTCAATAGAAGCAATGGTGTCGAACGCGAGCACCATCTTGAAATGGTAGTCGCTGTCTCGGATATGCCATGCGAATGTTCGGTCCGCTGAGTGGTAGTAGCACAGTAGGTCTTGTTGGGTGATTTTCATACGGTGCCAGGTGCCAACAGTGAGCGTGTTGGCTGTAATCAGTCCGTCGTGAGTTGTCGTTGTCGTTGTTGTTGGTACAGCGGCAATGGGATCTGGACCGAGTGAAAGGGATGGGTCATGGATCATGGGTGCAGGTTCACTATCTACATTTTTTTGTTCAAGTATACGTTCCACTTAGCCTTTTATACTCAGGTAGGAATTAATAAAGCAGGTTTATGTATTGCATGCGTATTTACCAATTCGTCTAAATCGCATATCATCCACATTTTCCGGATAGCCCATGGTTTCATTTGGCATGAGGTACAATGGAAGTGGCGGTGTAGCCGTTGTGAAGGGTGGAGGAGGAGGTGGTGGTGGTGGTGGTGGCGGTGCACCAGCAAATGTAGGAGGAAACGGTGTTGCTGCTGCTGCTGGTGGAGGTGGTGGTGGTGGCGGAGGAGGAAGGGGACCCGCAAATGGCGGCGCAGGAGCAGGATTAGATGTCGCTGCTGCTGCTGTTGAAGAAGAAGATGACGACGATGAAACAATGTCGGAGCTCCATGCACGTTGGATGGGTACTTTAGCTCCTCCTTGTGGATGATGATGGTGAGGATGATATTGATGCGACCGACGCGGGTACCAATAAGGTTGTTGTTGATGAACATAGGCAGCTGCTTCTGCATACAATCGAGCTTTGGCGGCTTCTTGTTCTTCTCGCATCATTGCACGCTTCTGTAGCATTTTCACCTTGGCGCGACGGTTCTGGAACCAAATCTGAATCGAACGCTCTGGCATTTGAAGCTTTTGTGCGAGTTGTTTGCGCATCTTGTTATCTGGCGTTGCACTAATGGCGAAGGTTTCTTCCAGAATGGTCAACTGCGACGGGGTTACGCGAGTGCGTTTCTTTGGTTGTTGTTGTTGTTGTTGTTGTTGATGATGATGTTGAGGTTGCGGAGGAGAATGGTGAAGATGGTTGCTGTTGATGGTGACGGCGTGTGCGAGTGGAGATGGACTGCTCTGGTGAAAGTGGCTCATGATGGAGTATATGTTAGAAGAGAGTAAGAAAGAATGAGGAGAGGAGGAAGAGGACTTGAGGGACTATTTTGAGTAAAGGAATGTAAAGGAATGACTGTAGAACGAGGTGTTTGGGTGGTTTATAAAATGGAGGGGGGGGAAGGAAAAAGAATGGAGGAAGGACTGGCTACAACAGAGTCATAAAGAAAAGAGTTGGGTTAAAGAGAGAGAGAGAGAAAGAGAGAGAGAGGGTGGCGCTAAAAAAAAAGAAGGGCGATTTCTGGCTCTGCTTGTAAAATGTCCAGGTTCGCGTGACACAAAGAACAAAAGACCCGCCACCAGCCAACGCTATAGCATTCATAGCACGCATTTGATTGTGCTTGTCCTGGGGTTGGAGGTAAAGGAGGGGATGTGGGCAGTAATTCGATCATCCAGAACTGCTTATTGCCGCCTATACAAGTATACATTTCGTTGTTGCTTGTTTCTTAGCGTGGGCCCTGACTAGAGTGTCCCATACAGCGCGTAATGGTCCTCCCTCCCTCCCCCCCCCCCGGAAAACTTGTCAAAAAGATCATCCCCCGCTTTGATATATCGGAGTATCAGCTCTCTCAGAGAGAGAAAGAGTTAATTTTAGAATTGCCTGTACTTTACTGGTTGTAATTTATTATCAATTGTGTCCGAACATTCGCTATGAAACTCTCTCTCTCTCTCTCTCTCTGCTGGTGGCACTGGCGAGCTAACTTTTTCCCATCAGCATCATCAGCATTTATCATCAGCAGCAGCAGCAGCAGCAGCTAGACGCACCGAGGTTGAGGAGGAAGGAGGGCCCTTTCGCTGGGAGTGGTATGGAATAGGAGAGAGGGTTCTCGTCCCTTTGTGTCAACAGCGAATTAATAGATTAGTTAAGGTTGCTCCTTGATAATCTTTTATGCACTGAGCCCAGTCAGAGATTCTTTACGAGTGGTACGTCGTCTATTGTGTGCTCATTGAAGGTACGGTTCTCTTATTGCAACTGAAGGTGAGAAATGAAAAAAAAAGAAGGCTCCTCTAGACGTGTGTGTGTGTGTGTGTCTGTGTGCCTGTGTGTAGCAGCAAGAGATAACAGTCGATAGAAAAGAAGGAGAGTGATTAGGCATAGGAGGACAGCAATAAATCAGTCAGCCCCAAGCATGTGATATTTGGTATGCAGCAACGCCTTTTGTTGTTGTTGTTGTCGTTGTTGTTGATGTTGTTGTGTTCACACAGACACAGACACACACAATCTACTGCCTGGGTGATATTCGGGCTATGTACGGCTGTTGTTGTGTGCTACCTGCAATGCTGCAAGTGATTCAAGAGAGAGAGAGAGAGAGAGAGAGAAAAAGAACCGTGCTCGCGGTCCAGTGTTGAAAAGGGAAGATGCGAATGCATTCGAGGTTGTACAGAAGAGGAAAAAGGAATTAGCGTGCATGATAATGGGACTATGTGCCCAGTGAAGCGCAGAGAGAGAAACAGAGAGAGAGCAGGGGAGGATATGATACGACGTGCAGGTGTACTCTTGATACATGTGGAGGAGTGGGTGTAAGTATGTACAGCACATGGGCTACCAACCTGTTTGAACTGAAAAGGGTCCTCCTCCTCCTCCTCCTCCTCCTCCTCCGATCTCTCTTTTCTTTTTCTGTTCTTCTTCTTCTTCTTCTTCTTCTTCTTCTTTTCATTCACTCTCACTCTCACTCTCACTACTGCTACTACTACTACTTCTTTTATACATATCACCAACCAGCCTTACTCCATAACTATCATTACTCATTATTACTTTGTACATAAACCAACACTGTCCATTTACAACAGCATCTATCATATATAAAACTAACTCATCATGGCTCGTCGCAACGCACCTCCACCACTCACCTGCCTTTTACAGCAGCAACAACAACAACAACAACAACAACGAGTACCAAACACTGAGCCTGTCTCACCAGGGGCAATATCCACAGCTTCATTCATGTCGTCGTTCTCATGGGTGGCCGAAAAATCATCTGCAGAATTGACTTCACTTTTAAAGAACGCGTACTCTACGCTCCGTGAAAAAGACAGAGGTAATACTGGCTGACAAGGGCTGTCCTTTTTATTTCTCTTTTTTTTTTTCGCTCTGCCTCTGGCGTTTATACAAGGGTCGTGTGTGTGTAAGTCGTGCGGGTGAGAACGAAAGGGGGCGGCTTTGTTTAAAAAAAAAAGGGGGGGGGTGTGCGTATGCATGCATAAAACACAGGCAAAATCGCAGTGATGTTATTTTTTATTCTTTCTTTCTTTCTTTCTTTCAATCAGGCCATATCACTGTTATTGTTGAAGAACTAATCACTTTTTTATTTCTGGGTTGCGCCCACAGACCTCGCACTAGCTGCCGAAATCGGCAAGTCTCTCCTCGAGAATAACATGTGTTTGAAGACACGTTACGAGAATTTGCTGGATCAAGTGAACCAGTGCAACCAAAGTCTGCCTTCGCCGTCGATCGATGAAGGCGAGGCTCATGATGACAAAGAATCACGACAACAACAACAACAACAACAGTGCTGGGACAGCGCACACGGAAGCCAAGATGAAAAAGACGATGACGCAGAAGACTACGACAATGCGATGCGACTGATATCTAATCAAAATGCTCGCGAGGCACTGATCGAAGCACTGGAACGCAAAAACGCCGAGATGCAAATGATGCTCGATAATGCCCTGAACGAATCATCAGCATCCACCCAGGCCAACGAAAAACAGATGCGGAAACTAAACAACGAAATCGAACTCTTGCAGAGTAACCTGGATTGTGCTGCACAAAAGATCCAGGAGCTTGAAGAGGCACGCAATGCTCGGCAGGAACGAGCAGCAGCCTTGAAAAGAAAAGACAGCAGCAGCAGCAGCAGCAACGATCCATATGATGCTAATAGTGCAAGAATAACGCCCTTGTATAACATGCACGACAAAGAAAATGAATGGGGTGCTGCCGAAGAGTTAGCCGAAAAGATGATGCACATGCAGTCTGAAAACCAAGGGCTTGCACACGCAAAAAAACTGATTGAAGACAAACTCGAAACAGCGCTTTCGGATCTCGACACCATGCGCCAGCAGTTCCATCAGTTCCAATTCACTCGAGACGGTTACGAGAATCTGCAGGAAGCCTATCAGCGCCAATTCAAACATATTGAGGAACTCACGACCAGTTTGGAGGAGCATCGTACGATCTTGTCACGCTTACGGGACCGTGGTATCGGCTGGTCACCCAAACCATCGCCCTCACCCAGTGAATATGGTGGCGTTGTCTTTTATGGTGAGCAACAACGTGGAGGTCCACTACCACCAGTAGCAGCAACACCAACAACAACATCGCTATCATCATGCGCCCTGCAAGATCTACGTATGACAACGCCAAAACAAAGTTTATTGGGCGAGCTAGAGAATGCATGGCTCAGAAGCCTGCAAGAACAACAGAACAAGCCAGATGACATGGTTGCTCCCTCACCCACAGCTACAATTGACCAAGACGACGACGACGACGACGAAGGACACGCTAGCAATTCCGATTCAGACTCATGCTTGTCGTCGTCGTCGCCGACGCCGTCTGTAGCTCGCAAACTGCGCGACGTTGCAAGTCTGACCGAGCAGAATTTGGCATCATTTTACAGAGCACCGGCCGAATACGCACTAGAGACACCCGTGACGTCGTTCTCACCTCCATCGCCAACGCCAGCGGGTTGTTTTAGTAAGGAGCCATCAATGATGATTCAGGAGGCGGCGGCGCGTTACATCAAAAGCACCAGGAGCGTTCACAAGGGTAGTAGTAGTAGCAGCGCGAGAAGCGTCAAGAGTAAGAGTGGCAGCAGCATTGACTTTGACCTGTTTTCACCCGGTGGTTCCGGAAGTGTCTATGCCGCCCACGATCTCTATCCACGGCTCTCGTCCGAGCTCTTGTTCACATCCTTTGATTGCCGCTACTACTCCAACAACAACAAAGGACGACGGTCACCATCAACACCAAAATACTACGCTCCTTCTTCTGCTGTTGCCGCTGAACATAATAGCGTCGAACTATTCCATGAAGTGCCGTCTGGACTCACTGGCGGCGCTTATTGGGTCCTGCAATGTCTCTTTGGTGCATTGTGCCAGTGGTGTCGGTTTTCATTAATCCTCATGGCTGCCATACTCATCAATCTCTGGCAAGGTCCAGAAGCAATCATGGAGAAATAACATATTCTCTCCCCTCTCAATCTTTTTCCTTATCCAATCCATTCACCGACCTCATCCAAATCCATACATACAACCCCCATCCAACCCTTCCTTCCCAAATGTTCATATATCATCTTTTTTTTTGTTTCTGCTTTTGCTCGTCCTTTTTTTTTTCAAGTACATAATAATTATAATTTGTCTGTAGTATTTTGCTGTAATTGCCAACACCTTTTTCTTCTTATCCACTAGGTTTTTTTTTAAACAAATTCTTGTGTGCTTTTGCAAAATAACACCGGTGTTTTCCTGGGTATCGTCCCCTGTCGTCGTTCATTATCAACCTACTCACTCCAAATCCTTCTTCTAATTGACCAACATGTCCTATATATGCATTTGGTACAAATTAATTTTAGCTTTCCCTGCTGGTGGTAGCCCCCTCATTCAGATACAAAAGTTACCTGATCCGCTTGACCGGATGCTGCACCGTCTGCTACTGGGTCACTTTGTTGTGGGTTCGACCTACACATCACATTTTCGTTGTTGTTTAGTCATCTTCACAGGTAACCCTTAGTTATTTGTCGTTCGTCATAAGGTTACCAATTGATCGTGTATCTAATAAAATTTTTATTTTGTTAGCAACCAGTGATCTCTCTCTCTCTCTCTTACACATAACCTTTCATAGGAATTGTTTTTCCGCACCTGGTGACTTTAGGCTTGTCTGCCAAAATGTTGCGTTGTAACTTGTCAACCTGCACTTGGTCTGGAGGGTTCTCGCGCAACGCTTCATCCACATATTCATTGTTCACGTAATATCCGACACGCACAAATTCCTTGTCGTGATACAAGCAGCTCAATAGTACGACAGTAACCTCGAGAAGATCCTTTTGGGGTAAAAGATCGAGGTTGGGTGGACCCGCCTTTTTGAAAGAATAACAACATCACCAGAGAGAGAGAGAGAGTGTGTGTGTGTGTGTGAGTTGATTATACTACTTTATACTTGTCCTCTGTTTTATCATATAGAAACAAGAGTTTTCTCCCTATTCAATAACCACTCGACTTATAAACTCACCGAAAAGACAAACTTGTTGACGCCCACAGGAACGGGTCCTACCATAATGGAATCAAGGACTTGATCATATTCTTGACTTTCAGCCGAGCCCACATAGATCATGCGCCATTCCAAATCTAACGTAAACCGTTTTTTTAGATAGAGTCCCCTTTGTTTTTTTAATAGAGCAGGTCTTTATATGAAAAGAGAAAGAAGAAGAGTAAATGCAGAAAAGACGCGTCTTCTTTTCTCACACCTTGTATAGGTTCGTGTAAATCGTAACAAAATTTATATACATTGTAAGGAAAAAAAAATAGACTTACCATCTTGAAGTTCAGCATTGCATTCAAAAGTGATTTCAAATTGAAGAGGGCTGGTGATGGACGATGGGTTATCCAATACAGCAATATTCAAAATGTTGACGAGAGACATTGACGCTATGAATGGTTTAGTTTGCCGAAAGAAAGAATGAAAGAAAGAAAGAGAACGCGTATTCGCGCCGTCGCGCTCTACGAAAATTAGCGCCAAAAAAACAGAACCGCGTTATTATTTTGGTGTGTGCTGGACCTGAAGCTGGATATAACTCCTTATTATCTGCTTACTACGACTAGAATCAAAATGGTAACTATATCAAACATGTACATAACAATGCAGCAGCATTCCCATGGAAATACACACAATTATTATCAAGTGAGTGATATATTGAAAGAGAGAACATCTCAGTAACTACTGCTGCCACGAACGTATCCTTAAAGTCAGAGCCATCATGCTTTATTCAAGTCCTTTGCAGCAATGCTGCACTGTCATTATGATATATTATAAAGGCACTATTTTTTGTAGCAATGATCTGCGGGAGAGCTCAAAACCAGAAATAGGGCTGTCTCGCATTAAATACCATCGGCACGACTTGGAATGTCTGTGCGTGACATCAATGTATCCACGCTTTTACATGGCAGTGCTGCATATACATACCACTTTTTTAAATTGTAGACTGAGCCATGCTTCACTACTTGTTTCGTTACAGATTTCTAGCCTTGTTCTTCCCCACCTCGCCCCACCCCTCCACTCTCCAATTATGCTTATAAACATAGTGTCTACTATATGCAAGAAGTTCTTGAGTCATCAATTCAAGTACGTATATGTTTTAATTTGAAAATCTTGATTATTATTGAGAGAACATTGAGTTCCTTATATTTATTGCTACGACACATGGAAGATAGCTATATATACTACTAAAGTTTACATCTGTGCGCTACTACATATGGAATGGTACTATACGAATAGTAAAACTTTCAGTATCGGTGTTATACCCCCGCGTTAAACCCATCTTTTGAAACTATATATGTGTATATCAACTTCTTCTTGTTGGTTGTGGTGGGGTCGCTGGGGTGGGGGGAAGGCAAGTTTCATAGCCCTGGGCTTAGCTCTGGTACTCTCCTTCGCTTCATCTCCTCCCAATATGCCCGCAATCGACCACCGAGTGAATGCACAAACAAGATACGTCGACTGGGCGGCGGAACAATATGCTCGATTCGATGTTCGCCAATGTAACCTTCTTGATCAAACGTGTACAAAAATACTCCTTCGTAATGCTTTATAGGTCCTGCCAATTTAAGGAAAAACGATGGATGCCGCACGCCTTCGAGTCGCCAACGAATTTCAAGGTGCCGGATCGTTGGTTTGTTGTTATTGTTTTTGATATCGTCTATAGACGGTCGTGGTGATGGTGAATTGCTATTGTCATCGTCATCGAACCCTTGTTGTTGTTTATCTGGCAATACACGTAGCCGGGTAATTTCCATTTGGATATCGTCAAAGTACATGCGGAGACTCCACCGAAGCGTTTCGGCTATGCCAAGGTATGCTGTTTTGCCAGGTACAGACAAGCGTGTGTAGTGCGGATCCGACAGCACAATGTTTTGTGAGTATATGGAATGTTCCGTCAAACCATGTGTAAAGAAATGGGGCAATTCGTCTTGTAGAATGGCAATGGCTAAAACACATTACATGTATATTATTTATGCTGTTGAGTTACGTTGTTGTGTATATGCCTTATTACCGAAACCAACGCGAAGTTCATATTCGTTAGGTCGAAGGTGTCGTTTGCTATGTACTGATCTCCATTGCTGGTGTGGTATTAAGCGTAGTTGGCTATGGTTAATAGTACGCGTAGTATGATAACAACACCGTATATATCTTGTGCAGGGTGCTAGTCGAAGCATCTTTTTCTTTTCCAGTGAGCAAAAAAAAAAAAAGATTTTCTGCCCGCTGAGAATGTCGCATGAAATAGTCGCTGTGTGTGTGGGGAGTAAAAAAAAAAGCTCCGTTTCCCCTCCTCTCTTATTTTTGTTTTCGCGTTATATGTATCATGAGCAGTGTAACGAAATTTGACACTGCTCACGAGGATTTAATCCATGACATTTCATACGACTTTTACGGGAAGCGTCTTGTTACGTGTTCATCCGACCAACGACTCAAAGTATGGGATTTCGTTGAACGCGAAGATGCAGCCGTATGGGAACTGAATGATACATGGAAAGCACACGATTCGTCTATTCTCAAAGCAATATGGGCTCATCCCGAGTATGGTCAGGTCATTGCAAGCTGTTCTTTGGATCGACTCGTCAAAATATGGGAGGAGCAACCAATGGGTAATAGAACAAACAGTTTCCTTCTGCCTACTTTAACACTTGTGCTTTCATGTGTTTCTTTTTTTTTTGGGGAGGAAGCGTTAGTTGATAACTCTTTTGTTTCGGGCTATCTTTATAGAATCTAAAGCAAGTCAAAAACGATGGGTCGAACGATTCCGCTTGGTTGAGTCGCGCGGTGCTGTATTAGACATTGCATTTTCACCAACGCAAGGTGCTTTAAGACTGGTATATAGAGTTTAGAAAGAAAAAGAGAGATAGCTTATCCAATGGATGTGTTCCTGGATTAATATATTAAAAAAGGGGGCCCGGGTGTGTATGTGTATATAACATTAGGCAACGTGTTCAGCAGATGGTATTGTACGGATATACGAAGCATTAGAGCCTACCAACCTTGCACAATGGTCCCAAATGGAGGAATTCGAAATTACATTACACAGCGACGGCAATGTTTCCCAACAACCTACATTGTCAGGCACACCACCTACATCCCTTACTTCTATGCCCCCGCAACCATCCGCCATAGTGCAACCACCATTGCAACAACAACAACAGCAGCAGCAACAACAACAACAACAACCGATGAACACCCACAGTACAAGTTCTAGCAACTCATCCATCGCCAGCCACGCATTATCCACACCTGGCCTCGACGCGCCCGGAAATGTCAACCCGTTTCCAGTCATGACGAGCGCCAGCGGTACAGCCACCACGACACAAACCACCACAAGTGCAATAGCCACAACCGTGTCACCCACATCACAAAACAATGCCACAGCATCTGCCATCATGCCGACGAGTAGCAGCAATAACAACAATTCTAATGTAGCGACAATGAATGGACCTGGAGCGGCTGACAGTGGCTACTGCATTGACTGGTGTCCAAACCGTACAGCAACACCCATGATGGTGGTCGGGCTAGGCAAGGAGATTGGTGCACGCATCTTTCGTCACGACGGACATAGTCGATGGCATCCAGGCGAATATTTACCGGGTCATGAGCAAGAAGTACATGATGTCAGTTGGGCTCCAAGTATGGCGCGAACGTATCAGTTGATTGCCACGGCAAGCAAGGATCATTATGTTCGGATATTCAAGATCACTGAACCATCCAATACTACCAGTCCATCATTTGCTTTGCAACAGCAACAAAGATATGGTCAATCACCGACTGTAGGTTCGGCTTCATCCGCGATGCGACAAAACAAGGCTGGTGGACAACAACAACAACAACATATGCAGATTGAACTCGTAGCTGCATTCAATGACCATAATGCAGAAGTGTGGCGTGTAGAGTGGAATATCACCGGTACCATTCTCTCGTCGTCGGGTGATGATGGAAAAATTCGATTATGGAAGGCTGGATCGGATGGTGTGTGGAGGCAAATGGCTGCTATTGCTGCAAACCAACATTACTCATCATCATAATAAATGGAAAGCCCACCATGTTCATCATAATATCCGCATTGTTATTTATGTATGTATAGCAAAAGAGTGTAAATCATGTGACATTGGGGGCAGAGTGTGGTCGCAAAGGGAGAGGAACGATCTGTTGTACGTATGCAGGATGTATGCATGTTCCTAATTTTAAAGACAAGGCATCACTATCACTACTTTGTGTATTTTGCAATGGTACGCTTGGCTCGTTTCCTATTAGTGGCGGGTATATCGTGGTCGGATGGTGTCTTGCTACGTTTTCCTTTACCATAAGCGCGGGGCGAACCATCTTCATTTGTTATGATAATCTGCGGTGGCGTCGACCGGATGGCATCTTCTTCAGGCGGCGGCGCTACTTTACTTGTTGCTGTTGTTGCGACGGCTGCGGTGGTGGCACATGCAACAGACTCGTTGTCTTTCTCTACAAGAGATTCTTGTTCGATACGTGTCGCGTCTGCTTCGGCATGTTCATCATCATCATCATTCAGCTCATCCATTTCCTCGTCGGTGACTTGGAGTTTATCAAGAAACACAGCCACCGGATACTTGTTCCCATCGTTGCCATTTCCATCGGCTATCATTGCTTTTTGACCAACGATGTCAGTGTCGTCTTCTTCCTCTTGAGCAAGTTTGTTGTCATCGTCTTCTTCTGATCCACGATAAGTTGTTGTTGTTGCTGTTGCAGCAGAAGTGGTAGGTCGCGTCTCATCTTGTACCACAGGCAATTTCTTGGGTCGTCCTGGACCGCGTTTGACATCATCTCTTGCAGTCGTTGTTGTTGTTCGTAAGTCTGCCTCTGCTGGTATGACCCTGGGAATTTTAATTTTCTTCGGACTTGTCACGCGTTGTTGGTCCTGTTCAACACGTATTTTGCGAGGTCTTCCAGGTCCACGCTTTTGCTTTGGAGGTCGTCCAGGTCCACGTTTTTCCTTTGGTGACGCAACCAGCTTCGTTGCCTCTTGAACTTTTGGTGGACGACCCCGCTTGCGCTTTGGAGCATCTTTGACTATCTTGGGTGGACGCCCTCGTGGTCTTTTTATTGTCTCTGTCGGCTTTGACAAAGACGGCAGTGAAGAAGTACTCGCTAAAGAAGTCTGTGATTGAACTGCTTGTTGTGCTGCATTTATGGTATCGCCATTCAGTTGTTGTTGATTTTCTTCTGGCCTGATTATCCGAGGTCGCCCAGGAAGTCGACGTACTTTGCGAGGTCTGCCGGGTCGACGCTTTTCCTTAAGAGGTTCAGTTGGATTTGGAACTTTGCGAGGGCGACCTGGCTTGCGCTTCTCTTTGGGTTGGGTTTCTTCTTCTGTCCGGATTTTTCTTGGACGTCCCACTTTTCGTTTCACGGTTGGGATCACTTCTTCTGTCCGGATTTTTCTTGGACGTCCTACTTTTCGTTTCACGGTTGGGATCACTTGAAGAGGTTTCAATTTGCGCGGTCTGCCTGGCTTTCGCTTGATTGGTGTGGGGTCTTCTTTCATTGGCGCTGTTGCTGTCTGGGCCGGTGTGCTTATGTCATTCGGCGTATGAGTAGTAGAAGAAGAGGTGGTGTTGGTGTCACCATTAGCACTTGTAGGATCAGTCATCCTTGTGATGGAATTTGTTTGCGTTTGAGAGACAGATGCTGAATCGGAAACACTCGACTTGGTCTTGAGTGAATTTTAGGTAGTTTGCTGCGAAAAGAAAGGAGAGAACGCGTTAGAGAGAGAGAGAGAGAGAGAGAGAGAGGGATAAAGAGCAAAAGACCGATTTTCCAATGATTGGAACAAATTAAAACAACGAACCTGGGGCGTATTGTTGGGGCCTCAACCATCAGAGCTATAAGTAAGGCATCAATGCACAAAATACACAGGAAGTATCCGTATAACTTTTATTCATTGGTGAAGTTTAGATAAACCGAGTTCCGGATATAACTGTCTACTCTATCTCACTAAAAGCGTTTATTCATATTCATGTAAGGATATACATGGTTGTAGTTATCGAACCAGCGCCATCATACTTATCAAACTCGCAGTAGTTGATACAAACCCCATCCTACTAAATCTCAAAACTTGCTAAACAATGGCGCTCCGTGTTTTGCTAATAAGAGACGCGTGATATTATGGTGTGCACTCAAAGCTTTCATAAGCGTATCTCTAACGTATGCCTAACATTCTTTTTCCATTTTCAAATATATTTATACTGGTCTTGAATTACATCGCTCATAATACCTTGGGGTATTGACAGTCACTACATATTATAATGTGTGCCAATTGAGTATGTTAGTATTGATATATTAGGTCTTCAATTAATACCATATGAAGTCAAACTCTCGTCACGGTCTTCGCAATATACTTATTCGATGCTTTGCCAAAAAGCTGGAAAGTTGAAGCGAACAACAAAACTGGGAGATAAAGCTATGTTCGTGGCTGTACATATTATCAGTAGAGTGGCATAGCCTTCCGTAAATAAAATTCAGCCTTTGTTTCGCGCGATCGTTCGCTGTCGCGTTTTGACTTTCAGTGACATTGTACATGGTATATATACGCCGACCAAGAGTCATTCTAGTGTAACTGGGCGGAACGTTTTAATATGCGTCCACGCATTTTCGTCACAAATCAGTGGTTGAAGACACCAAGATCCACCAAATGAGTTGTTCCTTCTCTTTTTTTGAAGTTCTTGTCTTCTTGATGGTATGCAAAAATGATCTTGCAGTAGGGACGACTGGTTCACTAATCTTCGGGCGGTGCAGCAATAATCCCGTAGCATTGACTGACAAAGGATGGTGCTTATTTATTACTAACACGGCTACGGGACATAGACACAATATATATCCTTGTGGCGGATGCTTTTCAACCCTGCCAAAACGACACATCAGCACACAAGAGATCAGGACTTTGTCCGCTTTAATCACAATCACATATATTTTCAAAACTGATTAGATAAAAGCTAAGCGCATTATAATTTTGAATCGTCGCTAGCACAAAACAACTCGCCTATACAAACTTGGCAAACTTGGCAACTTTGGCGCCGGTGAAAGCTATTGGAGACAAGAGATATTAATAACTTGTTGGGATAGCTTAGTATAATCGTAAGCAGTGATGGTACATTTCATATTCAATCTATCTATGAGTATTACTAGTATACGTGTATCAGTAGTATTAATCTTGAGAGATTGGTGGCAAGACCCAACAAGTTGGATTATGTAACTTCCCAAATGAGCTTATGTACTGGGCCTTTTATACTGCAAAGAAATCAAGGCAAACATCATTTAGTTTGGGTTGGCGATCTGGTTCGTGTATATGTGAATATGGGGATGGTCTGTTTGCTTTGCGATACGGTTTTTTATTTTGCCACCAGCAATTTGCAATCATTGTTGGTATAGTCGTGAAGGTAAACCAGCTGTATTGTTTTTGAGAGCACACATGCGAATGCACAGCCTACGGTTTTCTCGACGACTCAAGCACAAAAAGGCTCATTTGCAACTACATAACTGCTCCAGAGAAAGCACCAACAAGTACCAAGCGCAATGGCAGTAGGAAGATATAAAAAAAAGATCGCGTTTATTACAATCGTCACTCGATCTACCCAATAGTTACAATTACATTATTCAAGAAAGTACAATAAGAAACCAAGTTTATTTGATGTTGCCTGACAAGTCGACCGACTTTTATGAATCCTTCGTTTCTCAAGGGAGGTTGCCCTCCCTTGTTCCCCGCAAGCCTCAGTTCCCGGCAGAACCTACACCTCTCCCTTTCTTGTCCACAAGCCTCAGTTCCCGACGGAACCTACTCCTCCACAGTTCCTACAAATAAAAGAAACATCAAAAAGGTCTGCCAACGGCGGGAATATACGTACCTCGACTTTTATGAATCCTCCGTTCCCAAGGGAGGTTGCCCTCCCTTGTTTTCCGCAAGCCTCAGTTCCCGTCGGAACCTACTCCTCCCTTTCTTGTCCGCAAGCCTCAGTTCCCGACAGAACCTACTCCTCCACAGTTCCTACAAATTAAAGAAATAGCACAAAGGTCTGTCAGCGGCGAACATATACGTACCTCTTTGCACACACTCTCGCTTTCAGTTTTTGAGGAAGATAAAAAACCAAGATGAAACTAAGAACTTTGCAACTGTACAAAAGATGAGCAAGAGCCAGTCGTGCACGACTAGCTCCCTTCAACTATGTACACCCACAGGGCCCCTCGTCCGGGATAATAAAAAAAGAAAGGTAAAAAGTGATAATGAAAGAAACACTGCAAATGTACAAAGATGAATATGAAGACTAAAGAAAAGAATAAAGGGCAAAACGCGCAGTCGATTCTTTTTTTTTTATGAGCCCGATAAACAAAATGACGGAGCTTAAAAATTTTGTTGACACTACTGCCCTAAGGAGCCAGTGAACTGCAGCAATGTGAAGAAGTGCCTTGATGATAATTATCGTTGTAGTCTGTCAACTGTCTTTTTCTTATGGTGCGTATATGTTTGTTTCACTATGCGGCTCCGCTTGCCGTGCTCCGCTCTGATCCAACAATTGTCGGCGACGGGTCTGTGCGCTTTAATGGAACAAAGAACCGGCGATATAAAAGAGTATGAAACCTGGGGATCATGATGATTTTTATATGTGAAGCGTACCCAGCAATACTATTGATACTCGATATGACCTTCTTTTCTTAGCTGACGATCAAGAAACGGCCGCTGCCAATTTCATCAGCGCAATTTATAACGGTTTGACAATCTCTTTTATGAAACGTGGGGATCGTGATGATTTTCATAAGTGAAGCTTACCACCTATTCAAGAAGATGCTCGGACTTTGGAGGACCATGCTGCCATGTCCAGTGACGATAACCCTGTCGCCACTACTAAAGGAAGCAACAATAGTAATGATACCTCGCCAACACAGCATCATCCATAACCTGTCCATCGCAATAGCACGAGCCAAATTTAATCTTATATACAAAGTTTTTAATGCAATGGTTTTATCATGTAGAAGCAGGCCCTTCTTTTTTTATATTCTGGCATACGTATCATATAAAATCATTCAATGCTTATAAAAATCTTATTACTCATAGTTTAACTAACTCTTCTTTACAAATTACTACAGTACTGTAATAACAGTTAACGATAGTGATGATAATAGTATGGCTAGTTATATGACAGCAAATATATTGCATTCAAGAGATATCGTGCCATGAGCTCTCTAGTGGTATTATTCCTCCAACTTGAACGTTTATGCGACGCCAAGTAGCAAACATTTTCGAAGCCCTTCCTTGACCCATGGTAAAACAATTGTTCACATCCATTAATGCACATCGATGACGGAGGCAAAAAGTTTCGAGACTAGTCGGATTCTCGATGTTAAACGATAGACACTCGATACTTATCGAACAATCAAGCTCCAACTTTGTTAATTGATCCCCATAAAACCAGATGAATTCTTGCAGTCTTTTGTCGCTATAATGATGATTCTGAAACACAAAATGTAGTCAGCCGAAGGCACTTTTGCATTAAAGAGACGGTCCGATACGTTATGTCGACGCGATTCCTCTTCATCGTCATCAATTTTGTATTCTGGCTTTTTTTCTTTTCCTTGAAACTCTGTTTTTTGTGCTTGTTTTCGCTTTTTGCTCTCTGTTATTGCTTTACGAGCGACAGCATTTTGAGGAGGAGAAGGAGGATGACTGGAAGGTTCTCGCAGGGTGAAATGATCGCGTCGATAGGTGAAGCTCTCCAGCATCGTGGAAGAAGAAACGATAAGGTAAATAATCCGATTAATATCGTGTGATGATTTGCGCGTCGTTCCTCTGCCCAAATGCACAGCAAAGTAGCGCAAGTCATAAAAACTTGTAAAGAGAACGTTATAGATAAAAAGATGTTGCCAGACAACATTCTTGGCTGTGTAAAGACTTTCAAGGAGAATCTTTCGGAATGAGCTTTGTAAATGGGTCACGCCAATGCCATTGGGAATCCAGTGTGAATTACCGGTAGCTCGGCGCCCTTCTTCAATAAGGATCAAGTGTTGTGGCCGCATTTGCATACTATAAAGAGTTCGTCGATGCAAATGATACGATTTCAACTCTAACGAAGACGTTGGCAATGGCGTGGTGATTGTTGTTATTCCGTTCGTCGTTCCTGGTTGAATGCCACAATGCTTGCTACTACCGAGGACCGTATCTGCTCTGCCTCCGTCTGCCATGATCAATACGTGGAGATAATTAAGGTATCTGACACAATATCTGAGAATATTAGCGTGGCCTAACGTGGTAGTAAGTGGGTTCAGTATTACATGGGTGAGGTTGTGGCTCTTCTGAAGTAGATCCATAACATGACCGGCAGCGGTGCTATCAACAATATGGTTCAATCGTAAAGAGGCGAGGTGCATGTAAACAGCAGTTGGGTCCAAATATCGAGGTTTATGTGGATATTGACGTACTGTACGATGTTGATTTTTGGAGTTAGCGGCCATTGTCTTTTCCGTAATTCTTTCTCGTCAACAGAGATCATCGCAAACTCCAAAAGCTGCCGGCAGTGTTGCAGAGTTCTGGTATGTAGCTATTATCGCCAACATTTTCAATGACATGTCGATAGGATTGACAAGGACGATGCGCTTTAAGCTGTTGGCACTTTGCCGGACGATATTATCGAGTCGGTACCGAAAAAGATCAAAGGTCAGACCTTCAATTTCTGATTTGTGCAAAGACAAAAACATACAACGAGATCTGCGTATCGGTCAACCAGCACCCAACGGTAAAAAAGGAAAACACGGGTTTGAAGTGAATACCTAGCTCGTTGAAATGGTTCTTCGCTGCTGTTGATAAACGTTAAGCAGAGTCGTAGATTATCTTGGTTCAGCCTAGCATGTCTGAGACTCTGATGAGATAACGGATGGATGACTTGCTGGGCAAAGGTGTCTGGTAGCAGCATATCTCGTATACATGTGTACCATTGTTCCGAGACTTTGATACATATGATCAAGTCTTCTTCGGCTCTAAGGTGTTCAAAAACGTGTTGCCATATTTTAATTGGCAGCTCGTCGGCTGACAGTACTCCATATTCACTTAATAGCGTGCTGATTGACGATAGTTTACTGAGGCTATGTTCGCGATACTTGTGTATGTGCAAGGCCCTGACTAAGTTTATGCTGCATATTTTTTTGTTACACTTTAATTGTGTTTAAACCTCACCGTAATTAAATTTTCTTTCTCGATATTGCTGTTCTTTTGTCGCCTTCTCAAGAAAAACTTCTTCATTGTTGCCACAGTTGAAGCACAGTATAGTAGTACGTACTATTTTACTTTATATAATTGTTACCGAGTAGGTGTAAAAAGAAAGTGAAAAAAAGAACAACAAGACCTTTTACGAAAGCTTTGCTTTGCCAGATGCATTTCCTTTTTTTTTATTTCATTCTTAAGCACAGCCGCCTTGTGTGCAACCGTATGTTCACATAATTGAAGCTATATAGATATATGGGCCAATTCCATAAAGCCGTGGCACTGACATGCATAGTTTTGCATACAGAACGCGACAGATGGTGCTTATCTGATAACTGGTGAATCTGATAATTAGAGCACTTTTAAGCATTACGGAACTAATTAAATTATTATTTTTAAGCGAGAAGTGCACTGCTATTATATACCGTCACAGCGAGAGACAACAGCAATAAATTAACACATTCAATTTTGTTGTGAAAGATTAACACACGCATATGCATTAGATAAATCGCGTTCGTCAATCCTCCTCCGTTTCATCAACAGCCGTGAGCTGAGAAAAATAGAAGCGCAACTGAGTAAACCCACACAACAGGCGCTTGTATTGCAGCCTCTTGACTGATCGCCCTTAACTCACTACAACTACGCAAGTTTCATACTACCAAATATTGTTGGAACGTAAGAAAGCCGAGTGTTTTAGTGATGAAGTGCCTGTGCAATCCTATCATCAGTTTTAGGTAACACAAAAAGTATAGATCAGAGCCAATAAGCATGCAGTCGCCGCACTGGTTATGAGGCATGAAGAGTACTTTAGGCTTTGCCTCTCAGCCTCTGTCTCCGCTTACTCCACACACACCTCCTCGTCCACGGCTTTCTTTTTTCTTTTTCTCATTACTATCATTACCACCACCAGAAAGAAACAGAGGAAAACAAAGAACACTTAATTTCAAAAACCATTAGTTCGTTCTTTCCTTTCTTTTTCTTTTTTCTGTATTCTTCCTGATGGCACGTGTATATTCATTTGCATCGTCGTCTTCCTCGGACAGACGTCGACGCTTATCACCAGTCGTTAAACAAGAGGAACCTCCAGTGCCTACAGCGCCGGCAAGGATAGAACAAGTGGATGTAACAGCTTCGCCACATGCCAACCATGACTTAAACATGATGAATGCGGCTGTTGCTGCGGCCATGAACGACGTCAAGGGCAAAAAACCAGCAACAGCACTACCAGAAGCAAGTAGTAGTGGCAATATCTCAAGTACAGCAACGACAACTACTGCTACTAGTACTTCACAACACGAACTCATGGAACCGGCCTTACAATTACTGGGGTTAGCTACAGCCCAACAGCAACAGCATATACAACAAGAACAGCCACTATTAATTTCACGAGACGACAACGGCGCCGCCGAGCAGCACTTGCAACTACCAGAGCAACAAGAAGATGATGATGACGGTGACGACGATGATAGTAGAAGCAGAAGCAACAGCCCGAATACAGCAACGCCAACGACAGCCGGAGAAGTGGTAGAAGGAGCCCAAGCGAGTGGTGACGAATATTATAAACGAGGCAGTTGGACAGCGGAAGAAGATGAGCTGTTGGTTCAGGGCATACGACAGTTTGGATACGGACGATGGAAGGAGATCGCTACAATTATACCCGGTCGACGAGGGAAACAACTGAAACAACGGTGGGACAATAGTTTGGCCTCCAAATACGTCGATACAGAATGGCTTCAAAGCAAAATCCAAGAACAAGAGGAGGAACCGGCCGAGAAGCTGTTTCGATTATTTGAGACGTCTGACTGGGCCGAGATTGCGCAACGGATTACAGAACGTGCACGTGAAGGGAATGGTGCTGAAGTCATTGAGGCTTTATTGTCGCATGCTTTGATGAATCAAACATATTTGTTTCAACAACAACAACAGCTGCAACAAGAAGAACCTCAAGAACAGCAACAACAACAACAGCTGCAGGACCAAGAACAGGTTCACAAGCAACAACAACAGCAGCAGCAGCAGACATTATCACAACCTCGACCATCATCTGCACCACGTAAACGCAGACGATCTGATCCTGCGTTGGCCGAAACACAATCTGCTGCCATGTCCATATACGCATCTGCCACGCCAGTCACCACAACCATTGACAACCAAATGCAAACCGTTTATCCATGTCTGTTTCCCAACTGTGGAAAGAGCTTTGCACGTCTGTATAACCTAAAGAGCCATTCGAGAACCCATACCGATGATCGACCGTACATCTGCCAGTATTGTAACGCAGCATTTAGCCGGAATCACGACTTGAAACGACATTCCAAGATTCATGGACAAGATAAGCCGTACAAGTGTCTTGGATGTAACAAGGATTTTTCAAGGTAAGTATTATTTTGGTGTTGAGAATGTCATTGGGAAGTTTTAATACTGTAAGGAAGCACTAAAAGCACACACACGCATATGTAATATAGATTGGATGCTTTAAAACGACACAAGAATAATAAGCGTAACAAACCAGCTTGTATGGCGCCTGACCCACCGCAGCTTAATACATTACAACAAAATCCTCATCAACAGCAACAACCTATAACTACTACTGCGGCGGCGGCAGCAGCAGCAGCAGCAGCGGCAGCTGCTTCTCTTACATCATTACAACAACCACCGTCATCTTCAGCATCATCATCACAGCACCCATAAACAACAAATTCGACTCTCCATCATGATTCCCCATGCTTATTAGTCTTTTCTTTCTTCAGCTGTATAGCCATCCCTTCACAATATTTTATATTCTCGCTTCTTCGAATTTTTGTACAATAAACCGTTTCATTTTTTATTTTGAGGGATTTCGATCTGGATTTAGTTGATAGGTGGTCAGCTTGCCCTATACATAAGAGAGACAATGGCGGTAAGCTGTTTATTGTACATATTTCCCAAACTATCCTTCTTCTTACCCGATGAGGTTGTTTAAAAACGTGTTTGCTATGTATAAGTTCCTTTAAGCATTCTGTAACTTTATGCGGTTGTAGTTGAGTGTTTTTCGCTAGTTCAGCCAGCGTGGATCCTTGTGGTACTTTCATGAGTTGCCTGAGTACTTTTTCCATATAATTGGTATATTCCTATCGGGTGAATATGATAGTCAGATCCATGATCAACTCTCTCTATCTCTCCCATTATCAATTAGAAAAGGGTTTCCCTTTTAGAAAGCATAACCAACTATACTAACACTTTGTTCACGAAACTGCCGCGGAAGTCCATCAATGATCTTGCGAATATTAACCTATCATTACATAAGCAGTTCCCTGATGTATTAGTTATCTCTCTCTTCTGTTGCAACTTTTAAGGCATACCCTCGATGGAAATTGTCGTCCTTTTTGCGTGTTCTTTTCTACTCTGCCTTGCTGTACTGCTCGATGTGATGATGGTTTTGATGACACAGCTGCTGTTGTTGACGATGATGACGATTCTGATGCTGTTATATTTGATGCTGAGAAATCTGGTACCTTTGATCAGAGAAATAATCCATCACCAACCACCAACGCATAAATTAATTCCCTTTTTCGTTCGGTATTATATTAAAAAACCAGAAAGAGAAAAATATTACATGACTGTATCGTAACCCGGAACTATGGGCTGTTAGACCAACCATAAACGAGCCAAAGGATCGATTCAGCCGTTTTAGTGATTCATTCGCCTCGCTCATTATTATCATTTCTTTGTCCAAGGTACTGAATCCGTCAGCTACAGCAATGATAGTTTCAGCCAGTGAATTCAAGCTGGGCGGTTCTACTTCGTCTTTTAGAATGGTTGTCGCAATTCCTATTGGTGGTGGTGTTGATGATGTTCGATGTGTTGGGTTGTTGTTTTCATTCATGTTTGTTTATTATTTTTTAACTTGATACAATTTCAGTTGTGCGAAGAAGCTTTGAAAAAGTTGACTCCAACTAGAGAAAGTTGATGTTCGCGAGCAAATTGCTGGAAATCAAACTGCGCGCGTGATTCCGCGACTTGAACAGCATCATCCTTAAATTCGCCTTGTTCTTGCTTGTACAGGAGGAAAATGTAACGATGTGGGCCAGTGCCAGCCGGTGGTGCTGGCTTGTAATAAGATGAGAGTTGCTGTGCTGTCGTTCCATTGATTTGTGAAGAGGATCCTGTTATGTGTAACTTAATTTTTAGATATCTATTACGGTGATACTGAAAAGTATATCCACCTACTACTACTACTACTACTACTACTGTTACCTTAAAGTGCAAATTTATGTATTACCTGGCACATTAGTGACAATCCAGTGTCGGAACGGGCTGCTGCTATTATCTTGAGCTGATGGTGCATCAGGATCAATCTAGACATGTAAATTTTGCTCAGTATCGATCTTAGAAGAGAAACAAATGTGTGGATAACGATCTAGCGTGTTTATATATGGTTACCAGCATCAGTGTATAGAAACCAGACTCGTCCGCGGGGAGGAAGAAGATGTCAGGTGGATTGGCTGTATCTTGCAAACTCAATTCGTTTCCTAACGCTACATCTTGGTCATTTGCATACTTTATTTCCATCATTGTTGTAGGCAAAAAGCTTTCTGCGACCACTGTAATGAGAGAAACAAAAAGCGAAGTGTTAATAGGCAGGATGGTGTTGATGATGATGAAATAATATATGGTCTTTGTATACATATACAGCTCCTTCCTCAATCTTTACAGATACTGGATGTTAAAACTAACAGTGGGGTGTGATCTTCGCCTTTTTCAAGGCCATTCCCATATTCATTTCGCTCGTCAGTAATGGCATGGTGGTTGTTTTCCCAGTACAATTGATTTGACAACAGCAAAAACAACAAGACCCTTAATAGTTAAACTTTTTTTGCTATTAAAAGGGTGAAACAAGGGAAAAACAATCCACTTTGCAAATATCGGAAAATACAATGACGAGATTAGGGAACAAAGAAGTGCTTTTTGATACAAAAAACAAATACACAGCAATCACCATCACGGAATTCCATATTTAGGTTCGTTTTTGTTGTTGTTTTTAGAAACTTACATATCACTTGTTGCAAAGAGCAACAAATAAAAAGGGGGACAACGTTTTGATTATCCGTATCATATGAGAGGGATGCTAGCTATTACAGAAACAGCTAGTCAAATTTCTATGCAAATGATCATCAGCGTCACCACCAACCCTCTACGACGACGCACATGAAAGACAAAAGACAACGAAGCTTACTATAGGACTTTGACCATTACCAAAAAAAAATGATACAGAAGCAAAAAGAAAAGATTAAAAATACACAGCTTGAGAATAGTTTCACTGCAAAAGATCCCCTGTTTATGCAAGAAGGATAAATAGCAGGAACATTGGTACAATAAGGGCAGGTGATTCTGGAATTTGGGAACAATTCTCTACTTTTATAGAGGTCTCTCTCTATATGTATGCATATTCGCATAAACGACTTATTGCTTCGACTGCTGCCAGTGCTACTAACTGCTGCCGTGTGAGTGACAGAGAAATAGAGAGAGACAATTGATGTCACCATGTCAGAATTGTTTTTTTGACTATATCATATTCGTGCTGTGCACTTATTGCCGCAATTATCGCCGGTGTATATAAAGAATTAGTCGCTGCAACAGTTGAATGGTAGAGGTTTTAGTGTAGTAAAAAACAGCCACACAAAAGCATTGGTAACAGCGCGCGAAAGTACAGTGGCCTCTCTTATTTTATTTATCAGGGCTTATCATGCTTGTGGCTATGTACGTGATCTAATCCCTCCGCTCCCACCCCTAAACTATATCTGCTGTGAGCATACAAAATCTTTCTTTACAGAACGATGACGATGAAACAGAAAAAAAAGCAAAAGTAAAAGGGGAGCATAGTCCTTTTTCTTTCGCAAAGGGCAAAGGGGGAAACGTCAAAGGGAGAAACAGGAGTTACCAGGTGGATGAATGAAATAGAGAAAGAAACGACAAAAAAAGGAGGGGTAAGGAAAAAGGAACGATATACCCAAACAATGGCAGATAGAGAAACGATGCTTATAAATCTGTCAAATGGAGAAGTAAATACTGAAATAAAAGGGAGAATTTAATAACTAGTGCAAGGGAAGAAGAGCAGTAAAGCACCAGTTGCTAGAGACAAGAAGCAAGAGAAGCAATAGTGGGCCTACTAAGTGTGCTTGTTTTAATTTTAGAGTGTGTAAAGAGCTAGTATAGTACGAAATGTCATATTTGAATCAAGACGGATCTCCCTATATTGGGTTTTCTTTTTTCGTTCTTTGCAGCGAGAGAGCATATATAATGCAGCAGCACCAGTAGCAGTACATGAGTGGTGGTATATATAGTGTTTCGTTTGTAAACAAATCTGCAGCAACAATCCCGAAATCCCTTTCCTCTCTTTTGATTTTCTTTTATTTTTTTTCTTTACACTTCACTTATATCATCAATAGCTATAACGACAGTTCAATCCAAACATGACAGTCAGCTGTAATAAAAGCATGACATCTGGTACTGCACAACTCCCGCCAACAACAGCCAGTACGACCACTGCAGCAGCAGCAGCAAATGGAAGGAGCAGCAATCGTCCTGCGTCTTCTCAACAGGGAAACAAACGGGATAATCAGCAGCAACAGAAACAGCAGCAGCCGACCATGACACGAATGCACCCCTCAATGAAGAGACCAAGGGCACCAATCGCCTGTTTTCGCTGCCACCACAAAAAGGTAAGTAGGAAAAAGAACTCCCATGCAAATGCCGGTCTGTGCGTTAAGTTTCTTCAGGGTCTCCTCTCCTCCTTGTATTTACCTCTTTCTATACTGCATCTATCCATAGGTACGCTGCGATGGTCTCCATCCCAACTGTACTCGATGTCTCACCACCGGTTTGTTGTGCGCTTACCCAAGTTCCCGTCGCTCCAGAAACACACAGCCAACCAATGTCGATCCTTTCATTGACAACCTGTCGCATCTCGAAGCCCGAATACGACGTATTGAGACCGATTTGGAATCTCAGCGAGCCATGATGCACTCATTATGCAAGAACAACAATGCTAGTAGTACTGCTGCTGCCAACGCCACGACGACCAATAATAGTCCCCCATTGACGCCTTCGTCTTCTTCTAATACAACAACGAGTGCCAAAAGCAACAGTAGTTGTGTTAACAGTGGGTGTAGCAGTACATCATCACCTACTCATACTACTACTATTAACAAGACTCAAGAATTGGCTGCTCATATGCGCAAAACAGAACAAGAGGTTCAGGAATCCCGATCGATTTTGGCACAGTTGCGCTTACGAGGTGAGCAACGAATTGCTCGGGGTAAACGTAGTAATGGCACGTCTACTGCTACAAGCATCACAACGTCATCGACTTCTACAGCTGCAGCAGCTGCGACTGCGGCAACAGGACCAGCAACAGGACCAGCAGCAGCAAAGCGTAAAAGACAAAAAACCAATAATCAAGACGAGTCTACCGTTGCCATCAATACTTCTACTGCTACTGTCACCACAAGTAATGCACCTGCAGGTCTGCCACCACACCCACAACCACCCTCGTTTTACTATACGGGTCAAGATAACCTCATCACGCCCCCGCCTCCAGATCCCTTTTACTTTTTCCCAACAGCAGCGGGCTCGCATTCGCCCTTTGCTGACTCGCTGATGATGGGTGATTGGTCACTTTTCAATCATATGCCGTATGACGGAATAAAGCAACAGTATGAGCTACAACAACATCCAGGAGCTGCTACTGTCACTACCACGCCAACAGCAGGACATCCTCAGCAGCAGCAGCAGCAGCAACAGCAGCATCATCACATTGAACACCAGCAGGATCATCAAAACCACTACCATCATCAGCAATCTGGAATTGCCCCGCCGTTATTATCAGTGGATCCACCCGCTCTTCCTACGGATAGCACTTCTGTTGCTGCCGCTGCCGCTAATGCTGTATGTACACAGGGCGAGCACTATTTTATGATGGATGGCTCTTCCACTGCCAGTAAGTATACTAGCATCCCATCTTTTTTCCCCTTGAATAATGTAAACTGGATTAAACCTGTTTCTTCTAATTTTTTGGGTGGTTAATGGTTAGACCTTCAAACATCATCGATTTTTGACACTACTTCTGCAGGCTGGTCCTGCTAAAGAGAAGAACTTTTACTAAATACTATTACTATCACTACTTTAAACAATAATAATAATAACAGCTTATCAACAAGAGAGAAAAGACTGCAACTAAACAACAAAGAGGGAGAAAAAAATAAAATTTTATGAAAGGTGTAATGAGATAATGATGAAGGATGTGAGGATGTGTGTGTGTGTGTGTGCATTGTTTTTTTGTACTGTATGTTATCAATACTGAATGTTTTTATGTGCGCTGTTACTATACTTCCGTGTTACCGCTGCTCCCCGGAGGGCGATTGTGTAAGGGGAGGAAGGAAGAAACGGGGATGAAGATGTAGGTGGAAAAAAAAAGGGAGAAGAGAGAGATGTTGATATGACGATTGAAAGATAACGGAGGGGGGTGTAGAAGCATCGCAGAAGGACGAACAAAGAAAGAAAAATAAAGTCAATGCTCCATGTCTTCCATTCGACGAAAGATATGCCAAAGCATGTCCTTGTTATTCCAATACGAGAAATGTGCCCGCAAGCCCAGAATATACTCGTTAGAGATCATTCCCATCAAACTTTCCGGCGTCAATTCATAGTCATAACGTCGGCCCAATGGTAATGCTGGCTGTTTCGCATCTTGTTGCTTTTCTTCTAACAAGGACGAAGACATTCTTCCAATGTCACAAAACTCCTCATCATTACCGTTCCAACATGATGATGAGGATACAGAAGACGACAGTAGCGGTGTCGAAAGATGTTCTGATGTTGGGGTCTGTGGAGCTGTCGTTGGACATGAAGATGTAGGAGTAGCTGAAAGTGATGGTGTAGGCATGATAACATCATCGTGTACTTCTCCTACTGCAGGACTCATTCTAGTCAATGCTGATGCTGCTGCACCAGTAGCCAAGGAAGGCATCGTATTACATCTCTGTCGTTGTTGTTGTTGCTGCTGCTGTTGTGATTGTTCCAATAATGACTTTGTCATGGGCTCGGGTCGCTGCTGCTTCTTTTTTATTCTGAGAATATCACCCTCACTTGCACGTCGCTGTGGTTGCTGCTCTTCGTCTTGTTGATCATTTCCTGTCTGTGATGATGAATAATTAAAGTAGCCAAACAATGACGAAAGAATGCCTCCTTGTTGAGCTGCTACTACAGTTGTTGTTGTTGTTGCTGTTGTTGCTACTACTCCTGTTTGATTTTGCTCCTTGGCAATGGTGGTAGCATTACTACCCCGAAATAGGGAAAAGACCATTGATGCAAAGGAGGACGGTTGTTGAGGGATAGCTCGTTCTATCGCCACAGCCGGTTCGTCAAAGTCATGGTTTAAAAGGGGCTCTAAGCGAAAAGCCAGGGGATCCATCGGATGAAAGATGTTTTCGTAAACGGTGCGATAATCTGGGTGGTAGTAGCGAGGATCCTGGTCGCGCGCAACCAATAAACCGGCCATAGGACATCCCATACCAAACAGGAAATCTGGCTGAAAATCAAGTTTCGGAAAATTGACATCGTATTTGCCCAATTGTTCCATTTCTTGAGGGGTCAGGTCTTGTCGTTGATGTGATAGAATATCCCATGAAATAAGGCCGCCAAGTCTGTGTGTTTTTCGCCGGGAGTATCGTCATCAAGGGAGGAAAAGAGAGAAGGATTTTTAGTAAAAAAAAAAGAGCGAGAAAAAAAGGGGCGTAAAGGAAAGATTAGATTTTTTGAGGCTTAGGACCAAAAGACAACAGAAACAACAAACTAAAGAATGGGATGAACAAGTGAGACTTACGAGTAGCCAAGGATAGCCACCTTGCCATTAAAGTTGGGCTGTTGCTCCATAAAATCATGATAGGACTGATTAAACGAACTAGTAACATGGTTGATGATGCTTTGTCCACGTTCTTTGGTGAAGTAGAACATGACATCAGAGAGATAATCGCTTTCAATCAAACGGATGGTTGGGATCGTCTTGGGCATGACACGACTCAAAGTGTCATCCGTCTGTGAATGGATATGGCGATGCCATTCAATTGGAATCATCTTGATACGAATGTCTTCTTGTGGCATTCGACTAGATAGTACTTGCTTCATCGTTTCTCTTAGTGCATTCACTGTATATATTTTTCATAGGTTCCAAATGGGTTAGTTCTCCAATAAGACTATGGAATCTTGACTCTTTTTTTTTCATAGTAAAAAACTAAAGTCTTACTGTGTGTATGGAACATGCCATATTGCTCAGTTTGCTAGAAACATAACACATTTTACACGTATCAGCAAAAACCATTTCATAGTAAAACAAGAAAACTTTTATCATATCACATACCTGGCCGATACCCTGAGATTTCAATGTACAAGTAATAAATCGGTATATGTAAGTAAAAAAAGATTATTACCATTTTTGATCTACATTAAAGAATGCAAAACAAAAGACTCCCCAGGACTTACATGGATGACAAATACGACATGATCAGCATTAGCGTAATACTCGGTATCGTCTTCAAATAATTGAGACGGTACGTCAAGCGGTGCTGATTGCTGCGACTTGTTGAGATCTTCTGGATCTTCCATTGCTAAATTGATATATACGGTGAACAATGTTTATCAGTATTAGCTGATCCGAGCGCTTTGTATAATTTCTTTGTTTTCGGGGCACCAACAGCTATACGCGTACCTGTGTAAAAGCTTGGGGCAAGTTCTGGCGTGTTCAGACCAGTAGTTTCAAAGTACATTTGTGAAAGATTATATTTTATGAAATGTGAGGGAAAGAAGTAAATAGCAATTATCTGCACAAAAAAATGTCAATAAAGGAAGAAAAGCAGCAGTACTTTGGAGAAATAGAGAGGAAGAAGAGAAAGAAGAAGCGAGGAGGTGGGGACAAAGAAAGATAGGGGCGGATGGGGGAGGTGGCAGCGATCCAATAACGAGCGTACACTGCTTACAGCTACTGGTGGATAAAGCTTAACTGGCGAGAAGATGTTGATGGTAGTATCCAATGTGGCTTTTGTTCTTTTGGCCTCCTCCTCTTCTCCTCCTGCCCTCCAAACCCCCGTCACTCCACCTCCTCCCATATTTACCTCCCCATCTTCTTTCCCTATCAATGGAGAGTGGCCACCAACATGTACCACACTGATGCCACTAACTGCTGCTCCCCTTATTATTGGGCACACGAGGTTTTCGTTCGACATGCCGACAATCTCAATACTATTCTCTATAGATGCGTTGTCGCCAACAACAATGAAAATATGAGAATTATCTAAGCTTCGCACGTTTTTGTTTCTTTATTTTCGCCACCCTGCTGTTGTCTCTCTCTTTCTTTTATGCGCTCAACACAGTGATTTTGACACATTACGCCTGTACTTTCTACTGCAGTTGCAGAAGTAATAAAAAAAGAGATTATCATTTATGAAACCCTATCTACTATGATCGTGCATAGGGTGCATAGTCGAGGCTAGAAAGAAGAAAGGAATGTGGCAGCAGCAAATTTGTTTGATGCATATCTGTGATGCACCATCATGCACTCCCACTTTTTGAGGGATATACACTTTGACATGTAGTAAGTAGTTACATGGACGGTATATGACATTACGTATGTACTCAAGTGTCACTTCTGCTGTATTGTACACTCACAACGAATCTGGTGATGGTGACGACGGCGACTATATACCACAGGAAAAAGCAAGGTAAGGGGGTTAAAGCTTTCAAAAGGATCAAGTATACATAAATTACATATACGCAAATATAATGAAAGCAGCAGTAATCCTTTCCGGAAAAGCAATTACAGCTAAAATTGAGCAATAATATAAAAATAAAGCAATATGAAATCCCAGAATGACTTGCACAGTACATATGTACAGCTACTACTGCTTCATTTGATATCGTCACGAGCGAACGAGAACCCTGCGTCAGTTAGCACGTCGATTGACAGGATGTAATAAGATTATCATTGTCTCTGATAAAGTTTCTCGTCCCACTTATTGTTAGCAGCTGTTAGTAGCCGGTTTCCCTGCTGTTGTATCAGTCTTTAGTTGAAATCTCTGAATCGCCATGAAGAAGATGGTTATCCTCCGTAAAATGGTCTGTGCGAATGAAGGATTTTATGTAGTATCTCCTAGATTTTTCATGTTTATATGCACCGGTGCTGTTGATGACACTACCCATTTACAAAGCCTAATAATTGTGTTCTACATCTAGAGCAGTTACTATGGCTTTTTTTATTGCCATATTGCCTACTGTGCAATTTGACTAGGAACTCACATCAAACAGGAAGCGCATGATTTTTGGGAAAGCAATAGGTTAGAGTGGGCGAGACTTTTCATACCCAGACATCCGTTTCGGGAAGGTGCCTGCGATCCCGACAAAATCGTACGCACTTGCTGGGCAAAGACGCTCTCTCCTTCCGATATAATCACCATGGTGGTACGTATACATATAACATGAAAAAGGGGGTTGATGAAAAGGAAAGGGATTATGAATCGAAAGTGGGAAAGTACATTTGAGTCAAAACGAAAAACGCATACGGATGGATGAATGATATGGATGGATGTATCAAATGGATGGATGAGAATATCTGTTAAAGGTGAATGAAACATGTATATACTAAAAAAATCAACTTTGTGAAATTCTCATTATTATAGCAAGGTTCTTTCAAGCGTCAAGTCGAGGTCGGCCGTGTTGTTCTCGTTAACAACGGTGCTGATGCCAACAAGTTGGCTGTCATTGTCGACATTATTGATCACAAGCGCGTAAGTAGTTGTATTTGATTAATCTTTTCAAGGGAAATCTTCCACACAACATTCGAAGAGAAAACAACTACGACATCAACAACGTCAACAACAATTCACGCACACACACATACATACATAACAACTCCCCATCTATACAACGCGATTCGAGCTTTTTAAAAAAACGAATCATCTTTTTGACGCAAAAAAAACGAACCCACTTTCTTTTTTCTTCTTTTGAATTAGGCCCTCATTGACGGCCCTACCACTGGTGTCTCTCGTCAGTCTTTGGCTTACGCCCGTCTTACTTTGACCAACTTGGTTGTCAAGGGTCTTCCCCGCAGCGCTGGCCAGGCTACCCTCAAGAAGTACTTGGAGAAGAGCCAGGTCATTTCCCAGTGGGAGAAGTCTGCCTGGGCCGAGAAGCTCAAGCAGCGTGAGGTCCGTGCTAACTTGACCGACTTTGAGCGTTTCAAGATTCAAAAGTTGAAGAACAAGGTAAAGAAATGATTGCAAAGGGAGAGGGATATACAGCAAGAAGGGAGATGTTGGAGAGTGTGGTTGAACTCTATACTAATGACTTGCCTGTTTTTTTCCATATAAATTAGCGTGCTTTCGCTGTTGGCTCTGCTGTCTCCAAGGCCAAGAAGTCGGCTTAAATTCTTTTCTTGTTTTGAACAACAATAAAAACCACACATATTGCTCCATTAAATCAAATCAAAAGACAAAGGAACAAAAGGAAGATTGTAAAAGTAGTAATGTTGACGATGATGTAAATAAGTTCGTTATTTTCATTATTGTCTATCTTTTTTTCCATGAATAAGCGTAGGTCTTGTTAAAGCTCATTGTGCGTACAATTTGATCCCATTCATCCACAGTTTTCACGCACAGTCGTCGTCCTGTTTCAGAATCACCAAACATTTCCGCCCACCATGCTAGATTTTCGTCATTAGTGACCAACACCAATCGTTCCTTGAGGTTATAGAGCATGCAACTGATAATGGGTATGTATGCTCGGGGTACTTGGCTAAACCGTGTAACAGCGGCGACGGCAGCATCATCATCTTCATTATCTCCTCCTTCCTCGCTTTCTTCATCATCCTCGCTCACTTCTTCTGAACTACTAGGATCCTCTGAGCTATCATCGTCTTCGTCGAACTGGCGTCTCCGAGACCCAAAGAAATCGTCACTGGACGATAATGATTCCACATCACTTTCATGTATGACCTTGTCTCCATTGTCCTCATCGTCATCATCCGAGAGAAGCGCGTCGACTATATTTGCTCGGCTTTCTTCACCGATCCAGTAGGCTTCGGCTTGACTCCATTCCGTCAACTGTTCGTTGATTTTTTGGGTACGGAGATAAGAGGAAGTGGTATCGTTTGGCTTTTCACGAGCAAGATGCTGGTCCAAGAAACGGATCGATTCGCGTGCTTGCATGTTCATATGTGATGAGCCCTTTTTGTGGACATCGAGAGAATCGATTGCTAATAGTACATATAAGTAATGACACCTTGTTACTTCACTAGTGGATGTTTATCTTTGTTCAAACTTACTTTCCAAGGGAACAAGAACTTCTAGTACACTGTCCTGCGCACGATTGTTTGGATTCAGAGTTTGGTTGGCCCATTTCTTGATCTTGTTGAGACCATCGAGGAACGCAGTGACATCCACCACGACTGTGTATATCTCCACCTTGTCTGGTGGCGGTGGAGCCAGATTCATGCGACTGACATTTTTCTCAAGTGAGGAGACTTGATCAATAAGTCGTTGGGTGGCCAAAGCTTTCATGAATCGACTTTGTTGTTGTCGCTTAGCATTTTCGTCAACAACACTGTACTTTTGCTCATTCTTATTGTATTGAACAAAATCAAATGCCTAACAAGGGTATACAACACGAAAACACTGTCAGCAACACATAATCGATACACACGCGAAGGAGGAAGCTACTTACACTTGATTCGGCAATCTTTTTAACAAGTTCCCGTACGCGACCCCATCGAATTTGTCGTCGCGCATCAATCTTGGATTCGTTTTCAGCTTCATACGCGTTTTCTTTAAAGAAATCCACCGTGGCATGAAATCGCAACAAAGGCACCATGCCGAGCAACATGACATCCTCTGATACTGGATAACTGATGGGCAACACATTCACCACAGGATCTGGAAACATGGGATGGTTGATAAGAGCAGACAAGAACGACTGGACCATTTTCACCAGCTCTTTTTTTTCATTGTCACGCCGTCCATCCACTGCACCAGCCGATGACGATGGTGTGCAGTATTGGGCAATCACGGGCAGATTGTTGGCAAGAAAGGTACACCAGATGGATAATGCGGATAGGACTGCGTTTTCGATCATGGCGCTGAGCTGTTCGTACTTGGTATCAGTCATCTTTTCTTTGGCATCTGCCCATCCTTTCTCTTCTTGTGTAGTCGCTTTGACTAGTCCGGAGAGTAGTGTAAAGCCCAGAGTCAGTAGGCGTACGTGCGACGATTGTAGCTGTGTCCACTGCGGTAGATTTCCTAAAGGCGTTTTCTTTAATCAGTATCTATATATGTTTTTATAGTGAGAGAAAATGAAATTGCATTACCTTTGTTTTTCATACGTTCTCCGATGTCCCAAATGGTAATAATCAGAATGACAACTGTGCGCGACAACATGCTCTTAAGAACGTGTACTGTGGAGGTTTCAGGCTTGTTGATCTCATCCTGGTTGGCCACGGACGAAACTATACGCGCGACCACCGTCTGCAGCGTATCCGGAGTGGATGCAATACTAAACAAAGATAGGTTATATGATTAGCATCTTCATTAAAAACCACTTCACTCGGGTTACTTTTTCTTTCCAAACTTACCTATGAGGATCGCCAAACATGGCTTGCTTGTGAATTTGAAGAAACGACTCAACAAATTGAGAAATCATCTTGGTACTGCTGCTCTCATTGCTATGAGCTTTGCTGTTATCTGGAGAAGAAAACCGGATTTTGGAGTAAAAAGCCTTCAAATTGTCTCGGCCGACGCTGGAGGGCTGTTTCATGGCCAGACTCATGCAATAATACCACACGACATCTACAGCACTTCCACTTGATAGCGACACAAGAGCAAGTTGCGAGTAAGGCTTTCCACTGAATCGATACACGTCAATTGCCTTTTGATAGCAGCTTTTCGCAAGTCTCCAGTTCTCGCCGTGGGCCTTGTTGTTGTGGATGGTACCCGTCGATGCGCGATAGCGTGCAATGTCGCCCATGCAAATGTAGTTGGATTGTAATATGACTGCGACTTGTTCATCGCCTGTTAATGTGGCAGTACCGTGTCGGAATAAATCTGAGGGACAGTAACTGTATATTAGTATATTTATTCATACGACATCAATTTGCCTTCCTACTATTTACCTATACCGATGGTCTTTGTATCGATAAGGTGGTCACTTTTGATGCGGTTGTTAAGCTCACGATAGAATTTGAAACTGCTGTCTATGTGTTTCAGCAACTGTTTCTGGAGTCGTTGCCGAATAGCTTCATCTTCGTCTGGATGCAGCTATTGAATGAATGAATGAAAATACTCGATACAAGTGTGAATAAGCGCTGCTCAATTTCCCCACAATTGCAAAGCAACAGCAAAGACGATCTCAGTATGAGATTTTTACCTTGCGTAACTTGCTCCGGACTTGTTCGATGGTTGCATAGCAGATGTACCGCCACAACTTGTCTTCGATATGATGTGTCGCAGCATACGATAAGTCATCTGTGAGAATTTGGCGGTAAATGATTTTCAAACTGATGGGAGAGTACAGTTAACATCATCAGTTCTCTTTTTCTCTCCCCTTGCTTCACAGGGCACGTGTGTTCTTGGGTCATAGAACTTTCCTCTCCACAGCGAAATTACCTTTTGCGAACATATTCAATTTCATCTTCTGTGGCAACAATTTGTTCTGTAGCGATGGCATTGGCCCGTCGACCTTGTTCCTTGCTGGGCATGTTTGCATGGTTGGCTTTCAACTGTGACTGAAGTTCTCCGAGTTGTCGTTCGAGAGCCGAGGCCTCGCTATATATTCTTTTCATCAGCATATTTGTTTTTCTTTCTACCTTTCGGCGGGGAGGCAAAAGAGAAGGCATAATTCCGTCTTCCTCTTTTTATGTTCTTTCACACACACACACACACACACACACACTCTCTCTCTCTCTCTCTCTCTTATGAATTGATACTTTTAAACGACCAAAGTCTGAGCAGCAACTCACCTAATCAAATCATTCAAATCAAAGTTTTTTGGCTGATTAAATACTACGTCTACTTCTTGTTGCTGTTTCTTCTTGTGACGCTGTCGTCTACGTGTACGACGCTTTTGGTTCTGCGACGTCTTATTCTTTACGTCTGGAGGAGAAACTGGACTGGGTTTTTGCATTCTTGTTTAAACACTAATTCCATTATCAAACAGAGAGGGAGGGAGTAAAGAAAGTCTTTCTTTTGGGCTAGAGCTGTCTCTGTCGGGCTGGAAGCTTCTTTTTGTTATTTTCTTGTAGTTCGTTTCGTTCGTTTTGTCTTTTTTTTTTTTGCTTTCTTCTTCCGGTGCAAAAAAAAAGTGGGGTTTGTCAGTCGTGTTATTGCGAATTTGACTTGTGATTAGACTGTCAACAGGTTGGCATTGGAGGCGAATTGCTGATTAAGGAAGAGAAGAGAGAGGGAGCGAGGAAAAAAAAAGTAGACTGTACGAAAAAAAAAAAGAAAGAAAGCGCTGTTGAACATATACATAACTTTGAGCTAAAACTCCGCCCCTCGTTGGCTGCGTAACTCCCACCTAGTGGCATCCAATGCCATTTGACATATTTGCATCTGTTTGTCCAAAACGCCTTTATTTCCATTGAAAGAAGTACGTGTGTGCTCCTGCATGTCCGTATAAACATAATGGTTGCATTCTAGAGTCATTCTGACAGCGTTCCCATGCACTAGTACTGCTGCTGTTGCTTCTGCTACTACTACTACTACTACTACATGGTGTGGTCGTGGTAATATTGACTGGCACGAGGCTTGCAGTCGGTTCAGAGTAGTGATGGAAATTATCCAAAGGAGCAACTATTTTAAGGTTGTTGGACTTTAGAGATAAGAAGCGTTCGCACGATGGTGGCGTGGCAGCAGACATGTGGTTTTGTCGTGTCAGCGAGTGTGTACTACCCTAAAACTTTCCTTTTTCGAAACACTCTTCTTGTTACATGCTACTGGCTACTCAAACTCCTCCTCCACATCCATTATCACAGACGCTCATAAGCTTGGAGTAAAGTTCTGCCCAACTGGTGATGTCCCATCATTTGAGAAAAAATGACACAGCATTACTAATGAAGTTGAAGAGCTCAAAATCATTGTCTATCATGCTGCTGGGGTGCACTACTACGAATGGTGACACAATATGCGGATTCCATATTTCAGTCGATGTGCGCTTTCAAGTTCGCTCTTGTCTTGAATGTGGGGTAGTAATCCAGCCTGAAGGCCTTTTTTACGTGATCAAATGATGGAATTGCGTGAGGGACCTGGCCTGTGCAATATCTTTACGGTAACATGTTTGTGTGACACTGTAAGATATATTTTAAATCGATAAAATTTGTTTGGGATTTGTCTTGCGGCGATGGTTAATCCGATCTATACACGAGCATCGTTGAATCAGGATGCTGGGAGCCATTGTTAGACATTTGCTCTAGTGTGAGCATAGGTAAAAGCACCCATTCGGTCCGATAAGTGCAATTTTGGTATTGTTGCGTCCGTTGCGTCTGCCGCCGCACGGTAAGAAGTATGCTCTCTTTGCGAATTGTTTGCGTACGAAGCACTAGACATATTTATGTAAACCGGTGAAGCATAATATCAAAAAAATGAGGACCTGCTTCTACATAATAAAACCATTGCATTAAAAAACTTTGTCCATAAGATTAAATTTGGCTCGTGCTATTGCGATGGACAGGTTATGGATGATGCTGTGTTGGCGAGGTATCATTACTATTGTTGCCTCCTTTGGTAGTGGCAACAGGGTTATTCATTGGACATGGCAGCATGGTCCTCCAAAGTCCAAGCATCTTCTTGAATAAGTGGTATACGTAAGGCTGAAATGACGCTATCACGATGAGTAGACATGCTGCTACGGAATGGGTTGGTCGATGCTGTTGAAGCTGAGCGCGCTACTGTACTACCGCCAGCGCTTGCTAATGCGATGTCCCATAACATTCTTCCTTTGTTATTGTTACTGTTATCGCCAGAATCTGTTTGAATGTGTTGAGGTCTCTGCTGCTTAGACTCGTCAGTGGTATTAGAGGTAGAACTATCGTTATTGACACTGCTTGCATCGGTTGTTGCTGTGATGTCAGATGCATGTGCGCCCGTTGCCCACCCTTGCTGCCATCGTGCTGCAATTTTCTTCAAGAGCCAGCTTCCTCGCTTGCCACCGTCACCGCCGCCGCCGTTGCCTCCAAAAGCATCCATCTCAGGTGATTGACGTGATTGATCATGGATAGTAGGTACAAATGCTGGAACATAGGCACCACCACCAGCTGGTACCGTATTGTCTTCTGGCGGAGCACTGACATGGAAGATGGATGCATGGAGATTGTTATAGGTGGATTCGCGGATGACAGTAGTAGGAGGGCGTTCGACTGATGAGGTTGCTGCAGAAGCTTGATGTAGTTGTGTAGCGTAATTGTATGCAGCTGCTGTACCGAAAGGATCGATGGCGGATGCTTGAGACAACCAGCTAGCATGTGGATTGGGTCGATATGGATCATATTGCTCCTGTTGTCCTGCCTGAATTCTAATGTTGTCATGGTTATCCGCAATGGCATGCGTCGGAGAAGAAGGTCCAAAAGCTAGGTTGCATAGTACTGTTGATCTTCAAATGTTGCGGGATCCAGTTCTTCTACCTTGGGTTGCCGGTTATTATAATTGTTGTATGTAGCAACAGCCAGTACGCCAGCTCCAACAGCGCCGGCCATACCTGTAGCTGCTGATTATGGCAGTGGCGGTCATTGTAGCGATCACTCAGACATGCCTGATTGAGAACCACCACGCAAATAATCCTGCTGGCTCTCCATACTGCATAAACGTGACAACGAGCGACCCACAGCTGTACCTGTCATGAGCGATACCAAAATACTGTGCTTTGAAGTCTATGGTTATTGTGAATGGCGTTGCGTATCACACGCCCACAGCTCTGAGGTCGTCCTTTGCTGCCGTCTTCTGTTCGACTCTGTTCAACCTCGTGCGCTCGGGTACTGACTTGACGCGATCGTCGTTTTTGACGAGGGCACACACAAGAATAATCGCACTTGTAGCTGGGCCAGCAGTAACATCAGCAATCGTTCACCTCATAAATTGGCTGCTGTTGTACAAATGCTTCTCAGCATCTTCACACTCGCCGGTTCCTTATCAGTTTTTGATTTCCAGGATATTCAATTCTACCGGAAATTGATTAAAGGATCTTTTACTCAATATATTGACGACCGCAGGCTGCATCCGTTGAGGTATCATTAGGAATAACGAGCGCTCTATGCACGTAAACTGTACGATCCATACAAGCATAATGCTGCTGTGGTGCTTCAGCTTAACACACAGTTTGTCCAACGGTAAAATGAAAAAAAAATATTAACGGTTCTTTGTTCCATTAAAGCGCACAGACCGTCGCCGACATTGTTTGATCAGAGCGGAGCACGGCAAGCGGAGCCGCATAGTGAAACCAACATATACGCACCATAAGAAAAAGACAGTTGACAGACTACAACGATAATTATCATCAAGGCACTTCTTTACATTGCTGCAGTTCACTGGCTCCTTAGGGCAGTAGTGACAACATAATTTCTAAACTCCGTCTTTTTGTTTATCGGGCTTCATAAAAAAAAGAATCGACTGCGCGTTTTGCCCTTTATTCTTTTCATATTCATCTTTGTACATTTGCATTGTTTCTTTCACTATCACTTTTTACCTTTCTTTTTTTTTTATCCAGGACGAGTGTCCCTGTGGGTGTACATAGATGAAAGGAGCTAGTCGTGCACGGATGGCTCTTATTCATCTTTGTGCATTTGCAATGTGGGTGTATAAAGATGCAGGGAGCTAGTCGTGCACGACTGGCTCTTATTCATCTTTGTACTTTTGCAGTGTTTCTTTCACTATCACTTTTTACCTTCTTTTGATTCGGGACTACGGTCTTGGTGGGTGTACAAAGATGAAGAGAGCTAGTAGTGCACGACTGGCTCTTGCTCATCTTTTGTACAGTTGCAAAGTTCTTTGTTTCATCTTGGTTTTTTATCTTCCTCAAAAACTGAAAGCGAGAGTGTGTGCAAAGAGGTACGTATATGTTCGCCGCTGACAGACCTTTGTGCTATTTCTTTTATTTGTAGGAACTGTGGAGGAGTAGGTTCTGTCGGGAACTGAGGCTTGTGGACAAGAAAGGGAGAGGTGTAGGTTCTGCCGGGAACTGAGGCTTGCGGGGAACAAGGGAGGGCAACCTCCCTTGTGGAGGTACGTATATGTTCGCCGCTGACAGACCTTTGTGCTATCATATTTCTTTTATTTGTAGGAACTGTGGAGGAGTAGGTTCTGTCGGGAACTGAGGCTTGTGGACAAGAAAGGGAGGAGTAGGTTCCGACGGGAACTGAGGCTTGCGGAAAACAAGGGAGGGCAACCTCCCTTGTGGAGGTACGTATATGTTCGCCGCTGACAGACCTTTGTGCTATCATATTTCTTTTATTTGTAGGAACTGTGGAGGAGTAGGTTCTGTCGGGAACTGAGGCTTGTGGACAAGAAAGGGAGGAGTAGGTTCCGACGGGAACTGAGGCTTGCGGAAAACAAGGGAGGGCAACCTCCCTTGTGGGTACGTATATGTTCGCCGCTGACAGACCTTTGTGCTATCATATTTCTTTTATTTGTAGGAACTGTGGAGGAGTAGGTTCTGTCGGGAACTGAGGCTTGTGGACAAGAAAGGGAGGAGTAGGTTCCGTCGGGAACTGAGGCTTGCGGAAAACAAGGGAGGGCAACCTCCCTTGGGAACGGAGGATTCATAAAAGTCGAGGTACGTATATTCCCGCCGTTGGCAGACCTTTTTGATGTTTCTTTTATTTGTAGGAACTGTGGAGGAGTAGGTTCTGCCGGGAACTGAGGCTTGCGGAAAACAAGGGAGGGCAACCTCCCTTTGGAACGGAGGATTCATAAAAGTCGAGGTACGTATATTCCCGCCGTTGACAGACCTTTTTGATGTTTCTTTTATTTGTAGGAACTGTGGAGGAGTAGGTTCCGTCGGGAACTGAGGCTTGCGGGGAACAAGGGAGGGCAACCTCCCTTGAGGAACGAAGGATTCATAAAACTCGGTCGACTTGTCAAGCAACATCAAATAAACTTGGTTTCTTATTGTACTTTTATAAATAATGTCATTGTAACTATTGGGCAGATCGAGTGACGATTGTAATAAACGCGATCTTTTTTTTATATCTTCCTACTGCCATTGCGCTTGGTACTTGTTGGTGCTTTCTCTGGAGCAGTTATGTAGTTGCAAATGAGCCTTTTTGTGCTTGAGTCGTCGAGAAAACCATAGGCTGTGCATTCGCATAGGTGCTCTCAAAAACAATACAGCTGGTTTACCATCACGACTATACAACAATGATTGCAAATTGCTGGTGGCAAAATAAAAAACCGTATCGCAAAGCAAACAGACCATCCTATATTCACATATACACGAACCAGATCGCCAACCCAAACTAAATGATGTTTGCCTTGATTTTCTTTGCAGTATAAAAGGCCCAGTACATACGCTCATTAGAAAAGTTACATCATCCAACTTGTTGGGTCCTGCCACCAATCTCTCAAGATTAATACTACTGATACACGTATACTAGTAATACTCATAGATAGATTGAATATGAAATGTACCATCACTGCTTACGATTATACTAAGCTATCCCAACAAGTTATTAATATCTCTTGTCTCCAATAGCTTTCACCGGCGCCAAAGTTGCCAAGTTTTTAGAAGCGCATTGTTTTGTGCTGCTAATGATGAGTCAAAATAATACAGTTGTACCCCGGTTTTTGCAACCCCCGGGTTTGCAATTCCTCGTATATCTGCAACTTTTTTTGAAAAATCCAAAAAAAACTTAGTAGTTTCGCAAATTTGCAACTTGCAAATGAGTTTATACGATTTGCACGTTATCGGGGTAAAAACAGCTTCAATTTCTGCAATATCAACTGAAAGAAGCATCTGTTGCGGATTATGAGGAATAAAATGATACGGTTACTGCAAGATAAATATGTAAATATGAAGATGTATTTATTGTCAAAATAAAAATTATTACTTGGTAGTTGAGCCGGTAGAATCGGGACACATATATAGCACTGATTGGGTTGAATCAATAAAAGAAATGAAGAAGATATAAGAAAAAGTGAACACACTACATATAGATATAGAAATAAAATGTTTGCTCAAATGAGCTTTCAACTATATACATCGAAGAAGTCATCAAGGGATGATTGTCGGGAGAATGATTGCTGCCTGAGACTCTCTTGAATCCTACGCAAAGACTTCTTTAAGTCGCAGTCATCGATATTATTTAAAAAGCTCAAAACTCCTGCAATTGCAACCTGTTTTTCCTTTGACGTTGGCCCTGGAATAGGCGAATCAGCGCTTTCGTCCACCGCCCGCTCAAGTGCTCGTCGTAGGTTCGATCCTCTTGCTTAGAGGTGAACTTGTGGAACGATTTTGTCATGCTTAAAAGAGCTAATAATTATCAAACCACTAGACAGCTTAATAAAAGAACGGTCTTATATATGCAAGTAGTAACATTTAGAGCTGTATGAATATTCCCACAGAACGTATCGTACATAATCTCTGACAGATAAACAATGGGCTAGTGTTAATAGGATGACTTATCCAGTGTCTATTTGAAGCAGAATTGTTTACCCCGTTACTTGCAAATCCTCACTTTTTGCAAAAAAAATCGGAAAACCCTCGGTTGCAAAAACCGGGGTACAACTGTAATGTGCTTAACTTTAATTTTCTTATTTTGAGATTGATTTACTCCCCTTCTTTGTCTTGTCATGATCGCCTGCTTTTCCAAACTACACCGAAACGGCATCCGGCAAGCCGGTTTTCAAGAGACATTCAGAAATGTGGTAAGGTCCGTACAATTTTTTTGTTAGCGTTGAAGTCTCAAAAATTACTTGGAGCTATACTACTGAAATTCTTCATGCAATCTAGTAAAGCTACTTCGGATTTTTTGATTTGCTCGACTCTAATTCGATATCAATACTGGCGAAAGTATCAAAAGTAGGGAATGGTGATAAGGAAACCCCGATCGGATCTATACGTTTACAGTAGTTTGATCCAAAAACGGTACATATTGTTGCATTTACTACTTCTCCACGAAAAGTGCAGTATCGAGTTTCTGGATAACACAACTACCGCTACTATGCTCCCCCTTTCTCTCACAGGTCAATTAATACTCGCGAGAGTGCAGGCTAGTACTCCTTTAAATTCCAAGTTCATACCAAACCATAAGTGTAGCTATACAATGAACTGTTTATGCATGCACTCATTCTAATTTTATTGATCCAGCTAATCTATAAAAAACTTGACAACGCAAAAAAAAGTCCATTTGTCGTAACCAGCTTTTTGATAGGTCGTACCTTCTTGGTTGAAACCGAGTGAGATGGGTAAGTGCCTAATTTGCACTGTACATACCTAAAGAGATGATTCAATGCCTTTGTGCCGTTCTTCTACTTTATTGTATATGTGTATATGTGTATAGCATGATGTGCCACATAAATTATTCATGGAGGTTACGCGACAGAAATAATGCGAGGATGATAACTAAAATGATAAAAGAGTCATTCTTCGCCTGTAAGCGCGAGGGAGAAGTAACGCAAGCTCAAACGCCATTGACAAGGTGGATTCCGTTTACGAAAAACGAATGGTCAAAACCAGGGAATAGCGGGAAAAAAGGCAATACCAGCGCGTTATAAAATATCGTATAAGCCTTTTTAAACCAAGCTTTGACAACGCGAATCCGCAGCAGTCGGTCAGGTCAAGCTTGACTTGAAGTCAAGCGTGTCTCAATTGCTGCCGTTGATGGCCATTTGTTTCAAATGGATCTTTGCATCACAGAAAAGAAAAACACAGACGCAACCTCGTTTCTTTCTTTCAAGAACTATAGCAGGGTCCGTGCGTAGAGAACACGGTGTCAAAGAGTTGCCACCGCTTCATATGCACTTGAAAGAGATCCTAAATCTCAATCAGTACAATCACAAACAAAGTACAAAAGTACATCACAAGGTCGATCAGTAAGCGAGAGATCTTTCTTTGTGAATTGGGATGTCATTACCCAACGGATTATCAACTTTTCGTTATAATAATCTTTTTGTCATTTTCTTATTGTATTTTAAAGAGAAACCCTCTTTTCTAGGAAGTTCCAATAGAAAAAGAGGGGAAAAACTCCTGCTGTCTCTTTTTTCCAGGAAGACAACAAAACCTGATCGAAGACGCAGGTAGTGAATGGTCGCTACGCAATGAGAGACCTTCGCCATTCACTAGTGGCGCCCGTGCCGTGTGTGCCCACAACGTCAACTAAGCACAAAGACGCCTCAAGGTTGTTGTATTACGTTGATGCAGCCCTAGGGCATGCTTCCAACAACCTTGCTACCGTTGAAGCATCTTTCGGGTGAAAATATCCACCTCGACTCGGCGGATAGCTTTCCAAGTCAAGGATTCACACAACACTTTGCGCTTCATAAAGTTTGTGTAAATGGAACTGAAGAAGAAAAAAAAATGGGAGGGATGGGGGGTTTTTGGTATTCTTATTCAGACAATTTTTTTTGCCGTCACGCTCGGGTCTTCAATGAAAATCCATCATTTTTGATTGGCTCCGCTCTGGTTGGCTCCTTTTATGGACCGCTTATATCATATGACGCAACTTGGCCCAAAAGCAAAGGGAAGGGGAAGGAGATGTGTAAGTGATAGTCGTCGTGAAGAAGTCAAATACGCTATAGCAGCAGTGATCGACATGCTATGTATGTTTCACCATGCCGATGTACCCTCCGATACTGTCGCCGCTTATTTTGAAAAGAAGCGTCGGTGCACACACCCAGCCTCCGCGTCAAATACAGGTACGTTTCGATTGCCAACTTTTTCAATGAGTACGCAAGAAAAAAAAAAGTGCGACTGAACAACTCAATTAGAAATGGCAAGGAAGAAAGACAGAATGCCAACGATGATTAAGAACGACGGATGAGTGCTCGTGTGCGATCTGGGAAGCAGTAACTGCTAATTTGCCAAGGACTCGCATCATTTGCCCTGGCGGACCAGATATCTACAAGTGATAATGTGGATTCTGTCCGACCCATGGAGTATTTTGTTGAAATTCGCTCGACCCAATTCCTTCCAATTTTTCATAGGTTGCTGATTTGTTATGTACACGGTGGCGAAGGTGTGGCAAGCTCCTTTTGCGATTGGGTAATAGCGCTGTCATACTAGATGACGAGGACTGGTTATGTGTCATTCTATCAGGACCTTTCAATTCTACGATGCTTGGTTCTCCTGTTAGACTTTGCACTGCATTCTCTTTTAAAACCGCCTCGTTTTTACACCTCTTGGGGCTTGGAAAACTCCTCGTTGTTGATACATCCTGTAGTTACTGGGAGTATTGCAATTAGACAATTGTCAAGAGCTCTACGTCATAAAACATATTACCAAATTTGTTGACTAAACTCTTCTTTATCCGAATATACAAAGCTGTCTGTTCTCTCAAATTGATAAACACAACTGAATGCTTAATAAAAGGCAGCAGCTGATGGGCGCGACTCTATATCTACGCACTCATTATTCCCTGGATTGCGATCGCCTATTCTGGTGCTCCCGACGTTCAAGCTATACAAGTTCTGAGGTACTCTCGTTTAAAAAGGAAGAGTCATTCTCACTTCTTTTACAAACTCTCAATCAAGGTCTTTCTTCATATTATCCACGATGCAAAACATACAGTTGATTAGGTTCATCGACTGCAAGTAGTACAATTAACAAGCGGTCAGTGTGTGGAGGATCAGCAAGTATATTACCAGGCTTCCTTGCTTTACGCCATTGCAAAAAGTAGTTCCTGGCCATTCGCACCGAAGCTTAAAAACAGTATGGTAAACTCGACGGAGCCCTGAAGTGCGCTAGTCGCCTATTGTGACGCTAGTGTTTTCTTCAAAAGCAACAACCTGAGCGAAGCGGTCGAAACATTTGATGATTTTGTTGGTCAATGTCATTATTATCCTCTTGGGGAGGTTGTGGGAATTTTCAAGCAGGCAATACGTGATCCCAATATATAAAAGGCTTTTGAGCGCTCTCACATACTTTTACATGTCTTTGAATGACTGTAAATGCCGTTCAGGGAAGCATTAAGATATTGCAAACGCATCTGAAGGCGTCCATTTTATATTACATAATATATGCTCTTCAAGATCAATATTTGGTTCAAAAAGTTGGTGGTTATGAATGGCAGAAAAGCCATGTCGTTGTTTGAGGGTCCGTTCATTGGAAGCTGGTGTTCCTTTTATTATAGTATGATATCAGTCTCAAAGTAAAGATGTTATCTCTCCTTTTGTTCGTGGGATGATGTTAGAAAAGGATTATCTGAAAGCAGCAATAATACATATCTTCTGTATTCTGCTGCTTATCATTTAATGCGGGACTGAACTGTAAGGCATCAAGCAATAAAACGAGCACCTTCTGTGTTGCAAACTTGCTGTACATGATCGACAACAGGTAGTATTGTTATGGTAGTGAAAGTGTTGAATAGTTGAGGAGTTTCATTTGTGCACATAATAAACAGAGTTGTAATTATGTAAGCGAAGATTGTTGTTAAATATCATATGTTAGCAGCGAGGATCCAAATTTGATGCATGATATCACCTCAGTCTACCTCTTAACATCACCTTGCATGATGAATATTTGTTGGCTGAACAGCTGGAACAAATTCTATGTTCTAGAAAACAGTCGAACAATGACTCGTCAGTTACTGATCCATAGTAGAAAATAAATAGACTACATGAGATGATATCATATATAGTTTGATTGTACGTGTTCTTTATTGTTATAATATTTTCCCCACGTTCATTCAGCAGTTTACAATGATACCCTAATACGTTTATTTACTTTGATAAAAAAAGCAAGAGCACTTTATGTGTTGGTTAGAGTAAGACGTATATGTATGTAATGAAATCACATAGAGGGGATGTAACAAACATGATTTGTATATAGAAAGATAGTAAAGGGCACAATACAACTACTTGTAGGGTTTGAGAAAAGTACATATAACAACAGATGATAGAGGAAAAACGATATTGACGATACATCTTGTAATTATGTGCTACTTGTTGACGACCCTTTCCCGACATTACAATGTTTGCGGTCCTTCGTCTATGCTGTTTCACTTCTATGACTTTGCTTCCTTGTCTATGAGGCTTTCTAATTTTGATGTGTTCATGCTCCGTTTGTTGTTGTCGTCCGGTACCTCAATTCTTAAAACGTCCTTCCCATTGTTCCTGAAATGTACCGTATGTTAAAGTTTGGTATGTTGAAGCATAATATAACAAGAAGAATGCATGAAGCAATTCTTCGCTCGTGTCACGGATCCTTGCCTTCCAACTAAATATGCGCACGCTTCCTTCGTCTCTTGCATAACTTTCTTGCTCTCTCTCCCTCTCTATTTCTTACCTCTCTTTTTTGTCATTAGAAACCTGAATCGATAGCAAAATGATGACGTACTTGATGCTGCAGGCTCATTTCTTGCATTGCACGGATAGCGGCCTGAATAGTTCCTACAGCGCGTCGTGCAGCTATAACATGCGGTCTCAAAGTTGTAACTTGTGCAACTAGCCATTTTAGTGTGTCAGCGTCTTTCTATAATACATAATCGAATTAGTGAGCAGCTATCAAACTCCTTAACCAGCATTCACTTTGCTTTTTCGTCCTTCTGCATCCCAAACCAGCTAACCAATCATGACTTTTGCTGTACCATTAGTATACAGTATAATAGCAATTATTACCTGGGAAAACCTTGGGAGATTCCGCATATCTCTTTCCAGACCGTTGAATAGTCCGTCCAACGTATGAAATTGTCTTTGCAGCGCATTTAACCACTCTTCCAACGTATAAAGCTGTCCTTGCAACTCGTTCAATCCTCCTTCCATGGTTTCAAAATGTCTTTGCATCCCGGTCAACCCTTCTTCCAACGTTTCAAAATGTCCTTGCAACCCGTCCAACCCTCCTTCCAACGTTTCAAAACGTCCTTGCAACCTGGTCAACCCTCCTTCCAACGTTTCAAAACGTTCTAGCAACGCGGTCAACCGTCTCTCCAACGGGTTATTACCATGATGCATTCTCATGGTTTCGAGTGCAGTGTCGATAGTATTCATGTTCCGGATGACCTGTTCGACCTATTTCGTTTTGATTATCGTTTCCCGAGGTATAAAAAATTTTAAATAGTAGAATAATGGAACTTGTGAGTATCACTGCTTCTTTTGTTTCTCTCACGTCATTCACTCGCGCTAAATCGTGTCTGATATTCTCAAAGTAAACCAGGAATATGTAATTGTCGCAATTTTTTCATGAAGGAGAAAACTTACCTGTTCTCTCAAAGCTTCAAGCTCTACTGCATTATCGGTGTCATGTGCGCCTGGTGCTGATGCGGGTGGTTGCATTATCAGTTGAGCGGCATGAATGGAAAGGTTGACGAAGGCAGAAAACCAAACAGTAAGAAAAATAAAGGTAACAAGGACGAGCACTGAAAGGTAAGTGAGCTCCTTCAACGGTAGCTGTACAGTGACGTTCACTGCAACCAACTCTTGCTTCTCGAGTAAAATGGGGTTTTCGAAAAAAGTGGGATCTTTCAGTGGATTGTGGTCTTTGAATGGATTGTACATTTCGCATGAATTGTAAGACATTATTTGTAATAATGAACTTAACGGGATAGTTTTTGGTTTTGTTGAACACAGTATATTTATACAGCTTTGTAACACTGATCATAAACAGCCAGAAATGACAAAGGCGTTCTTTGTCACCAAGAAGCACATGTATGCTCATCGTTGTTGCTAGACAATACCCGAATGAAGCCATCATCGTCATATTTTACTATGAGTGAATCCACTCTTTGTTTCCCTGCGCCATGACGAATCATTAGCACACTACTTACATGTTTACTTCTGGGCTACCGACATCATCGCATTGTCACTCTCTTTTGGGGTGATATACATAGTAGATTATAGAATCTTTAAAATACTAGCATATCTTGCTCAGGAAGAAACAGCACAATGATACTTTTTAGGTTGGCAATTAAAAGTCGAGGAGATCGGCTTCCTAGTGATATGTCCGCTTTACTTACAACGTGCATGGGTGCTAACCAGTGGCTGTTATACCACATCTCCTGCAGCGTTCATGGAACAGTCAACTTACCATCGCGTGAGGGGAGCAGCTTTAGCTGAAACGCGGGTTGTAGAGTTCATGCCGTTGCTTCCTGGAAAAGAAAGCCCGCCGATACTTACTCTGTTTAAATTTGCGACATATCGTCTTTAAACAATGGCAAAAATTGTTGCTAGTGTCAATGGCACACAATGAGTATGAAGTGGTCAAATTTATTGGATCCCCCAAAGATAGCAGCAGCACTTTGCAGGCTTAAAGAACATTCTGCTGCAACATTTGTGCTCCCACCTCCCACAGTGAGTGTGATTCCACGCAGCATAGCTCCACGCAGACAATTCCTAGTTAGTAACGCATACTGCAGGTGTGTTTTCGTGTTTGCTGCGCTCTTCATTGTACTCTTCAAGTAATATACAGCTCCCTCTTTAGTGAGGCAGTGGTTATGAATATCACAGTTTTCTTATATATTGAACTGTTGCCACTTGCGTCGTGGGTGGTATGTATCTTGACCGGAAGACTCACCGACCTTTAACTTGGCGCTGCAATATGAGTTTGATAATGTGTATCAAACCTCTATAGAAATCAACGCAGCAGCAAAATAATATAAAAGACGGTAAGGCCGAATGCTATCAGTATATGGTGGCAATCAACATAGCTCCCTTTGTTTATCCGATATTATGCATGACTTGTTTGAACGCATGGTCGTTCCCCGAAAAGCTGTCAAAGCGGGGATTTTACCCAAGGTGATTGGTCGATTGAACTGCTTACAAAGACTTTCCTCAATCGGAAAAACTCTCATATAAATAATGCGGGGGGGGAAGGGACACGCAGAGCCACGTAAGCAATTTCACTCCGTCCCGTCCGACCCGCGAGTATATATAAAACCGCAAGTATCAAAAAGCACAAAACGGAAGAAGTTTAACCTGTGTTTACTTTTTCATTTTTAAGAACAAAAAAACAAATGGTCGACTGGGAAAAGAAATGGCAAGATAAGGAAACGTTTTGGGACGCCGGCGAATCCAGTCCAGCTTTGGTCAAACTGTTAAAGGAGCATTCAGACTTGATTCCTGCCAAAGGTCGAGGTTTGGTGCCCGGTTGTGGAAGTGGTTATGATGTCGTACTCTTTGCCACCGAGGACCGACACATGACCGGTCTTGATATGAGCACCACTTGCATTGATTTGGTTAAAAAGGTTAGAAAGAATAACGATGCTGCCCCCATACGTAGAAACTCTCCTTTTTTTTTCTAATCAGAAAAATATTATCAGAAACGTGGCACCGGTGATGGAAAATACGATTTCATCTGCGATGATTTTTACAAGTTCAAAGTACCAGAAGGTGGCTACGACTTGGTATACGATTATACGTAAGTTTTACTACGACTGCTGTGCTACCAAGCCTATAGATCATTTGGCTGATATATCCCTTCATTTTGATTCCCCTTCAAGCTTCCTTTGTGCTATGCCACCTACTATGCGTCCCGATTGGGCTGCACGTATGGCTGAGATCATCAAGCCTGGCGGTGTGCTCGTTGCATTAATATTTCCACTCAGTGACAAAGGCACTCCAGGAAAACCTCCTCACACCGTCTCCGTTCCACTGTTTTATGAACTTCTTGGTGAAAACTTTGAAAACATCTTTTTGGAGGATGCCGAAGGCCATAAGGATCGTATTGGTGACGAGAAAATGAGCGTTTGGAGACGCAAGTAAAAATAATTACACACACAATGACGACTCAAATGTTGTTATTACCCTTCTTCTAAACCAGCATGATGTAAATAAACCCTTGATTCTGCGAATAGATACCGAAATGCGATTTTCTGGTGTAGTGAATAGGGCGGGACTATGTAAAAGGTATCAATTCTTGCCATGGGTTGTTTTAGACTTCTTGCCTCTCCTTCACAATTCAAATAGCTTGGCTCGTTGATTGTTTAATGGCAAGCGCTTTTGCCAAACAAGTGTCTTGTGATATGTACTGGCTCAGTGTAGTTAAATACATGCACGGCGACCAAGGTCGAAATGATTGGAAATACAAAAGGGCCGGGTCCTCACCACTCTCATGTTACGCGATCTACAGACCATGAACTATTCGCATTAAATAAACGCCATTTTCCCCGATTAGATGGGAGTGAGAAGCTTCCTTCAGATGCTGTATAAGTATTCTCTGTCTTGCATCTTCACTATTGAAGTAGCAGCACTGGGTGACATCATCAAGCAAGCACCACATGATGTTGAGCAAGTGTCTGTGTATGTACCAATGCTAAAATGGTACTGTATAGGATGTATCTTTATTGTGAACGTGTCTGTGTATTGTATGTATTTCTAGACCCAACCCAGCAAATTAATTATGTCGTATGATTAAATTTCTTTGACACTTTCCCTGATCTCATTATTTTTATGCGTGGCATGATTTTTTTATTTTCTAACCTGGAGAAAGAATTGGGGGATTAGGTTTCGGTCACAGGGGGTGGCCCACTCATCATGATCATACAGTAGTCATCGGTATAGCCATCCGGTGGTCGGTACGACACACAGGCCACTCCCTCATTCCCCAACTGCTCGGTGCGTGTCTGTGTTTTAACGTTACACCTCCAAAAAGAAAGAAAGAACAAACACTTATAGATGCGTGTGTTGTTTATTGCAAGTAATTGGTATGTGTACTATATAAAAACACCAAGAGTGGGGAAAGTCGTATTTGGAGGAGATTTTGAATATAAATTATACTCAAAAAGAAGTAAAGAAAAGTGATTTTGTATTAGAGTAAAGAATAATAGAAAATTGTCCGAGAGAATTAAGATTAAGAGGGGAAATATCGAAACTGATCAAGTGGATAGATGGGTGGACGGGATGGATGGACGGGAGACAGAGAGAGAGAGAGAGGAAAAGGGAATACATAAAACAAAAGAAAAAACATTAAAAGTGAACAGGGTTTTTTTTATAATAAACATGGGAAGCAAAAGAAAGAAAGAAAGAATAAAGGCTGCCGTTTTATTGAGCCTTGGACTTCTTGAGACGCTCATCCTTTTGACGCTTGCGGTACGCAACGTACTTGACGTTGGTGCCAAAGAGATGATCCCACCAACGGAACGACGAGGCATAATTACCGACAAACATCTGGTGGTGATAGTCGTGGTGTTCGGCACCCTATAACATAGGAAACGTTGGATGAGTCTTTTTTCCACATTCTTTTAAGCTCTTGCTCCTCATGAAATTGAATAAAAAGAGTACACTACTTACAGCCCAAAAAGGTACCCAGTTGTGCAAGCTCCAGGGGAAGTCGTAGCCAGAGTGGGCATCGATGGCCTGGAACAAGCGACAGATGATCCACACGAGCATGGTAGCCAAGTGAAGATCCCACTTGGGTTCCAAGTTCAACGCAAGCGTGACGACAGCGTGGTAGATCAAGGGACCGCCCACAGTGCCGAAGCCGAGGATCATTGTTTCGATGGGATGGGCATATTCAGCAGCGATCCCAAAGGGAGCAGAGTAATCGTGGTGGATCTTGTGGACCTTTTTATAGAACGGAGGCCAGTGCATGAAACGATGCATATGGTAGTGATAAAAGTCTTCAAAGATGAAAAAGAGGGCAATCTCAACAACCATTTGTTGCCTATAACGGAGGGGTTTGTGTGTGTGTGTGTTTTAGTTATACGTCGTCGTCGTCGTCTTCGTCGTTGTCGTTGCCGCCAGTTAGCACTTACCATGCAGGGAATGGCGCAGATACGCGCATACCGAGGAACGTGGCCATGGGATGGAAGAAAAAGATGAGTGGACCCTCAAACAAGAAATGAGACTTTAACACCTTCATGGTACATTTCCAGTAATCGTCGTTCGTGTTTGACTTGTTCTAAAAATTATTGTATAAGGTTTTTTCCCTCTTCTTTTTTAGCACAACACACGAACGAAAAAGGTAGAAAAAAAGAAAAAACACAGAAACTTACAGGCTGCAGTTTGTATTTTTGGAAATAAGGAATAAAGTCGCAAATGAGGAACGGGATGAAACGTCCAAAGTAGACAATCTCGTGCAACAGGAACGCAAAGATACCAGTGACGATCAGGGGATTGCGGCCTTCGTACATGCCTTCCCACAAGGTTTCAACGTAATTGAGCTGATAAGGTACGTTGTCATTGGCGACAGTTGCTGCAGTTGCTGTTGCGTTAAGTGCTTCCATTGTTATTATATTGGTTGTCCTGGGTTTCTTTTTTCTTTTCTCTCCTCAATGGAACTTCTTCCCCCGGGAATGAAAGAAAGAAGAAGCTGGAGATGAAGTTGGGAAGGAAAAAGAAACAGAAAAAGGAGGGTTGTGTTTCCGCGACAGCCCGTTTAAAATATTTTCGGTTTGAAGGTACGGTTGTACAGACAGGCCCGGCACGCCTCACAGCAACTGGACCACATTCTTCTTTTTAGTGTACCTCACACCATCCGTATAATAATCATACGCCGATATCTGATTTTCAATTGTCAGTAGTGAGCCAATCAGAAGCCTAGAAGGAGATACACTTACTTCCTTCTCGGAAACCCTTTGGGAAAGCCTGTCGTTAACCAGGCCGGGTTGATTGAAAGTAACAGGAAGAGAAAGAGTGAGATAATAACTACAATGAAATAGAGAGAGGGAAAAACGTTTGATGGCTTTTTTTGCTCTTTTTTTTATATGTGCTTTCTTATGTTTTTTTTTCTGTGGCTTTTTCGTGCATTTTTTTTTGATCTGATAATCATGATGTATATGCAATGAGTGGATGGTAGATACGTATACAGGGTATTCATAGCGTAAAATAAAAATTGTTCTTTCACCAACGTCCTCGTCATCATGCTGATGTATGTTGTTATGTCCTTGGCACCTTCTAATTACCACTGTTTTCTTATTCTTCATCATCTGCTAGATCCTCCCCATCGCCGTGTTCCTCTTCGCTGTGCTCCTCTACATCCTCCTCCCGTGTTTCTATTAAATACATGGCTTGCATCAATCTTTCCAACTGTTTATCCTGCTCTTGATACTGGTCTAAAAAGGTCCTCCTCTTGTATACCATCTATTCTCAATGAGAATTATGTACTCACAAACTTTATACGCAAGGAAGCACTAAAAAAAAGTAAACCAAAATACCAATAGCCGATCCGACGACCACCAATTTTCTGCTCAGCAAGCGCCAAATGATTTCGTCTAGCAGGTACAATTACGTATCGAGTTATCAATTTCGTTCTACTAATAAAACATATATCGTTGAATTGATCATCACCTATGGTGTCTAAGGCGAGTAAATAGACGACTTCAATTGGGTTAATTCGTCCTAATCTCTTACATATTTTAATAAACGAAACATGTCAGTAGTTCGTTCTGTGTAATCCTCGATACGGTAACTTTTTCACAGGAATGCAAAGAGGTAATGATCTTATCTACTTCTGTTTTACATATATGTGCTCTGTCTTCGGCTTGTAGATGTTGGGATGGATTCCGATATAATCCAGCGAACACAACTATCATCCATCAAGGTAAGATAAAAGAGACAGCACGCAACTCTCTTTCAGGTCTCAAGATACGGCAACGTTCTTCAGGTGGCGATGTCGGTATTAACGTCACAGCGTCGCTGCATACTGACATAGGCAGCTGGAGGATGTTGTAAGTTGCCTCTTGAGCAGACACCTCACTGGTGTTGTAATACGCGTTTGAAAGTGAGCGTAAAAACGCGACCACTATATAGTATGCGTCTATATTTAGTATAGTAGTATAGTATACCTGTGTCCGCCGCTGTCAAAGTTAAGCCTACATCAATAAGAAGGCTCCATGATCATTATACGAACTGTGGATTCTTGGGCTTGAAAACTGTTGCATAGTCGCTGTCTATCGCTTGGTTTAGTGCTTCCATCAAAATGCGAATGTAATCGATCTGTTATATACCCAATATGTCAAAATAACACTGTCAGCCAAGCTACGAGCCTTAGCAAGGATTAGAAAAACGAAATAGGATTTAAACATACGTCATTTCCCGCAACATTTTCTTCAATAGCATCCAAGACTATTTTATGGTGTGCGAAAATAATGATCTTCGAATTTGACCGTGCAACCACATTGTCAATATAGCGAACCAATCTTGGGATTTTTGCCAAAGCAGTGGTCCGATGCTATTTTTGAAATTTTGTATGTCTTATTAGCAGCCTTGATACCAATGAAATTTACATATGTGGATAGACTGGTGTATGCGATAAGGATGACTTACATATGCAATTAAACTTGTCTTATTGTGAATGACAGGTACTTCTGCGACAACCGGATCTAGAGTGTTTGTTTGTCGGATTTTCATTGGAAGTTCAACTCCAACATCTTGCTTTCTCCGGCGAATTGGCACCGTGTTCTGTAGTAGAAAGTTGAGCTCAATTAGATTAGCGGCATCAAAGCGTGGGCAGGCTGCCCATCCGTGTGACTCCCTTTCAACTTTTCTGCCGGCAGCTTTTTATCAGTTGCCCGAATGAATCTTGCGGCAATTACTCAATTCCGTATGTCCGGGGCTGACATGATCCGTCGTGCTTTGGCACCCTTTGGATAACGACGAGACAGGCAATACAACCAATCCGCAATCCTGGACCACCCTGAAGGGTAAACGAGCGTAATTCTTCTCAAGTGCGGATATTCCATGTCAACGCCTTGGTCGCTACTACTAGCCAGTCAAAAGCGCATTTGCACCGGTCAGTTTCAACTCGGGATAATCGCGGACAGTAGTGCGAATGGATGACATCCAAATCCGTAGCGCGCAGTGTTGACAATACGCCAATGAGGGATAAGGAGCGTAAATTAGGCGTGGTGACACAAGGTTTGATGAAGGAAACTCGACCTTATAGGAAGGCCAGTTGGCGATATCATCAGTTGCGGTTACTCCAAAAAGCAACAGAGCATTAAACGTTGGAGCTGTGTCGTTGCGTGGATTGACTTCAACAAGGGTATGCACGAGTGAGAAGAGTAGTGTGGATCGATGTTGTTTTTTCAAAAGACGCGAAGATATGCTACGGCCAGTGGAAATACAGGGAAGCCAAAGTTTATTTATTGCATCATCGGTCAAGACGCCTTCGTCGATAGACAGTTCGCGAACGGCTGGACCCAACAACTGCGGTGACAGTCGAGCACTGTTATAGGCATCGGTTTGAAGCTGTCTTACAATCAACAAAGTGTATAATGTAGGCACAAAGTTTTGGTACCACTCTTTGCAGACGAAGACACAAGCATGAATGTCGCTGAGACCGAGGTGAGCTGCAACCAGAGTATAGATTTCAGGAGGAAGGGACACGCTCGGTCCGCTCGGGCAAAGCGGTTGCATTTGGACTGCTTTTTCTTTTTTTGGATCGCGGTGCTCATATTTTTTTGAAAGGGCAACGACCCAACAGAAAAAAAAAACATTAAACTGGGCCAAATACCACATTGAAACCACCCAATGCATCGCTTCATTCAACCACGACGACTCTATTCAACCGCACGTAGTTTTGCACCAGGTTTTGAACCACCTGTAGGCAGCCGAGAAACGCCCAAAATAGTACCAAAACGACGCAATCCCGCCAGTTCATTACCGTCTCACTTGGGCAATGCCAAAAAAAACACCACCACAACTGTCACCACTAGCCCCAAGAAACACCATCGCGAACAATTACGTCAGGCACGTCACGAATACGCACAAGAACTCTTGACAAAGCATGGCAAACGTGAAGCAACAGCCGCAACAAAACGTGCTGAAAATGAAGAGCGAATGCAACAAGAGAAACAAGCATTGGCAGCAGAACGACAACACGCTTTAGAACGCGAGGCACAATTGGTCAACTTGTTGAACTTGGATTTGGCAAGCAACAGCACCACAGCCACCCGGGATTCATCAAACCGTCAAGCTGTGCGTGACCAGAACCGTGTGGCCCATCAAGAATTGTTGCGCGAACAACGTCGTAAAGAATTGTTGAAATTGTATAGCTCGGCCGAAAGTTTTGTCACGTTGGAGAATTTGGATGCCAAGATCGAGGCTGCGTTGTCTACGAAGCCTCATCCATCATACCATACGAGCTTGGAGGAATATATCTTGACCTCGACGTCAGAATCGTCCGAGGTGGAGAGAAGAAAGGAGGTCATCAAGGAAGCCATGGGATTGTAAAGTTATTGTGGTGGTTCCTGGTTTTTCTTTCTTTCTTTTATATATATATATATATATAAATATGTATCATTTCTATTGTTTGTTTGTTTTTTGTTTTAATATGAAACGCTTTTTAAAATATAAAAAAAAGAGTAGGGAAGGGGGAATGCATATACAAAGAACAAAAAGTTGGAATGTGGTTTAATATATGTAGAGAGTGATGTGGAAGCGAGTCATGTATAGATGTCTCTTGCAGATTAGATGAATTGAGCGCATAGAGGGTTGTCCTTTTGATGCCAGAATGCCATGGCTCGCATAACACCAATATAATGCGATGTCACTGCAATAAGTACACAGACATGAAAAATTTGATGGGACGCAAACTAGAATGTAGAATTTTAGTATCCATCCTCGCCATGTCATTACCCCCTCCCCGGGAGTCATCAAAACAACTTACCCAGATATTAAATGATCCAGGATACCAGCGCTCAGGAATGCGACACCCATAGATCAATGCACCACCAACATAGGCTACGGCCATCAGGACCAGGTTCCACAAAGAAATCGTATCCGCAGAATTACCAAACTGGCAGTAACATGGTTTTGTAAGTTGTCACAGAACTTTTTCTTTTTCTTACTGACTCTATACTTACTCCATAAATGATGACGCCATGCAGAGTAGGTACAATTCCGAATAAGCCTAGTGCCAAGAAAAGACCAGTGCGCATCCATCGATAAGCTGGTGTTCGGAAATGTTTCAAGAGCGCTACGGCTGCAGTCAATGAGCCGAGAATCGTAATGATGACTAGGTAAATGACTGATAATGGGAAATATAGAGGGACATTAATACTTGTTCAAAACTAGTCCGCCTCTCTACGAGGTAGTGGTATACATCTTATTACTTTGTAAGGTCGGATGGCAATGAAAGCCATAATAAAGGAGCGGATAAAACGAGCCACTATACAACAATTGGATGGCGTCATTAGAATGACCGGTGCAGCATATCGATGTCAAGAGGGGGAGGGGTGAAAAAAGCTTACACAGTAAGGGTGACAATGCCTGCATAATCACAACGGTTCCACTGGGCAGCGACGGGTTCTGAATGACACGAAAAGCAATGGAAACTGCTACTGAAGCCCAAACACACCATGGCGCCGGCGATGAAACAGAAAAAGTAAATGTAATCAGCTGCTGTGAGACTGTCTGCAAAAGGCTGTTGCCAGACGAAATGAATGGCGAGGCCGAGAAAGAGAATAAATCCCAATAAATGGCTCCAGATATTCACTAAGAAAAAAAAAAAAAAAGATGAGTTTCTCTCTGTCCTGGTAGGCCGCGAATTGTTATTTTGCCCAGATTGAACAACAAGATGATGCACGGACCACTTTCATTATGAAGATAAAACAGACTCTGGATGCATTTTGTATAGCTTCCTGTAGGCCTGCGATAACCGGCGGTAATATAGATATTGTCCTGCATCCATTGCGGTAGTTCTGACCATGATACTGTTTTTGTTTGAGTCCTCGGATTCGGTTTACCCAACAAGTTGGTACGATCGTCGTCGTCATCATTATTATTGTCACGGCAGAAATCGCGTGAATCGCTCATTCGATAAGAGGAAGAAGAATCTTCAAGATCGTCGTCGTCGCTATTGGAACGCGTCGTTTGCATAGATCGTTTACTTTCGTCGTCGTCGTCGTCGTTGTCTTCCGGCCTTTGCTGTTGTTTCTGTCGTTGTCTTGGCGTAGTATAAGTTACCATGCCCCACAAATGTTTCTTTCGTGTTTCTATTTGCAACCCACCAAAAAAATTGAACAAGGTGGAGTGGGCTTTATATAAATGCTGGCCAAAAAAAAAAAAATAGAAAAAAGGCCAACAAGGGGGGTTTTGGGTGTTTTTCTGACACTAATAAACGCGCTCGTTTCACTGGGATAACCGCTGTCTTTGTCTCCGGTCAATCCCAAATTACCCACTTTGGGATAATTTCAAAAAGGTGGTGATTCCGACTCCCCAACGAGTGGGCTTTTACACTTTTCACGTGGAAATTTGGGGAAATTTGACAGTTATATAAATCCATTCATGAAAAAAGAGCATGAAAAACGATCATTTTGTAAGATGATTTGTGTACTGTACGGCAATTTCTTAAGCTTTAAAAGATATTGGAAACATGCTGACCGTACACGACCACGTACTTGTTTTAATCGAGTTCACTAAATGTATATCATTAACACGTTTTAGGCGATTGAATCGTCCTTTAACAGAAAAAAAAGTTATTTTGTTAGGCGTTGTGCGGGCTCATCTTCATGGGCTCCAAAGCTGGCACACCTATATAGGATACAGTGATTATACACCAGCAATTCCAAAGTATATCGTTGCTTTCTTTCTATATTCTGGAAATGGTAATCTCAAACTGTGGGGGATACCTCACTCATAACGTGCTTTGTCGAGATTGACGTGTTGGTGTGGCAACAGACAAGAAAAACGATAGTGCCCACTCAATGATAGGCAAAGGGAGACGTACTATGTAGGACTTGGCATGTAATATGAGATATCTCTCTCTTTATGCCCGATTCCTGGGCTAGTCGATGGAAAGAAGCATATTCACTTTCTGTTGTTTAACCAAATGGTATTGCTAGTGTGGTGGTGGTGGTGGTGGTGGTGGTGGAGGTGGTGGACGAGTACAGAAAGCTCTCAAGTAAGATTGTTCCCCGGCTGCCTCATGATAGATGAAAGCCTATCGATTCGTCGCTTTTTCTTTTTTGGGTTTAGCCTTTAAAATGCGTAAGGAGGAGCAGAGTTGACACGAATATGTTACACAGTCGTACTTGCAAAGTAGGACTCAAAAGGTACCTCGTCCTTGTCAATCACTTGTTATCGACACAAGGAACAATTACAAGAACGTGACGCAAGTTGTTGTGTGGTATCTCATCATGTGGTTTAGGAAGTTTGACGACAAGCAATCATCATCCATTGGGTATTTTGACAGCAGCAGATGCGATACTTGAGATAACAGTCAATCCAAATTCTAGAGACAGGTGGTGGGCCACAATTCGTGTGCAACTCCTGGTCGTATATAAGTTCCTATCCGCGATAGAAAGTGGTGGCACCCCCAGACAAAAGCCATCGTCGACTGCTTTTATCTTGGCATTTACAATAGAATGGGCTGACAAAGTAGAGGACGGTACCCGAGCGCAATTCAAAAAGGCTGCTACTACAACAACAACACCCCGGGCGCTGTCATGAAATGTTGTTGTTCGGCTGAAGGGTGGCGCCCGGTTACATGTCTGTTTGCTTGTATCATCGATTATACAACAACAACAACAGATTAACCATCAAGGTGGTATTTTCTCGCGTATTCCATCCGTCCTGGCTGCAAGCTTATGTCTTTGACATCATGGGCCCCACGCACTCACACACACTCACTCTCACTCTCACTCACAAAGACTCACAGTGCACGGGAGATCATCGTAACATCATGAAACGCACAAGTAAAATGAATCTTTTGACGACAATGACGAGTAGGTGCTGTCATGCCAAGCATCCTTCATGTTCGGGGGCCAAGTTCTTTAAGGGAAAAACAAGGTCCCTCATTCTCCCTTTTTTTTTACAGAGGAAAGTGCAGGTGTCGTTTTTCCATTTTGACACGGCTGGTCTGTGTGGATGACGGGGTTGTTTCTCCATTTAGCTTTATAAATAACAGCGTTGTAGACACGACTGCGGTCAGAAAAAAAAAAAAAGAGGTTGTAGCATGATGGGATGGTGTGAGTGAAGAAACAACAACAACAACAACAACAATGCAGTCCGGGCTGGTCCCTTTCCGAATGATCACACCAGCAACAACAACAACAAAACAACATAGAAGCACAGCAATCAAAACCCACCCTCCTCCTAAATTTCATGCTCCTTACTTGAAGGGGCGCAGCTTTTCTCTTTCTCTCTCTCTCTCTCGCCGCCTCATGTATTTATTTCGCACTAAATTATATTTTTTTTTTTTGACAGGCGTAAAGTTGTCAAATTATGAAATCCCCCTTTTTTACCAACTTATCATAAAAAGGCTGTCCCCCCTGCATGTGACATTCCCCCCCCACCCAATCCGTTGAACAAGTCAAGGTATGAGATAGACCGAGCAGTGTGTGTGTGTGTGTGCTTTAATAGAGTGTGCCTTGAGTGGGGGAATAATGTATATGTACCAGAACAACAAAGAAGGTAAAAAAGAAAGAAAGAGAGAGCCAGCAGTAGGGTTGCTTGTGTGTGGTGGGGTGGGGGGTGGAAATATTACAACAAGATTTTTGAAAGATATACAGAAGAAGAAATAGATCATACACACGGAAGAAGAAGAAGAAGAAAGGGGGGTTGGGGTTATTTTGACCGTAGTCTATATAAGATATGACAGATATGTGTGTGTATATATATATAAAGATGAAGATAGAGAGAGAGAGAGAATGTATATACGTTATGATATCGAAGGGTGCAAGTGGGGAAAAAAAACGTACGCAAAAGAGAAAGGGTTTTGTCGCCGGGTAAAGAAGAAGAAGAAGAAGACTAACTCGTAGTACTGGTAGTCCGGCTTGCACGTCTAGTAGTAGTAGTGGTAGTATTATTATTGTATGAGGAAGAAGCAGCGAACCCGTCATAATCCTGATGATGATGATGGTGGTGTTGATGATGATGGTCTTCATAGTCTTCATCATCATGGTCGTCCGGCAGCACTTCATCCGCCAGCATGGGCCTCAGAATCCGCCGTCTTGCATTGATAAACCAGTTGGAAATCTGATTCCGTGCCAAACCGGTTTTCTTGACAAGCGCAATCTTTTCGTCTTCGTTCGGATAAGGATGCTCCTTGTGTTCCGTCAACCAAGTCTTTAGGATGGCCGTGACAGGCTTCGGCAAGTTGCTGCGTTGTCGCTTCTTCACAACCTGTGCTGTTGTTGTTGTTGTTGTTGTTGTCTGCTTGATTTGAATGCCGTGACTACTTGAGTTGTTGTTGCTGCTGCTGCGCTTTTGAGGGTGATGGTGGTGATTAGGGCTGTGGTGATTGTGATGCAGGTTCAATTGTCCAGTTTGTATAACCGGCGCAGCCTTCTTGGCTCGTTTTTGTCGTGCAACGTGCATCGTGGGTGGGTGGCTGCGTCGTTGATAGGGTCGTCGCTCAGCAGCAGCAGCAGCAGCCAAAGTTGATGTAGTATTGGTGGTAGCTGTGGACGAGGAAGGTTGTTGTTGTTGTTGTTGTTGTTGCGGTGGTGGTGAGGATGAGGATGAGGACGAGGTAGACGAGGACGGAACGATACGGTTCCATTCGGCAGGAGGTTCGCGTGGCGTAAGGGATGCGGGCGACGATGATGAAACGAGTGATGGAACGGGGGAAAGCGGTTTGTCGGCTGTTGCATCGGCTAATGACAATTCACCCCAAGGGGAAAATGGTGGTTAGTCTTCTTTCTTTTTTCCTTTTCCTTTCTTTCCTTTCTTTCATAATCCAAGTTGTTCAAATGTGCGTCTGTGTGTGAGCGAGAAGAACAACTGGGGTGCACAGACTCGGGGAAAAGGGGGTTCTGTTTCTTTTTTGGGGGGGTTGAAAGGGCGCGGTGATGTGTGAGTGAGTGAGTGTGTGTGTGTTGTGTGTGCAAGTACAAGAGGGAGAGAGAGAGAGAGAGAAGGAGAGAGGCAGTGGTATTACAAGAAGGGTAAAGGGTATGTGCGCCAACAACAATAAAATAATGATTCGCATTACAGTGTCTGTCATCTTTACCTTTGGAACATGCCACCATGACATCAGCCCAGAACCGGCCATTGTCTTCTAGCATCTGATGGATCCGTTTCTTCGACGACTCTATCGACGGGACATAGTGTGGATCCCTGTACGGGATATGTACGTGTTCAAGGTCGCCTGACCCGTCCCGAACGAATCTGTGGTCATGGAAGAGTATGACAGGGCTGAATACCCGCCGCTGCTATTTCATAAACGATGGTGTGTGAGTATGTGCGAGGTATCTTAAAGAGAGAGAGAGAGAGAAACACAAGTATACAAGTGGAAAGGGGAACGGCATGTCAAAAAATAGTACAGAGTGGGGGGCATTTTTTACCTTGTTATCGGTTGATGGCAGGACACAGTTTGACATTATTGATTTTGGCAGAATTTTAAAATGGAGAAAGAAAGAGGAGTGGGGTGGGTGGTGTGTTTTTTATTGGAGATGGCAGTAGTTGCAAAAAAAAAAACTGTGGTGCCCGTCTTTTTTTTTTTTACAAGACTTTCGCAAGTTGGTAGTAGTAGCAGTAGTAGTGTTTAAACCAAAATAAAAAAAAAAAAAAGAGAGAAGGAAGGAAAGAAAGAAAGGGAGCAACTTGTTCGAGCGGGGGAAAAAATGGCGGTGTGTGCCACGAGTTGACGAAATGAGTTGTGTGTGTACCACCTGCACTACTACTACTATGTATACACGTCTGGGCGTCTGGGAAAAATAATAGAAAAAGATGTCAATTTTCCAATTGGGCCTGTGACGTTATATTTTCTACTACTACTACTACTACTGCCACTGTCTCTAACAACAACCCATCTTTTTGTTTTAATAAAGAGAGTCAAGTGATGCCCAACTGCTACGATTACTACTAAAAAGAAGAAGGGTACCTTTTGTTCAAAATTGTCTGTCGCTGTGAAAATCAAAAATGGTTTATCCGCTATCTTTACACTATCTCTCTTTGGATGATTGTGGATGCAACGTATCAACTGTCTTTTTAAGCCATCATCCCACCCCAAGAAAAGAAGGTTATTATTGTTCTTTCGTAAGGGGGTCTCGCTCGCTCAATGATCCAGAATCCCAAAGGGATCATGGGATTGTTTCAGCAGCAGCATTTATTACGTCAATCCTATCATGCTGGGACGGGACTTGTATTTTCTACGTGTGAAATCATAATCTGTCAAACCCGCTTTCTTTTTTGTAATTTTGGTTCGCCGATGCAATTGTTGGTTTTTTGGTGTGATTGCCGTGGACGAGGGTTTTACTCAACAATGAATGATTTAGTGTTGTTAGAGAGTTGCCGGGAAATATTATTGCTGTTGTGTCCGTTGTTGTCAAGGGAAAGCACATGAATGCTCCTTTTTTTGCTCCCTTGTGTATGTGTGTGTGTGTGTGTGTGTAAGTGACACAAGAAACCTCGTCATCATCATCGCTATTACCAGCACCGCCAGCCCAATATTTCACTCTCAAAAAGCATAATAGGACTTGATCGCAATCCTATCGATACAGTCATTGTTTGTTTTTCACATGCCCCAATCAATAACAATGGCTCAGTAATGGGCTATGGGCTAACCGCCTTGGGCGTATAATTAATATATTGCTGCTGTTGTTGTTGTTGTTTGTTGCATATCATCAAGCTCGTCGTGAGAATATATAAAGACAAGCACCAGCCATTGAAAGCAAGAATTTTTATTTTACTATTTAAACTAAAGACAATCGATCATTAACGGCATTTGAACAACAACAACAACAACAACAACAGTGTCGCGTGTACTGTCTGTGTATTATAAGTGGCAGCAGGTATCGTCAAACGCTGAGCGAAAGAAGAGCTTATCGTTTGTGATAACTATACAAATGCAAACCATACACAATGACAGGAAACGACCTTCAGCTCTGTTGATTTTTTGGTGTCAATAACACACTTTGTGTGAGACAGGCCTTGTGCTACTGGAAAGAGACAGCTGTCTTACTACTAGACAAGTGCAATACTGAGTATATATCAATCGAGCTGCCAGTACCGTCATTATCGAGAGTTCTCGTATCATTGGCTTTATCATGTTCTCATTACAATCTGAGTTTATTATGCTTTCAGATACTGTATCTCTCAAAGCCAGGATTTCAATTCACAAGAACAGATGAATGGTCAATAAATAGGAATGCAATAAAGGAGATGTATTTATAGGATGGTGGTCGTCGTGGTTTGTGGGGTAAAATTAAGAATATTTATCGTAGCTCATACTGTTCTCCTCGTGCGTGTTGATGCTTGCCATTATCTCCATCATTTATGAGATCATTGCTGTCTGTGCTGTCTCGATAACTTGACATTGCACCATCCACCAACAACATGGGTGTGCTTTCAGCGACCATGCTATACATGGGTTCCCGAGGATGATGATGATGACGACGATGTTCACGATCTGAAATTGCCTCTGTATCCAGCGCTCCTTCTAGCTCTTGATCACGGACATCTTTGTGTGCCTGTCGAGTAGCACGACGTAGCTTCAGCCAATTGTATAAGCCAATACCAAATAATGTGATGCATAGACCGATCGTATTGACAATGGTCAAGACGTCGCCAAATACAAGTGTTGAGATGAAGATCGTTGCCACTTCCTAGAATTTCCGTACAACAGTTTCCATCCCATTCGTTAATATAAGGAACTCTCTCTCTCTCTTTCTAAAAAAAGAACAGCCTTCATACCTTAAAGATACCGCAGACACTCAGGGTTACCACGGATGTCCGTTTAATCAAAAAGAATTCCGCCATGATCATACAGAATGCCAAACATCCACCCACAAGAATGATTCCGGTCTATCAACGGCGTACACGCAAGCTTTATAAGTAACACACACACACACACACAAAGGTAGACAGGTTGTCCAATCACGATACGTACAGTATGAATGCCTTCACCAAAGGTGACAAAGAACGCGCTGCGGAAAATGGTGGGATAGCCTTCGATCGGGGCGGACAGTACAATCAGGATCACGGCTTGTGCGGGTGCCAGAAAGAAGATGGATGCGAAAGGATTACTTAATCCTATGCTTTCTTTGCGAAGGAGTAATTCGGTAAGCGCCCATCGAAGACCACCACAAGCAGAAGCAGTCATGACGCAGATGAAGCTGTTTAAATTAAAGATATAAATATTTAAAGAGTTCTCTTTTTCCTTTGTTAGCCCCCAAATGATTTTGGCATGAATCTTTTTTTACCCGACTAATTCAAATTCAGTTTCATCTGACACCATGAGGATGACACCGGTAATAATGATAAGAATAATGCAGATGAGTTTCAAGCTAGGCTTTTCGAGACGAAAGAGAAATGCAAACAGGAGTACAAAGGCGAGGGTAGATGACTTGCACATTGCTGTTTTTTGTAAAGTGGAAAACATCCTGTAAGTCAACTTTAAATTTCCCCCCCCCCCCAAATTGTCGCAAGAGAGAACTACACAAAAAGAAAAACTACTCACTGTAGAATGACAGAGTGATGGTTTTGAGGGAAAGGTTTGACAGGCCAATGTCAAGGCTGGTTGCCAATGCACATGGAAGCACCTTGAATCTAATTTCACAATAGAGGCGGGAACTTGTTACAATGCATCCATCATCTTCTTTCAAGCATAAACCGGGTTGTTTAAAGCGAGGGTGACGACCCCATTTTGTTTTGTTTTTTTTTTCTCCTTACATATATTCTCGGACCGTGGGTCTTTTGGTGGGCCGTAACCTAGGCACCAAGAGGATCGATAATCCTGAAAAAATGAATTGGACGACCATGTGAATGCTGGAAACAAAGAGGGGAAACTGGAAATTGTAATGTTCTGCTGAGAACATCCATTTGTTATATACAGAGAGAAACGTCGCAAACTACGAAATACCATCCCCATCATCAGTTGTCTGCTATCGCGATTCACCCGGTTATTGTGTTGTGTAATAATAATAAGAAGAAGAACAAACAAGACCCCTTACCAGGTACCTATGGTAGTATTACATTGATATATAGATTCTTTTAGCCGTGGCAAACGAAAAAGAGAGAGAGGAGGAGGAGGGGTAAACCCCCCAACGTTCAACAGCAACAACGGAAAAGATCGTTACCATGTCAATATCCACAGTACATTGATTCCCGACGTCTTTAATAAAGCAATGCTTTGTGGACTGAGTCGTTTGCGAATCGAACCACCGTCGCTTGTTCGTGTCGGTTGTTCTTGTTGTAACAACCGTTCCGAAGGTTGTGATAAGCGACCGTCGTCGTCGTCGTCGTCGTCGTCATCTTGAAACGTATATGCATCGCTTTCTACCGGTGAATGGGCCGGTCCTGTAGGGTCTGTCTTGCTACTGGGGCGATGCTCCATCGCACTATCGTGTGTTGCTGTCGCGTCATCCAATGATGCTGCTGCTGCATGTACCATACAGAATGTGTGGAAAAACTGGGTAAAAAAAAAAAAAAAAAGTTTCCTGAAATGCCCTGAATGAATTTTTTCAAAGTCAAATAAACTCTTGTTTCGTACGCCTAAACCAGAACTATTACCCAAAGCTTTATTGTCCCCTTCCTCCTCAACCCGCCACTTTTTCCCTTTTATCCCGTGCAGCAGCATCATTGAATAGAGAGAATTGTTATAAAGTAGCGTCTTGTTTTTATTTGGATTTGGTAAAGAAGACCGTAGAAGTAAGGTTCTCTCGGGTAATACGTGCAAAAAAAAAAAGAGAGTGAGGAGCTCCTCTCCTCCCTTTATGCCTGTTCTTCTTCATACCGTCGCCGTGCCTATGAATAATAAGGAAAAGACCCACAACAAGAATGAATTACAAGCCATGCATGAAGTGATGATATCTACCATTTCTTTGACTCGATCCTTATAGTTGTCTGAACCGTTGTTGGCGGTGGTGGCGATGGTGCTTCGTTTAGCATGAGCAGAGCCCAGGCCAGCGCCTTGGGCATACTGCTCTGCAGCTATTGGATTCACAATACCAGCTGCATCTTTGCCGAGACCTTCACCGCGTCGCCAGCCCATTTGTTGAAGCATGCGTGCACCCACATTGTCGTCTGTGATAGCTTTCTCTATTGAAGCCGATGGTGTTGTTGTTGTTGTTGTTGTTCTGGGATAGCGTAGTAGTTTTTTCGTTTAGGATTCCCTTTGTTTTTTTTTTTTGTCCACTTGCCAATTTTTCTCACTATCCAAAAAAAAACATTGTCTCTCTTTTTTTTGTTCTCTCACTTGTCTACGTGTCGTTGTTGCAACGATCTTGGAGCACGTTTGTGCTGGAACCCATTGGATGGTATCACTGGTTTCTCTGGCTGTCCATAAGCCTGTCTTCGTTCGGCCGCTCGGTTTCGATAATTTTGCTATGCACAGTTGAACGCCACATTCTCTTCCACATTTCTTGACAAATTGATCAAATAGAGTCAAAACTTACTTCAGCTTGTCGCTCGGCTTCTGTTTCCACGTCGCGCATCTTCAACTTTGCTTTCTCCACACAGATCGGATCTTGAAGGTTTTTCTATTATTGTGGGGAGAATTTTCAACGGATTTTCCAGGGAGAGAGGAGAGATTTTCGGTTATTATCATTCTCAAAACACAAAAAAAAAGCCCAAATCGAGATGGAGAGAGACAAAAGAGAGAAGTCTCTTTTTTTTTAAAAAAAAAAAAGCTGAACGGTTCACCATCACCACTGAAGAGCCGTACTTTGTGTAACTGCGATATCTCTTGATGTCGCTGTATATCTTGGCTTGTTTTGAACTTGCGTTGACACAATAAACAGGCCATCATGGTCAAATCGGCAAAGTCGAGTAATGATGATTCAGTTGATCCGTCGCCAGGGGCGTCTCCATCATTATCATTATTCGCTTGTGCTTCTTGAACTTTCAATTCAGCATGTTTTTGATTCCAACGCTGGAGTTGACTATGCATCTACAAGTATATCACCTTTGTCAATGTGCGAACAAAGATAAAAAAGAGAAAAAAAAATTTACTGTTTTACCTTTTTAGAAGCTATAGGAAGAACATCTTTATCGTTTCGTTTCCGTTTTTTTTCAAATTCATCGGATTCAGCTTTTGTTTCGAGTGCTGGTTGTTTGGATGATGCATCACCTGGTTGTTGTGGATGCTGTTGTTGCTTGGGTGGTTCAGTTGCTGCTGCTGCTGCTGGTTGTTGTTGTAGTTGTAGTTCTTTAGGTGGCTGTGGTGCTGGAACGGCATTTTTTTCACTGTTGCTCGAAACTTGTTCAGCCGTTAGTTTTGATTTAATAACGAATTTAAAAGCGCCTTGAGATTTTTGAGGAAGCATTTTTGTAATGTTTTGCGAGAAAAGAGAAAGAAATAATTTCCACTAGGGACGCTTCTCTAGTAGTAACCTTTTTACTCCGAACCATATACCCTTCTCAAAAAAAAAAGACACTGAATGAATGCTGAACAACTTTTAAGCGCGAACGATTTCAACCTCGATCGAGCATTTGTCAATGTTTTGGACGGCCAACAAAAGCAATTGGGATACAATTCGCATATGGTGTCTGATCTGGCATCTTTGGTGCGATGCAGGTACCACCACCACTAAACAGCCCCCTAGAAAAAACGATATCAACACGTGCTTTTTTTAACGCTTTGACATGGTTCAACTGAAATTGTCTAGAATGAAATATCTTGAACGAACAAAGAATCGGTCAAAATCGCACGAGTTGGAATTCCTTACACAAGAACAATATGTTTGGGATCTGCTCGACGTTGTTTCACGGTTTGTTTCTTTATATTTTTCTCTGTGTGTGGGGAGAAGAGATGGGGGGGGGGTGGTTGTCTTTTGGAGGAGTAGACATTGATTTGGATATATGTAGGATACAACCATCCGATCCACCAGCAGCACAATGTTCGGTAAGGACGAATGATACTTTTGAAAAATGATGCTTTTCTTGAGCAAAATTGAAAATATGACACTTTCATGCTTAAAATACTGAAACCACCCTCCCTTTTTTTAAAAAAAAGGAAATTAAAGCGTTTATTGAAACATTACCGAGCTCAGAAGATACATCCAAAGCCGAGGACATGGTAGCCGAAGTCGAAGAAGAAATCCGAGAACTTGTCAAAAAGAATCGACTCTTTGCAAATGCCAGAGCGCCCAAAACGACTGAAGAGTTCGAGAAGCTTAATGAAAGACTGTTACGATCGGTCCGTCGCGGTAATCACAAAGAAGCGATCGAGATATCTGAAAATGAGGATGAGCCATGGCGGACAATGCTATTGACGAAATATCTAGATGATATCAACAAAGCAAAAGGTGACCAGATTTTTTTCCTTTTTCTCTAAAAGAGAGATCCATTTTTTGCTGATATATCAAACAATTAGCTGGGGGTCGGTTGGATTGGTTACCAGATCAGCGTACAGCTTGGCGGAAAACATACAGTGCAATAATGTCGCGAGTAAGTAGACAGAAAAAAAAACATGAACGATCTGATATAAAGAAAGGCAATTAAAGGTGAAATTGAATAGGATGGACTGGGCCAATATGAAGCAGCATTACATGGTATCATTACGGGAGATATTACACATGTAAAAAATTTACCTTTCTTTCTCTCTCTCTCTCCAACATCATCATCTTTACCAGTGCTGTTTTTTATTTGTCATGCTAAGAAAAAGACAAATGAAAATAGGTGCTCCCTGTATGTCGTTCTTGGGAAGACGTCATATGGACTTTTTACAATGCACGAGTACAAGAAGCGATCGAACATCAAATATATGATGATTCAAAGAACCGACAACAACTTTATCTGTTGACTGACGAAATCGTCAACATGGCACGCAATGAAGATGATAGTGAACGGTAAAGGACAAAGGTTTTTTCTATTGTTTCATTCATTCACGTGCTTACAGAGCATTATACTAATGAATATGTATATACCATTAGTGACACCGGTCTTTCGTTTTTTCATAATATCGCTTTGGCGATCTTGACTGGCAACATTTCTCGGTTTATTACAAGTTTGAATATTGCTAAAAGGTTAGTTAGTTAGCAAAGATGAATAAACAGAGAGGAGCAAGAGACGATAAAATGTATATCTCAAGGCGTTACCAGACTCAACCTTAATTTTATCCTTAGTTTCGATCCAAACACACGCGAACATGCATTACGATGCATTGCGGCATTAATAGTGTACTACAACGAACATATGAAAGAGCCTATGACAAAGGAAGCAAACGACATCATTCGACACTATGCAGAGCTTAATGGAAAACCAAATACCCTTCGAGTAAGTAAAAAAAAAAAGAGAAAATAGGGCAATGCTAAAGCAATTCTCTTTTGCTAAACAAAATCGGTCTAAAAAAACACACTGGATAGCCCAAAATCCTTGCGTACTATGCATCGCACCTACCAAAGACGTCCCAGATCGAGCTCGTTTCCGATTTTTTATCCAGTACGTTTTCGCTCGTCGTAACGGCATGAAAGGAAGCAAAGTATATACTTAAGCGAAATCACTATCATTCGTTTTGTATAGATTATAGTTGGGACGAGGATGAGCAATCGATTCTATTTGATATGGGAAGACAATTTGAGTTGGATATTGTGTCGATCGCACGACGGACAGCAGCAAAAGAAATCAACGCTTATTTGGAGGAAGAAGTATGTGCTTTGCGGGGGGCGGGGGGGAGTAGAAGGGCTGCGATGCGGCTGTTTGAATGTTGGACTGTTTTAATTTAACCGTTCAACTAACCGGCTGTGGTGTCTATCCCGAACGTTATCAGAAGACAAGTTCAGCACAACGACCCCGTGCTATTCGCTTTGACGATGACATCTCCGAACGTGCTAAGCGGTGCTTACGCAGCTTTAAATGGCTATTAATGGACGAGGCGCTATACTTTGACGCGGTCTCTTTTGCCAATCAGCTTATCCAACATGCTTTAGGTATATATAAAAAATAGAACGCGAAAACTTTGTTCCTGAAGAGGGAGGAGGAGGTGGGTTGGGATAATATGCATGTAATAACATTTCTCCGCGCCACTTTATTAGCCACGCATCGTAGTCAGCTGGCGGAAGCTGTACTTGCTGCAGTGCCTGTTTCTGTAACGAACCTATGCATGCTACAGCTTGGAAAAGCAAGCCGTAAATTTCCTGATGAACTTTGCACTCTTGAGAAATATCGCCAATTGTTACTGACCAAATAATAAAACAAGAAGGAATTCTGCACTGTGTAAACGTCGTTGGAAAATATACCTTGTGAAAATGTATGCAAACAACGGCAGATATATAATCAGACTCTTTTCCCTTTTCCAACAAACACCTTGCCATAAACGGCATGAGCTTATTACTACTCTTTAGAAAGCTTGTTTTTCGGAGACCTTTCAGTGAGCCCTTTCTGCCATACTTCTTTTTCTCTAGTGTCAGCTTCTTGACATATTGTTGATAAAAATTTATCAGATTTAAAGCAGATAATACGTCTTCTTGCAGTATCTGAACAACAAAATAGACAGGCAAAAAGGGAGAGGGATAGAGAGAAGAATCATAGTACAGTGTGCATACCGTACAGGTACAAAGCGACTCATACTATATATGTAGCCGAAAAGTTACATGCACACCCATGCCAAGAAGAAAACGACGAATCAAAAGAGGAACAAGTATACCATGGACGGGTAATTGGGTATGATGTGCTTTTCCTTTTCTTGTTGGCATACCGACGTCTTCATAGATGAATGTAGCACAGTAACCGGTTCCCCCGAGCTTCGAGCCGTTCTATTATAACATATATAACTGGACTTCAGCCGTAATTAATATGTGAACTAACACCGACCGAGAACATGCACGAGATCGTGCATGGTGGGTGGCCAGTTCAAAGGCAGCCATTTTTCGTTGTCATGTACTATAACAGCAATTAAAGCGACTGTTATATTACTTGCTTGTATGTATGTTGTTTTCGTCTGTTTCAAAGTAATACACAATTTAGTATGTTGATAAGGCAACAAACAAAGGCAACCTGTCATAATTCAGGAATCTTATATAGGAGTTTCTCATCGTGCATTAGCGAACAGGAACAAGGTTCTATTTTGCGGCGTGAAAACAGATCCAGCTTGCCCCAGTATATCCATAATCGTTCTTCTTTCATCATATAGAGCTTCCTCTAGCTTTTTTACTAGAAGCGACTGCGACAAGCAAGAAAAAGACTTTTTAATGTTAATAGTAGAGATGAATATCGTCTCGGCCAGATGCAAAGAAGAAGGGCCGAGTAACTATTATCAATCGGACACGGATATACGGGTGAAAGGGCGCCGATTTTCTAATAATGTGAGTAACAACAGGGATGATCGACCGTTTTGCCGGGCCCGAATTTAGTTAAAAGAAGAATATATGGATAAGCGTCGAATGAAGTGCATCCTATTAATGCGTGTGTAAAGGGGACATTTTACTATTTTTACCCTAAATTGTAAATATTATCCCAATAAGCTGGGAGGAGCAAGTGTGTGTTACGGGTCTTGGCGAAGAATTTCACCGACAAGCTTTTTGTACCACATGTCTTTTATGGGTAAAATATTTCAGAAACTTTATTATTATGCGATCAACATCAGCCCAGCTATACGTGTATCAAGGCGTGGGCGCGCGCGGGAGCTAAAGATATAAAAAAAGAGAAATATCTTGCTCGCCGCTTCATAAAACTACACTCTTCTTTTTTCACTTTCTTTTATTCTCCAACAACTTTATAAAAAAATGTAAGTACTCATAATCAACGCGCGGCGTGTACATATACAACAAGAAGGGCATGATAATGGCATAATCACCGTCAGGTCGTGGCTGGCTCAAGATGCACTAAACGCGTTTTCAATATCTGACAGGGGTCTTTTCGATCACTTTGGTTCGCAACACGAAGAATTCCACGGCAAGGAAAAGCACGACGGTTCCTTCACCCACGAACTGATTGCCGGTGCTGCTGCTTTTGAGGCTGCCAAGGCTTACAACGAGCACCGTGAGAAGAACGGCGAGCCCGTAGACCATGCTACTGCCAAGCAACTCCTTGCTGGTCTTGCTGGTGGTGTCGTTGATAAGTTGTAAGTTTGACGATGAGTTGGGATGTTGTGTGGTCTTTTTTTTTTTTTACAAACTTTGGCAATGAGCGATTTTCAAACCGTTTGTTATTGTATTACAATTATAAAGGATCGAGACCAAGGGTTTGGATGCCATCGACAAGTACAAGGCAAAGAAGCATGCCGAGGAACAGTTGAACAGCTACTATGACAACGAACTCCAGAAATAAGCACCATCATCTTTCATTAAATATTCTAACATCCGTCTTTTGTTTCCGTTCTCCTTACCACTATCATTATGTGAAATACCTCTCTTGTGAAATGTCATGATCAAATGATGATGTATCATAGCTTTGTTTATTCAATAAAAACCCCTCAATTGATTATATTGACTGTAAAAAACCTATATATATATACATCCCTTTCTCGTATTTTCCCAATATATCTCGGGCTTTTCTTGAAATATTGTCTTCTACTGTACGTTGATTATCACGCATGGGAATATTTTGAATCGATCACAAACTCATACATATACCTGTTTGTGCTAGTCGTCACACCTGGATTAGAAGTGTACACACGCATATTCGTTATATTCTTCGTTTTACCTGGTATGTGCTACGGTATATATGGAAGAACGGAATAGGGATTACTCGTTGACTGAACAGTTCCCACACGGTAAAAGCATGGGAACTGTTCTATTTTGCGTGCAGGTAAGTATACACTGCAGTTCACAGTACGTATATACTGTTTTAGTCAGATTTCTACTGTAATAGCTGTAGAGAAAGGTTACAATTAAGAGTACTGCAGTTATCCCGGGAGTATACTTTTTTGACTTTGGCACCGACCTTTTTTCGATTTGTTGCTTCTGCTGCCTTGTGCGAGATGCATCTCTTTTATTTGATCGTCGTTTTGATACGATGAGTATTCAACTTGTGTATTTTTGTTTTTGCCTTCTTTTTTGCTACGTGATTATCTACAATTGATTATAACCGAGACAGTTATCATACGTTGCATGCGGCAGAGGACGTACGCATGTTGAGAATTACAGCGTAGGCTCAGTACATACTTATTGTATTTTATATCTTCTTTTTCTTTAGTAATAGAGGTATTGTTAGGTTTCATTTGATGCTCAAGCTGACTGTGAGCTAGAGGGTCGCGGTTATTAACCGACGAATGACATATTCTAAGCACAAATTAGAGAGGTCTATACGAAGTAGCGATTTACATTGTAGACCAACAGCTGTGTTGCACTGTGTCCAACGAAGTATTCAAAAATCCAAGCTTATATAGCAGGGTAGCCGGTTTACAGCTTTGAGGCTCACATCCGCATGTTCAATATGATTAAAGTCGTTTGTTCTCGAAATTATGAATGACAGCACAGGTACACGGTGTCCTCGGTCTTGACAACCAAAAATTCTATGCAACAAAAACTGTTTTTCTACATATTTAGTACAATCATATGATACTACTAGTTTGAATAGTTGGAGTACATACATTTTTTATCACGTTTTATATAAAACCATCAGATTGGTATGTGAGCCTTCGGCCAAGAAAAGCTAAAGAAATATCTTCATTCTCCTTGTGCCCAAAATTTATCAAGAAATAGTCTGTCATTCCCATACATACCCCATACATTGTGCACTGATCTTCGGTTGTTATAATATAACAATACCACCATTTTGACTAGACTATGTGCTCGCTTTCACAAAAAAATATAAGGGGGTCGCTATACAAAATACTCGCCTATAGTTTTTTCGAGTGTCGTGGATACTTTTGTCACACGATTGAGCGACTGTTTGTCGCCTTAGCGGTGACAGAGTTTGTGAAAATCTCCAAGTATCAATCAGCTTCCAGCGAGAGCCATCGTTAACGATACTCAAAGACAACAGTCGCCACCATGTTGACAGAGTCCAAGGATAGAGCCACTTGATCGCTTACTGCGGCCACCCAGTGAAACCTGACTTCTTTTAACGACTTGAGATCCGATAAAACAGTTGCCAAAGCTTTATCAGGCACGTCGAAACACTAATATATTTCCAACGTTTTGCGTCCGATGAAGCACCGCACAGTGTATGTATGCATTCAAAGTACAGTCTCGTGAGTTTGTTCGCTTTGGCCAACTCTACATGCGCTATAACGTCCATGGTTTCTATATTTACACGAAATAACGTTGCGCGGTTCTAAGCAGTCGCTGAGCAGTTTAAGAGAGCGAGGCCCGAAAGGAATTAAAACCGGTTTATTGTGATAACAGAAGTCTCACCATTTAGAGCAAAGTCTTGTTCTGCATAACTATCGCACAGCATGTACATTGAACAGATGCATTATTATTAGTTAATCATAGAGGATTAGGTAATATGGGGTGCGTGAGTAAAGGGTACGTCCGGCTCAATGCCTCGGATCGTAGCTAATGTTAATTGCGTGACCCATATAATGACAACTTCTTCCTTAGCCTAGCTAATCCGTGAAACATCAAGATGAGTCGGCGCATATGAGTCGTGATGTTGATCAATTACTTGTCAATTTCTTATTAAGTGATAGTGGCTATTTCTATAAAGTTACATATATATACACAATGTGCTGTATGTATATATGTTTGTGCGCTTGACATACATATTGGGATTACAGAACACTTACAGCTCTCGAGACAAGCACAGGTGTCGATGACCCCGTGGAGTGAGAAGCCATGGGAGTGTGTAGACGACCATTTAGCGAGACTGAGATATATAATTCGTTAAAACCGATGACAAGGCTGCGGTCTATAAGCTTGTTATTGGGTTGTAAATCTGTATATAAATCTCCCTCTAAGAAGCAGAAACAGATTTACGTCCCTTGCTATAGGCAGACAATGGATTACCCAAAATTGGATGATCCAAGCCCTTTACCCATTTCACAGCGTTGGAATGAACCCTCGCGATATCGTCCCAATTGGCGTGTTCGCGATGTTTTCAAACGAGATCACTGGTACACGAGGACAAGATATGGCCATGTCCACTGAGGCTTGCCCGTTTGGTGAGCTCCCCCCCCCGCTATCAGTTGACGACCGCCTTCTAGAAGATTGACAAAAGAATCAATTTGTTACCCCTCATCATCCATCAAAGGAATGATGTATCGTACGTTTGAAGTATACAGACCGCTCAATCAATACTGGCCTGGGTAGCCAATATCTTTGCAATACAAATGGCGACGGTAAGATGCTGTACAAACTCAATTTGAACTGAAACAAAGCAAAAGGGTTTTTTATGTATATGTAGTAGCCTTATACGGCAAAAGATCGGAAGGTGGTCCGAAGCTTGAGAGTCATCATATTGTACTGTCCCAAGCTTTCGTGGGCCAATTAATTACAGTCATTATTATGTTCCATGCCATACCTCGACAAAAAGTGAAAGGTATGCCACGGCAGCTATTTTTATCGTAACTGTATGGACAAGCTAGATCACGGAGAAAAAGTAATAAAGAAAAGCGTTGCTGTACATGTGTCGAACTGCCTCCACCTGAAAACATACATGGCGCTCCAAAGGCAGCTCGATCTCAGGCGATCTCCCAAACAGATGGGCACATCCACGTGGATTTAGGGGCTTTAATAGAACGCCATTTGAAACGTTTGTAAAACAATTCTACTAATGAGTATGAGCATTACAGTATTCGGTATCAAAACATTTGGTTTTTGCTGTAGAGTGCATGAGAAACGACAGTTTAAGCACACAGAGCTCGATCAACTTGTTCCAAGTCCAAAAGAGATCCTGCTGTGCAAGAAACTTCTGACGTGCCCAAAAAACTGATACATGCAACGGCTCTCACAAGAATTTTGACATTGTATTACATGGTCAGTGCATTGTGCTTGTGTCAAACGGTTGCCTAGATATTATCTTTAGAATCGATCGAGTCATTGCAAAGTAAAAGTAATTACGAATCTAATGTGAGCCATTTGACATTGTCAGCATTGTATAAGAACAAGGACACAGCACGCCAAAACATGAGTTCTTTCCTAACTGTCAAATGAAGCGGCGAATTGAACACAGTCAGAAAGAAAATGGATATTGCAAGGTGAAGCGACACGCAAATATCTTCACAAGGAAAGAAATTGTAAATGAGTTTGAGCAGGACATAAAGTAAAAGAGCAGGTTTTTATTCATTGTAATATTAGAGTAAAGAAAACATTTTATAAAAGACAAAAGTTATCGTTATGAATATCAATAGTCGAAGGGTACAAATTTTATTAAAAGAACACAATCAGTGGACAATAAAGACAAATAATAAGAACGCGATTTTACAAAGTGACCTCAACAAGCAGTTCGCACAACCTGCAGGCTATACAAAAAGCATGAAGAAAGCAAGAAGAAACAGAAGAAGTATGTAAAAGGGGGAGGAAAAGAAAGCCACCAATGCCTCGGCCTGGGAGTCCCAGTCTCCCAATCATTTGGCTGTGTCAATCAACCACAAACCCAGCCATCATGGTACAAACGAGTGGGAACCATGACGTACGCTACGTTTCGAGAGTCAAGTGCAAGCAATCGGTTGTGGTTTGCCTGTGAGTGGGGAAGGGGGAAGGGAAGGACGGAAGGAAGATGGAAGGGTAGACGGAAGGGAAGAGGAAAGGGAAGAGGAAAGGGAAGGGGTGGGGGTAGGGGAAAGAATTGACTCTCGAAACACCCAAAAAAAAAAAAAATTGCTGCTGTTGTCGAATGCTGGAGGAGCTGCTTACTGGATACTCGGATGCTGGGAGCCGAACACTGAAGCTGGGAGCTGATTGCCGAGTGTCGATTGCCGAGAGTCGAATGCCGAGAGTCGAATGCCGAGAGTCGAATGCCAGAGAGTCGATTGCCGAGAGTCGATTGCCGAGAGTCGAATGCCGAGAGTCGAATACCAGAGAGTCGATTGCCGAGCGTCGATTGTCGAGAGTCGAATGCCGAGAGTCGAATACCAGAGAGTCGAATGCCAGAGAGACGAATGCCAGAGAGACGATCGCCAGACAGTCGAATGCCGAGAGTCGAGTCCTAGGAGTCGAACGCGATCTACAGTAGCACCTGGCTCCTCATTGCGACCCCCACCATGGCAGACCAGACCAGACCAGCAGACAAGGCATCCAACCGAAAGGACACTACCATATTTCTATGGCGAGAAACCGAAAAGGATTTCTCCGTCCTCTGATCTCGCCTGAAGATCGGTTGTGGCCAACACCGTTGAACGCCAGACTGGACAGCCCAAAGCAGGGACCGGTTGTAGGCAGCCAGGGACCACGGGAAAAAGGCTGAGACCAGGACCGACAGAGGCAAGACCAGGACCAAGGGAAGAGCCAGGACCAAGGGAAGAGCCAGAGCCAGGGGAAGACCAGAACCAAGGGAAGAACCAGAGCCAAGGGAAGAGCCAAGAGAAGACCAGGAGGAGGCATGGGAGTGAAGGAAAAAGAAAAATGAAGGAAAGAAAGAGTGAAGAGAAAAAACGAAATGGCCTGAAAAATGTGGGCGTATTTATGCTTTTTGGATTGACCCCGCCGCTTAGAAAAAACACGTCACGTGACTTGTGATTCGTCATTCAAAAACACGTCACGTGACTTGTAATTCGTCATTCAATCAGCAGGTGGGAAAGTAAAATGGCAGGGAAGATACCATGTGAAGTAGAAGTGTTGAAGAGACACGGTCAAGCGGTCAAGAAGAAGGCGTATGTGGTCTGCGTGTTTTGTTAGTCCTACGAAATATGTTTCACCGGTATCATGCAGGGCGTGCCCCGACGGTGTCGCCGCCTGTTTTTGAATAGGAAGATACGTGCACCCGTCGGGCCACAAGGCGCACAGACACGGTTTACAGTGTTTCAGCAACAAGATCCCAGAGAAAAAGTAAATGGCAGGTGCCGGGAATGATTGACATTGTAGAAAATAGAAATTACTGATATTGTAACAAGAAGCTCACATAAATAGAAGCCATATACACAAAGAAATAATGGCCCAGAAGTTGACGACCGTGCTGTACACGTGCTCCAAAGCAAAGTGTATACCAAGGACAAGTGGTGAAGCTCGGTAACAGTAGAATGAGGATGACGTCGAGTTTCTTTGAAGCCCTTCTCTTTGCTAACAGCCTTTAACAAATAAACCTGATAGAGTGCTGGCTGCCTCCCATAGAGCGTTCGCCATCTCTCCCAGAGAGTCTTTGCCATCGCTCGTGTGTGCCATCTCTGGCCATAGAGCGTTCCACAGGTCCAGGCTAACAATGCGGAGAATAATGACAGATCTTCTGTATCGTAGCCGACAGTAACACAGTCACAACGCGCTTTATCACACATTGGTACGCGCTCTTCACCTTTCTTGTTTTTACATTTCTGTGATCGCGTAGTTCTGCTCGCGAAAATAATCGAAAGGAAATATTTGTTGGGGGGTTATGCACACCAGCAACAACGGCGCTTAAGGCAAGCTGTTCTAAGCTGAGAGAATCGGTTTAATGGTATGTTTCGTTTGCCACGCCCTGTTAACCCCTTGATTAACCGGAAACATCGTTGGCACAACTTTCATTATATAATAAACCCACATAGAAGCAAGGCTAAGATTATGCATGCTTGACTCTCCTACTAGCCGACCATCCTGCTTTTTTTGGTACTTTGTTTTTCTCCCACATATATCATACAACACCCACACATACGCCGATTAAGTCACACCACGTCTGATTGACTTTGAATCGCTACTGCTGAGAGAGGTGGTTGAATAAATGAGCAAACCAAATAACAGTATGTATCAACCTGAAGAAGTAGCTTTTATGGATAATAGTAGCTCTTGGAAGACGCGCATACTATGCTGAAAACAGCCATGCTTCTCTATAATCTGCTCTTGAAAATTTATTTTAAGCTGCCCACATCCATCATTGCGGGCTTGGGGAGATCGGCTATCGCTGGATGCCGTGAGTATATTGGTATAAAAGAGCGCCACCACAGTTAATACAATGTCTCACTGGATCCCATGAAGACGCTGGCTACGGCGTTCAGCACTTATTTACTCCAACCCAATGCAATACACGCTCAGTCATCCTGGTGATAAGATATTAAACAACTTACATAATACTATCCGCTATCATACCCCAATCCCCTCCTTTCCAGATACTTTTCCTTTTTTTTTGGATATGAATTCGCCAATATAACTTGTGGTGACAAGACATCCATTATGAGTGCATCATCAGCCGCCCTTTTCTTAGTAAATGATCGTATAAGAGATATAAGAGATCACAAATGACATACGTCCATGCATCATATCGCGTCAGTCCATATCGGATTTAGCCTTACACAAGCTGGATCATCCGAATATAATGTATACGTGCTTTACACAATCTGGTTGGATTGTCTCTAAGCTACAGTGCTTAGCTAGTTGCCGTGGTAATTACTGTGTATGCTTTTGTTTGATTTTTAGCCGAGTACCTTATTCTGATGATGATTTAAGTAGTGTAATGATGTGTTTTACCACAGTGTATTTGTATATGTGTTTGCAAGAACTAAGCGCACACATTTATCTTTATCTTTCTCTTGAATCTTCCTTTTCATTTCTGCTTCCGTTTTCTTTCTCTTTCTCTTTTTTCAATCAATATATTTCCTGTACTCACACTCTTTTCCTCACCACAAATAAGTAGATAAATAACATCTTTAGACTATGCCTTGACCTTCTGATGAGCTTCCTAGTCGATTCAATAAGATCAGTGATAAGGCTAAATTCTTACTCAAAAATTCGTATAGTATGTATGGAGAGCGCTGCTGTAGAGTATTTATGTGTCACCACTGCATAGAATATTCTATTGCAACGACCATTTTACTGCAACGAATAGTACTGCAAAAGTGCAGTACGGCAAATTACTTCTTAAAGCAATTTGCTGTACGATATTTACCAAGTGGGTCCGGGGAAACGCGCGGCATTTGTTCGATAAAGTCCGGCAAGTACTGCAAAATTACTCAAGCCCAGCAAATACTAACTCGTAGGCTAGTTAGTATTCATGTGCGTACTCAAGGCGATGATTAAGCCTTTGTTCAAACTATAACATAATTAGCAATGTAATTACCGACCTTCTAGCTTTATCCATATAGCTATATCCCTCTTTTAGCTACTTTTTCCGGAAAATCTGCATGTTTACCCTTCTCAGTTTAGCCTATCTCGTATACCATAAAAATGCAGTGCCTGCAACAGTATGCTACTATGTGACCACGCTAGAATATAGTTAATATCTATGTATATAATTTCGTATCAATCTGAATTCTTATTACAGTATTGATATGTGCCGTCAACCTTTTTCCATGCAGCATTCAAGGCAACGGACGGTACTTACTGGCAACCTTATCAATACACGATGTACAACGACAAATTCAAAATCGATAGCAATCCAAATTTTGTGCTTAAAGAAACGATCAATGTGCAGCATTATCATGATCACTAAAAACAAGCAACAAGTTAGTATGTCATCAGGATCAGGATCAGCAGTTATGTATATTTTTTTGGTAAAAGCTGTAAACTGTTGACTTAGAAAACATTAAACATCTTTTTTGGTTTTTTATTAAAAGGCTTTTCATTTACATATTCTTTTTTCCCTATTACTTTTAATATATTAAACGATTGTGCTGAGATCAACTAGCACAGGCATCATACCCTGTTTGCGCTGTGCGCGTTCACCACGGGAAAAAATCCTCGCAATCCTCGCGAACTTTTGAACTCAGTGTAGTTACACATGCGCGGATTGCATGGATTGCGAGGATTGCGAGGATTTTTTCCCGTGGTGGTTCTTGTTGTTGATGTGCTAGCACTCATTGATTTCATGAGCTATTTGACGAACGGTAACAATTCCGTCATGTTTACTATATCATTATAATTTATCGATACATTATTCCTAAAATTTGTTCATGTTTTCCAGAAAAATGCTGTGCCGGCCATAGTCTGTGTAAATTTCAACATTGCAGATGGTGAAGTTTCATCTATCATCCACAGCTTTGAGAAATTCATAGAGAGCATTATGGTCGATTCAGTAGGCTGTCGAAATAATAGTAGAGCTCCTGCAGACAATCAGAAAGTCGATGACAGCGTGGGTACTTCCGTCCAAACTTCAATGCCCTCAATACTATTAATCAGATTGGAAAGGAAGAGGAAGCTCTTTCATGTATATCAGCGGTTTTCAGCGTTCTTCCCATGAATATTATGTAATAGAATTGTTCGTCGAGTTGCCAGAGGCCATGTCCGTTTCAATTGGACTAGATCAAAGATTCAACATAAAAAGTATTGAACTTATAATAACGATGTGTGCTTTTTACAAAAGACAATTTAGTTACCCCACATTTTATGATCTTGATGATGTACATATTCCAAAAGTAAAACGCAGTTTGCGATATAGATTAATCGCTGGCGACAGTTCCATTTTTGACCTCTATATCCGCTCTCTTCTCTCTCCAATCCCTTCCTAGTAACGCCAACAAGGTACCTTGCCAAAGAGAGATTTTGGGCCGGTTTTTTAATTGACAAAAGTTTACTGCTCATTATCAAAATTGCTGTAACTATGGTATGTTTATATCGTTTTTGCCAGGATTGCAAGCTAGCATCCTGAAAGAAAGTACTCTACGAAGTTTATATATTATTATTATATTCAAGGCATACTAGAAATGAGAGGCCACAGGAAAGGATGCCTTTTTCATTATAGGTAGTAAAATACTTAAAAGGAACAGCTGGATGCACTCTATGATACCTGAGCAACCAAGTCGGATCACCATCGACTGTACAGATACACTTGAAGCATATGCGACGCATGCACTTTTACCGTTAAAAACTCAGAATCCGAGATGCGTTTTTGCGAATACAGACTGTTGTGTGTCCGTTTGCCGTTTGTTTGTTGACAAGAACGGTGAATTATATAAATCGGTCGATTTCGTGTATCATTGGTCAGTAATGTTAAATGCTCCGACCAACGAAGACAGGCGAAGACGATATCGGATGTGGAGGATAAGCTTATACTTGGGTGGACACACAAAAAGGCATATTATGGATGTAATAAGCAGGATCCTCAGACAGAATAGCATAGTACCTTCTCTTGTGGCGAAGTCATACAGACAGTGTTCTAGTACGTGTCTCTACATATTTCCCTATTTTCCTGGCTGTGCGTAGTCGGTGGGTGGGATCATACTATGTATGAAGATTACACACACATGCTGACACACAGCTGCTGACATAATGAGCAGGTGCATCAAGGGTGTAAGGGGGCTATTTTGTTTCCCACCTCGTAAAAAAAAGTGGAAGATACACGATCAGCAGAGCCTATTGCCAATCGGATAGAAACAAAAAGAGAACAACAACAATAACGGGTGTATACAGCGACGATAACATGTGGTGACCAAACGCATTGCGTATATACAAACTTATCAGCTATACGGCAAGTTTGTACGAGTATTGTGATAAAGAAGGAGACAGAGTTGGGGCTGATCATTACTTTGTCGGGGCAAATGGGCTTACACATTAGTGTGGGTCCTATAAAGCTACATTGTGGGTATTGTTCTACGCAGAAAAAAATAAAGAGGCTCGTATATAATTATGATCTTTTCTAAAAAAAAGTTTTCCTTATTGTTAGTTTCACAAGCTGCGTAGGCAGCCGAGGAAAGTTACGTAACGCTATACTTTGGCTATTAACAGCCTTTTGGGTGGGTGACCAACAATACATAATGGCCGTGTACCGCGGGAAGGTCATATATAGTATCGGGAATGTGATACAACATAAGAGAGTGAGCTATTACATTATTCTTATTACTGAGCACAACCCACCGGGAGGTTTGATAAGCAAGCCCCCTGGAGTCCCTAGAGGGGCTCCGGGAATGGCACAGTTTTTTTTTCGCCTGGGAAAAGTTGTTACTTATTTGTACATACTCAATTTTTTTGGGCTGCTTCATTAGCCGCGGGTAACGTAAAAGCGAAGGCGGGTATATTAAGTTAGTAGTGAAGTGTCTTGTGGGATTTGTTTTGGAGCACTTGGACACTCTTTAGCAGCAATTTGAGCAGGGCAATGGTCTAAAACCAGCTACTATGTATTGACAACAGAGGCTGTTGGTTGCTATACTCTACAATGGAGTTTCTGGAAAAGTGGACAGGCAATATCATGTAAGCGCCTGGGGGAGGGGAGGAGAGAAGAGCTAGAGGGGAAAAAACCCCGATACTAGTAGCGAGAAAGCTGGGAAAGCAAGTGAAACAAGTGGCAACAAGTATGTGGATACTGCGAGTTACATAAGTCGGAGGACCCTAAGGTCCCTACGAGATCCAGGGGGGAGGTTGGGAGGCTGACGGAATCAGCGTTCGAGGAATTGGGACTGACGGGAGGAAAAGGTACGGGAACCAGATGGCTTTCGTAAGCTAATTGGCCAATAAGCTCGCTTCCATCCGCACCACTCCGCCATACCGTCCTCTCCTTTTGCAGTCCGGAAAAAAAGACCGTGTGAAAACAATAACCGGGAAACGCAAACTATTCGACAACGACCTACTTGGACGCTTCATTCCCAGCCTAGACATTTCTCCTCCCCCACACGTTTAAAGCTTGTCGGACGAACTCGGGAGTGCGCGGGGAAAGAAAGCACAGTTCTCCACTTTTTGCTCTTTTTAATGCAGTGCTCTCATTCGCTGGTCCTGACAGCTGGGTTTGCTTTAAGGCTTATTATATAAACCGCGGATGGGACCTTTTAAGCATTTTCGTAGGGGGGGAGGCGAGTGGGTAAGGGAAGACAGGAAGTATTACATAGACGGTTAATTGTCCGAGTTTGGAGATGGACGATAGAATTTTTTTTTCTCCGTGACCACTGGGCCTCTTGAGCCACGACATCCAACGCACAACAGTGCTCTTCATGCGGCTTTCGCCTTTTTTGATATGTGCTCAAGAGAACAAGAAAGCTGTAAGGAGTGGGCGAGAGGCTGGTCCTGATTTGTAAATAAAAGAAATAAACGGCCATTTTCGGGCTAGTGCGGCCACTGTAGTACCTCCAGTACCTGGGAGATACCACACACACACACACACGCACGATGTGTCTGCTATTTCACACATGTGATGATTCAAGTCAAAAGCTTTGTCATAGACAACGACTTGGGGGGTAGGGGAATATATAAGGCGAATGGGCCGATTGGAGAGATTTTGGGGGTCCGGGGTGGGGACTCCCCCTCTGTAAAAAATGAGGACGGATCCGGGAAGTCTGAACGAATGTTTGTGTTCCCGCAAGAAAAAAAAAAAAAAGTAAACTTACTAGTTGGTTTTCATTACGGAACAATAGCCCTTTCTCTTCCTCTCTCTTCTCTTCTCTTTCCCTTCCAACATTCACAACGGATTCGTCATGCCTGCCACAAGGAATAACGTCTACATGCTGCCAGCAAATCAGTCCATCTTCTCTTCCGCTGTCGATAAAGACAATCATCATCGCATGTACCGTTCCACCACCACGCGCCATTATCCACCATCGCCACCTAGCACTAGCCACCCTTCAACGCCTATAATGACCTCTGCAACAGCAACCATATCTTCCAGCCGACGTGCCTCTTTTCGATCCAAATCACCCTACTATGCGACAATAACAACACCTTCATCACAGCAGCAGCAGCAGCTACAGCAAAGTGCTTCCATGATGATGAGACCAACGTCAACGCATTCTATACCTAGTCCCAACATGTCAAAACAGGATGAAGATACCTCTTCCCCTTTCTTCAATCTCGAAAAGGTTGTTCAGCAGTACGGCGAGCAGCGGGATCTGCTCGAGTTAATACTGTCTAGCAAAGTGGAGGAAGATCGACGGCGAGCAGAAGAAGCCAAGCTTCGACAAAAGGAGATCGACTATCTATTGCAGCAACATACTAATACGGCACAACAACAACAACAACAAACACGTACATACCGATCACGTAGCATGAGTCGTCAATCATCACTAACAGCAACAACATTAACTACAACCAGCGATAAATCAATACACAACTGGGGTGTTACTACTGCTTCTACCGATAGCACAAACAACAACATTAGGACTAATGCTACTCCACGTCGTTTCAGTGATGCTAGTAGCTCAATGAACAACGCTTCTATTCTTCCGCGGATCCAATCCCCGCTACTCCACCACCACGTTAACCGCCCGGATTCCGCGGCCAGCCATTCTACCGATGGAAAGGCAATAAGCTGGAGAAATATTCCCAGTCAGGAGCAGCAGCAGCATCGTACAGAGCGACGGAAAAGTACCAACAACATTGACTTGCTACTTAGTCATTCACCAAAGTCCGTATCAGCCACTTTACCACCCATAACGAGTCCGACCACGACTAGCTCTATCTCTGCTATCGCCACCTGTCATCCACTGCAACAACAACAACAACAACAATCCGCCTTTAATATACCCCCTCTTAATCAAGTTACTTCGCCAGCAACCAGTAGCAGATCAAGGTTAGCGAACTTGAAAACCAAATAAGACTGAAACATAGCAACGAAAGAAAAGAAACTAAAACTTAGAATTTGTTTCATTTGGACAACATAGCATATCAGCCGACTTGGGATTCTCTCCAACAGACGTTGATGGCGATACCAGTATGACGGCGACGACCATAGCACCAACGCCAATGACAACTTCTATGGACAACAACAACAACAATTGCGGCAGTAGGCAACACCCTATTACTATGCATAATCACCCACAGCAGATTGAACCGAGACAAGTTTATCAACCCATGTTACCATCCTTTCCTCCTCCTGACAAGCTCCCTATCCTACCGGCGACTTCTCGTCGTTTGCAACGTCCTACTGCTGCCCGCCGAAGACGACGACGAGAAATGCAAGCCATAAGCACTATTATCGAGACGCGAGAGTTTCCGTACAACGACGACTACCTTTGGAAAAACAATGGAAATACTGTTCATAAGAAGTCTGGCTTCAGGAGTATATACTACAAATGCTCTAATAGCGCAAAGGTAAATAGGATTCAATCGTATTTTGGTTATATACCTTATTCACTAACCGTACATTTACCTTATTATTAGGGCTGTCCCGTCAATAAGACTGTAACGTTCAAAGAACACGGCAACTATCTTATCAAATATCGGGGAGAGCACCTTGATGAGTGCAATCGCATCAAGCGCATTGTAGATGTGTAAATATATACTATATAGTTTCCTCCCATTTCGTTCATATTCCTTGTAGATATAAAAAAAATTGTATCCGTAACAAAAATCACTATGTTCTTTTCTTTCTTCTTCCTTCTCTATCATACTATTATTATTATTATTAATATTATTATACAAACTTTTTTATCTTTTTAATAATGTTCTTTTCTGTTGCCAGCAACAACAACAACAGTCTTATTTCTTCTTCTTATGAGCTGCCGAAGCTGCTACTTTCTTTTCTTTGTTTGTTTTAAACCAGGTTCTTGCTGGTCGGGAATAGATGTCGGTTGAATGTCTGATAAGGTTTTCGCCCTTTTGTAACTGCATTTCAGCGTTACGCAGCGCACGCTCTTCTTTTTCTTCCTGCAGAATCTCTTCAATTTGTGGGGTAAGCTTCTCCACCTTCTTTTTGTATTTTTGGATGGCTTCAGCCGGTACCACCCGATTCTTGACCTGTGACCCCGCATTTGCGGACTTGATCGCCATCTTGAGCATTTTGCGGTCGGATTCGCCAACAAGTGTTACGGAACTATAAACATGTTACATGTATATGTTTTGTTGGTTACAAATCATAATCACATTACACACCCGCGAAATAGAGAGAGGGGCGCAGGGTGCAGGGCATAGGAGTCCACTATATGATAGATGGATCTAGAACACTTACCGACCGTTACGACCAGCACGGGCCGTTCTTCCAACACGATGAAGATATTGAGCAAACTGATTTGGCATGTTGTAATTAATGACGACGTCAATACCCTTGATATCAAGACCTCTTGAAGCAAGATCAGTGGCCATCAAAAAGTCGACTTTGTTGTCACGGAACCGTTCGAGCGCCTCAAGACGCTGTTCCTGAGTCAAGTTACCATGAAGTTCGCCAGCATTGAGTCCCAAAAGACCAAAGAGAATCTTCATTTGATGTGCTGCCACTTTGGACTTGAAGAAAATAATTGTTCTAGCCTTGAACGTCCTCCGACACAATGCAACGAGTACCGCTGATCGATCTGCTTCACGATGAGCACGGATACGGACGAATTCTTGGACAAGACGAGAGGCGGCTTGGTTGGAACGGTCGACGAATAAGCGGGCAGGATGGTTTAATGACATGCGAATAAGTTGATCGACATTATCTGTCATGGTGGCGGAAAACAACATAGTTTGTCGTGATTTCGGACATGCTTTCACGATTTCTCCAAGTTCTTCTGCGAAACCGTCCTCAAGCATACTAAAGAATACAATCTTAGCCAAAAATCTCCCTCTTCATCTTCTCTTACAAGATATAAATCTTACCGATCAGCTTCATCCATTACAAGAATTTCACAAGTATCTAAAGCAAAACCTGCCGAGTTGCGAACATGATCAATCAACCGACCGGGCGTAGCAACAACGACATCGGGCTTATTCTTCAATTCTGCCTCCTGGCGTTTAAGGTTGAGACCACCGACACAGAGACAAAAAGTAATGTCGGTATAACCACCGAGTTTAGCAGCCACACTATGGACCTGTGCGGCTAACTCACGTGTTGGACACAGAATGAGTACACGCGTGGCTGCTGTCTGTCGGGGCCGGTACAAAAGACGTTCCAAAATGGGGACAATGAAGGCGGCGGTTTTACCGGAACCGGTTACTGCACCACCGCAGATATCTTTACCCAACAATGCAAGAGGAATCGTGCGTGTTTGGATCTCGGTAGGTTTCACAAAGCCAACGTTGGCAAGACCTTTTAGTATGGGTCGTGACAGGTTCATGGATGTGAAGGCATCGTGTTGTTCATCGTTCTTGTTTTCTTCTTCCGGTGCAAAATAGGCACGTTTTCGCTAAAAATTCAAGTGTTAAGCGAACCAACAAATTGAAAAATTCCACACAAGCACACACAAGAGAATTCTTTGAAGATACATACTGCTTCTACTGCTTCAGCGTCCTTTTCGGCATCAGCATCGCTTGCATTGTATTCATCCATATCACTGGCAGATTCATCGTCATCGTCATCGGTATCGCTATTCTCATCTTCATCCTCTTGTTCGTTTTGTTCGGTATCCACAGCACCTGCACCAAATCCATCAAGTGCCAAATCTTCATCGTCATCAGCAACCATTGCACCATCTTCGTCGGTCTCTAATTGATGTTCATTTTGCCCAGCGATATTAGAGAACTGTTCATTTCCATCAAACAGACACACAATCTATCCTCCACCCTCATCGCCAGTAGCATCCAAACACAATTTACCCTTGGCAGCAGCAGCCTTTTTCTTTTTGGCATCCTTTGTCTCCTGTCGTTTCTTTGCAATAATCACATCGATATCCGTTCTCGGTACCGAGTTTGGCTATGTGCAATGAAGCAAAGTGAGTAAAGACATATACATAAAAGAAAGAAAAAAAGTAGGTTGCTAGAAGAATTTTCTTTACCTGTGCCTCCTTCAGCATACTCTTTGCAGCAGTAAAGTCCCAAGCATGAGCAGGACCGGCTGAACCACCACCGTCAATGGCAAACGTGAATCCAGAATCAAATTCGTCATTGACACTATTCTTTTTCGTTGACGCGGTTGCTGCTGCTGCTGCTGTTGTTTTGGCCTTTTTCTTTTCTTTCTTTTCCTTCTTTTTGTCTTCGGCCTTTCGCTTCTTTTTACTGGGTGCTTCTGGTTCAGGCTGCTTCTTTTCTTCTTCAATAACTTCTTCTTCTTCTTCCTCCTCGGCGATCTTGAAGTTTTCGTCGTCGTCTTCGATCGTCATTACGAAATCACTATTAGCAGCAACCATGTTGTCGTTCTTTTTCTTTAGGATCGATCGATTCGAATGTCAAAGTGCTATAAGAGAGATCTGAAGCAGACCGAGAAAAAAAAATTTGCATACCGAAAGTTTTTCCCTCAGCCAATAAGATCACGGTTTTCCCTAGTGCCCTGAGTCTCAAGTTGCATGGTCGGGCAAGTTATCATTATGCGAAGGATGAAAGCAGATAAGTATGATCTATCTATGGAAGTGTACAAAAGAATTATGAAGATAGAGAGAGGCAACAGGATGGATGTCTAGTGGAAAGCAACATATAAGTGTATATTCCCTTGTACTGTATCTAATATACGAGGTACAGGTCAGGCATGCATGTTTACGGTTGTCAGAGAAATGTACTTCGAAATATGAAATAAGTGACTGAGCATACTTAGCAACATGTGTAAAGCTATGTCTCGCTTATCTTACTAATATCTTTACAAAATCCTGTCCATTAATAAGTCATCAAATTGATTATATCTATTCACTAGTCCATATAGTCCATATTCGTTATTAGGTCTTTCAGCTGTTTTCTTTCTTCAGGTACACAAGGACGATAGAACCTATGCATATTATAGCATGGGCCGACGTAACACACACTCTTGGGAGCTTCCGATACCACATTTGGCCCCCTTTTCGAGCGGTCCGATGAAGCGTTTTGCAGTGTTCGAGCAAAAGTGATGGGACGTTCCGGTTTGAAATATGTACATTGCAGGTAGCGTCTATCACATGTGGGGAAGCAAGCCTTGTTAGAAGAACCTCTGCTTCCCAGGAAACTTGCTTTCTTCCCTCCTTTTCTCACTCAAACCTTGCATTTTACTACGCTTACGAGTCGTTCACAGAAACATAAGTCGTAACAGAGACCGCAACACTAACCACGTTCGCTGACACGGTCATCAACACGATCACCGCCAAAATGACAACCAATTACGATGGTCGCGTCACGAAAGTGTCTTAACGGCAAAGGCTTATTGGAGTTACACAGAAATTAGAGACTCATGCACAAGTTTATAAATCATCAACAAGGTTACACGCTCTCCCTCGGAGGCTTCGATTGCTTCTTCCATATGGGCCTAGAGCCAAGCTTCATGATACTCAAACCTACCGATGAATATGCAAGACGAGTATGTAGCGTACGCGTGCCTGTAATGTCTACACTGCAAGGAATAATGTCGCTGCGAAGGCAACGTCTCTGGAGATGGCAAAAACCATTCCTCGGCGTGTTCGACGTGCTTGTGTAACTTGACGTGACCTGGGATGACAGATAGCGCTGTCAAGTCTTTTTCTTTCACCCGAGTGACAAACGTGAAAGCACTGCATGAAATAACAGTCTGCTGCTTCGCTCCCCTCTCTCTCACACATGGACACGTCACATACCACCAAAGGTACCGTCTGTTATGGAAAGTATAGGCAAAAGAATATAGGACAATAGCATAGCACCTTATGCAGCAGGGTTTAGGATATTATAAGCCTTCCACAGCATTGTGTTCAGCTTCTACAGTAGTTTTTTCCCCACTGCTCTTTTCTGCTAATTAAATTCATATCCAACGAGCAAAGCGTTGCACACTTACTCTCTAAGTCAAACTGCGGTCATGGAACTCACAGCAGAAATGAACAAAAAGTTTCAAATCTGCTAGAAAAGATCGATGGATTGTAAGCAGAGCAGAGCAGCGCACTTGGCATGATCAATTATGCAAACATGGCACTAGTTTTGGCAAAAGCTCCGTATTTAAAGAGATACACCTCTCGCATAAATTGTGTGTAGTAAGCTCATTTAATCTGAATTCTGACGTCGTAAGCGCTGGAGCATTTACTTGATCGGTAACTCCCAGGCCAAGTTTCCAAGGACACGTCGAGAGTTCTATAAGTATAACAGCTCGATTTGTATAAAAGAAAACGATATCAACTAGCAGGGACCCACGACTCTTCTTTCGACGTGAGCCGGCCGATGATGCCCAGTTAGACGCGCACCACATGGTGCTGTCTCCTGACAAACCGCATACACACACTCACAATCTTTTCCATTAACACATTATTGATGGTACTCCGTCACCTAACGCAATAAAACGAGTGCGCCTGATATTATTGTATTGAATCGAGAACACGAGCGAGTGAGCTCTACACGAACTGTGGACCTACATCAGCATCCTCCAACAGCTCACCATCAATAATAATCACCATCTTAGCGCCATCCTCTATTTTATATGGTGCCATCATCGTTGCAACCGTTATTGACAATTGAACTTTCTGAACCTGAATTCTCGCCAAGTTCATCAACACCTAACAGAAAGAGCCATGTATATAAGTATGGGAGACGGAGCACTAACCGTCAAAATAAGTTTTTGTCATCGAACAACTGACTTCTCTTTTTATGATAGATACAAACCTTTTATATTTGGAACGCAACATCGTTATGCTGGGCATAATGACTCCCTATCGTAACCTGTTGTTGTTCTTTATTCTAAGACCCCAAAATGGGCTGGTTTGTACTATCCAAGTACTTGTTACAGCACAGCTTAGATTGATATTCCCACAATTTTTGTTCCCATACAGAAGGAAATGCATTTCTAGTAATTATTTATGGCGAGTACGATATAGTGGCTGAGAACTCATTGTATAAAACTGCATTTTTGACAAAAGTGAGCTCGGCTAAGAACTTGCACCTGGGCTTATGGCAAGACAAAAGGTTGGTTTGTTTTTGTTTGGGTAACACACCAGATTTAATACGGCTGGAGGCGCGGCTGTACAAAGCTATAAAGTATAAGGCTTCTAAAATGACCCATTATATTTGTGTACCACTATCACTACTAGTATTATATACTATCAGTGTACCAGTTGTGAATGAGGGGAGCATACAATTATGTCCTGCAAGGTCCGGCAACCAGTTAGTTCACCCAATTCTTGCTGTTGACGCAGCCCCCATCACGCGTCTACAAAACTGCTCAATGAATAACGTAGCATTTTTGCTCATTGTCTTCCAACACTCAAAAGGCAAGAAAGCTGCATATATCTAAGAATGCAAATCAGGAACGTTGCTGCTGCTTCCGTTTATGTGTAAGCTTTCTGGGAAAAAATCAATGTCGTACATTCCATATCACATGCTATATGGATTTAAATCATGAGTGCACGGTTGCTCAACCCAACAATAATGGATCGAGAAATTATAAGAGTAATTATAAGATAGTAGTACGATAGCGAGCGAGTGACCGTTTCGTTTCAAACATATGCAAAGAAGCCAAGTAGCTCTAAACTACTCTCTCCCTTGGTCTCTAAAAATCGATGGTACATATTGGTCTTGAGAGTTGTGTATTGCAATGATTGGATAATAATTTATGGGTGGTAGTAGTGTTTCTCTGTTTCTCCCTCTTGGTATGACAATACAGAAAGAATGACAAAGTGTATAGAAACTGCGTTGTTTGTAGTGCAAATGTTCTGTTGTTACATATTATGAATGTCCAGGCACAGTACGGTAATTGGGCAGCTGGGTCACCTCCCAAGGAACAAATGATGTATTATCCAGTTTGAGTTGTGGGAAAGCCACTATTAATAGTTTCGGGTGTAGCATAATTCGAACAATAAAAGGGAAGAAAGCAACATACTGTGTAATAACAGAATGTATCTGAGGCGTTGGGTAACTTAATTGAACAAAGAGTGCGGTTCGCTTGACCTCGTGACAGCTGATAAACGAAAAAATGATCATATGCAGTAATTCCTCGATGCGTTAGATAACTTAAACATGGGAGGGAGCAAGCAGGAGAGAGAGAGAGAATCCCGACACCACCCATTCCATCGTGAAAGAACGTGCTGACAAAAACGTATCACTCGCTAATCAGTAGCTGTAGCACATAGAGAGTGAGTCTTGCATATTTTGAAGCGTCTTTTACTTGGAGATGAAAGGCTGCTTTTATTAATACATACATTCACAACATAGAATCTTTGACAGAATATGATTACATGTGGTGCGCAAAACGTATAGATAAACAGCAAATGCAGGAAGATGAAGCAAAAAAGATCCGGGTGATTGAGGAAGGGAGGTGTTTTGCCCACACTGCGCCTAGTTTATGATGATCGAATAATAGTACGTAAATTTATCATGGCAGATGCTGTCAAAAATCTAAAAGATATCAGCGGAAAACCAAGAAGAAAGGAACGATGAAAAAGATCAGCTAATCGGAAGCAACGGAGATCTGTTAAAATAATTATCCTTTTAGCGTGATGTTGTGATCTTTCTGCATCGACATTGGCTGGGTCGGTGGCAATAGCTGTATTAGAAGAAAAAGATGAAAGTCTAGTAATAAACGTAATAGACTCAATGAATCTTTTATGAACAGCATCTCTTTTAGTCTTCTGCCATGAAATGATGCCCGTGGTAAAAGAACCGGTTTACCAGATAACATGATACCTAGTCGAAAGAGATTATATACAACAACACCACATCACATGTTTACATTTGAATCTGCATGCATGAAAGTCGTGAGAAAATGATACGTGCGAAAAGTTGTGTTCGGTTATATTACTTGTGAGTTGATGATGTGAGTTGATTTGTGATTCACCATAACAGAATACGACTGGTTCAAAGAGAGAGGCCGAGAGTCAAGGCTCTGATGGTGCTTGTAACCGCGGCTTGTTAGTCATTTTTATCGAATCTGTGGTCATCCCAGTTCCAAACGTCGTTGTTCCTCTATTTTTGCCACGGAGATCAATGCGAGAAAAAAGATTATCTACACTACAAAAGGAAATTCTCATTAGACCGGGATTCAAGAGAGAAAACACAGAGAGAAAGACCTAAGATCATCGAACTCTGAAACACACAGCTAGACGGGCTATTGTTGATAGATATAGTACATGTGTGTGTTCGCTGATATTGATAGATGTTGGAGGCGAGTATGCAGGTCTCTGTAATAGCCGTGAGAGAGTTTCTTTCCACTCGTGACCTCCCCATCTCTGGCCTGTTTGCTGCGTTGTGTGTTTGATCGGGTGAGCACTACATATTACACATATGCACCAAACAGGTATATTTGGGACCGTCCCTGTTGGTTCAGCAACAAGCAATGAGGTTGCTCGAACGCGGTATGACTCACAGATTACTCCGCAATGCTATTGATCAGAAAACATATCCTGAAAGGCTTTGCATTTTCATCCCACTGCTGGAAATTTTGGAAACGAAACACCGCCTATCGCCTGGAGGGCGAGTCTTTATTGTGTGGTGTGTGTACATGTGTATGTGCACAGCTTTTCTGGAGATGGGGTCCATCATCATTCATCGTCATCGCTCCCTTTTCATATCGTAGACCAATTATCGTTTCTCCTGTGTCAACAGCGGGAAAAAAAATCAGCAACATCTTGTCACTCTAATCCATTATCAATACTCACCTACCCACACGTGATCCATCTCCCCCGCCGCTTTCCCTTCTTTCTTTCGCTCTGCTTTAAAGCATAATTCTTCCTCACACTCTCTTCTTTTACTCTCCTTCTCCACTTTCTTACCTTCTTTTCCCTAATGAGCCACCATTCACAAATCGTTTCGCAACAAGTCTTCGGCTCCAGCAAAAAGCTACAACTCGTCAACTCTTCACCAACACAAAAGCAACAGTCCATGTCAATTGAGGCTTTACTCGATTCCAACGGTGACTTGTCCACTTCTACGTCTAACAGTAGGAACGATCTCAGCATATCCGCCCTCACCTCCACATCCTCCACATCCTCTTCCTCTTCTTCTACACCACCTCCGATGTCATCAAAGCGACGATGGAATGATAGCGAAACAAGCGACAATAATGAACGCATGACCAAATTACGAAAACAAGAGACGTACCCAGCATATCAACCAATGACGACGATCAAATGCTTACATGCAGCTGTTGCGCAAAAATCGTATGGATCCGAGAAACGGTTCTTGTGTCCACCACCTGTAGTCAGCTTGCAATCAAACCGCTATGTAGACCGACACGCACACGAAATTTCCATGGCGATAGTCTGTGAGAACGGCGAGCGACCGTTGGAACAGCGGGTGATTCTTGATGAAACACTCTCAGGCAGCTTCAAATTTTTACACGTTACAGGCACGGCCAAGGCCAAACAATTCTGTCTACGAGTCAGCTTAAACTTGACAACACAACGAGAAGAGGAACAACAGCCTTATGCGACGTTTCTATCTCATCCGATCTCAATCATCTCGAAACCATCGAAAAAGACAGCCAAAGCACGCAACGTATCGTCCTGCATCCTGGCAAATGCACCGATTTCGCTGTTTAATCGGATCAACTCACAAACCGTGCGAACAAAATACTTGACGTCAGCAGATGATCGAATGTGTGCCAAAAACGCTACCTGGTCACCCTTTGACATTGTATTGGTGCGGCCTCCGATGCACGGTGCTGCTGCTTCTTCCAGCACTTCATCCTCTTCCGTCCACCCAGCAGCAGCGTCTATGCCAGTTACGTACGGCACCGAGTTAATGCTGAGAGATCACAACACAGGCGTAACGTCTCCACTATTGATTATACGCAAAGTCGACAAAGGCAGGATAGCGCCATGTGCCTTTGGTCCAGTAAGCCAAATGCAAAAGGTGGCACTCCAGCTTGCTTCAACGGGCGGGAAGAACAAGCCCAGTAGCAAGCCCATGTACCTCAGCGCTGCAGGCGCGACGATGGACGGTATTAATTCCGAAGCCGGCGGCGAGAGTGGTGGCCATACAAGCAGCTCTTGGATTGACTTTGTTGAATCACGCATCGTTCGCGCTGAAAGGCCTAGTCTAGAATTAGCGTATGAAGAAGTTGACGATTATCTCTGTTGGACAATTGTCGGTATTGCACAATTTGAATACAGTTTCTTCGAACCTGAGTTACAACAACAGCAACAAGCAGCAGCAGAACTGTCATCCGAGACATCTTCTCCGTACAACCCTCAACAAACAGCAACTTCTTCATCTCGACGCTGTATCACGCCGTTCCCTGTTCTTTCTTCTGTTCTCTACCAACCTGCCTCGCACTCCATCGACGTCTTTGGCGAACACTTGATTCAAGCTGCACCCGAACCACGGATACTTGAGTGCTGGCTAGGTCCACACGGGCCACTCGCAGCACGACATGTCAGCTCACAGCCAGAGCAGGCGGGATCTGCACGTCATAGTACACACGTCACTGTCGAACTCCCAACGGCAATGGCATTACTTTCATCGGCCAACTCGTCAAACGCAAATAATAGTACTGGACATCCATCGACAGCAATGATTCCACAACCGGGCAATGTACGACGGCTGGAACTACCATTATTATTTGCTCGTCAAGATGGCGTTGTATATCATTCGGGTAAAGCCATCGAGTTCAGCATTTGGTCGGTATTACGAGAAGACAACAACAGCAACGATCCGCAGCACGCAGCAGCAGCAGCAGCAACAACAACAGCGTCCGACCTAGCACAAGCGGTCAAAGTTTTGGACTGTCGAGCATAACTTAACCATTTTTTTTTGTCATTCGTATATGTGCAGGTCACGTTATATCTTTTCTCCGTCTATTCGCCACTTATGCATCATACCCCTTGCTTTCCCTTTCATTTCCGATTAAATATCATATGTAACATGTACTTTTGTTTCTGCTGTATGAATCACTCTCTTTGTCCGTTTGATAATTAGTCATAAACAGTAATAAAAATAGTCTAATGACGTGCTAGCCACTTTCAATAGGCTTTATAAAGACTGAGACATTGTGTTGTTCATGTCATCGCACCATCACCTATCAAAAAGACAAAGGGGGGAAGGAGTCCCCAGTTTTATTACGCCGTATGACGGGCTTTTCTGAATTGAAAAAAAAAATATAAAACCAGATTACCACGCGTTATCAACGCGTTTCTCCTTTTCTTTTCTTCCTTTCACAAGAACAAAAATGGCTCGTACCAAGCAAACCGCTCGCAAGTCTACTGGTGGCAAGGCCCCTCGTAAGCAGTTGGCTACCAAGGCCGCTCGCAAGTCGGCCCCCTCCACTGGTGGCGTCAAGAAGCCCCATCGCTACAGACCCGGTACTGTCGCTCTCCGTGAAATCCGTCGTTATCAGGTAAAATGCTGCCATTTCCCCCCAATCATTAAAATCCATTTCTATAAGTCAGAGACACTAAGCATCTTAACTTGTTTTTCACGAAATTTTAGAAATCTACTGAGCTGTTGATCCGCAAGCTCCCCTTCCAACGTCTTGTCCGTGAAATTGCTCAGGATTTCAAGACTGATTTGCGTTTCCAGTCTTCTGCCATTGGCGCTCTTCAGGAAGCCTCTGAAGCCTACCTTGTCTCCTTGTTCGAAGGTAAACAAACCTTATGCATATACTACTTTTTCTGATGAAGTGAACTCTTTCTTCCAACATGATACTGACATCTTTTTTTTTTCCATACCAGACACCAACTTGGCTGCCATTCACGCCAAGCGTGTCACCATTCAGCCCAAGGATATCCAGTTGGCTCGTCGTCTCCGTGGCGAACGTTCGTAAATAAAGCAAATCAATCAAGCAACAATGAAGAACAATACCAATCTGCTCATAGCACACGCCTACACACACAATTACCTTGCGAATACAAATAAATGCCAATATGAACACAAATACGTGTTTGTCATTGTCAACAAATATTTAGCTTTGCCAATATTACGTTAAAGTACTGTTGTCAATTAAGAAAGCTTGGGTAAGAGTGCTTTTATGGGGGTTGAAGCTACTGTCTACAGTTAGCCTCTATTTAGCATCATCTTCCATAGCGTCAACTTTTTTCTCAGAACCTCTTGCTAAACAGCTTTGGCTGAAGATCCAATTATTCCGCCTTCATTCAACCGCTTGCAACAAAATCCCCCACTTCAGATACCTCCTGAATCGACGTCAACAATGTTCCCGCTGCAGCGGCATATATACTCTAGGATATATTTGCTTCAAGTAGATGACAAGTATTGCCCAAAGCAAATAGTAGTACCTGTAACAGAATAAAAAGTACATACATTTAATAGGTAACATTGCAAAGTCGTAGGTTGTGGCTACGGTAAACAGTTGCAAATAGCATGAGCATCGTTTGTTCAGTGCAGAAAAACAAGTTGTTAGTTTGACGACGTTCTACAGTAACTTGCAAACCGTTCTTTATGGGGTACACGTCAATAACGTTTCATAGGTCGTAACTGTACCACTGGTAGGCTCATCAGTGATGAGCTTAATATTGGTTACATCACACATGATACATTACATATGCTATAGCACCAATACGATGATACGTTTGTATATGGCCCGATTAAACAACTTTGAACTTAGAACACTTATTACACTCTTCCAAATATTTAAATTAACTGTGTTGCGTTATAATTCTAGAATGGGATAATTACTCGATATGAAGTTATTTATGTAAAAACTTATGTATCATTGAGTAAAAGCTTTATAGTATATTCTTTATTTGATATAAGGGCAAAGATATTGTATTGCTATACTTATGACTACTGCTTAGAAGATCTGGGCTGCGACTTCAGGATCTTCTCGTTCCTGCTGAACAGTTGCTTCAGGATCTTCTCGCTCTTGCCGAACAGTAACTTCAGGATCTTCTCGCTCCTGCTGAACAGTAGCTTCAGGATCTTCTCGCTCCTGCTGAACAGTAGCTTCAGGATCTTCTCGCTCCTGCTGAACAGTAGCTTCAGGATCTTCTCGCTCTTGCTGAACAGTTGCTTCTGGATCTTCTCGTTCCTGCTGAACAGTAGCTTCTGGATCTTCTCGCTCTTGCTGAACAGTAGCTTCTGGATCTTCTCGTTCTTGCTGAACAGTAGCTTCTGGATCTTCTCGCTCTTGCTGAACAGTAGCTTCTGGATCTTCTCGTTCTTGCTGAGCAGTAGCTTCTGGATCTTCACGTTCTTGCTGAACAGTAGCTTCTGGATCTTCTCGCTCTTGCTGAACAGTAGCTTCTGGATCTTCTCGTTCTTGCTGAGCAGTAGCTTCTGGATCTTCACGTTCTTGGCCAGCAGTGGGATTAGCCGCAGTGGCGGCTACATCTTCTGGGAGCTGACGTCTACTCATTCCATGATGGTGATGGCCCTCGTAATAGTCGTCCAGGTATTTGCCGTCCCGACAACGAACATTTTGTGGGATATCACATTCGCCAGTAATTTTGTTGAACTGGAAGCCAGGTCTACATTCCCAAATAAAAGGCTGACCGAGATAGCATCGATAAAACTTGGTGCAGGAGCCTTTCACAGGAGCAAATTGAGGACCCCACAGTGCGAGACGCGGACAAGTATCGGCGGAAACGCTGCTTCCTTGATCATCATCGACACGGTGAGCCAAAGAGGGAGTAGTGGGAGCTGCTGCACCAGCATGAAAGAAGAGAGTAATCAGGGCTGTAGCGGCCACGGTAGTAGGGCTCAAAAGATACATGATGGTGTTGTCGTTTGTTGTAATCGAATGGATTGAGATAGAAGCTTGTAAAGCAAAATCAGGAAGAGAATGGTACCTTTGTTTCCTGTGTGCCTAATCGAACATCGAGTCCATGAGCCCTTTATATTATAAACGAATGCTAGCTAGCTGACAACTAGTTAACAGCAGAAAGCGATCGAAGACAAGTTTTTTTTGTTTAAAGATCAACAATGCAGTGACGACAATAATAAAACAGAAAAAGAACATGTTTAATTTACATACATTGACGACAGCAAAATAAAAGGGCAAAAAATGATTATATAGTAAGTTGTGATGATTTAAAGTGGGATGTTGGTGGTAAGTAGAGAGGGGTTAAGCTTTTTTGCTGTTATTGTGATCGTGCGCCAAGAAGCATTGTGTTGATGACGCTTTGTGTATATATCCCAAGTGATGCGTGTTTAATACTTGTAGATCTCTATTTTTTCAAACGGGGGAACAAAACAGTTTCTCTGCTTTCACCCAACGGGCGTTCTACTTGTTTTTCTCGAGATGGCTGTGCGTCGCTCAACGATCGCTTGCCCTTTGGCACGCCAAGACGAGTCAACAGGGTGTCCATCTTGGATGGTAATACTGGTTGCAAAAGAATACCAGCGACACGGCATGACTCGATCGCATAGTAGAGTACTTGATCAAGACGTTCCTTTTGTGCCGGATCCTTTGCTAAATCCCATGGCTTGTTATCCTGGAAATGCTTGTTGGCCTATCACACGAATAAATGGTAGAATTATTGGTTGTCAGAACGCAGTATGTTGAGTGGGTGGGAAGTATGCAAGAGGGCGCTGAGTATAGAAATGTGAAGGGGATTTATTTTCTTTTCTGCGCTTTACCTCGGCCAACATATCAAACACGGCAGCAAGGCCTTTACCAAATTCACGTGCTTCAAAAGATTGATCATACGTGTCTGGAACATGGATGAAAGAAAGTAGTCATGTAAGCAATCAATATAAACAAATCAGGTTATCTTTCTATTCCTAACCTGGCAATGCAGCAAGCTTAGCGTGCAGGGTCTGGTCGCGTGCACCAACATTCTGGGGCATGGCAGGGGCGATTGCGTTGGGATTCAATGCAGGAGCCGTGCTTCTGTTCAAGAGATTGCCCAATTGACCTGCCAGGTCCTTGTAGCGTTTGATGATGTTATCCTCAGAGTAATCTTATCGGTGCATATACGAAGAAATAATGAGTGATGTGAGCGGCTGGTTTGTTGCGATTATGTTGTTCTTGGATGTATGTGTGTATAGTGTGTGTATGCGTGTATGTTTACAAATATGCCTATATATACCTCCGTCATCTGCGAATCCGCCATCTCGGACTAAATAGTAGCGCACTGGATCGACACCGTAGGTATCCATGACCTCAAATGGATCTGCGACATTGCCTCGGCTCTTTGACATCTTCTGTTTGCCCATGGTCCAATGCGCATGCGCCAGAATTTGTTTCGGAAGTGGCAACTGTGCAGCCATCAAAAATGCGGGCCAGTAGATGGCGTGGAACCGGACGATGTCTTTTCCCACCACATGAACATCCGCAGGCCAAACGTTTGCTACCTGACTGTCACTAACGCTGTTCTCTTTATTGGGCCATGGGTAACCATTGGCTGTCAGGTAGTTTGCGAGGGCGTCAAGCCAAACGTAGATCGTATGACCTGGATCGCTTGGTACCGGGATGCCCCAGTCAAGTCTAGATCGGAGCCGAGAGACTGAAAGATCCGAAAGGCCAGCTTTGATCCATGAGGTCACCTCGTTGCGCCGATTGCCAGGGACGATGGCTATATGTTTCATATGGTGTTATTTCATATATTTCTGTTGTCCTGCTGTTGTGTGTAACCATAGTCAGAAATAGAGTTTACCTGTAGGGTTGTCATTGATCCATTTTAATAATGGTTCCTGGAATGCCGATAGCTTGAACTTGTAGTTTTCTTCCTCTGTCCATTCTACGCGTTGCCCAGATTCAATTGCCACCTATACGTGTATGTTAGTACATGGTCAGTGTATCTCCCTCCACTGCACCCTTCTCCGAGACCAGCTGTGTCATTTCATGTTACAAACCATGACTTTTTCGCTCGTTTTTTCATCGATTGCTTCTTTGACTTGGTTGGACGCATAAAATGCTTCATCCGAAACTGCATACCATCCTTCATGTTTCCCTTTATAGATATACCCGTTCTTTTCCAACTCGGTCTATATAAAATACATAAGAACATGTCTTTTCCTGATGTTCGTATACATTACCCAAAGTGCAGCCACAGCCTTGGCATGTCTGGGTTCAGTAGTCCGTATAAACGTCGTATAACTAATATCTGCCGCATCACACAGCTGCCTGAAGCTTTCGGAAACGCGATCGCAAAAATCGAGAGGAGATGCGTTGTTTTTGGCAGCGGCTTGTTGGATCTAGCAAGTGATGGTTATATGTTGTCAGCATAGAGTATAGTGTAATTAAAAGGAGTCCGGGAGGAGAGAAGGGGTGATCGGTTTTACATACTTTTAAACCATGTTCGTCCGTCCCGGTGCACAAATATGCATCGGCACCTTTCAATGCATAATACCTTTTCAGTGTATCTGCAATCACACTGGAATACAAGTGTCCAATATGCGGAACTGGAACAAGAGGAAACCAGGAGCGCAGATAGAGAAAGAGAGAAGGGGTAAGTATGTGGATAGGTCGGTTGATAGATAGTCGGTGCAGCCACATACACAACCCACACGCAAAAATAATAAACGTTCTTTTAGATATAAAAAACGGGAAAACACTACACACCGGCATTGACATAGTAAATTGGCGTGGTAACATAAGCAGTGGAATGCTTCATTCGTCGTTGATTTCGAATGGCATGGCGTAGTAGTACAGCGGGTCTCAACCGTGAATGGATTGACATTGTGACAAGGGGACGACACTTGTCGGGGCAAAAGCTTACACAAGCACAAGAAAAAAAAAAACTCTACTTGGTCGTCCCGTGCCAAAGTAGTGGTGTTCCATACTTTTAACTTCAGTCTGTGCATAGAAACAGTGAGCCTTTTTTTTTCTTCTTCTTTCTCTTTCTCTTTTCCTTTTTCTCTTTCGCTTCCTACTCTTTCTACTCTGCGGCCTTTCTTTGCTTTTGGGAGCCCTTTTGTCTTGCTCTATTTATCTATTTAAATAATTCTTTGTGACGCTTCGAACACGACTCCACACACTTAAAAACAACACTCCACATACACAACTGTTTTGAAAAACCATGGCCGCTGCCACCGGTGGTCTTCCTCTCGTGCCGCTCTCCCCACTCGCCAAATCAGCTCTATTGTGCAAGCATGCATACACCGAAGCAAACGACAAGCTTTCGGAGGCAAAGCAGACTAAACCATCGGTGACGGTGGCGACCCTGAGAAGACTCATTGAAGACACACGGGTCGAACGACGAAGGCTCGACACTTTTGAACACCAAATGGAATCTGTGCAGGCCGCCACAGCCTTTAATTGGGACCCGGACGTTTTGGCCCGACAAATTGCCGCCATCGACTGCCAGCTATACGCCAAAGTCATTTTAAAAAAGAAATGGCTGTGTCAATTGGACAAGAAGCAATCCAAACTTGTACATCTCGTCGACTTTCATCGTTACCTTACACATAGCTTTGCTCATCAGCTTATCTACTGGTCGGAGCTCTCCTCGTTGGCCTCGTCCATGTCCTCGAGTAATAACAACAGCAACAGTAACAATTCGCTCAGTCATAGTTTAGGCGTGGTGCCGCCAATACATCCCAAGGATAATTTGATCACTCATTTGGTTAAGGTGGCGTACCTCTTGGTACATGTGTATCGCGATATGAATGGATTTGCCGCGATCATGCGTGCCTTAATGCTCCCCGAAGTACGACGCCTTCGCAAGTTGTGGCAGGCGTGTTCGTCACGAGCACGCGACATGTACCGCGAACTGGCACAAATCATGTCTCCGTCTAAAAATCATCAGGCGTACAACGATCTCATGCATCGCAAGCTCGAATTATTCCACCAGCACTCGTCGAATGGCTCCACTGTGGCCGTGCCCTGGATCCAGCCGCATCTCTCGGAAATCCAATCGATCACCAAAGAATATACCGCGGGTGATCATGACAACTATCGAGCCGCACGCATTGGTGAAATGGTCCTATCGGCTCCGGGTGCCCGAAAACTCTCCATGGTCGTTGCTGTTCTCGAGCTGTGCCAAGTCAATGCCACAACAGAGTCGGCGGATCTCATTGAAGAACTTTCCAGTAAGAATACTAGACGCATGTCGTTCAAACCAATCCATGTCGACGGTCTTAGAGGCACCGTTGTCCCACCCGCTGATCTCAACGGATTGTTGCCTGGCGATGTCGTTGCTCATCACTGGTTGGTTTCACGCGTTTATTTGACAAAGGATCAGTTGATCAGCGAAAGTATCGAAGTCGAGCCATTGCAGCCGGGTGAGACGCTGGCGTGTGACACCGGAATTGAGGAAGAGGAGTTGCTGGAGCGGGATATGGCTGATACGGATGCTGTGCTGGGTAGCGTGCCCTCAAATTCACGACGTGCCAGCTTGACACTTGATGTGGACCGTGATGACAATGGTGACGACCGTAACGATGACAGCGATAGTAACCAGGGTGATCATCCGGTTGCTACGGAAACCATACCACTGCCACCGGTACCTACACAAGAGCCGCAGCCACAAATTACCCTAGCGTCACCCATGCCTCCACCATCGCCTGTACAGCCGGTGGAACCTGAGCAGCCAACTCAGCCAGCTCAGCAGGAGCAGCAACTTCCGGAGGTAGAGGAGGAGCAATCGGTGAAGCCAATAGAGGAAGATCTTCACAATGTCTGGAGCAGCACAAACGACGACGTCAGTCATGCGGAGGAGAATAGCAAACAGCCGGATGTGATGGAAGAAGCAAGTGGCAACGATCAGCACAAGCGTGAAAAGAGTCTGACGAATCAATCGACGCAGTCGGGATCAACGCAGCAAGAATCGTCAGCAAGCAAACAGACCAAGAAATCCCGCCTGTCACCCACAGCTCCTGAATTTGTGCCTTCGCGTAAACTTTCCACCAGCGGCTTGACAGCCGAACCCCCATCCTCAGTGGTCGTATCTCCTGCATCCTCTGTTCAAGATGTACGCGAGCTCCCAGCGCCTATTGCGGAAGAAGAACAAGAAGTAACCGGAAACAATGAACATGATTCCGAGGAGGAATGGCACGGGTACTTGTATTATGACAAGAAGCAGGACGAGACGGAATCAGAGACATGGAACGGATATCCGAGCCCACCTTTGGAAGAAAGCAACAACAGTAGTAATAGCGCCAAGGGAGGACCAGGCGGAGCACGACGTATATCGACATCGCCATCCGAAAGTTCTGAAGAGTGGAAAGGATACCACGCATCCAAAATGGAAGCGGTCTGGCAACGCGAGATCGATCTTCAAGTACAAGAACGCGACTGGCAGGGTTATACACTGGAAACACTGAACGAGGATGAACTGGACTCGAGTACCATGATGGATGGCGAATTTGAAAAGTCGCGGCAAGCAAGGCGTCAAGATGATCCTATTGAATCGTTCCGTCGGCATCAAGAAAATAGCAAAAACAGCCCTAATAATAACCGACGGGCGCCTAAGCTGCGTTCATAAATAACCTTTTCATACTCTGCCCCACCCCCCATCCAGTAGTACATAAGTATAACCCTAAAGTTCTCTTTCTATCTAACCCCCACCAACCCCATTACACTATCCATCATCCTATATATCTCCCCTATACCCCCTTCCTTGTGTCGTGTAAGTGATCAGTCTCTCTTTTACCTTATGTTGTGGGATTATGTTTTTTATTATAAAAAAAGGATCGCGTCAACTCTTCTCTCTTTCTCCCCATCCTTTATAATATATTTATCTCATTTTGATATCATTCAACCATTAAAACCATATTGTCGATATCGAGTTAGGAAAGATCTTTAGCGGCTAAGGGTTATGCTTCATCGACAAGCCTTGATTCAAAGGATGTTATAAAAGGTCATCGCTGTTGAATGTCGGCGTGGTAGGCAGTGCATACTACAAATCCTGATCCATCAGAACGCTATTTTGATTTTGAAAACAATGATTGCTTTCTTCCCTCAAAGGGCAGCACAGCAATGGAGTACTGACGCTTTTTAACTCAGAACTGACCAATGGAACAATATCTCATCTGGGGAAATAGTTCGTTTGCCAGGAATACGATGTGCGCTTGTCTCTGATTCACTGATTTTAATACTAGTGTTAACGGTGATGTTTCTACAGTCTATGCGCGAACTATGCACACAAAGCGAATCCGAATAAACGGTCAGTATAACTCAAACAAAGTGAACTCTGCATCAATACATCAACCTCATAAAGTTACTTATCTTTTTGTTTCCATTTGGCTCTGCATGTATCGTATATTAGGCTCGTTCACTTGCTGAATAAACTGGTCGCTTGGCTAGGGTGATTTAAATAAGTTTAATCTACAAACCTAGTTCCACGACTTGATTGTCGACTTTTTTCTTTCTCGCAAATGCTTCGCTGGCCGGACCACACGGACGAAACACCACAACAGATCCGCTCAGATGACATCCTTTCAACAGTGGTGCATATTGGAAGCGGCCCGTCGTTGGGCTATGGTAAAGTAAAACCTTGAATGTCAGTACATACATAAAGAGTCGTCTTATAGCAGACTTGCACTGTAATTCGTGTCGACTTCCATTCTTTACTCCCTTTATCGCATCCATCCACGGCACTTTTTGTATGATACAGTATGCACATTTCTGTAACAATGATCAGTAAACAAAGCATCATAGATATTCAGGATCCTAATGGTCATAGTAATAGACGTCATTTTTTCGTGCTTTCCTGAAGCTATTGCATGTTGTTCTAAAACATTAAATATACATGCACTGTTAGTTAATAGAACATATGTGTTTATTTGATTACGTTCGGTGATTATATAGAAGGCTGGCTATATACATTTGATCCCTCTTTCGGTAACTGGGGGACATACAGTATGTACTGTATCTGCTTTTATTTCTTATTCGCTTCATCAATAACAAGATGTAAGCCAAATCGGTTTCCACGATTAAGAATGAGTTGACATAAGGTACTGACAATCCATAATCCAAGCACACCGGAAAGCATAGCATAAATACGGGGAGTGGTTTTGTAATTGATATGATGGATAGCGTCAAGCATGGCACGGGGTCCATTAACCATATAGGTATGCACGACAAGATCCAGACCCAGCATGAAAAGATAGGCGCCTAGGAACGAAGTAAGGATACACACAGCAGCAAATTCAACCAAGAGCAGCGCGATTATACCAGCAAGACCAAAACCTAGCGATGCGAAATGACGTGCGTATACGTTTTGGATAAGCAGTCCATCGCCCCATGTCCAGAAATACATGGCCAAAATATAGCCGCCTATCACTTTTAAAATATGCACATTTGTCAATGTAATATATATATAAAGGCTCTCTTTTATATCACGTTTTTAAACATGTAGATATTTAATAGCAACTTACAGCCAAGCCCATAGAGTGTTACTTTCCAGAAATACATGGCTACTCCAGCAAACAAGAACCCGGCGCCGTAACATCCAAATGAAAAGACAATGCTCGCATGAGGATAGGGTTTACCTATCGGTTCCGCTGCCGTAAGCAAGACCCAGGTAATAGTAGCTAGAGTATGCAGCTTTTATTAGCCTTCTTTTTTACTTTGGAGAGCCCTTAGAAGTAACGTGGTATACAGCAAAAAGAAAGAGAATTATACCTCCAGTGATAAATCCAACCATTCCCATAGTTATAGTAAAGTAGCGAAATCCGGCGGCCATCAAATAGACGCCAAATGCCATGAGAAACGCAGCTGCAACGCCCATATGAGCAGGAATTCCTGGACCGTCGTAGGGTTCATCTATCGAAGCCATTCGTTCTTCTTTAGCAAACAAACTCGAGTTTGAACACACAAAAAACCTTGTGGTGGGAATAATAACCACGAACCATATCGTTTATCATCGTTGATCTGATGTTGTTTTTCTTGTTGCGGCTTTTCTGGGGTATGGTGATGGTTAGGACGATGATGTTGATGATGGTCGTCGGCGTCGGTAATGTCGTTAGTAGTATCATTCTGAGGGGGAGGATTGTTCCAAGCATTACACAACACGGTAAAATAACACACAAATAGCAAGAAAATGATCAAGCACCGGTGTGTTTTTCTTTTCAGCATAGTCTTTGTTCGAGCGAGATGGTAAATAAGTAAGAGATTGTGTATGAAAGGTGAGGAGGATGAAAATACGATCTATCCCACCTCTTCTTGTTCCTTTCATTCATTTATATGTGGTAGGGGAAAAAACACGCATCACGCATTATCTGCATTAAAAAAAGTCACAAGGTTAATGTTATTGGCTTCTTTGTTCTTTTTCTTCTCGAATAAGAAATAACAGCATGTCAAAAGAGGAAATCAAACAAGAATTGGCACAGTACGAACCGAATGAAGAAGAACGTGCTGCTATCAAATCAGCCGTGTTCAACTTTGTCAACCTTTGTAAACTATCTTTTTTTCTTTCTTTATTGACGGCTATATATACACAATTTGCTCATTCCGATCGTCCGCCTTGATTGAGAGACTAACTGAATGAACTTTGCCGACGCGTTTTTTTTGAATATGAAATAGCTACTGTGGGTGCTGGTTCACTCGGTTTAGCAGGATACTTATGGAGTAAGTCATATATAAGCCAGTTAACTTTATTTGAAGGGAGGGAGGGTGGATAGAATAGAGCTAATGGATATGCAATATGTGACCACGAAAATTCAGATAAATCACGACCTAAACGCACAGGCATCCCCACAATCCGTAAGTACTTTGATAGCAGTGAAAAACAATATAATCCGGCTCTATGACGGGTAAAGAGTACACTTGTTAATTATCGAGATATTGTATATAATAGTTGGCTTTTTCACGGGATTAGCACTGGGTGGTGCCTTGGGAATGGATAAAGGCATGCGCACATTACGAGCCAGGCTACCTAGCGATTCGAAACTGTTATCCATCATCCATGAAACTGATCAAATGCGTCATGGTTCTGTGGTACCATTCGAAGGAACAAAAGCAACAACACCTGTAAATCAACAGCAAGAACAACAAAGCACGGATAATATCGATGCGTTTGTGCCTGACGACAAGGCAAACATCAAATGAGTGATATAATAGTAATTTTAAAATGTAGAATCTTCCTTTTTTTATTTGAATCAATAACTTACACAAGAACAACTAGATAACAAACCCGCCTTTTTTTTCTGTTATGTCAAAATGCTATGCCAGCTTACTAGTACTACAAAGGTTTGTGAAATGAAAGAACAAGAAAGAATAGGGAAATTCCTTGAAAACGAAAAGAAAGAGAACAAAAGAGGTATCTTCTAGAACGGAAATAATAACAACAGAGGAATTTTGGAATTGGGACATTGTACTGTGTGATGCTCAAATGTGCGTTAGTGAGTGTGCAGTGTGAGTATATATTAATAAATGGGCTATTGTTGTTGCTGTTGCTGTTGTGAATGAAATTCGGTATTGTAAGCTAGTACACCAGTGATCCAGCCTTTGGCATACTTGAATACTTTGGCAGATCCATCGAGTTTCGAGTATCGAAGACCAATAACGTCATTTGCTGCAACAAATGTCTCGACAGTAAATACAACGGTGCTTTCCTTTTCTTGTTCAGGATCCAAAGTGGCTTGTGGCACTTGTTGCTGACTGTGATGATGGTTGTTGCTGTTGTTGTTACTTTTATTGTTGTGATAATGATGGGACGAGTGGTGATGTGTGGATGAATGTAACTGGAACGACTGTGACCAAGGCATCATGATTGTATCATGTTGATGAGAAAAGGGCATGGATAAACGCTTGAACGTCCGACTCCAACGATTTGTGTTTGTGCCAGTGCTTGCACTGTTATTACTTAGTAAACTGCTACGTTGTCCTGGACCGTCCGTTGCTGCTGTAGCAAATGACGCGTTCGTATACTGTTCTGCTTGCTGTTGCGAGGAAGGAGACAGTGGTAATTGATTGTTGGGCATGGGTGTCGATGACGAACTTGCTGCTGCTGCTGCTGCTGCTCCTGCAGCAACAGATTTTTTCCGATCCTTTAATCCATGAAACCAAGATCCACTGCTGCCTCCGTGAGTATTACCACTATTGTTGTTGTTGTTGTTGTTGTCATAGCTATGCATTGTCATGACGCATGCCAGACGCAACGAGCTGTCGTGACGATAAGTGATGCCCAAAAGCTCACAGGCTGCACGCACGAGTAGCAACATGTCCATTTCAGTACCTTGGATTCGATAATAAGTGATTTGATCTTTGGCGACGCGTTGATAAAGTTGTGACAAACTGAGCGTAGAAGCTGTCTTTTTCAACCCTCGTTGTTGTTGCTGTTGTTGTTGTTGAGCAGCAGCAGCAGCAGCTATCATAGGCCCTTTGAGCTTGCGGAATAAACGATGCAAAGGCGAATGCATGTCTGCAGCAGGTACAGGCTGCAGCTGAGCTTGCTTTAACTGCGCGCGAACAGTCTTTATCAATTCCTTCTGCAGCAGCCCTTGAGCCTGTACGACTTCGTCTCGTTTGGAGTAAGGTGTATAGTGCATCGATCGGCTAGTGAAATAGATAGACGGGTTGATCGGGTGATACAGGATGGATTTCTTGACGTGACATCCGCGTCGATTCTCTTCTTCCATGTCTTTGAGGTACCGCTGCCGCGTTCGCTCGCGATCCGCCGTCAGCGGAAAATAGTCGCGGTCCGTGTCTTTGAAAAGGTCCGGCAGTCGGCCGTCGTCATTGAGCCATGCGTCGTCTTTGAGTGCGAGTCGGATGCCCATCCGTTTTCGTCGGTCGACCGATAAACATTTTCGGATCGTCTGTTGGAGCCCTGGACTAAGATTCTCTGGCATTGGATAGTTCCCGCTTACCACGTATTTCTTCAGCTGATCTGGATCTTTGGGTCGAGTTGTTAGTTTCAGTACATGGCACGCATCATGTATGTATAGAGCCAGCTCCCAGCCCCGACAAATCCTTCTTTTGTTGGATAACTTACTGCGCGCATGTGCAAAAGGTTCGAATCCGGCCGTCATGCGAAACAACGTGACACCCAAACACCAGCAATCCACTTCTGGCCCTGTATACCTCTGGCCTGAAAAGATTTCAGGACTATAATACAACATGGATCCTTAATAAAAGAAAACATGTTTTAGGATTGTATATAGTTAGCGTCTATAGAGGTTTACTCCTTGAAACGAGCTTGTGTCAATGACATGTATCTTGGCATACCACATAAGGTTTTCAGGCGTTGGTGCCCGAATCTATTCCCCAGCCCGAAATCCGCTAAGCGAATTTGTCCATCCGGCATCAGTAATATATTGGGTGTCTTTGATATTAAATTCTGTCGTATCAGTATTGTTGCAATCCTGCCAATAAACCTTAAGACATATCCCCCCTTTCAAAAAGAGATATTACTAGATATACCTTGATATCTCGATGAACAATCCATTTGCGGTGACAATGATCTACTGCTGCCACCACTTGTCGAAAGATGGCTCGTGCCTCTGTTTCGGACAGGGCACCTTTCTTGGATCGCTGCAGATGCTCATCCAGATTAACCCCGGGTACATATTCCATAACCAAATAAAGCGTTTCGGCAGTCTCGTATGTTTCATAGAGATGGATCACGTTTTTATGATCCATCGCTTCCATCAAGGCTACTTCACGAACCAATCGAGACATGACGCGATATTCGTGCTTGCGCTTGTCAATGATCTTTTTTAATCCATTGTTCGTTGATGATATTAGCATAATTTGTTCTTGAGTGTGTGGTGCATATATAATTGCGTATATTATGTGAGATCTCTTTCTTTCTCTATCTCTCTCGTGCGCACCCCCTCTTTGTGTCTTGCACCTTCACCCCTTAATACGGTAACTAACCTTGACTGCAAAGCGTTCGCCAGTAATATAATGTTGTGCAAGCATAACTTTGCTGAATTTGCCGTGGCCGATCTGTTCGACGAAGCTATAATCGCCAATACCATTCAGAAGCGTGTCTGTCGAGGGTGGGAATTCTTTCTTTTTATCACTACTTTTCTGTGGTTGCTGTTGCTGCTGGTGTGGCGGCGAAGGGGATTGTGGAGAAGGTGGTGGTGGAGGCACTGGTGGCGGAGGAGTAACGGTAGCCGGAGGGGTATCAGTAGTAGTAGGTGTTATCGGACGATGGTGGTGCGATCGTGGAGATGAAGCGACTGACTTTAGATCGTCCTGGTGGTGTTGTTGTCTCGGCAGGAATTGGGACTGGCGCCGACGTAACTTTGTTCGCAACTGATCGGCCACAGTCCGAAGCGGCATGAAGGTTGCAAATAATGATAATGAAAGGAAGAGAAGAGGAATTTGTTTTATACGGTGACCTGCGCAGACAACGAAAAAAAGAAAGAAAGAAAGAACAACAACCTGGAGGGGGAGGGGAGGTACAAAAGTATTGCACCGCCGCAGCTCTTACTTTTGTAGTAGAGACTAGAACAGCGTTGTAATATATTAATTTGTCTTCTCTGTCTGTCCGTCTGTATGTCTCTCCCACCCGCAACATGCCCACTCAGATCTACACGGTGCCTCTACTTTGCTTGCACAAAAAAAAGCTCCCTCTTGACAGAAAGAAAGAGAAGCACCGACGACATTGCACGAGGCACTCGCATCGGGACGAAAACAATGCACTAACATGCCGAAGTTGTTTGTTCAGAAAGGGAAACTTTTCTTTTTTTATCTCGGGTCTGGGGGGTGGGGATGGTTTGCGTTGTTGAGAGGAGATGCTGATTTGATGACGATGGAAAAAAGAAACAAAAAGGCTATTTTTTAGAAATAAGAAAGAAATGATACAAAAACATGATGGCAGCAGAAAAAGAAGGAGGAGGACTATACGGTGTGTGTGTGTGTGTGAGGGGTTATTTAAAAAGAGCAGTAGTAGTGGTAGCAGTAATAGTCGGTAATAGCAGTAGCAGTGGCAGTAGTAGTAGTAGTAGTAATCAAGAGGAGGTAAGAGGAGGTTATCATCGCTAACAAGAAGACTTAGAAGAAGCCATCGTCATCGCCACCACCAAAGAGTCCATTCGATGCCAGCGTGTTTGCAAGATGTCCGGATACGGTCTTTGACTTTTCCTCATTCCGCTTCTTGTCCATCTTCTTGGTCGAGAGTGCACCCAGCCCTTTGAGATAGTCGACCAGTCGCTTGTGGCTGTTGGATTTAGCCAGCTCCAGTGGGGTGGGCACGCGTTTTGACACATAGGCATTGATGTCACAGCTAAACCGTTCCACCAGCAGTGTCACAACTTCCAGTCGTCCAGCACGGGAAGCCCAGTGGATCGGCTGCTCGCCCCGATGATCTGCTTGGTCCGCAGGAATACGACATGAGCGGATAAGGAAGCATACCAAGTCCGTGTGGCCCGACACGCTTGCATAATGTAACGCCGTAGCACCTATGCCACGCATCATTTTTGGTGTTTTTTATTGTTTAGAATCGTGTACATCGCGTCATTATAAGTGTCTTCCCCCCTTGCTCTGACTCAAATTCATGCCAAATCTAAAAAAAAATTACCTATGCTGTCGACTTCGAGATTCAGGGCGCCCTGAGTATATCCAACAATAAACTCCACCACGGCCGCATGACAATGCTCAGCTGCGGCGTGCAAAGCGGTCTTGTTGCGCGAGCCCTGGCCGCGAGCATGGACAAGATCTCCGCCTGCCTGCACCAGCTTCTGAAGTCCGGCAAGCCATCCGACGCTGGCGGCAAGATAGCAAGGTGTCACCTATATTTTGGGGTTTTGTCATGATATAAATTATTAAGATTAAATGAATATTAAATAATTAATAACAGCAAGAAGGTTTGGTTATCAACCACTTAGCCGATCCACCACTACCACTACTACAACCCCATGCCCAGCACAAACATTCCAAGTTACCTTGTCTTCTTCGACGTCACCCATGGTCATGGCATTTGGATTCGCGCCTTGTTGCAACAACAGGTCCAACGCGCCGGGTGCCTTGGTGACAATCAAGGCATGAATCATGCCATAGCCATACTTGACTGCACTTGCTGACGGCGATTGTTTGGCGGTATTAGGCGACCCGCCACGACGCAAAAAGTTGCTTATGATCTTTTCGACCGTCACATCGCTGCCCTTAGACTTGGCAATGGTGTCCCAGAGTCCATCGGATCCACCATACATGAGCGGGTCAACGCGTCGTTGTTGGATCATCGAAGAGCCGGTGTAGCCTGCAGTGGATGTGGTGGACCGCACAGGCGTCATGGGCACTGAATAGACCGATGTGGCCGATGAAGAGCCGGGGCCAATACTGCCAGGGCCTCCTCCTCCACTCCCTCCGTTAGCGCTTCCTGACATGGTCGATGAGGCTGTGGACGGTGAAGAATAGGAGGAATGGATCGACGGATTGTGTCGCAAATAGGCTCGATTATTGCCTCCTTGGCCGCCCAGTTGCTGGATGTTATGGTGGTTGTTGTTGTTGTGAATCGATGCAGAGTCGGTCGTAAGGTCGGAGCTGACGCTGTAAATGCTGTTGGTGCCTGGATGGCGAATAGGGTGGTTTGGAGGCTGTCGCATCGCATTGTCGGCTAATGACATTGTGGCAGTGGAAGAAGACGAGACGGACGAGACAGAGGGCAAAGGTGTGCCGTTCCAGTACGACTGTGGTGGTGTTTGCTGCTGCTGTTGGTAGTGATGCAAAAGCGACGATGCGGTCGAGGTCGACGATGATCGTGAGGGGATGGCGCCACCTCGGGTTACTACTGTTGCTGCTGCTGCTGCATTGCTACTGTGTTGCGATTCATACGAGTCAGAAATGACAGAGGGTTGCGGGCTCGTGGGTGTCAAGGGATAGCCTGACAACGGTGGCTGCTGCAGTCGTTGTTGTGGTGGAGAGGCTGGTGTGGGTGGCAGCGGCTGCTGCTGAGGAGGAGGAGGTGGAGGCGGTTGCTGTGGAGGCGCTGTAATTGCTTGGTTGTTGGTACTATTAATATTACTACTATTGCTGCTGCTATTGCTGTTGTTGATATGGGTAGGTGGCAGTGGAGGAGGAGGATGGCTGAAGGCGCCTGTGTGGTGATGAAGAATATGGTGATGCTGGTGATGTGGTACAGATGAAGAAGAGTTGGAGAACGTTGGGAGTTCGCTCAGGGTGTCTGATTCGGCGGACAACGAGCGGGAGGTTGTGCTACTGCTGGTCGAATGGACCAGCGATGGCTGTTGTGATGATGCGACTGGTGTTGGTGGTGGTGGTGGTTGCTGCTGTTTGCTCACATAGTCGAACTTCTTTTTGAAAAATTGCATTTCGCGCACTGCTTTTTCGTAGCGCCGTTGATGCTCGTCGCTCACGGCTTTGAACTGGTCGTTTTCTTGCTCGAGTTGCTGTGTTCGCTGCTGTAACATTGTAACAAGTCGTTCGTGATCGGTCAACAATCGCTTGAGCTCGAGTTTCAGGACCTGGCGCAGTTTGTCGTGCTCGACCTGCTGGATTAGCTCGATGAGACACTCGCGTGCACTCATGGGCAGGTCGCTGTGGTCGTCTTTGTCGTCGCGAAGCATGCGATCGAAGGGTCGAGTCAGGTCCTCCATACTGCAGAAGGATGGAGAAGGAGAAAAGGAAGAAGAAGAAGGTGGTGGTGGTGGCATAGTCATTTTTTTTGTTCAACACTGGTTTTTTTGCGGGTGTGAATAGAGTGAGTGTGTGCTGTGTATTACAGGAAATGAAGGTAACGCAAAAAACGACCGGAGAGATAATTGATGTGTTCTACAAAAGAAGTCGGGAACAAAAAAAATAAAATAAAATAAAAGAGAAAAAGAAAGAAGATGGAAAAAGGCTCTAGTCTGTCTGGCTCGATGGGGCATTTATTCGCTAACCCATCCACCTCCCGTTAGATTGCCTATTTTGAACGCTTATTCAAAAAAAAAAAACAGAGCAGAGAAGAGAGGAGGGAGGGGTGCGCACACAAATCCATCGAAGAAGCAAAAGAAGAACAGGAATCGCACACTCTTTTCTCCCTTCAATTCCCGCCAAATGGGTTCGATGGGTGCCATAATACCCCATTCTTGTCATCAAAACAAAGAAAGAAGCCCTTTCCGTATCACCTTTGAGCTACCATCCTGTACGCGTCCCAGTGCTGCTCGGGCCACAACAACAGATGAAGTTCCCAGACACCCATTGTGTGTGTGTGTGTGCTACTTAGCTACTGTTGCTACCACACTACCGTTGCTATGACTATTGTTTTTTGCTCTTTTTCTCCTAAGCGCCCATGTCATAGAGAGGTTGCAGTTTTCCAGAGCTCCAAACAACCCCCATCCTATCACTACTATTACTACCACTACTACGCGAACACTTACATACATACATACATACATACATACACACACTCCTCTTCTGCTTGTCTCCCTTTCAAACAGTAGATCTGACTGCTGGAAGAATTAAGATTGTCCTCCTCTCTCTCCCCACCCCCCCCCCAACAAAAAGCACCACCACAACCACCACCACCGATTCTCCCTCTTTGACCTGTGTCCCTTGATAGCAATGGCTCCCTATGTGCAAATGTAAACCTGTCATTCTAGAGAACAATACGCCGCTGCTGACACTTTGTGCTATGTTTATCAAAAGCATGATCACATGGGCCCTACCTATCCACAGCATTTCTCGCAAGTTGGATATGAGCGGCATATGGCTTATTAGTTTAATTCCCAAAAGCACAAATCGCCGCTTCAATGATTTGCATCCCTCCCCCCCAAGAAGTATGATGGAATTAAGAGCAGGCAGGCAGCATGCACACTTTCTCACACACAACGTATTAGGCTTTATTTGTCATGGTCAGAACGACTGGGACGGACAATGAGCTTAATTAAGCAAGAACAGAGGCACACAGACAAAACTGGGTATAGTAATCGGTCTTTTGCACCTTTCCATAAACTACTGGCCGTTTCCTCCTCGTTTCCTCTGCTCCTACTACTCTAACCCACCCCACCTCCTTTCAAATACCCACCCCCTCCTGTGATTTAATGATGGGTCTTGCTAGGCAGTAGTGTAATACGGGGTGTATAGCAGCACTAATAATAACGGTAGCAGTAGTACGGTGCTGTGCTACCCTGTACCCAACATAAGGCTGCTGCTGCTGCAGAGATGCAACAAGATGCAACAAATCAAATTATATGAAAGTGATCTGTTACACATGCGCCATATCAAAAACCACAGTCCGCTATTAAAAAGAAAGAGAGCATACATGCACAAGGGAACAATAAGAAAAAAAATGCAAGTGTCGCTGAAGATCGGTCTTTCGCCCTACTGCGGCATCAGATCTCTGTGCCTGTTTAATTTAGAGTTCTATCATTATTTACCATCCACTCAATCATCTATCCATTAGCAACAACAAGGACAACAACACCCTTCCCTTTGCTTCCAAGGTAGCTTCGCCAAGTGCTTCGCTAGGTACTCCTTTGCCCTTTTCCTCTTTCCCTTCCTCCTTTGACCGATGATGACGGTGATGATGGTTCTGTCGGGTGGCCGACCATATACATACACTCCTGTCCTGCCCTCGTCAATGATACTACGTACCCGTTGCTACTACTACTACTAAACATCCCATGTGCTATTTCCTCTTTCTGATCAATAATCCAGGGTAAAATGCACATTTTTTTTATTTGTTTTGTAATCGCCGCATCCGTTCTTCCGCTGCTCTTGCCCGCATCTCCCTTTCAAGCCTTGACCGTGCCTCGGGCGTCATGCTTGCCAAATTCATTCCAGAAGGACCGTTTCCTGTTGCTGCTACAATCGCTGCTGCTGGTCCACCTAGCATTTGCGGCCCTGTCTTCTTTTGCGATGATGGTGATGATGATGCTTTAGCTAGTTCTTGCTCTTGCTTCTTCTTTAGCATGCGAGCCTCTTCCTTCTTTTGTCGTTCCTCTTCAATCTTTCTCCGCCTTGTTGCTTCACGCTCCTTCCGTACTCGATCCTTCTCCGCCTGTTCTAGTTCAGCTTCTCGTGTCAGTGGACTCGGTACGCGTGCCTCGTTGAGCCAATCCCAGCGGCTGCTTAGATCACACATACACCGTCGTAACGCATTACGTGTGTCTTTGTCCTTGGCTACTTCGTACGCCGTTTTGCCTAGATCGTTTTTAATTGTCGGATCGGCATCCAGCTCGCGCACCAGAACAGACACGAGTGCGGGGTAACCGGCATGTGCTGCCAAATGAAGTAGCGTCGGATATCGCTTTAATTCTTCGTCAGCGTCATCATCATCATAATTGTTGTTGTTGTTGTTACTGCCCTTGGGGGTGGTAGCAGTACTACTGGATGGGAACAATGATGCTAATATAGGACCACGAGATAAAGACAGCAAAATGTCCTCGTGCTTTCGAACATGCGCTAGCACCAATTGCTCTTTACCCTGCTTGGTCAGGGACACCAATTTCTCGACTTGAGCTGGAAGCGCTTTGTTGTAGTTGCTGTTGCTAGCACCACTGGTGCTCTTTTTCATATCTTGTTGTTTACCGCCACTTTTAGATTTTTCTAGTTGTTGACGTGCCCGTTCCTCCTTGTCAATCACTTTGGCTCGATGTGCCTGGATTGCCTCAATGTCCGCTTCAAGGACTTTGAGCGTGCTCATTTCAATAAATACACGGCGTACTTCATTCAATGTTGGTCGTTTTGTCGGAAAAGGGATGGTTTCCGAAGTATGGCGCGTCAGAACGGCATCGTCGTAGCCATACACCAGCTTGCGATTGTTGCTTGGTGCATGGACAAAGACATGTTCGCTTTCTTGGATATGTTGTTTCCATTGGTCAAGCACCTCGCGTACCTCTTGCTGCAACATTTGTTCGTTGTGTCGACGGATTTGTGCGCCTGCGGAATTGGCTGCACCTTTGGAACTATCGTTGGCTGATTGTGCACCACCCTGCTTTCGTCTCGCTATTTGAAAAATCCTTTGTTGTAAGTAGATCAAGATCCCCTCCTTAGCGATCCATCATTGAATAAAATAAGAGAAAAGAAAGCTCACTGGTATAGCGATGGAACGTCTTGTGCGCAACCATTTTCACCTCGTGTGGATCCAGCTTGTGAGGGCCCCGGATACTCTTATTGACATCCACCACAGCACCTGCGAAATGACCACCACCAATCATGATGATCGTCCACAGCCGCTTTCGTTGTTCAAACCGCGTCGCTTGCAAGCGCGACAAGCCTTCCAATGTCTCGGTCAGTTTCCGATACACGCCAAAATGGATTGATCCAGGCAATGCAGGCGATGCTTGAAACCACGACAATGCACGGTATTTCTTCTCGAATGGAGACAGGTCTTGTGCTACAGCATCAAGCGAAACATGGAGTGCTTCTTCCTTTTGCTGCTGTTGGACTTGTTTCTTGAGCAATGCGTTTGTGTTGTCGTTCTGTGTTTCGCTGTCGCTGGAGCTGTTGTCATCGTCTTCTTCGTCTTCTTCTTCGGACTCGGATCCCGAGATACTTTCAGCCAAGTCTGTATACCACATATTCATATATTAGAGAACCATATAGTGAACAGATCCAATACGAACGCAGAAAAGAAAACTAATTACCAGCAAGCATGGCTTCAAACTCGGGCAACGATACAGGGGGTTGTTTCAGCACCAGTTTACGCTTAATATTATATCGATGCCAGTCAGTTGAGAAATGCTTACGATGATCTTGACGATCGTTCGTGGAAAAGGCGAGATCGCACGTATTACACGTCAACACGTCGGATGAACCGGGCTCTGTTGTTGTTGCTGCTGTTTGATGTTGCTGAATTTCTAGATTCTCGAGAGCTGCAGCTGTCACGTCGACTTGTTGAGACTCTTGTTGCTGTTGACGATCTCCATCATAGTCGACGGGATGTAGTGCGTCGAGTAGTTCTTGAGGAATATGAAACACGCTCAGTGGACGTTGTTTTAACTTTTCAATGTCCAGCATATTCTTAAGTCTATAATTTTTGAGAATGGAGGAAGACGGAGTGAGGGAATGGTCGATAGACGGAAGGTAAAGTATGGTTATTTGACTGTCGTAGGTATAATGTTATATACAAAACGGTTATGGCGCGGATTATTATAGATTTACTGCGGCAAATGTGTGGCCACACTTAAAAAAAGCATGATACCTCCGCCACCTTTTAAGGGTGTCGCAGCAACAGAAGTCAGCCACACCGTACTTTACTATGGTGTGCGATGATTGCTACGATCACATATAATACTTTCTCCAAAATCATATCATTGATTAAGAATGACAAGCAATCTGTCAGACTTGGTATGTCATTTTAAAGAATGACAATAAAACAGTTCATGATTAATAAAATGTGCTTCTGGCTTATCAACCACGTTACTAGTGGCAGTAGTACATATATAGAAGTGTTTAAATGCCACACCATACCCTTTCTATCTTTTTCCTTTTTACGGTGTGAGTGGTGGCTATAGCTGTTTCTTATTTAGTTGGATTCGATATCATGGATATAAAGAAATACTCAAGAACATCATCATCTATTTCCGACAAGGAAAAAAGAGTCTTAACATATCATATACTTCCTCATCGGTTATTGCTAATGATATCATGAATATAATTTCGATCGGCTTTTCCATACATCAGCAAATGGACAGAGACCCACAATGCACATGTTCCTCTTCACAGTATATATCTGTGTGCGTGCTGCATCGACATAGTATATGTACATAGAATTAACCTAGAAATTGACGACGGACGTCGATCATCTTACAACAACATCAAAAACAAAAAACAGGTTTTTCTATAAAACGAGTAATGTTCAAGAACGAAATTGTGCATTATTCAAAAATGTCTTGCATAATATGTAGCTTAAAATAGCGGAGGTCCACATGGGAGGGGGGGTAGAAGAAAAACGAAAGGCTGTTTTTCATCGGATCATTCGTGTATTACAATAGACACATCAGAATAGGAGCGACACTGTATGCTGATATATAGTCTATCACCGAACAATAACACCTTTTTTCTTTTATCTTCCTACTCCTACTACAAAAACACGCTCCCTTTCTCCTGGAACTCCCAATTTCCCTTCTTATTCCCTTCACAAATTTCTTCTCCTAAATCAAGGCATACTATGTAACAAGTAGAAGGATCGATTGTTGCGGTTACTACTACTTTATTTTCGGTCTTGATTGATTACTTCAACAATCTTACGGAACGAAAAATTGCTACGATATATACTATCCTTACTCACAGAGGGAAAAAAACATTGATCGAGCCTAAAAAGGAGATACGATGGCAGGTTTATAATACTTATTAATACTTATTAAAGCACAATATGTACAATAAGGTATACTACTGCGCCGACAAATAAACGACGATGCGTAAATGATTAAAGGAGACGTTAAACAATAAAACAACTACATATTTTTTGGACGATGAGCGTTAACGACAGGGACGATCACAATTCTAGTTTAGATTAAAGTCGGATGATTGTTGTTCTATTGCTGTAACTAACTGTACAGCCTATACTTTTTATATACAGTTGACCCCCGCTTTTTGCAGTAGCAGTTTTTCATGAAAAAAACTGCAAAAAGCGGGGAACTGCAAAAAGTGAGGATGGGTATAAGGGTGTTACACAGGCTGAGTATAGCTTAGCTTACTAAGTGTCAATTATGTGAAACAATTAAAGAATATCGGTACTTTGTTGAGGTTACTTTCACATTGCAATGTCTATATATAAAAGACTTGAATTTTTGCAATTGTCTTATACACACTACTCAAACTACACATCATGACGAAAGGAAAATATGAAAAGCTTACTGACGAAATAAGTGAAGCAGCGTATCAGTACTACGTCGCCAAAGAGAAAGCGCTGCGCAAGTTTACATACAAGGATTTACTCGACTGGATAAAAACAACATACAACCTTGAGAGTGTTCCGAATACAACAACAATTTCACGAATGATTGCTAAGAGAAAACATGAAGAAGAAAACGGCATCGAGAGAAATAAAAGACAAAAAGCTCGAGCAAAGTTTCCCGTATGTTTAAGCTTATTGAGTACTGCTTGCTATTCACTTTACTAATAAGAAAGCAAAATAATACAATAGGAACTAGAATACGCTTTATATACATGGATAGAACAAAGATTCCATGAGAAGATCCCAATCAATTGGGATATCATTAAGAAAGCTGGTGAAAACTTTGCAACTAAGCTGAAATCTCAACTGAGGACTTGACATTCTCCAATGGCTGGCAAAACCGCTTCCAAAAACGATATAACCTCAAGGTCCAAAAAATAAGTGGTGAAGCTAGCTCTGCTGATGTCACACTCGCAGAAGTCAAGTTGCCTGAAATACAACGAATGCTAGAAAAATATACGTTAAAGGACATTTACAACATGGACGAGACAGCTGTCTTCTACTCCAGTGCTCCTGTGTCTACAATTGCACCTGGACCGTTTAAAGGGGTCAAGCAGGACAAGTCGCGGTTGACACTTGTATTGACGACGAATGCTGATGGATCTGATAAGTGGCGCCCCTGGTTCATTGGCAAGGCACAGCGCCCAACCTGTTTCAGCAAAGTATGCTATACGATAAAGTAAAAGATGATGATCAACTGCTTATTATATTTTCTATATAACAACAGGCACAGCAGAGAAAGGTTGACATCTCGAAGTACCGTGCAAATGCCAATGCTTGGATGACGCGCGATATCTTCAAGAAGTACCTTACTATGTTGGATAAATCGATGGTGTATCAGCAAAGAAAAATTGCATTGCTCTTAGACAACTTTTCGGGCCATTTTTGCGATTACGAGCCAAAGAATGTCGAGCTAGTATATTTGCCGCCAAATACAACATCGCTTATGCAGCCTTTAGATGCTGGTATTATCCGCAGCTTCAAGGTGCATTTCAAGTACGTTGTTGTTATAATTATTAGATAGGCTTATTTTATATGTATTTGGAAATTTGAAAGTAACCATTTTCTCTGTTGTATTAGGAATTTGCAATATGAGCATGCATATAGCAGAATTCAGGAGCGCTTGGAAAAAGGCCTGCCTGTTGATAACGGAAATACGTTTCGTATTGATGTTTTGACAGAAATACAATGGTGTCATGAGGCATGGCAAAGTGTTCTAGTGCTGACAATTGTAAACTGCTACATAAAAACGAGGGTAATAGATGCAGTCATGACTAGCAGCACTGATAGTGGGTCAGACAATGCAGACGAAGTTGCACTTGGCCAGATCATCTCAGTCTTATTTATGGTGCCAACAACCTTGCAAATTTCACTTTTGATGCAGATCTACCTGAGGAAATTGCAGCTGTTCATCCACTGCTTTCCGATGAAGAAATTGTTAGTGCTGTTCTTAATGAAAAAGTAGCTGATGATGTTGTTGACAACGGCAATGAAGATACTAGCATGACTGTTGTTTCATCTGAACCTGTTACACCAGTATATAGTTTGCAAGAAAAAACAAGAATACTAGAAAAAACAATTGCTATTTTAGATGCCCCGGAACATCAAAACATCCGGAATGAGCTCAGAAAAGTCCGGGATGATTTCCGCAAGAAAAGCCAGAACAAACAATCCAGAATCACCAATTATTTTCAGTGATAAAACCTTTATGTAATAAATATAAAGCTTTATATAGAAAACTAGGAAGTATCAGTGGTTCGATTCTCAGTGTCGCCGCTCTCTGGGGAGAATGAAAACCACTAGCGGGAAATTGCAGGTCCTGGTTTTGGGCTGCAAAATGCAAAAAGTGAGGAAACTGCAATTTTACTAAATGATGAGCGGGATTCCTCCAAAAAAAGCTGCAAAAACTGAGGATCTGCAAAAAGCGGAGGTGCAAAAAGCGGGGGTCAACTGTAATGTCGACTGTTTCTTCCTTTTACACCGTTAACGCATCTTGGATATATTATGATTGTTTGACATGGAATTGAGACGAGATTATAGTAGCCAGCAAGGGTCGATCAGGATGATGCAACTACTTAAAGCAACGACAGTCATGCCGTGAGAGGTGTAGTCAGATCTAGTAGTATGTTTACATGAGCAACTTGATTACATTTCAAACTACTTGATTATTTATCTTTCCATTACGTGAAATTAGCTGATGATGAAATCTAACTTTTTCCCTATGTATACTATTCAGTCTCAATATATTATCCCATTTCTACCATTGTGTAATGAATTACAACAAAACAGGAAAGTAGAACATATTTCTGTATAATACGCTATTTACAACAACCAACTACTTACTATGATAAGTATATTTGAAATTGATAAATTAAGTGATGAGCAACACCGAAACGCTACTTTATAATCTCTTAACCAATATATGATAGTACTGTTTAGGAATTTAGACATGGATGATGTTGCTGGTTTATGAAAGGAAAACATGATTATTCAGGACAGTATAAGCTAACTTGTTTTATTCTACAATGCAACTTTTTTATACGGTCAAAGCATCTTGGATCAATCGTGCTTGTTCGGCACGGAACTGGGACGAAATTCCAGTAGCGGGAGCCGCCAGTGCGGCGCGACCAACATATTGCAACTATAATAACAAGGATTGGTGACAATAACGACGTGAGAAATGAAACCATATAAATTATTTATATGAGCAACTTGACTAAACTCCAAAATATATGATAATTTACCTTTTCATTGCGTGGGATCAGCTGGGAAATACGAGGAGCCATAAATGCATAAGCACCCGCGTTCTCGGGCTCTTCTTGACACCATATGAATTCGCGAGCATAATTGTATTGATCGACAACTTGTTCAAGCTCGTTGCGTGGGAATGGGCTTAATTCCTATTGTATGTATTGACAATGTATATAGTGAGTACTTATCTTGATTCTACATTTGAGGTTTGATAACCCTCCTTATGTATCTTATCAACCCATGGCGGTGTTGTTTTCATTTTGTCTATAGTTTACATTACCTCAACTCTTATTAATGCAATACGATCATCAAGTCCCTTGGCAGCTCTTTCTTTGACCAGGTCATAATACAGCTTGCCCGACACAAAGACAACCTTTTCAACTCCATTGGGCGATTCTGTTGACACAGGGTCATCCAATACAGGCTTGAACTGCTGGCCAGGTGCCATATCATCCAATGTGCTAACAGCCGCTTGAGATTTGAGTAAACCCTTGGGCGACATTACAATTAACGGTTTGCGGTAAGGGCGATGGATCTATAATAATTATATAGTATAAATTAGAGGACGGAAAGAAACAGAAGCATATATATAAGTATATTTGGAACAGACATCTCTTATTCCACTATGACTCTCTTATTCCTCCAAATATTATTAAAAATGAGTTTACATGCCTGACGTCGAAGCACGTGGAAGTACTGGGCAGGTGTAGTACAGTTCACGACAGACCAATTGGGTGCTACGTCGTAGCATTTGTCGATATCCATAGGTTCGTTGCTCATCTGAAGAATCAAGCGTCACGTAACCGTTAGGAACATTAGCAACAGAAGATACTACTGCTACTTTTAATTATATTGCTGCAAGGAGGAAGAAATTTGTGCGACATACCTGAAGAAATCGCTCGACGCGAGCTGATGAATGTTCTGGTCCAGCACCATCTTGACCATGTGGCAAAAGCATAACAAGGCCAGTCTGGCGCAACCATTTAGCTTCACTGCTAGAGACAAATGTATCAATAGCAATCTGGGCTCCGTTGAAGAAATCGCCAAATTGAGCTTCCCAAATAACTAGTCGGCTGGGTGATTCGATTGACATGCCGTATTCGAACCCGAGCACAGCATATTCAGACAATGGACTGTTGGCAACCTATAATTTATACAACGTGGAAGTTTGTAAAATATCTTTTGTTAGTTTCTCTAAAACAGATTGGTAATCATGAGCATGACAAGATGTATGGTCTAACCTCAAGGAACCCTTGTCCATCGCCCAATCCATGGTTAAGCGGGATCACCGCCTTTTCAGTTCCTTGATCCACAAACATGGCATGACGCTGGGAGAACGTACCACGGCCCACATCTTGGCCTGAAATTCGGACATCGTGACCCTCCTGCAGCAATGTTCCAAAAGCAAGTGCTTCAGCTGTAGCCCAGTCAATACCAGAACCTTGATCGAGACGTTTGAGTCGGGATGCAATATGGTATTTTTGCAAGCGCGGGTGCAATTTAATGCTGGCATCAGGCGATGTCACAGACTGTTTGCCAACTTGCGTCAAAACATCTGTCGCGACACCAGTATCAGGTTCTTCTTCAGGAAGCGGCCTTGTCTTAACATGCTTGATACCCTTCCAATTGCCTTGCAAGTGGTAGGAAGATGGACAGTCGACAAGGGGCTCATTATTGGCCTTTTGAAGCTCGCTATCCAGTAGACTGTATTGAGACTCACGCACAGCAGCAACGCTTTCAGCGGACTCGAATACGTTTTCTTCACTGATCAGCTTTTGCTCGTACTGTTTAGGAACAGAGTTATGTAGACGAATATTGTTGTACATGGATGGTTGGGTAAATGCAGGCTCATCCAGTTCGTTGTGACCCCATCGACGATAGCAAATTAAGTCAAGGATGATATCCTATCAATAGTAGCAAATGGTATAATATTAATTTCCCTTAGTTTTTGCTCTTTTTTTTTTCTTTCAAGTCCTTGCCAAAATCAAAATAAAATGATGTTGCGCGTACCTTTCTAAACTTGTTTCGATATTCAAATACGACATCCATGGCACGCGCCACATCTTCAGGGAAATCTCCATTTACGTGAACGACAGGCACATTGATCATTTTGCCAATATCCGAGCAATAAGCGGACGAGCGGGCATTCTGTGCGGGTGTGGTATAACCAAGCTGATTGTTGACCACAATATGAACCGAACCACCAGATGAATAGTGAGGCAAGTTGGATAAACTCAATGACTCCATGACAATACCTTGTCCAGTGAATGCCTATGAATCATTAACCCGAATGTTCGGTTATTTTCTCAACATTAAATTCAATTGAAATCATAATGGCAAAGAGGAGAAAATAGAAACGTACTGCATCACCGTGAATTTGAACAGCCATAACTCGATCACCCAAGCTACAATCAGGATTGGCTGAAGTCAACAATTCGGTCTGCTTGGCTCTTGCTTTGCCCATAACAACAGGATTCACAGCCTCGAGATGAGAAGGGTTGCTCAGCAATGAAACATGAACCTCGCCGCCGTCGTATTTGAGTGTTGGGTTATTGACTAAGTCAACAATAAATACATGAAGTGGTTCCATACTACTTATTATAACTCCAGTTTGTACACACAGTGGTAACCTGTTTGTAAACGGTAAAACTTACTTAAATGCGAAATCACATCACCAGTATGCGTCGTATCACCAGGCAGTTCCGAGTTTCCTTTCATTTTACTGAATAGAGCAGCATGTGGATATTCGAGTAAATTGCAGAGTAAATTCAGACGGCCACGATGAGGCATACCAATAAGCACGTCTTGAACGCCAGCTAAAAATAACCGGCATCATGATAAAATCCGTGGTAAAAAAAGTAATTTGTGGTCAGTTACAACAATCATGCAAGGCTAAGCAACAAATATTCTCACGCCCCTGATTTCCCTTATTCGAGGCTTACTTTGTGCTGACAGCTCAAACAGTCGATCCAACGCTACCATCATACTCTCGGCTCCTTCTAAGCCGTATCGCTTCATGTTGGGGAACTTCTTGGCCAAGAAATGATCAAATGTCTAGTAGTAAAGTATCTCGTCAGTAAACCTTGTTGAGAGATAAGAGAGTACCACCAGCAGTTGTTTTTCCCTTAGACATCAGCGTCCTCCACCCATCCTTGAGCATTACTAACCTCCGAATTTGTCAGCAATTCATGAATACGCCGTTTTTGCTTAACAGAAAGTTGCGGCTTTGTCCATGATTCTACAGCATGGTACCACCATCGTCTTTCACTTGCAGACTACATGAACGATCTAAGATTAGCTGCAATTGCAGTTGTCGTTGCATGGATCCTGCTTCATGTTCATTACTCTTGAGTTTCTTTACCGGAAGATGCATAAATTCGTGTGCAATCTTACCGCAATACACGGCATTAAGATGGCCCAGAATGGCTTCAAAATCCGCTTCTTCTCGACCGGATGGATTGCTTGTTGACTCAGTTACATGAAGGATGCCTTTTTCAAGTGGACGTACAGCATATCAGAACCGCGTCATGCCATCGGAAAGAGAAAGGATGATATCATGTCAACCCCGCCAAGTATTCAAGCCTTCATTATTTTATCACATCCACGACCGACCGAAATTTTGAAAAAGATAACGAATCCTAATGACCATACCTGCAAGATTGTACATTTTCTTTGGATCCGTCAATCCATAGCGTTCGGCTTGAAGTGACAGCACTTTTCTTTATACAGAACTACTATTAGATCACCTATGCTAAACTTTTCTCCATATATCCACTGCTGCTTTCCTCGCTTCAATCCATATATGATTCAAATTAACCATATGTATAACATTATCACTTACTCGTGTTGCATGATTTCAAGAGGATCCAGACGGGCCGATTTGTGACCATGCTGTCTGTATGCTTGGACGAACCGTAAAAGGCTACCATATTCCATACGATTGGCGAGTTCTTCTTGGGTGTAATCGGGCATCCGATACTCTTTGGGAACACGATAACCATAGACCCCGCGATCATGATATTGCCGTCTTTTTGTTATGTTATGGAGAGTTCCGCTGTTTCCTTGCTTTGTTTGAAGAAGCAAGCGTCGTCGCGGGTCGACTGTTGAGGAAGAGGCCAACCGGTTTGTCACCGACCTGCAGTATGGAAGCATAATATGATGGATTAAAAGAAAAGTGATAAGAAGAACTCGTGGTTAAAAAAGAAACGAAGAGGCAAAAGAAAAGAAACGGGTGCATGATCAAATTTAAATTGTTTTTTTCCACGCTCTGCTGACCCAAGTACGCGGACTTCTTTCACCTCGTTACAATGCACTTGCGACAACATACAGCAGTGAACTGTTATGACGAAGAATTTAAACTCGACGAATAGAGAAAATCATGACAAACCATTAGGTTTGCTACGTAATTACTCGGAAACGACGCTTCCTTATCTAGTAATGTGTTATTAGAGGGAAAGGATAAGAGCTACGTTTCGTGATACAGTAAACCGGAAATCTTGAACCTGGGAATTCTTTTTCACTTCTTCCTGCGAGCTTTTGTTACATAGGCTACATCTCTCCCTATTTTCCCCTGAATATCTGTATGCTACTGCACTATTGTTTCAGAATGAATATTATGTGCTTTTGGCTCACCTATAACCTCATACACCTTTGAAGACAGCATAGCAAGAGAACTGAGGAGACCAAGAGAGCGAGACCGTAAATTCTGGTAATCTGTTACCCGAAATTCAGCTCGAAATTACAGAGTTACGGTAGTTTCCGAAGAATTCTGCTGTGTGATTTCTGGCCCGAAATTACACTAAAGTTTACAGCAACGCTTTTACTCGGGTCGATAATAGTTCCTACCTTATACCTTGTTCCAAGCAGAGAAAAAACAATTAGATAGTTTAGATCGATTTTTCATCCGACGAATCTCGGGTGTGCAAAACATGTTTTGCTTAATGGATCAATGTCGTCGTTAGTATTGAAAACTACTCGTGTCACCTATGATACAATTGAGGAATTGTGCTTTGTTACTGATAATGAGTCCTCATCAATGACGGCGGGCACTTTCTTGGTCAGTCGTTGAAGAGCTAGAGTTTGTAAAGGCACCTTGTAGTTGCACATAACGCGAGGATTGATTAGATGCGAATGATTGCAAGATACTATCGTTGAATGGAGAGTGTCGCATAGAATTCCCGATAACTAATCTTCTATGTGGCAGTTGTAGCGAGCTTTTGGAATCAGAAGCAGACGGGATACCCTAGGTAAACGGGAGTGCGCCAAAGGCCATCAAGAGGCGAACCAGGACGAGTGTCGGCAATAATACCATACGTGCGAGCGTATCTGCCAGCATTGGATTTTAGTTGATTTTGAAGTCAAGTTCGAGGTATTCACTCACTAATCGATCTTTCTGGAGCAGATGCTCTTGCATACGGATTTGCTTAAGCTGTGCATTGTCAGATTTGATGAAAGACCTGTCAGCACACGCAATCTGCCAGATGGCAACATCCAGAGAGTCCTGGCTGCGCCTCAGCACATAGATTATATCTCATATCCTGGAAAGGTAGGTGGGTTGAAGTTCAAAATTTTAGGGTGCGTAGTCCAGGAGAACATGGTGATGTTGTTGCTGCTAGCACCAGATGCCGTGCCATACTACTGCTACCTCAAAAGATACAGACTCATACTATCGTCGCTATCCTTTCCTTTCCAGCGTTTTCCGACTATTGTACTCGATGAACTGTCAGATCCACCTCAAATTGAAGGGTCTGTAGCGGTTGAAATGCAGCGAAAATAGCAAGGAGACTCGAAGTGCAACGATGCTGTTAAAACATAAGTACACAAAAACTTGTAATCCAAGCGTCCCAGCTGATTAGTAAAACCCTGCGGATGTTCGATGCTGCAGCTATTGTATCATATGTGAAACTTTCAACAACTTGGTTTTTTGCGATGCTATATACTATGTATAACATGCATCAAGTGAAATGAGGCCTCAAAGAGTGTAAAACATTCCAATTCTACACAAGGAGATGGTTTGCTGCAAGACTATCACAGCAGAGTTTATAAGAGTCTGTTATCAGTAGATAATGGGTGATAGTGTATGTACAGGTTTCCTCCTTCTCTACGCGTTTGTTGTACAGTTTGTCCCTTTGTGCTGCTGTGTGTAAAACTTGGATCGGAGAATACATATTTTCGTTGTCACGCTAATCAAAGTCACAGGAATTAACGGTATAAAAAACCCCTCGCAAAGGCCCATCCGTATTTTTCTTTTTAAACACACTTTGTAAAAAGATCCGCATGTTGTCGCAAAACACACGGTATGCCTTGTGCATTCTTATCACGTTCGTTTTCACTAATGAACTCAAAGCGACGGGGAAGTTCTCCTGACACACCGGTCTGTTGGCCGCTAGTCCGTAAAGGGCGAAAAGGCAGCGAAACGCTGTTGCTTTCTACTATCTTCGAGTGTCATGAGTGCCTTGGAGCTCTAGTGTTAGCATTATGTTTGTCATCAACCAAGCTAATTGCGGATATGTGCTTGCCACATAACTCAAAGGAGGCTACTCTTTTGTCAAAGTGTGCTTTCCCACTCTTTTTTTTTAAAATAAGAAAATGATAAAAAAAAAACTTTTTCCCTCTTCTGCTCTTTAAAGCAGGTGGAGAATTGTAATGGAGTTGGCTCGTTGTGTTGTGGAAGCACTGAGCTGAAGTATGTTAGAATGGATGCTTCATTCATAATCCTAGTCGTAGAATTACACCTAGTTTAAGTATAAGTGTAAATCTTCCTGCCTCTCATCTTACTACCTGCTATTAAAGATTCGTGTTAATCGTGTACTGTCGCTTCGCTCGTTGTTTATGTGTATTTTGTTGTTTCGGTTGTTCAATAGTAACATAAAAATGTCAACCTGCTGAGTTCTTGCTGCTTAACAGCGTGATAGATCTATTTCCTTGATCATGAACATCACCAAAGACAATTTTATTGAAAAATTCTCAACCATTGCCGGTGCTATTCTCGAAGCTGACTGTATTGCCATCGATGCCGAATTCAGTGGTATGGACCTCGCTTCTTTATTCCTCCTCGCCTTGCAAAAAGCACACATAGACAAATACGCACCCCTTTATGTGTGCACACACTTCAAGTTCCTGGAAAAAGAATTTCGGAATTGACATTCAAAAATGCTTTATAAATTCTCATAGGCCTTCGACTAAACACGAGCATTCACTCTCAATTCGACGATCAACAAGCTCGATACGGAAAACTACGCGACACTGTCAAGGAATACAGTATTATTCAATATGGCGTGTGCACTTTTAAAAAGGGAGCCGGATCACGCGTTTACGTTGCAAAACCATTCAACTTTTATATCTTTGGTGGTGACACGGCGACCATGACGAGCCAACGTAGCTTCCTTTGCAGTGCCAGCAGCTTGCAGTTTTTGCGATCGCATAATTTCGATTTCAACAAGTGGATCGATTATGGTATCCCGTTCTATAACTTTGCTGAAACGTCAACTGTCGTGAAACGGATCGATCGGCCCAATTCATTACAGAATCCTATAAACTGTAAGGAATATATAGGGCAGTAATAAGGGTAGTGATGGTAGAGTGGGATCAGAGAGAACAATCATTGACGCGCTTCTCCATATGTGCATGTAGTGCAAATGCTTACAAAACAACAGATGAAATTCGTGGAAACAACAAGGTATTAAAATAGTGAAGGATAGCGACAAGCTATATACCTTACTATAGGATGTTTGTGGTGCTGAAAACATGGTGACTCATCAGATGACAATAACACTACATAGAAAAAGCATTGACGACTGGTTGCAATCTGGAAAGACTTCTAAACCTCTCGTAATCCAAACCAATAACTCCTTTATCCGACGACTAGTCCATCAAGAATTACAGGAAGGGTAAGTTGAAAGTGTAACTGATGATGATGATAATCGAGGCGAAAACATAAAGCACTCATACAAACATCGGACTTCGCTTTTCAATGCAGAAAATACAATAGCTTCCTGACTGGACGAATGCGTGATTCCAAGCATATGTCTATTCACAAACTCACTGATGAGGAACGAAAGGAGAACATGCGTGTTGATAATGTACTTTTTGTTTCTCTCGTTAAAAGCAAGAGGAGGGGAGGGGATTTTAATGTTGAAAATATGTGTAGCTTACCTTAGGATGCTGTAATAGGTTCAAGCAGAACTCAACTTCCGACGTGTGATTGAACTGATCAACCAAGCTGGATGCCCCGTTGTAGCCCACAACGGTTATCTAGATGTTCTTCATACCATTGATCAATTCTGGCAATATTTACCAACAAAAGTGACCGATTTTAAAAACCTTGCCAATGAAATGTGGTCATGGTAATGCTTTCTTTTCTTTTTCTTGCTTTGACCTTGGGCATATAATCGTGTACGATCAATTTTTTTTGAGTTACTAAACGAAAAATTGGACTGTATGTATGTATATATAGTATCGTAGACACAAAATACCTTGCTGAATTCCATCCACATTTGAAGGTATGTACTGCAAGATAAACCCAGGACTAAAAAGAAGCAGAGGGACTTTTCATCTTAACTATAGAACTTTTATGCGTATTTACTTGTTCTGTAGCGATGCTTCAATACAACGGCGCTGGGACCTCTGTATAATACAGTTGTGAACGAAATGACAGAAGCAGAGTTCTCCATAAGTGAGTAGATTATAGGATATGTATTGATGCTGGGAAAGAACGTACTGACATTCTTTATTTGCTGTTTAAAAGAAATCGCAGACGATTTCGATCGTTATACGCAGGATCAGGATGCACAACACGAAGCTGGCTATGATGCATATATGACTGGATCTGTATTTATCGGTTTTGCTCGTTTCATATATGAGCGGGAAGGTAACGTATATGCTTATATTTTGTTTAAATTTCTTCATGAATACGAAGAAAAATTACTAATTTGATTATGCATTCTAAAAAGCTGATAAAAGAGCAAAAGCGAATGCTGAAGCTTCTTTAAAGAATGGAAAAGAGAGCAAAAAAGGATCCGATTTGGATAGCGAGGAGGAGGAGGAGGAGGAAAAAGAAGAAGGACAAGTAGGGGAAAACGAGCCACTTCCACGATTACACGAAGATCCTCTGCTGGCAGATATATTGACATCGTATTACAACCGGATATTTGTTACAAGAAGTGATATACCTTATATTGATTTGGTGCATGAGGAGACGATGCGTATGTATTATAGTTGTGTTTCTCTTGAAACGTGTTCAAAGGAGAGATGCTAATGTCTTTATTTATATGTAGCGGTTATCGAGGTACCTAATCGGTTCTTTTTGACCAACGTCCCCGAAGGCATGACAGCATATGGAATCGAGGTTCTATACCCTGAACTACGACCCATGACCATCCATTGGATCAACTCAAGCAGTGCCTGGCTGATTATCAAGCACGATAACAAGATTGAACTTGCCAAGGAAGGCGTTTTGGGCGAAGAACGCGTCAAGCCATTCCTCAGAGGCGCATCTCGTTTTGCCGAGGGCGTTTCATTGAATATTACAGCACCTGCCGCCAAAATTGAATTGTATGGCTACGAGCAGTGGCGGACACGACCCGAGTTTCAGGCAGATGCATCGTCGTCAGCTAATGGACCAGCACCAGCACCAGCACCAGCATCAACAACAAAGACATCAGAGGAGGAGGAGGAGGAAAGCTCGTCTGTGGATACTGCTTCTGGTTCTGATGAAGATGAAGAAGAAGAAGAGAAGGAGGAGAAAAGTGGCAAGTCACCAAAGGACACATCAAATACATTAGAAAGGAAACAAGCAGCAACCACAGAACCTTATGTCCCCGTTGGTGGCAATGCGTTTGACGGTAAGAAATTGCTCACTACTGTTTCTTTCGATTGTTTCGAATATCACTACGTGCTGTTGCTGACAGGCTTTATTACTACTAGACATTGATATACCGATGCCGCCTAGCTTTATGCGTGGTTCAAAGCGAAAAGCACCCGATGATGATTTGGAGGATGAAGAAAACGAAAAGAAGAGCAGCAAGAAAAGACAATAGTAATTGTATACACCATACACATCGAAATCATGTTTTATTTTGTACATAGTAGTGAAATAAAAAATATTTACAATCTGGGGATTGCCGTATCAGAAGAGGTATCAAAGTACTCGCCAAGAGTGAGAAGGTCCTTCATTCTCTTTGGCTTTTGCTTTATGTAAAGCGACAGAAAGTTTTGTTTCACTGTTGCCCTGCGCTCGTGGTTTGTCACCATGGAAGGAGATACGCATCTACCATCATCCGAGTGGTCCAAAACTGTGATAACCCAACCTGGCTAACACGGTTATCCTTTTCTAATCTGTCTTCTTTCCGTCTTCATTTCCCATTTGAGTGGAAACCAAAAACCTATCCAAGGAAGAGAATAAGTCAATAAATCAAACAAAAAGAAAGAAAAACACGTAAAAACGCGGTACATGTTTTAATTTGAAGCATAATCTCATTCTGTGGGTGATCTTTACATTGAAGAATGTATTGTTTGAATCTTGTTAAAAGTCGGCAATTGTTCTGCGGTTATTTGAAGATTCTTTTGAAGTCTGGCAATGCTTTTATCGAGATCTTGCAGTTGGTTTTGCAGTAGTGCGTAATTACTTTTCTTTGTCGAGTGAGGAATTGTGGACACTATTGATTCTCTTGGGCGAGTGCTCATGTGGGAAGTGGTATTTTGAAAAGTGAGACAAAGCAAGTGCGCTCTCTCAAAAGAAAGTCTAAAAACCTGAAAGGGGTGAGCATGTTTCACGCGGCATCCACAATATAATTTTCTCTTCTTCCTTTTCCTCTTACATAAACGTTAACTATTTTTTTACTATACTATATATACCAACAAGACATGCTGTGTCAGAGATCCGAACGCCAGTCGATAAAACAAAACTCACGCGATCGCTCAAAACAATGGCGCGATCGGTTTCAAAAACAATGTCGAGACCGAATAACATCACAACGTTGGAATTTGGTCGATCAAAAGCGACAAGAGAAGGTCAATAGTTGACAAGGATATAATATGCATTGAAGACAGAAGAGGAACTACCATATTTATTGAAGAAAACAATATCATAGCTTTGGCAGCTAACCGTACAAGACGAGTGGGAAAACTTTAAGCGAATGCACGAGGAAGCATTAAAAGAAGAAGGAATTCTTGACCCAGACCTCTTTTTCGAAGAAATGGATGAAATGCATCGTCAACAACACCCTACATCAACGCCCTCTATACCACCATCCACGACTACACCCATCGAACAACATATTTATGAAGACTATGATCCTGAAGCCGACTACATCCACTTACATTCCACTCCTATACTCATATGTGTGAACTGTCAAGACGCGTCTTTACAGCAAGAGGATGGGACGGACAAGCTGGCTTGTCCCAAATGTAGATTCAGTGCATCAGAAAAGGTATTACATACACCGGATATGGGGTAGTGGCGATCAACAACTACGAGTATGATGGAAGCGTACATGGCTGACCCCAAGTTTCATAGACCTTTCGAGCTATTCAAAATGCAGTCATCCAACATAGTCAACAATGCCCAGGTCGCATCGTTTATGCTCCTGAACCAGGGAGTGATGGAACCTCTATCCTTGGCGTCTGCAATACTTGCGACACAATGGATGTCTTTTAAAAGTGCTTTTTCTGGTCTTATTTTATTGTTATATCAATTTTACCGATACACACTACAGCCTCTTGCTCACCCTCCGCATCTGTTTTTCCTCCTGCCATCGTCAATAGTACATGCTCGCCCAAATACTTTTTTACATGTTCCACTGCTTTTGTTCCAACAAGAAAGTTTTCCGTCTCAAAGTGTAAGCATTGCTCGTCTGGATTATCTTGAGGTTCTGTGCTGAGGCCCGCAGCATCATCTCCAGTGACGCGTCGTACCAGGAAAGAATTACTAGTGGTTATGGGTATGCTTTGTCGTTGTTCACTGCTGTTGTTATAACCTTTCAACGTCGTCTGATAAAATAAGACAGGGTCCATGCAGTCGTTATGTTTGGGATCTTCGTGATTGGGTTCATAAACACCGGCAATGCCAAATGTCGTGTTCATAGTGCTTCTTGTGGGATCTGCTGTGCTGATGGTACTAATGACATGGCCGCGAAACTCGCGAAAGATCACGCCCTCGCTATTGTGATCGTCGTCGATATAACAGGGAGAGAGAAAACAGAGGTGTGCCCATCCGTGAATATTTTGCATATTATTAAAGATGCTTTGTGTGTTTGTTGTAATAAAATGAGCCTGAGTAAAGATACGGGATGTAGAAAGACCCAAAGAAAGGAGATACGTCTACGCTATGGTAGAGTGTCGCGGTGATGGGTGATAATGTGAAAAATATGTAGGTGGTGTGGCTGGCTGAATGTGATGTGGCTTCACGAAAGAAAAAGAAGATTATTACAGAAAAGAATTAAAATGAGAGAGAGAGGAAAAAAGTACATAGGAAAGGAAAAACAAGAGACGTTATAATCATCGCCGGGATGAACGTTGGTATGTGCTGCTGCTTTGGTAATAGTGCTGTGCTGTTCGTGCTCGTTTTGGCGATGATACGTCTTGCTCGTCCTCCAAATACTCGTCGTCATCGTCATCATCGTCATCGTCCTCCGATAGTGGTGATGATTTGGTGTTGTTAGTTTCTTGAGGAGGATCCTAAAGTACATGCATGCACAACATATACATAGTTTAAGCATTCATCATCTCTATCAAACTGTCAGCACTGCCATAGACGATATTTTTCCTCTTTTACCTGACGCATCGCATTATAATCAGCTTCGATCTCGGCTTCGTTTCTTGCTGATAATACATGACCTAGACCTGCTAATTCTCTCGAGCGTACTATAGAGGAAGAAACGAGTCAAAGAATGATAGATTCGAGTAGTAGTAAATGAGCAGTGGAATGCGTTTGTACAGGTGCTCTACATAAAAGTAAAAGGATATGATCATGGTTTCGTCGTTTTGTTGTCTTGACGCCATTCTTGTTTACAGACAAGAGCTGTTCAAGTGACAGGCTGCCATCAGTAATATTCGCAGCGACTGTGGCGGCGGCAACACCTCGTATCCGACGTCGGTTACGTGTTTGTGGAGCTGCGACAACGAAATCTGGATAGCGCATTATGTGAATAAATCAGCGTGGACGAGATATAGCCACTATATAATAGCATTTGAACTTTACCGTTTGATACGATCGCTTCTTCATCTCTGTGCTCCTTTATCCGCTTTCTCTTTTCATCGATGATGAACAGCATGGCCTTTTTCAAATCGCGCCTCTCCACCTGTGCGTTTGTATACACATAAATACAACTGTATGTGTTACTATTGTGTATCCAACATGCATGCCAAATATAATTCTTACCTCAGCTTCCGCTTCAACAGCACGTAAAGCATCATTATACAGCTTTTCGGCACACTGTACTCGGTACTCTATAAGTAGCTGTGCCCTTTTGATTTCCTTGCTACGTTCTTCTTCGAGATCCACCATATGCTCTTCAAAGACTTCATGGCCACCTAATGAATGATATAGCGGGAATCCGTCAGTCCAACTATATCAAAGATGGAGTGGATGAGCAGAAGTGATGTGTATGTGCTTACCATGCTGGATAGCAGATAGCTCTTCTTGCAAAGCTTTGATTTTTTCCAAATATATGCTAAGGTCACGGGGAAAAGGAGGCAGCAAAAGCAGCAGGAGGATGAAAAGAGGGGGCGGAGGGTTCAGAAATATAAAGAGTTAGAAAATGTAAACTTTTTTACTCAAAATGTCTTGGACAAGATGCAGTGAAGAAGGGAGAGCAGATACACACAATCTTTGTGTGCTACAATAGAGAAAGTAACTCTCTTATACTTACGTTTCCTTGTTTTCGAGAAATTCTTGGTTGATCTCCAATGTCCGTTCGGTGAATTCAATGGATCGATTGGATCGTGCAGTATTGTTGTTGCTGTTGATAGCAGTACTAGGCATCGTAGCTAACGCAGCAGCAGCATTTGTAGGAGCGGTGGTATATTCGCTGGTATCTTCTACAGATATATGGTGAGCCCATTTAATACATGCAACCATGAATACACTACACACTGCCCGCATCCTTGTATATGACACCAATAGTCTTTACCATCCATCCAGTCGCCTGATCTGGCATCATCGCCATAATAGTAGTACGGATCATCTGGCACTGGAGTGGACAAGAAGCGTGGTGAACGATGTGGTCGGGTTTGTGCCTGCTGCTGCTGCTGCTGCTGATTGTGATGCATCGAAGCGGAAGAAGGACGTGGAGCTTCATGCTTTACAAACAACGAACTGCCGTTACCACCAATCACACTATTGTTGTTGTTATTGCGATTGTTGCTATTTGAAGTGGATGTAAAAGAAGATGTGCTTCGCCATATGGACGATATTGCCGGTGCCGGCTGCTGGTGATGTTGTTGCGACTGATGATGATGTTGTTGTTGATGGCCCATATCAGTTTCATGTCTGTAGCCTGGTGTGGAAGCTGTCACCATTGAGGATGCTGATATTGATGCTGTTGGTGGGGGTGGTAATGGAGCTACCTGAGCCGGGCCAGGTGGCTGCGGTACTACAGGTACAGCTGTTGGTGCTGGTGTTGTTGCTCTCACCGGTTGATAAGCATTAGTGTTACTGGCGTTGGCGTTATTATTACTATAGCTGTAGGGTGCGAAAGAGTATGCCGTTGTTGTTGCTGATGCTGCTGCTCCACTTCCAACGCCGTTACCATTGTTGTTGCTGTTGAAACTGTTATTGCTGTCACTGACAGTGGTAGAAGAACTGGCGTTGTACGAGAACGGTGCCTGATAGGTTGACGAAGACGACGACAGACCTGACAAGGGCGGTAATTTCCAACGTTCGACTTTGTAGATTGCACTGTTGGGGCTGTTGTTATTGTTGTCCAACACTGGTGGTGGTGCCCCTGACTCGCGATGCTGGCTCTGTTGATGCTGGTGTTGTTGAGCAGCAGCAGAAGTAGTAATGGGCCCGGCGTACGGAAGTCGAGGCAATGTGGTCGAGAAGCGTGGTGGAGAGCCAATGGGTGGCAGTGTGAAGCGCGGCGGAGAGCCTGGCAGTGGTGGCGGTAACAAGGACTGTTCAGAATACATTGCAAGTGTGATGTGAACAAGTTCGGTTGCTCCGGGGGGAGGGAGGAGGGTGATTGTCCAGAGTAAACGAAAGAAGAGGCACACACTTACTACCACAGAGACCGCACACACCGACACCCGCTTCAGAAACCAAAGAAGAGAAATCCTGATTGGACAAGCGCCTGGGCTCTCGTCATTTCAAAAGCTGCTGCTGATCTACTACACCCCTCGTTTCCCCACCCATTCTCTTTGTCTTTTTTTTTTTTGTTGTTATTACTGTTATTGGCATCAGAATATTAGACAAGAGTAATCAATACGAAACATACATCTAGGAACACCTTCCGTGCTATCGTTACCGATCCTTTTTTCTCAAGTGAACCTGCTCTACTATTCTTCAAAAAAGTAACAGCAATGGTACGACGACGATCTAGAATTATCGTGTGTAACGCAAACACGCATCACAGAAGAAAATGACCAGTCCTAGAGAGTATGGTGCTCGACTTGACAAGAAGCTTTTATTTTTGACAGCATTAACATTTTATATTGTCGTCGAGACATATTGGACAGTCGCTGTTATCGTCGATCAGCCATATAGAATGTGGAGAGCGGAGAAAAAGGTTAATCGAAATAGCGCCACGAGGTCAGTAACAATGCAGACCAGATATAGCCGGAATCATGCATGTGACCAATTCAGCTGCTAAATAAAGCTGCCAGCTCTACTGAGAAAACAGCTGCTACTTATACTATGCATCTCTTAAACCAAGTGTTGCCTAACTCTTAAAACTTTGACATTGTAAAGACTCTATACAGAGTTTTTCTCTTTTGGCTACATACTTCCATGTTTCTCACAATAGTAACTTTATGATCAGTATGTACATAATTGAAAGTTATGTCATGAATAATATCTGAGCATCACAATAATAAAATGGTATTTTAGAGAAGCGTGTAACTTTTGATAAAGATAACTTTGTAAAAGGAAGCATAAACCACTGCTAGCTAAACATATCTAGCCGACAACAAGACAAGACAAAGGAATTAGTGTAGTATGTTGTAGTGTCGTACATATAAAAGGTTAGCTCACTTGGAAAAAAAAAGTGGGATAGTTAAGTAAATGATACGATGGGAGAGTCAATTATACGTGCTGTATACATATACAGCTGGTCGATTAAGAGTAAAGAGAAGAATAGTGCGAAAGGACATTACTAACGTAATCGTTTTGGTTGTTAACCGTGATCGTCTACAGTATTTCTTAAAAAGATCGCTTGACGAATACTGATCAGCTTCTGATTTCGATACCTACAACACCAAGCAATCACTGCTCTTAAACCTCAACAGAGATCAGATCGTCATGAAGGGAGGAATCTAAGTAGTAAAATTTGATAGTAACAGACCTTCATATTCACTTTTATGGATGAAGGGTTCATAATGGTACATTATATAAGAGCAAATGTACTCAAGAGATCACCATGAGGAAGACTACAAAGCATTTGCCGAGGCTTTGATTGCAACTGCAGATAACCTCTTCGTTATGTGCTTTCAGCACGACTTCGATCAATGACACGGTTAATATGTCATTCCAAACGCAAAATACCTTTAACCCATTTCGGACGTCGTTGAATGCATTTGCGATACCTAAACGCATTATTTAATACATTATCCTGCATCCAAAAGCATGTAAAGGCGCTTTAAGACTTTTTACATGTCGGACGAGACGGTGTTTATTCCACACTACCGAAAAGGCCAATAAACTTCTGTATCTTCGCCTTCTGATCTTGATATTGTATCACTGCTACTGTGTAAGAAAAAGGCTCTGGAGGTGCAAAATTAAGCTGAAATCAGAAGATGGGGTTTGTTGCTAGCTGTGGAAATTTGACAAGTCTGTATTTGACCATGTCTTATTTGCTCAAGGGAGCAAGCATCTTTTTTTCTTGGCTTATTATTTATAATGAGCTAAACGCTTCTGCTATTGATAAAAGCTGATCGTGGAGGTCAAGCAAAGCGATGTTCACGTTCCACTGTAACAATAAAATCATGAACGACACACGCGTCAAGTAACTTGTGTTTGTGTAAAAAAAAAACTCATCATGCGACGACTACAATGACGCATAAATGCTCCCGGTGGTGTACACATTGAATTACACGTTCATCAACGAGATTTCTGTAGCTAAATTAGAGTTTGAAGCCATCATGCGATTAGAACATATGTACTAAGGCCTAAAAGGAAATGTTACTAAGCCTGTAGTATGCAAGCGTATTTCGTGGTCTCACATATTGATACGTCATTTTCGTATACGACTTTTCATGTGACCACTGAAATACAGTACCTATTCTATATAGTCAAATAATGATGACAAAGGAGGGCGGTATTCGTCAACGAAATTACATAAAAACATTTTGCGTATGTATATGTACTGTAGATTGTGTGGGGCTATAATCCACGGGAAAAGGGCATGGCACCAGATTTGAAGAAGTACGTCGGTATTCAAGTTTGTGATTTAATGATTTCTGAGATTTCTAACTGCTCTGGATAGCTTTTAGAGGTTTTTGAAGGCTTTAAAAAGCATCAAAATTTAAATCTTCGACGTATTACGAATACTTGCTATAATCTCATACAAGTAATCGGATAAGGAACCATGAAAGAGACTATTCATGACCTGTTTGTTGATTAGTTTCTATGTGTATACATTGCAGTCTCTATGTATAGGACTAGTAGCCGTCGTCAAGCAAACAATATACAGTATGGGAGACTATAAGGAGTCGCAACAAAAAAAAGCAAAATGGAGAGGCATCATAGCTTTCGTATTTCAGGTCGAAATGTATATTATATGCAGCGTAGTTATAGTATATGTCCTTAGGCCATGTCCCTCATCTCAATATGTTCGAACTTTAGATGTTAAAAGGTATATAGCGCACGCATTATCGCGTCCATCAACCGATGAACCATCAATCATGAATATGGTATGACAACGCGGTGAAACATTACAAGTAAGAATCTAGCATTCAAATCCTTGATGGTTTCGAGCTATTACAGTACATGCAAATTGCTTTTAAAGGCACTCATGCAGCCGATAATACAAGCCAATGGTGATAGCACCTTTTCGAACGGTGTTTGTCTCTCACATTCTACACATTAACTTATGTCCACCATTCTGAATTCCCTCAAACACTTTGAGTGATCATTGATATGATCGGCTATTATTGATTTTCCCCGGACAAATGAAGAACACATACATCTTTTACAATTAGTAACGAGCACTAATTGAAGCTATGCCATACATAGCTCGTATCGTGTACGCTGACAGCAATCGCATGTATTTTTTTAGATTTCTCTATGGGTATAATAGTAGCAGTCAAGCAGTTATCATAAAAGCGTTTTTCTTCTTACTCTTCCAGATATTAGAAGATTGATCGATGATATAGCACTTGCTTCTTTATATAGACATGAAGTAGTTCACATAGCGTATTTGAGATGCTTTGCACCGTATACTCATAACGTCATAATAGCAACTGTAAGTATGCCGTATTATGCTATCGTGAAGTGCAGCATCGACTATGGTGCAGCAGCATTCAAATCCAATAGACCTGTTTCTTACCCAATTGGTATGGAAAATAAGGGAAAGCGGATGAAGTGCTGACTCTATGTATGCCCCCAGTGCTTTCTTTCAAAGTATGACATATCACCATGTAATTGGAATAGCGTATCACAACCTACATTACAATGGAGGTAATACGTTTCTTGATTTATCCTAGCCTGGTCTTCCTGTTTTACCAATTCAAACGCTAATTTTAAGATAAGCAGATGCTCAGAAAAGTATCATGGGGTATTTACTCGGATGATAACGGTCTTCACGCCGATACATACTGTAAAATTTCTACATAAATAAAAATAACATTATTAGCCGAACTTCTTGTTCGGTCATTGTCATCGTCAAAGCCACCTTGTCAGCATTATTCTTTTCGATACGTATGAACCCTCATTAAGGAACACATAGTTTATATTAGCCGGAAGATAGTACGTACTGTTTTGGGAAAAATTATTGAGTAGTGGGCTGAAGCGTGTATTCTTAATACGTAGAGATAACATAATCGTCTTCAACATGATCGTCGTTATGTATGCCTATCATCCCCCTACTCGCCTCCTCCAGCCTCCTTCATTTGTTCTTTTTAACCCTCAATGTACGTGCGAGCGCTTATTTTTGCTTCTTTAGGACTAACAAGTTTCAAAAAAAGTTGCTATTCCGGATATGCTGATAGTAAAGGACGTGAGATTTGATACAGAAGAGAAAGGTAGATGATTGATGATAAGCAGGGGATTTGTTGCTCTTGACTAACCCTGTGGCGCATGAAACATATGCGTGACAACATGCTGTAGTTACTCATCAACGACTATCGATAAATTACTACAACGCGCGTAGTGGAAAGAGACCTTTCTTTTTCTTGTTGTCTGGTATCTCAGAGCAGGATAGTAGTTGGTTTGCACACATGACAACAGCTTCGTATCTCGATTCTCAGTTTGTCGCCATCAATACATAAAAAAGAGAAGTTGCCACAGACTTGGTTTTGTCATAAATGTTACTGTGTATATCCAAACAGCTGACAAGTTTGGGGGAGTGAATGAGAACAGAGAACAAAGAAATAATGGTGGCTATTAATGTGATGACTTAGTAGAACGCTTCGAAACATATAGGAAAAATTTCATGATGATATGTTGTGATCCGATAAGGTGCCAAGAAATATAATTTTGCCACGTTGTTGTTTTACCCTTTTCACATAGAAAATTTTTACTCTAGGCCCACGCGACAGCGCATCATACATCACACAGACACGTAGTACACAAAGAAGAAGAAAGAAAGCGGAACCTGTATATTCTTGGTATGTATACTTTAGATGAAAGAGTGTGCATTGTTGTATTACTCGACAGTGGTCGAGGATTGGTCCGATCAATACCAACTAGTAGTTATGTGTAAGAGCCGAACTGTCCGAAACAGGATACCCAGCTCGCGAGCCGTACACACAGAAACAGTGTATTTCTTTGTGTAATGCCCCATCATGGCTCTCCACCCTGCTCGATATAGAACATTGTAGTACCGGGGTATTTTATTTGTGGGCCCAACGACGAGCCACACAGCACTTTTTATAGTAATTCATGATGCACATGCATACGCACATCGCATACAGACTCATACACCACAAGCATAAAATCTAGTGGGCTAAAAAGAAATGCTGCGAGCCTTAACCGGATGGATACACGCCATTATGACTAATTTTATCATGCATATTTTAACTGCGGAGAAACGAGGAACTCAGGCACAAAAAAAAATGTCTCGGGTTTTTCCTCAAACTTCTTCCGAGAGATGCCGTCGGTCCGCTAGTGGCGGGGGTGAAGGGGTTGGGGGTTCTTTGGTGGAGGGGAGGACAGATAGAGTGCTCGGAAGCAGGTCCAGTCTTTTCAAGGGCCGGCCAGCCTTTCATTGCCACTGGTCCCTTAATCGAAATATATTTTCTTTGTTCTATTTTTTTCTAATCGTCAATTCGCAGCTCGAACTTTGGTGTCCAGGCACACAGCTCACCCCCAAGAAAAAGAAGTTAGCAGATGATGGCGGCGTATGGATTCCGTCATGAGAACAATGCACCGATCCTGTGTTGAGTATTGCACATGTAGAGTAGTGAGCAGTTTATCGACCTGGAAAAGGTAGCCGGACACAAGCCATCCATTATGAATATAGACAGGTGAGCCGTACATAAAAATAGGAAGGTTGTTATTTTGTGTGTACGACAGACGGGCTGGTCAGCGGGCTAAATCTTTACAAAATACGGACACAGTATATACCAACATACAATAGTCAGTAAAGTCAATATCAAAAGCATCGTAATGAGATGTTCGCGAATCTACCGTTTTTTCTTTATTCATAAATAAGAAGAACTAGCTCCTGATTTAAGTTTGTAGTGGTGCATATGATTAGTGTCCGTAGGGTTGCGCATGTTGCGGTCTGCGGGAAAGGATTCCGAAAATGGAGAGTTGGGTTGGGGTTCACTGCTCTTTTGTTTGTCATTGTTACTTCCTACCATGAAAAACGTGGCAGTAATAACATAGTCCGTTCTCGCTATAATAATCCATTGCCAGCTGGACAGCATACCATAGTGATGAATTCGGAACCGCCTAAATGCGAGGTTTCTTCTTCATGTGGTATGTTGCACCAGGGTTACCAGAAACTTCTTAATTCACGAACTAAGCCACTACAGCTTACTGGCTGTTTGCTGCGAGCCTAAGCTGTGCTTCAACTTTAACGTGTTTTTCCGTACGTTGTGAGTCAAGAAGAATATGCTGGAAGCATTATATCATCGATTTCTTACATTTTCCCTTGCATGCATTTTTTCCATGTCAGCTACTGCGAAATAACAACGATCACGATAGTAGTGAATGAATAATAATCAAAAAAGCGCGGGCAAAATCCATCGGAATTAGCCACGTGTATTCGGATAGCAATTATTTTTTACCGAACAAGCCAAAACTGCTTCTCTCCGCGGGATTCGGTCAGCGAAGCACAATAGAAAATTAACAAGCAAATGAGCAAAACCAACGCAGCACTTGTTAATCATCCATAGTAGTGGTACCAATGCACCAGTAAATTCTCAATAGCATCATAAAACGAAAATATTTCACAATAGCAGTACTCGGATGGAATAATCTCCTCTTGCCTCTTTTGCTAATTACATCAAGTTGCTATCCGTTGTTATTGTTACATTTCTACAAGTTTGGTCATAGGCGCCATCAACTCCGTCTTCGGTACAAATACCGGAGCGGGGAGGGGCGAGCACCATTTATTTATTGTCGCATCAAGAATTAGCGGGTATATACTAGCTGTTGGGAGGGTGAATATCCACGGTGTATGTAATATGTGGGCCACTTATTGTTTTTTTTAGTATTCATTGTCCCCTCTTAGCTGCTAATTTATTTTTATTCTCCCTCTCTTCCCCTCACGGACAGTGGAATTTAGTGGATTACGATGGAGAAGAGCGATCATTGGACATCATGCTAAGTATTAGCAGTAGAACAATGAATGACTATTTACATCATGGCATGGGAAAAAGACCGTCAAATTAATGAGTTACTTTGTTTGTAAACCAACCCAAACTCTCGGTCAAGATGAGTCTCTCTTTGTGTGTGTGTATGTGTGGGAGCGAGTGTGTATATTGGCAGTGTATATGGGCTCAGCAGAGAGCTCAAGAGAGCCTGTGATTGAAAAATAATGAGCCAATATATTACTTATATTTTTACAATGCAGATATGAGCGAATGAGGGATCTGTAATCGGGCCTTGGTGTTGTACAGTGCATACCAAAAAAAGCCCGCTCTAATAAACCAGCACCCCCAATCGCTCAAGTGAGTGCAGCACGAATGAAAAGGCAAGATGACAAGTTCGCCACGTGCCACGTATAAAAAAAACAAAGATCGGCGTTACCAGGCAATGATTCCTGTGATGTGGTCAGCCTAAGAGCAAGAAAGAAATTTTGTTATGCTCCCCCCAAAAAGGGCAAGTACGCTGAGGTTTGAGAGAAAAAGGAAGAGAAGAAAAAACTATATATAAAGCCTTCGATTTTGCAACGTGGCTATCCTCATTCGTTCACTATACGATTTATTGCAAACTCTTTTTCTTTTTCTCTTTTTCTTTAAGCCAATTCTAATCTTTTACGCTACTATACAACCATGTCTGACGGACGATGCATTCACTGCGGCCAAAAGGGTCATTACTCCATGTAAGTATTAATGGCAATTATGGTTGCTATGTTTATTACCACAACAACAAATTCCTTAGCAACAACGTAGCTAACCTTATTGTTATTTTGCTGTCGTTAGGATGTGCCCGAAAAAGCCAAACTCCTCTTCTTAGTCAAACCAATTCGCCATGACAAAACCTGTTGGCCATGTAACTTGGTATCAATTTCCAGCCTTCGCTGACTGGGAGATCTTCTTTTTCCAACGACGCAAGATCGATGCAAGCCCCCCATGCGTTTTCACTCTCTTGTGGCCGACGAGGACAACTTCACCAACAACACCCTTCTTATCACGACGACAACAACAATCATCTCCTTTCTCCACCTTATACGACGACGACCTTTCTTCTTTTTCTATCCATTCAACAATACCAACCATTATAGACGAGCAGGCGCTCACCAAACAATTCAATCACGCATACTCCTCAATCAAGATATATACTTACATACAAACATCAACCATATACAAACACAACACACACACAAGCAACATGGCAGGCCGGCCCACTATTATCTTTTTATATACTTTCTTCATAATCTTTCCACACATTTCTTCACAATAATTTCACATCTATGCATATTACACTATCATCACCACTTTCTAATATGTCCATATACAAGTGATCCTGTAAAAGTAACCCCACTTGTCTCTCACTCCATATATATGTAATACCTCTTTTTTTCATCCTCCATAATACTACTACTACTACTACTATCATGTCATCTTTTGTGTCATTTGCTTATGTACTAGATGCATTTACTCTTAAATGTTACATTACATACTCAAACACATTTAATTAAAACTACTACTTTACTCATTTTTTCAACTGATGATAACAACATCAAATAGTGTCTAATGCGTGCGTCTTTCTCTTCCTTTTTGCTTCTTTGGTAACACCTATCGTTGATTGTATGTGAGCCTGTGGGGTTTGAGCTAAGGGGGGAGGCAACTGTGGGGGGACGGGATATAGAAGAAACGGACTAAGTTTAAAAAATAAGCCCAGCCAATATATTGGCAAAGCCAACTATAGTATTTTTCTTTTTTCCAGCCCTCCTACCAAAATAAACCAAGTCCGCTAGGTACTTCGTTTGACGTCATTGGTGTCCTTCAAGATGCCACGTTGCACTCTGTTTTTCCGGCAAACAGTCTTGTCCAACGTAGCACAAAAGAGAACACACGCTCACGCAACACAGACAAGGGTATCTTCAGAAGCAAAGGAAACGACGACCTTGTGACGAAATAGACCCCGTATCAGATATATTACGCGTATCGAACTCAATAGATATGATTTAATCGTTAGAAAAGCGTCAACTTATAGGGTTACTGTATTTACCGGAGAAGGGTAAAAAATCAGGGAAACGCGCGCGCTTTTATTGGGCCTCAGCAACACCAGCAGCGACTGCCATTGTGCACATAGTATCGGAAAAGGTAAGAGTGCAAGATATCGTACGTTATTGCTGGACGAAGATGTTGGGGGAGTGGGAGTGGGGGAGACTCAGAGGGGAAGGGCGTGATTTAATAATTATCTGAGCTCGCTTTCAATTGATCCCTTGATGGAAATGCAATCAATGAAGAATAAATCAAACGCAACGACGACAACGGCAACGACGGAATGCTACCATCATCGTGTTAAAGATGAGATTTCAGGCGGAGGGGATATGATTGCGAGTGCTGATAATACTCATGATGCTGCTTTCCCCAACCCCGCGCAACAATCACCATATATGGATATATTTACAAGAGTTATTGATGATGCTGTTGTCATCAGTCAATCAAATGAATCAAAACAGTCAAAAGATGGGGAAACGTGTAAACATGTCTGAGAAGAAGAGATGTGATTTACATGTAAGTTCTGGTGAAAGCGCGTGATGATGTTACAATGCTGGTTACTGCATAGATATGAGGTCATTTGAAACAAACTTTTCGTGGAAATTGCGGGGTGGGAACAAATCAAGAAATGCGCGCCAACTCATTGTGCAAACGAGGGTTAGAGAGAGAAAACATACAGACACAAAAAGGCCCACATGGCAGAAGAGCAAAAACCCAGCATCATTCATTTCTATACTGCACGAACAGAGCCGAGACCTCGTGTGTATGTGTGTGTGAGTGTGCATCTTCGTTCCATCTTATGCATGTCGATCTTTTCTTTTCCCATCCTCGGGAGATGGCAAGTCCATGTGGTCACGCGTGGTCAGATCCTCTTTAGTAATAATAATTAATCCTTGACGATCAAGGGTCAGTTCCATGCATATTATTATCAAGTGCAATACTTCCACTAGCCCATCCTCTGTTTCTTCTTATGTGCATACTCCTCTTGATTCCTTAGTGACACACGAGCAAGGACCGTGGGGTGCATACGCATTAATATGCAGAGCCAAGAGATGTCCGAGTGGTGAAACACGCTCCGCTCATCTATTGACAAAAGTGCTGCACCATCACCCGATATCATAGCATCTAATTGACTCAAATAATTGACTCAAATGCTCGCGCGCGCGAATAAGTAATACGCATCCAGTCGCTGCGCTTAAATTTTCGAGGCTTGATTCAAGGAGAAAGGAGAGGGATTAATATAAGAGGGATTTAAGGTAGGGACGCACTGTAATTCGTACACCATTCCTTCTTGTACCTTCCTCTCAACCAGCTCACATTTTCAAAAAAGTTTACTCGGAATTGAACCGGTTAGAAAGAGAGACGTAAACAGTAAATAATAAAGTATATACCGTCCTCATGCGCGTTGTGTAACTCTTACACAACGCGTTAGAGTAATGAGGCATATACAAAGACTTTTGGACCAGTTCAAACAGCTAGTGTACTAGCAAAATGGTCTCTAGCTAAAAGTATATATTATTTCACGACATATGCCACTTCGAGAACCATTTACCATTATATCATAGCTAAGAATTGCTATATACAACAAAGCATCAGTTGATATGAATGAAGAGAAAAAAGCACAGCCACAGGTCGATTCCTCGCACTTACAACTGAAGGCATGTTAAATCAAAGGGTTTTTGATGTGGAGATTAGTAATGGTGTGGTAGCACACGTAGTTTGTTTGTTCTGTCTATCCATGCGGTGTCGCAACCACCTATGCTAAAAAAGGAGAGGCAAAAGAAGTGTAACTGCTGAGTGTCACTGATGGCCCATTACAATACCGCTTGTACTGTAACCAGATAAATGTTCACCCACCCCCAAAAAAAAACCTTCACCAGGCTTCTCTCCTGCTTTGTTTGTTGACTTCATCAATTGGTTCCTTTCTTTAATTGCTTGTAAATGTTACTAACCTAATGACAGAGTACACCAAAGTACTCTTCTCCAAATTTCGTTTTATTTTTCTCTCTTATGAACAAAGCTACACCCACGTACAATATATAACTAATATATTGCTCTTGATTGAGTACGGAATTCGGTTCAAGCGAACTCTTGACATCGATATATGTTCAAGCGGATAGAAATACGTCGCCTGGTCAGAGAGCATGAAACTTTCTTATTGACACAGATAAAAGGGACATGGTCGATTGACGTAATATGTAACAATTTAATTAAGAATTGAAATGAATAATATAGTGGATACCACTTACCCTATCGCTCGTACCATTGGGTGTCATTTAGGCAGAGCAAAAAAAGGGATGTTCGACGACCATTCTTGGGTAGCACTTTTTTCGGAATCGTAATTGGACCCCTTCTTTCGTTAACGTACCGCCGATGCCACCAGAAATAAAGCTAAGCGCTGTGCCCTACATCTATTGATTAAGCGCTCGCGAGAATTGAAAACAACCATTTGTCTTAGATACCATAGAGGCTGGATCACCAATTTATTAGCTGCTAACTTCCATGTAGTTCTGTCATATGCCTCCTAGCGTCAAATACTCGAAAGCAGACCAGCAAGAGGTGAGCATGTGACAAACTTTAGTTTGCATCGACGTCATTTGCCTATCCAAGTAAAAAAGAGAGTTTTCTCAACGCTCTTTTAAATTCCAGCTGTATACTCTTGGCATACGTATATACCGAACTGGAGTAAAAACCCTCAGAATAAATACCTGACTGATGACTGAGGGACAAAAAATATGATTGTATGTATTCACCCTACAACTATATATATGATGCCGTTGCGTTATATTGGTTTTGTGTAATTCAGGTACACACGAAAACACAGCAATCATACATAAAGAAGCTAATGCACTTGGGATTGACATAGCTGGTGCCCAGGGTCCGATCCAACTGTAATCGGTTTATCAGGAACATCTAGAGCATCATTGTACGCGCCTTTTATGAATGGGGTGGCAGCTGTGGCCTCTACGTATATCATGAAGTATGTGCACAGAGCAGCTGTAGCTATCGAGAAATGATGTGATCATGCTCAATTCTCACTTAATATTTCTATTCCCCAAAACCAAAAAAAGTTCTTGTTCTTACTTACATCCGATATTCGATAATCATCGTTGAGATGGTTTTTTGCTATACCATTTAGTTTTTTTTCTGAATTACTGACAGCATGACTAGCGATCCATAACTTTGGATTGAAGACCAAGAGCGTTGCATGTTCATAATCTACAAAGCAGGAACATGCATCCTTAATAGTAAAAAGCAAGGCACAATTCAAGCTTTCTGGTACATGTTGCTGCTGCTGCGTCGTTCGCTCGTTCGACGATCTACACACTAGTCCTCCGTTCCTATACTTTTCTGCGTCAATCACTTCAAGAAATGATGCTCCCTCAATATTTATATATACTCGAACGACACAAAAGAAAAAGGGGAGGGTAAGATATAGGTGGCCTTTTTAAAAGGCAAGAAGCAGAGACTTTGAATGCCATTCCTTTTGATGTGCGTGCATCGCTAAAAATAATTCTTGTCTGCTACTTTCAAAATGCGATCAGAGAAGAAGGTATCATGTTACATACATAGTATGCAGTTTGAGAGTTAAGAGTAGAAGCTCAGCTGTTTACATAACCAGCAAGCATGGGTTCTTTTATCTATGATTCAATCCCGTAAAGTTCGCCAGAGAACGTAGTAGTGATCAAACTGTGTGTAGTAGGGATATAGATATTATACTCCATTGAATTATTTGTAATGACAGCTTCAGTTACAATAATAGTAATAAAGTGCATAATAAAGAGAGGTGATGCATGAAAATTAAACATTTTTCTCTCTAGCGTAAGCTACCAAGTCGCTTGGATGATTGGTCTTTCTATCAATGCTGATCTCTTTGAGTGATTTGCTGTTATCAACCAAAGTATAGAAGCCATTGTTATACAATTTATGACAGTCCGACAAAAGGACGCATTTTAATGTCGAAATCCTGTCAACTTCTCCTAGAGTCCTATTGGTAACCATCTTCAATTTTTCAAATTGAATTTCATCGAATGCTGTACAGCGTTCGATGGCTGCGAGAAATCGGTCCAGCTGTTCAATCCGTGGAGCACAGCTCGCCAGTCTTACACCACGCAATGTCACAATGTGCGCCAACGCATCAAGGATTGTTGTGGCATCCACCGAACGAAATTTACCATCCAGAGCCACGTATTGCAAAGGAGATGTATCACCGAGACTTACGTGAGATTGAAATAAGCTGGATAGTCTTGTTTTGTTAAGAGCTACTCCGTTTTCAAGGAAATACTTGTTTTCGTGCAATTCGAGTCATTTAAACTGTTAAGTAACGTCAAAGTATTAAGTAAGGTGTCGTCAATTGGTACACCACCCCGACGTGTTTCATTTCGAAGATTGACGGCGCCGAACTTGAGTGCGTCACGAATAAGCGAAGCGACGCATATCCGAGACCGTGTCTCGCCAACAACGCATTTGACACTGTAAAGGTTGGACATGGCAAACTCTTGCGGGAGTAGACCGTCATGCTGCAAAAAGTCTTCGTTACCGTAGCTGAAAAGAAAATGTATTTCACGAAGATAATTACTTATTACTCATGTAACAGGAGACGACAAGTCTTGCTAATAGTCAGGTGGAAAAGAAATTGGTAAGTCTTCCGGATGAAGATCCAGTTGTTGTTGATGTTTCTGGTATTGTAATCAGAAAAGTCGATCTTTTCACGTCAGCTTGATGATATGAAAGTCGCTTTAGCTGTGGACAATGACTGGAGCAAAAGTGAAAATACGTTTCTGTCTGCGTCGTCTACACTGGGCATCTGGTATCTTGAGCTCGGGGCGCTGTGACGAGACTACGATTGAATCCTGATTGCTCATACTGTAGACGGCGAAAAAATTCCAAGCTCGATTAGGTTACAGTTGACATCATTGCTGGTATTGTTATGTAGCTGTTGCTCCTGGATTGAGGTTCTTATTCCTCTTAGTAACGGCCCTTGTCCTTCAATATATTCGGGATTTAACCTGTAATAGAGCTTCACAAGATATGAACAGCTCTGCAAAATGTCTATGAAAGTAAGCTGGGACGGGCTCAGTTTTTCTACCCTGTAGAGCACTGTCAGCTCCGTCAAAGTGTTGCTGACCGTCCGCAATACATTGGTACAAAGATCGCGGTTCAGGTACTCTCCTTAATCAACCGCCAGTGAGTGCCCATCGCTATACGACAATGTCATTGGGTGTGCATAATACTGAGAAAACAAAAGAAGGTGCTCTGTAGCTTTAATATTCACATACAATACTAGATACTTTACCGATGATGTTTAACGATTTGAGATCTTTGAAAAAGCTTTGCTTCGTCATTCGCTCCAAGTAAAAGTTCGGGTGGATATCGACAACAAATTGTTCGATATACTTGGCAACGTGTAGAAGCAAATTTTTAAGCCCGCCTTGCTTTAGGGATATATTGGACAATAAGGTCACGTCCGGTAATCGCTAGATAATAGGTGTAACCGTAAGCCACGTCCGCCAAGAGTGCGACACCGTCATGCATGCCATGCGGTCACCCGTTAACATATTGGCGAAAAGCTCAAGCAGTATTTCAAATAAAAGATCGCAAGGGGATCCAGGCATACTGCTAGCTCGTTTACTATATTAGCGTCATTTTTGTTGTTCTGCATCCGGATCGCTAAGTGTTCGTATCGCTCCAAGTGAATTTAAAGGGGAACAAGAAAGAAAATAGTGTTTTACTATGAGTGTGAGTGAGCAGTTCGTAACTCAGCAATTCGCATAGTTCAAATCCGTATCTGACAGGAAAAGAACCTTCACGTTTTTCTTGTAATGGAATCGCACACGCTAGAACTATACCCTGATCGCGGGATTGTGCACGTATCCCTCTTTCGCAACGTTACCAATGCACCTGAGTTACGAAAACGATTAATAGCACAAGACACAACACTTGCTTGTGCACTGGTGGACGCTACTGTGGTATGAATTCTTTTTATGTATCAACTACAATTCACTACCAGCACTACCACTAGTAGATTTGAGAGCGTGATGTTTAATATAGTCTCTTTTATAAACATTAAACTAGGTAATGAATGTTTTTCACGTTCTTCTCGCGACCAATCGTGCTGTGCACGATGAGCAGAATAACCAGATAAAGAGCCACAACGTCCATTCCGAAATTGTTGTCGATCTTTCACCTTCACCGAACGTAACTTTTAATAATTGTACCCACTCGCACACACACGCTCACCCACATAACTCAACCCGGATACTAAGCTCTATATTCTTGTATATGAAAACCAAACACTTCTTATAGATTGCACAAGCGTTTCGGAGGTTTGGATTAACCGATGAAACCAAGGATCTAGTAGTAGTTAAAGTTGGAGGTGAAACTGCTGAGGTAACGTGGCTTTAGCAAGCGATAATCTAATTTTTATACCTTATCCGAGTTGTAAAGGAAAACTTATACGCAAATATATGTTTTTCAAATAATTATAGGTTGAAAAGGAAATGCGCGAGAATGTAAAAGGAGACCTGGTACCCTTGAGTCAGTTAGAAGATGTGAGAGATATCAAGAAAATCAAAAAGGTAAATGAAAGATTGTATTCAGTGCTGGATGGTATAGCGATGGTTGCTAAACAGAGTGAACCGAATTTTTTTTGTAGTATTATCAAGTAGGAAACGAAGATGATTTAGACATAATCATGCAACTAGTGGCAGGTGCTATGGCCTTGAAAGGACATGTATAATAATATAAAGGCAAAAGTTTTGAACGAGGAATATGACAATTCTTTGGGACTTGGCATAACCTACGATGTATTCGTGTGGAAGATTTATAATTCGTTTTCCTTCTCTATCGGCGTTGGTAGCGAGCAGTATAGTCAGTCACCTTACGCTAAACATACAATAGATCACCACACTTTCGGAATGGCCTAGGTACGAAAGGGAAACGAGGACGGAGAAAGACAAACAAACATTTGCATGACCTTAATGAGTGCGCTCCTATTATTGTGTGCAGATCCTCAAGGAATTATTTTATACTTTGAAAGATGATGCAGAATGTGTTCAAATTGAAACAACGAGAAAGAGGGGTCGAGTAAGACGGAGAACGAGTTGTTGGAATATTACAAAAAATCAAAGAGGAATTTATCTTATTGTTGGATTTGTGACACAAGAGAGGTGGATGAACAGATAAACGCACAATTACAAACTAATTATTAATTACATCTAAAGCTTGCTTGGTTTCAAATCGCCTTCATCCACAATCTCAAGGCCAAGGGCAGCAACGGGTTTGAACATGGCTGCATAAGTTTTTGCTTCAGCCGAAGATGCTTGTTTGCGTGCAACACGTGCAGCGATGCCCTGTGTAATGACAGCAAGCTAAAAATGAAATGATGCACGCAGATGCAAATTAGGCTATGTTCTTTTTTTTCCATGTCCCGTTGTCTCTTCACTTTTCTTGCTCTACCAGAGCAACGTGGAATTGAGAGAGAAGCAAAAACGACTTACTCTGAAGAAGGAGAAGGCGACAGCAAACAACCATCGGTCAATAGGATAGGGGCTACCCACTGTGTTACAGTAAGCTTGCATTAATTCGTCCGATGGAGGGATGGGCAAAGGTTCAGTCGAGTTCTTGAAACCGCGCATGACCAAATTGCTCTTAGCGGGCACGTAGAATGGTTGCAACAAGTTAGACAAGTCTGACAATGGATGACCAATGGTTGACAATTCCCAATCCAAAATACCGATGACGCGGGGCTCGGTAGGATGATAGACCTAATACCAACATTAGTTCGAGACCACGGTTAAAATCTACTTTCCATAACCAAAAATACAGCCTTCTTCCATGCTGTTGTACAAAAGTACAAAGGCATTGGAATAAAAACCATTCTTTCATAGCACTCATATCCATACCAAGTTATCGATCTAGAAGAAATTGTCATGTTAGTAAAAATAGTGTGCACAGACCAAGCAATTTTTTATTATCAAATTTTGTTCTATGAATACCTTGAAATCACCGTGAACAATGGTTGCCTGGTCAGGAACTTGGTTCTTCGTGAACCATGCGAACAACTCGTCCAATCGAGGAATAGGGCCGACGGCATTACCAGTTTCCTCATCAACAGCAGCAGCTTGAGCAGCCGACACCTTGGCAAGCGAGCGGATCTGGCGTTCGTAAAAACCAGATGGTTTACCATAGTTGCCCAAACCGATGGCTTTGAAATCAACGCGGTGCAACTTGGCAAGAGTTTCCATCGCAGAGAACCAGCTTTTTTGTTGTTATAAAGATTTTGTGTATCAAATAAGCATGAAAGTTTCATAGCAACGGATTCTCATAGCAGCAAATTAGAGAAAAAAAGAACTCACCACTTTCGGCGCTCTTCATATGGAATGGATGGCATACGGACATCTTCAAAGATCCTGCCCTTTAAAAATTCCATAACCTGCATAACCAGCATCCCGTCACCCAATATTAGTTAGAGCTTTCGTGCATCCACTAATCAGTCTCCTAGGTTGGAAAATGCACTTTACATAAAATGGAGTTCCAATAACGGCCTTGTCGCTACACAGGGTATAAACCTTGGGAACAGGCACATTTGTCGAGTCACCCAATGCCTTGATGATACGATACTCACGCTCAACAGCATGTGCAGTGCTCGACAAAAGAGCTCCTGGGGGCTTCTTGCGAAGAACATATTGTTTCTTGCTACATTAGGTTTTCCCAAAGAAAGAGAGAGAGTACAACATGAGTTTTATTTCCTAATTTCTATAAAGTTGACAAGAATTTGACATCTTTGGGGTAATGCTGAGAGTGCTTTATTCAGAAAACAACAACGACTTACTTTCCATCTTTGATCAAATAAGTAGGGTTCGATTGACCATGTTTAAATTGTTTGATTTCAAGAGGAGCGACGAAGCCAGCGACATTGGCAACAAGGTATGCTTCCAGAGCAGCCTCATTGAGCTCGTGTCTATATTATGTATTTCCCGCCCCAAAATACATCAGTTTGTTTTTTATAAAAATAAGGGAAGCCCTTGGTTTGACGTGTCTTTTTGTTCCGGCAAACGCTCAAGGAGGAGAAAAAGGGGACGAAGAAAACTTGATCTTCTTCCTGTTTGTTCCTGATAATAACGTACCCAGCTCGTACACCGGATGTTGCTTGACCGTTTTGACCAGCCATATTTTTCAATTAATAATGATAATTAAAAAATAAAAGAAGAGAAGCAAAGAGAAATCGAGTTTAATGCTTAATATGTCCCACACTTGTCTCTGAAGTCAAAAAGCTAATGCCGCTGACAAAAGAAAATGATCGGGTTTGAAATTCCCTCAACATGCGCTGTGCTTCCGGTGATACACGAATTACAATTCTCATAAGCACGGCACCTGTCCGGAGAAGGGGCTAAAGAGTGCCCGCGCACAGAAAAATTAATCGAGAGAGTATACATTATGCAAACATCTTAGAGCGAGCTTATGAACTATTTCCGGGGAAGAAGCTCCTATCAATGTAAACAATTTATGGTTACCATGATCCAAAAGTATAAAATAGGAACGTTTTATACATGTAGAACAACAAATGCACAACATGGGAAATATTAGCAAACAGAACAAGCACGCTCTTGGCTACCGTTATATCGAAATTATGTCCGGACTAAGAATTAGCTGTTATTGCGGTTACTGCTGCTGCTATTACTACTAAGCACTATTGCTGTCTCTTTCATCCCTCCCTCCTTCAGGCGCCCCCAGCCAAGCAACACATTTTCGTTCATCCTACTTCCTCCTTCTTCATCTGCTGTTATTATAAACATAACACGCCTTTCGTTGGCTAGAGAAGCGACTACTCGTTGTTTCTGCTGCCTCCTAATATGTACCTTTTTTTAAACGGGTGCGACTGTATTATGGATGGAACATGCAGAAAACGGACCACCAGAGATGCGTCCCTCGCAATAGTGATAGCTCTCTGTATATCTTTTTGATGAATGGACTCCATCGAAAAGACTACTGTGTATATTGTATGCACGTCTTACAGACAATCTTTATATCACACCCGTTTCGCATTGTAGAGCAGAAAATACGGGACCTTGCTCTCTCTCTCTCTTCTTCACCGAACTTCATCAATTTTTTTTTTCGATTGCCCTCTCCTCATACGTACGTATGGAATTAAATAGCCATGTATATATGCAGTAGTAACAGTACGTGGGCTGGCTAACACTGGTGCTCATGGCCTCTCAGACTGCTACTGTCATCGATATCTCCAATTTTCCTTAATTTTCCCCCTACATATTCTTGCGCATGGTCACAAGAAAGAGAGAAAAGGGATCGAAAAAGGAAAGCCATCAAATTCTTTCAATCTTATGCACATATCATGCAAGTGCTTAATCCAGTCTGAAAAAGAGAAGCTTATAAGTGGAAACAATATCATGTTACTTTCACTGCATAGCTGCCTAACGTACTAATGAGATCTTCAAAAATGCCTAAAATATGCATCGCTTATCTTGTTCTAGAGTAGTGATTGAACATTCTTATTTTAGCTTTTGCACAAATGAACAGATAATACTGGAAAGAAACGAAAAAACTGCTTAGGATTTCTTCATACCTCCTTTCCCCTAGCTGTAATGCTTATAAGGTGTGCAAAATGATGTGATTTTACTACTACTACTGTAGTATTATAGTAGTAGTACAATTTGTTTTTTTTTTATTTCACTCGTTGCTGCAATTATCATATCCACGGGGAAGAGGATAAGTGAGCTAACGGGCGGATGCGCGAGCAGCCAGCAGTTTCTTCCGCAATCTGTTGGTATTTGCCCTCATAATACTGCTAGATTAAAGCCTTATCTCCTTTTTTTTTTGCTAACGTCGCTAGTAGCATTTTCTTGCATGAAAAGAACTGGCGTTACACACATTATCAAGGATACAGCAACTGATTTACACAGTCTAATTACTGCTACTACTTTCGACTTGAATGCCTCCTCAAACAGTATTTGTCTTGCTCCCTCCCTTTCATTCGCCGCGATGAGATGCTTCTTCTCACAAAAATGATGAGGATAAGTAGGATTGAGCAGGAGGAATCCTTGCGGGAGGTGGGGTAAGGGGGCATGATGATGAGAAATACGGCTGATCGGTCATTATTGATGCATCATACCCACTAGTAGTGCTACTCTGGCCAGACACACTCTGCTTCTTACATATGCTACGATCTACAGACACGTACGCATCATTCCAGCTTTTCGTTTATAGTAGAAGAGATTTACCCGTCAAAAAAATATGGGGCCTTAAGATAGACACTTATTTTTATACTATTTCATCCTCTCCAATTTTTTCCCTTCTTTTCTTCCTCTCGTTCACTCAACAAGCACACACATATTTCCGAACACCTTACGTTTCTATTTATTAAATAATATCTAATATTTTCTTATCGACTACACGACTATCGACAACTAATAGCAACAATGACCCATCTTAGCGATTTCAGTTTTCTACGTAAGAGAATAATCAACATCAGCAACACAGCAGCAGCAGCAACAGCAGTAGCTTGATATTAAGATCTACAACTCTTCACACGACAAACAACGATTTTCAGCATATTGCATTCATTGACGAACTTTTTCTGTATATACTATATGTAGAGCGCGCCGTTTCGCTTACGTACTTGTACGTTTGGTATTTCTACCGAGTGTACTCATTGGATGGGTTTAACTGTTTACGACCATCGAGATTTCGACAGGGTGAACTCAAGAGCGTGGTAACATTGCTAGTATTATTCATGGTACCATGTCAGCTCTACTATGGTAATAGGATAGAAAGAAGAAAAAAGAAAAATAGGGGCGAGGGATGATGATGATGATGGTGCGTGGGCTGATTAATTGGGAAGGGTGAAAGAGAGAGAGAATGAGAATCGCGAAGAATTCCAGCAACATTAACGATTTTAACTTCTTTCTTCTTTACCGCATTGATTATCGTACATCATTGACAGATATCGTTACATGCAAGATAAAATACGAAGAAGGATTCGCAAATATTTTCGGTCACGTATTTACGAAACCCGAGGTAATGTGGACAGAAGCTGATAAAGCACTTGTCGTTCCAACAGGTAAATATGCAGCAAGCGTGCTATTCTTCTTCGTCTTGTTTATTATTGCTATTATCATTACTACCACTACTGCCCATTATGACAAAGTTGGCCACCCAATTTCAACAAAAAAAAAAAACTATCACCACTGCAGTAACACCCTTCTCTTCCCCTCCGCCACTCCTTTTACTTCCTCTCCTCCCCTCAATTCCTCCCCTTCTTTTGTGTCCACAATTTCTTGCTTGTCCAATGAGTGCTATTTTACTACGATACTCCGTATTGGGAAATACTACATTCGCAATATTATTTACGGCCTCTTGGCACCCACCCACCTCCTTCCTAGGTCTAGCCAGATTCACCATCGTACTAGTCCTTATTCTCTATGCTACTCCTACTCCTCTCCTCACCCTATACCCCCACCTTTTTTTGTTCTGCTTGTAATCATCGCTTCAGAAGAGCGTACTATGATCGAAAGTGATTTAGTTAGATTATGCATAGCTAAAACGTTTTCCCGCTTGTTCTATTAGACTACAGTCTGTGTATTGGATTTTCCCTCCAAACGTAAGTACACAACTGATGACAAACGACCATCATAGTTTGATTTCCCAACCGGGCTAATGATGTATATTCATTATATAGGGGTACTTTACTTTTACTACAATGTTTCTGGAACTATCTTGCCAATTCCGTTGCCAAAGCAAGTTTCATGAGCAGCAAAGAATTCATGTTCTATATCGGCTGGTATGATGATGACATTTAGCTCGGTCGCAATCGAAAGATAGCATACGTATACTAATAGTACTACTTGATCCATTTACTACGTGCACATGTAGGACTGTGCTGAGCATAATCATGTTTCCTATTGTGCAATATAACTTCTCACGTGACATTTACGATCCAACGTATAAAGAAGTTTTTCCAGAACTTATCTACGGATGTGGTGTGTATTATCTCGGGGAATTTTTTATGAGCTTGAAGGATGTATTTGATAGTACAATGTTGATATGAATATTTAATGTTTGAATCCTTTTACATGTATATTTTAGAGTTATTTGTCGTTGCAGTTCTTGGTGTAATTTCTCATTTCCGTTTCAAAAAGTTGCTCAATAACTCGCGCGAGTCGAATAATGCGCGATCCATCACTCACAAGATTCGTTATTTCCAAGTATGCATCTACTATACCTACTTTCTTCGATAAAGAGAGCTAATTGCTCACATTTTATTGATATTGTATTAGGAGCTGAACTTGCTTTTATCGATTGTCTTGTTTATCGATTCCGTGTCATTCATCATCCTTAGCGCTGACGGGTTGACCGGACGCAAGTATTTAAACGCACACAAGTTCTCTGCTGACATTTTCATTTGCAACAGTAAGTGCTGGTTAGATGTTCTGCAGCTTAAAATAAGGCGCAAATTCCCATTATAACCATGAAAAACAAAAACACCAATAGTCAACGTAACGTCGGTCATTACATGGTTTATCGTAATTCTGATTTTCCATCCAAAACCAACAAGCCAAGGAACGACGACAACCCTACCAGCACCTACGCAAGACTTCTTATCAACAGGCAAACAATTTGATACGTACACGGGATCGCCCATCCTGATGCCACAGGGCTCTCAAGCATCCAGTGAGTTTATGCATTACACAAAGTCCGGTTCCGTCATTGTTCCCATGGCGAATCAACCTAGTTATGCGAGTGGTACGACGTTCCAATTAAATCCGCTCGCAACGATCCCCACCACTGACCAGAACCATTACTACCAGTCGTCACAGAAAAACAAAACCATGACACATTCAACTACGCCGTCAACAGCAACACTCGTTTCTACACCTGCAACAAAGCAACAACAACGTAAAGATGGCGGCGGTTATTCTCCAGAAGATATGTTTGCAGCGAATAATAATAGCCACAATAACAGACCCGTATCGACAACGCCACCGCATCCTGCCCTCAACAACAACAATAACGCCATGCCAGCGTTGAACGAATCTAACGTCACGGCTGTGAACCATGATGCCGCTTCGGGTGATTGGGAATCAACAGTGGATTGGCCTATGCAACATGAACCTATTACCTCAGGAACTGGTTCAGTGAGACAACAACAATCAAACTATTTGCAGCAGCAACAACAGCCATACGAAAGCGTTCGTCGCCAGAAATCTGACGATTCGATGTGGCTTCATCAATCACCTCGAGGCGCCACAAACAACGGTGGCGTCAGATCACCTTAAGGCATCTGCTGCTTGCTGTTGTTACTTTGCATCATCGACGTTCGGTATACTCATACAGCAGTTCTCTTCCTTCACACTTTAGGAATCACTTATTCTCTAACCTTTCTTCCTTTCTATTTATTTCCTCTACATTTTTTACCTTCTGCTTCGAATTTTCTCTGTTCTTTCCCGACAAAGTTCTCGCGTAGTAGCAATGACTTTTCATCTCGTTCATCTGATTTCTTCTTACTTTAAAGTAATATACATATCATTATCTATATTCCACATATTAATAGCTACAACAACAACAAAAGTGTCAATTTAAATGTAATTAACCGAAAACAGTACATCTTAGTGCACCAGTAATGGAAACATTAATCTTGCTGGACTTCTTCTACCTATGAGGAGGATAATTCTTCTCTTTCCATTTTTAAAAAGCTGTATGATAGTAGCAAATGTTCTAAAGAGCATATATCTTTTAGGGTGTAATGTCGTAAGAAAGACTCGATAATACTATGTGGATGGGTTAAGCTCATATGTTACGTAGAAACGTCTGCATGTCAACGATATTTCTGATGACGCGAGCACGCGTGCATGTGCGAACGCGCCATTATTATTTCATCGGCTTTTTACGGCTATTGTAGATTGTATTGTTCAGGGATCACATAATAGTACCTGAGTCTATAAAAGGAAATTTGGTATTTACTGATGCGCTGCATATTATCGAAAAAAGGAAAAAAACACGAAAATGTTGAAAAGGGTGCAAAGCACGACGGGTCATTTCAGCCCCGGATACACGGAGCTGAGTAATTGCCGCGAGATTCATTCGGCAACTGAAAAAAAAAGAGAGAGCTGCCGGCAGAAAAGTGAAAAGGGAGTCACACAGATGGGCAGCCTGCCCACGCTTTGATTGACTGAATGAATGAATTGAACACACCTTTTGTTACGTACATACTTCCTCACCCTTCCTCTTTTTCTTCTTCTCTCTCCACCCCTTCTCTCCTCCCTCCTCCTTCCCTTTTCTCTCTCTTACCTCTTCTCCAACATAAGTAGATAATGCCACAGAGGCCGTTGGAGGAGGCGCCACCACCCTTATCCACCGGAGGAGGACCGCAAGGCAACAGTAGCAGCAACAGCACCACTTCCGTTGCATCGCGATCGCCCGCTTACGACACTGCCTTTACCAATGACAAAAGCAGAAGCCAAAGTGCTTTGAACCTTGGCTCTATTTTGAATCCGGTATCGTTAAGCTCAGTGTCTGCACCACCACCACCACCACCAAGGCATAGTAGCAGTACTGACGATCGCTGTTACCAACAAAGACATCCGCAACCGCCGTCAACACAAGGAATGCCGGCTGTAATCCAAGCACATGCACAACAACAGCAACGTCAACTGTCAAACGATAGTGGCGTGCTTGAATCACAAACGCGATCGCCACACGGGTATACTAATGGAACAAGTAGTGAAACATTAGTGCCAATATTTTCACAAGACGCGACAGTGGCGGCAGAAGTCGTGACAAAAACGGCAAACAAGCGTGGCAGTAATAGTAGTAACGGCAGTCGCAGCGGTAGTAGTGGTGGGGGTGATATGCCAAAACAACTTCCACACCGCAAACGAACAAAGGACAAGTCGACACCCTCTACCATTGCTTCTGTTGCGGAAGGTGCAACACTGAAATGGCAACCGGTGGAAACGCCTCAGGACCATTTTGGTGAACAGCCGCACTACGTGTATGCCTCCATTTCCGCACTGCCACCCACAAACGGGCATCACCGTCCTAGTCGACCACCACCGCCGCCACCACTACCGTCATCGTCACCTTCGTCTTCAGCAGCAGGGGAATTAATACCACCACCGCCACCTTCATCAGCAACAACACCAGCAGATGTGCGCCAGATACCAACAATGTCAATGCACGCTCCGCCCATCGAGTTTATCAACAGTACACCTGGTTATCATCCACAGAACAGCAATGGTAGCCATCATCCCCATTATTATCCACAGCAACAAGAAGCACCACCACCACAGTCGTACGATACCCTTCCTAGACCAAATTCAGCACCGATGTATACCGTTCCATCGCCTACCGGAAACCATTATTACTACTACCATTACCCTACGCCAGAATCGCCTAGTAACAGCTCATCAACGACCCCGCCCTTTTTCAGCACTAATAATGACATTCAACAACTTCCTCCTCCTCCTGCTGCTGCTGCTGTTACTACTTCTTCTACAGCGAACACGCGGAAACGAAGTTTGCCTGTGGATCACAGCAATCAACCTAAACGTGTACGTCAAAACAGTGATGTTGTTGCGCCCTTTCCCATGCCGCCCAACACTGCTACTATTCATCCTCATCACCAACATCCTCAATATCACCATCAGCATCAGCCACCGCCACCATATCCAGAAACTTACATGTACCATCCGCCTCAACAGTATCAGCATCAGCATCAGCACAATCCATATCTACCACCACAACCGTATCCAGCTTATTATTTGCAAGCGTCCCACCAACCGCCGCCGTCTATGGATCCTAATGCAATGCCGCCGCATTATATTCAACAACAGCCAATCATACAACCCTCTGCGAGACCACCACCACCACCACCTCCAACACCACCTATCAAAGAGAAAAAACCAAAGAAAACAAAGACTGCAAGCACAGCAGAACCAGGGAAACCGGCGAAAAAGGGACGACCGTTAAAGAATCCGCCCTCTGCAGCGGCATCAAAAGCAACAGCGACAACGCAGCCACAACACGACGCAGGATCGTCGTCTTTAAAACCTAAAGTATGCAAAATGGGAAAAAATAATAATTCTCAATATAGGAGGTTACACAGAGAATGGGGTGGCGTCTGTCAGCGTTTTCCTCGATCTGGTCACACACTGACGATCAAAAACATATTTTTTTTTAGGAATTATCAGCTACACCTGACGCTACTGCTAATACAGCAACTGAATTGGCGACAACTGACGAATCAGCACAAGTAAAGAAGGTACCGAAAAAACGAGGACGACCGCCAAAATCCGAAGCACAAAAAGCAGCGGAAAAAGCAGCCAATGCAGCAAAAAAGAAGGCCAACAAGAAGACTGCAAGCAGTAGTAGTAATAGCGGTTTGAGCAGTAGTAAAGAAGCAGCAAAGAAGGAGGAGGCTAAGCGGTATTGTACGTGTCAATCACTTTTTGAAAGTCCCCGCTATATGCTCTTGTGTGATCACTGCGGCAAATGGTTCCATGGCGCGTGTGTCGGGATTACAGCAAGGGACGGCGAGTTCCTCGATCTGTATTACTGCAAGGAATGTACAACAGCTACGGGAAAAAAATCCACCCGTCGATCAGTGTGTGCGAATCCACATTGTAAGCGTCCGGCTCGTGGCAGCACGCGAGGCAGCAGTAGATCAAAATACTGCTCAGACGCGTGCGGTATGCGGGTTGCACGAGATCGATTACAGCGAGCACAACAAACTTATGATTCAGATCATCAAAATTATCGTCAACAACAACATGATCGTGGCATTGGTAATGATGATGACCATAATACTATGAGGACGGAGGAGCAACAACAGTCGACGACGGAAAAGAAGTTACAGGAAATGCTTCAGACACGACAACAACCCGGCAACAAAAGTCAGCTCAACATTGACTCGAATCGATGGGATATGGGACGATTGGCACGGATGAAAAAAGAACGGACCAAAGCCCGAGCTATTGTCAGTTTTGTGGACATTCAGGCACAGTTCTTGCACCAAGTACTTGAAAGCCAACAAGACAATGACCCCAAGATGTGTGGGTACGATTCACGACTTGCGTGGCAAAGCAGTGTCTGGCATGCTATCGAAAGCATCTCCAGGGATGGGACGGATATCAAAGTGGAGTTGCAGGATCCCACCACCAGCAGTAGGTGTAGTAATAATGGCACCAAAGAAGAGAAACACGTTTTTTTGGATGGCGTGGATCTGCATGATTATACTATTTGCAACAAGATTGGCAAGTGTCCCAAGCATGAACATTGGCGAGAACTACGGCAATTGGAATTGGATGGTGAACGAAGGAAGCAGATTGACATTTTGGTTTCTTTGGATAAGAAACGTAAGCAGATCAAGTCAAGGATCGCCGATCGACTTAAGCAGCCTGAAGGTTGGACGTTCTTGGATAATGGTACCATCTGCCATGACTGAATTACTATTACTACTATTATTACTCTTCCTTAAGCCCCCCCCCCCTTCCACCTCTCTCTCTCTTTCCCTTTATCTGTGTGTTTTGGTCTTGCTTTGTAAAAATAGTATATCTGTTAATAGTATTGCCCCTTAACTTCATTTATCACGCATCCATCAAACATCAACATCAACATCCTCATCATCTTTCATTATTATCACCATTACACTATTACTTTGTAACATATCATCTCCATTTTCCACCGACGCAAACAAATACACATGCGCACAGGCAAAAATGATGTAACGAAAGAAAGAGTTTATTATGTAAAAAAAAGTATATGAGCTGTTGTTGTCTCACACATAGTATAAATATATGCATGTGTTGTGTGTGCGTGTGTACACAAATTCACTAATAAGTACTAGTATAATAATAATAAAAAAAAGGGATCATCCAATCTTTTCTAATAATTAATGCGAGCAAAACCAGGTCGCTGCAGCTCTACTTTGGGCATTGGATTCTCGACTTCATGGGGGATCACCATTGTCTTGAGCGTCGTCTTCATTTCCTTGACACGAATGCCTCGATACAGTAACTCATTACGGCCATCATCCACCGAAGGATCTTCTGAGCTTTCTTCAACAATTGTTTCTTGCTGTTGACGTTGGGTGTCAATCGTGTTACTGTTACTGTTACTATTGTTTTGTGAATGTCCAACCAACCAAGAAAACCGAGCCGAGTAATGCCTTGACGATGAGGATGCTGATGATGAGGATCGTGTTCGTGTTGATGTTGATGAGGAGGAGGAGGACGTAAATGAAGGTGGTAAACTGTGTTGACTGCTCATACTACTGCTACGTTTAGGTCGTGGTGCCATGGCATCCTGGGGTATGACTCGTGGTGGTAACTTGTTGTTCACATTATTTCTCGCTGGGGTTCGAGTGCTTTCACTTTGACTTCTCGCTCGGTTAGGAATAATGGATGCGTTGCCGAGTGCCATAGAGGATGTCCCTCGGCCACTGCTTTGTACTGCTGCTGTAATAGCAGCTGCCATCGCTTCAATGTCAAGTGTTTCCGCTGCATCGTTGTCGTTGTTATTTCCATGGTGAGATAAAGGTTTGCTGTCATTATCATTGGACTGTTGTTGTTGTTGTTGCTGCTTGGTCAAGTCGACCGTATCCATCGGGCCTTCTTCTTCCTCTTCTTCTTTAGACTCGGATATACAATTGTTGTCGTTTCTGACCATATTAGAGAGGTATGTATTTTGTAATAATTAAAAAACAGAAAAAGAGTCGAAAGAGAGAGAGAGAGAAAAAAAAAGAAGGTGAAAAATAGGGACGAAATCATCATCTAATAACCGTTTGTTCCTGGACAAAGTGTGGAGTTATTCTTCTGTGTAACAACCTCTGCTGGATAATTAGGGCCGTGCAACCGGTAATTCAAAACAAAGAATGTAGCTTGATTGCTTGATTAATTATCATTGGAATCTAGTAGCGTTTGACTTGCACTAATGATTTTTTTAGATTGGAGAACAGTTAAAAATCAAGTGATACATATCGATTTTTTTCGATTCTGGTCAACAAAGCCCATTGTAATTTTGTTTCTCGAGCAATTCAACGAGTTAGTGAGAGAGGATAAATTGTAAGGCGACATGAAGCGATACGTTGGTGAAGGTCGAGGAGTATTATAATCCGGTCCCAAACGACTTTAGCAACACCATAGTTCGCTTTGTCAACTTCGCAACAAGTATATCTGCCTGCAAGATTAGTCTTCATCAATAGGTCTACTTTGTGACCTTGTCATTGGCTGTAAAAGTGGCCAGCTCTTTCAAGAAGCCCCTGGCTTTGATCACCGGCTCATCATGCCTGTCAAATATGGTAAGGTAGCGATCGGGGAACAGAAAAAAGAAGATAACGCATGTTATCATAAACGTAGAAATACCAAGCACACATCAGACACGATGGTCCACGTAAAACGAAAACACACACCGCCTTTTATTTGACCGTCTTCCATTTGCAACATTTTTATGCTATTACAGTTCAATCTATTGCAGATACGGTCTATCCGGTCCAGGACAAACAAACTTCAATGACGCAAGATCCAATGGTCGAAGTTTTTCTTCTGGAGTCGAAAACATATTCTAGTTTATCAAAGGGGTGATTTGTGATTCGATGAATTAGTGCATATTAGAGCATAGTGTGTATGATGTTTGTACGTTGTGTATATACTAACATTCCACAAAGCCATAGCCATGACTTGATTAGCGCACCTATTCGGATGGAAGCTGTAAAATAGGGAAAAGCATCAGATGAAGCAGACTCAGCAGCATTTAAAACACTTTACCAGTCAATGCCACTTAAATATCCTTGCTTGTATTTAGCAATGGGCAATGTTGTAAAGCCTGGTTGGTAGACTACTTGGAAGTGCTTGTCAGAGAGTGCTTCATCAGACGCCAGTTTATGTAAACGCTTATTGTATTCTGCCACCATATCGTCAGCAGCTTTTGTTGACAGTCATAGCATGATAATATGTTAGTCATGAGCAGTCAGCTCCAATTTGAATGTTCGATTTTCCACAAAAAAAATATGTACCTCGTCGTTGTGCCTCATCGTTTTGTACACAAGAGCAGATGGTCATATGCGCCTTGTTCCAGACGAATTCACAATATGGATCGCCTTGAGCCGCCTCGTAGACACTTGAGACCTAGCCGTGTAGATGATGGATGATGGATAAATGATGTGAGGTAACACACAATAACACAACAGCAGCCGTGGGAAAACATACAGGATACTCACATTAAACAATGCGACCAGATTCACGAATGACTTGCTGACTTCCTTCTTTAACCTACCAAGGGCTTGTCGGATATCGTCTTCAAATGCATCAGCTTGAGCAAGCAATGGCAGACGTGTCATGGGAGGGTCACACAAGACACAGATATTGTTTGCCCCAATAAACAGCGTAATCAGTTTCCATTCGTCCTTGATCCTCTGATAATGGTGATTGTTGGAACTAAGCAGGTGCACTAGACGTGTCACTTCGCCGTCTAGATCCTGTGTCTTTGCCCCACTGATCTACAGTGTAGAATAAGCTTTTCCTCTTTCCGCTGACGCATGATTCAAGAAGGTTTTGTCTTGGTCACACACACACATACCGCATTATCCAAATCTTTGCCACGTGACATGGGAAAGGTGACACCATCAGGTCCTCCTGCAGCGTTGCTGTATATGCTCAAAAAGTTGGGAATAGTATACTCGTCCGGATCGGTGCCTGCTGAAAACACTTTGCCTCGATATTCCCAAACAGTTGCAAAGGGTGGTCGACCTGCAAAACGGTAAATGCTTGCATGTTAGTTGAAGCCAAACATACAGCACACAAATAAAAAAAGCCCCAAATTTTTCTCCGTTCTCCCCCAATAACAAATCAAGTAGGTAATGTGACCTGAAAGCATGCCGAACCCAGCAGTAATGCTGTCCCCAAGCGCAATCACTGATTTGATGTCCTAAATATACGCAGTAGACACCATCATCGTCCCGTCGTAATCAGTAGCCCAAGAGAAGTTTTGGGCGCTGTCCTTTCTCTTGCCCACCACACACTCTCTTCTATGCTACCATTCGACATTTAGCTTACATGAGGTCGTAGGTGCTGAGCATCGCGAGAAGGAATATAGGCATAGTCATTCCAGTAAAACGCTTCACAATCAAACGTTGGCAGTGATACTGGGCAATCGTGTCCTTTGTATGATGCATTGGCATGGCCACCAAGGGCATTATAAAACTGTTCCAGCACATGTACCCATTCGCTCGTAAAAGGATGGAGAAGACTGTTTGGGTGCTGCTGTGCTGTTGTTTGATCGCATAATACACTTCCTCCGTCGTCGTTTTCTTGATTTCCTACTGACAGAAATGGGAATTGCTGCTGTCGTCGGTCATCTGCTGTAACAGAGGAGCCAGCTTGTAGCAGAGCAAGAAGTAGTGATACAAATGCAACAGGTATTGATGCTAGCATGGCATATGTAAAAAAACAAGAGTAGAAAAGAGAGTAAGAAAGAAGAGGGCGGCGGAAAATGTGTTTTATGCAGATTCAAACACCTTCCTCTCCCCCACAGAAAGTCACGCGCCACCGAGCAGCCTGCTGCTGCTGGTCTGCCAAGTGATTCTTGTCAACCACACAATAATGGCGCCGGCTCATCTCTATCTTTGTGTTTACTCGTCTACCCCTACTTTGCGCAAGTAACACCTAACATAGAAGACGTGCTTAAGCTTCTTTTCGCTCTGCTGGATGGTTGGATCTGATCTCATGATAGATCGACCAGCACGGCTAATGAAGCTCATAGACTCCCAACACGTGAGTCGGCAACAACAACAACAACAACAACAACAACAACAGTCCCGCTGGTGCATAAACACACCCCTTCCAAATATTGCCTGATGTAACGTGTGGGAACTATGCACCTGTCAAGAAGCCCCGAATGGCCGACAACTTGCTTTTTTTTCCAATGCTACACAAACGCTGCTGCTGGTACATAGCTTTACATTTACTGTCGTGCATAGCCTGGCTTCTATGATTAAAGCTGTGGGTTTAGTTTTCTTGCCAATGAGAATTGCCATAACAAAAGTAGAATGACTGTCTGAAGGGCTCAAGCTGCAACAAACGATATAAATGAGTAGGTTTCATAGGAGCCGCTGAAAATTCGCGCACAAGAAAGTCGGATAAATAAATTCCGATAAATAAAAATGTAACTTCTTCCAAAACTATGAAATTATCAAAAACGATCGCAAACAATAAAATAACAGGCTTCAAAAAATATATCCAGCTTACAATAACTACAATAACTCTTGGATATATAATTTATTGTTGCTAAAAGCGACTTTGTATGAGATATTTTGTTCTTATAGCTTTATATGTGGCTTATCAAAGTAGCAATAGATGGTAGATGAGTTTCAATAGAGTGATCCCCAGGGCCTAGCTTATTTTGATTCTCTCTCTCCCTCCTTTCTTGTTATTAGCTATGGATCTCATTTCTAACACCACCTTGCCAATTGGCCCAACTCGTTTGCCTACTGTTCAAGAAGCGATCGCTAGCAATGCATTCGACGAAAGTCGATCGTATTATTGCAAGAGATGTCGCCACTGCAAGCCAGGACTTGATTACCTCGGTCGGACGAGACCATACAGAACTTGTATTGATTGTCGTCATAGGGATACACCCCTTGAAGTTATTCCTATCGACCGAATGGTAAACCTCAACTCATTGGAAGAACAATATACAGGTCCAGGTACCGTTGTAAGTGTAAATAGGATATGGTTGCAGGTCAACTACCTAAATAATGCTGTAGTTGCGTTTTTGCTTTGTCCATGCTTATTTATCTTTGAACTCTATAGGATACCCCGTTCTATTGCTATCTATCCATTGATTCTATCATGGAAATTATGTCCGATGAAGACATGATTGATAGAATTATAGAAGAGGTGCAAAAGTGCGACGGATACCGCTATATATTGAAGAATGTGGCAGACCCAGAGCAATCGAACAACCTATCGTTCACTGCGTACTGTTCGCGCTCCCAAACGTACCAGAACCAGATTTCGGAGGAGCTTCTTAGACGCGTGAATGTTAGAATGCCTACATTCACGTGCGGAGGCCGTATCAAGGGAACGATTAGAAGAAAACTCGGCTACGTAGAGCTCATGGTGGCACATCAAGAGCACGAGAACGTAGGTGTCAGCGTTGATGAGCACGGAGCCACCATCCGCACCATCGAGCGTAATTTGGTCCCTTCCGATATACGTGCGGATATTGCCGAAAACGTTCTTTAAACGGATGCGACAGCTCTGTACCGGCGTGTTATCCAACTGTTCCAAAACTATGATGTGACACCTATGAAAGTGTATTACTGGTGGAGCCGCAGCTTTGAGTCCTAGTATCGTCTTCATGATGACCAGATGACGTCGACCAGGATGCTTGTTGAACGCTACAACAGTCGAGGGTTTTACGAGGTACGTAGAAACAGATATCTACTGACAATGATCCAGGTTTTGCTGTATAAGCTGCCGTTAGGTCTTAAAATTAGTAGTGATATTCCAGTGTGAGTAAAGTCTTATATAGTTTAATAAAAAAATAGGTGTTTTGGTGACGTACTCTTGATTATGTTGCCTTTGGTTTCATTACTCCTTTTTTCCATTTGTTGATGATGAGTGGATGTATTGAAGAGTATTGCATTGATTCGACGTTAAACAAATCGTGCTAATTCCGAGTTGTATGGCATTATTGCCACTGTAAATGGTGATAAAGAACAAGCTCAAATGAATGCCATCGAAGCCACGTGGGGCCCTGTTCGATTACGTTTATGTCTGTGGCACTTACAAAGACCGGTTGAACGCAATCTCTGCCAGGCGCGAAGCACAAACATACCACCATACGGTCCTTTTGAAGCACAGCAGCATTCCCTTTCATCGACACAGACTTTGTGCCATCAATTGGAGGCCGCGGCGGAAGAATTGCAATTATGCAAAAATCTGCACACACTGTGATCATCAATATGATGACTGAGCAATATCATATGCATCCATTAATACCTGATGGTAAAATGCCATGTTAAACATGCACCCGAGTCTTTTAAAATTTCATGTAAATTATCGTAACCCTAACAATAACGTAGCTGCTGATTCGTTAAATATATAGTCGCACATAGACGTACATCTGATGAAATTCCTCAATATGCTGCTGAACAAGTCTACAACGATTGCCAAATAAACCAGAATATTGATGCTTGGAATTACCTCTACGACAACTGGTATAAACCACGTGCATGGAAACAACGGGCGCGCAGTGCTGTTCCGGATCGTATCCCTGCAGGCAAGACAACCATGCTTATTGAAGCCCATTGGAAGGTCTTGAAGCGCAACCACCTCTACCGCCACAACCGTGCCCCCTTGGACTTGCTTGTCTTTGTCATCATGGATAAGCATTTTCCTGAGTTGCGGCACAAATATAATCGTGATATTGTCCGTTCTCGTGCCCATACAAGATGGCAACAATCCTTGGTTAGCCAGTGGAACAAGGACTACCGCAAAACAGAAAACGTGGACGCCGATACACTGGACATACCATCAGTTGATACATGGACTTGCGGCTGTAAGGCTTTCTTGAAAAGCCGGTTCCTATGCTGTAAACATCTCGTGTTGCGTTCGGGCTTTCGTCGTATAGCAGCTAGGGGATACTTCATCCAACGTGTTTCGATTGCCCCGTTCATTCGTATTAGACCAGTAAGTTCAGTTTCTTCATATTTTGCTGTTAGCAGATTGATTTTTATAGCATCTCCAGTGGACTCGCTATCCTCTTGTTGGAGATGAATCCGATTACCTTCAATTTTAGTGAGACTGCGGTGATATTGCACTTTGGGGAAAAGGATGTGAAAGAGTTGTGATATGTACCGAACCTGCTACCTTAAAAGAGCAAAATACTTTGTAAACTTGATATTTCGATATCTTGACAAGCTTGTTTGCATCACAAAATGGGTGATTTAGCTAGTACTATACATTATCAGCCGATAAGTCGATGATTTCTCTGTTTAGGGTACCGTACAGTTGCTCACGTTATCATAACAGCACTATATACAGTGGATAGTAGTTTATACAGAGATATTTATGATCATGTTGGGGTGCTTTGTGGCTCGCCATTCCGCAAAAACAGAGTGACAGCGAGTCCGTTGGAGATGAACTAATTACACAGTATTTCATAACACGTTATTCCTATATTATTTAGTTAGCAGAAAATATCTTTCGTGATATGGCATTGCCTGAAGAAGGCGGCCCTGCTCCAACTACCACCACTCCCACCATCATCACTATAGACGACTCCCCCGACGTTGACGAAGCGCAGTGAATACAGCAACAACAGTAAATCAACGGTCACCACCACCAGCGGCTGAAACTGGCGAAAATGGTCAATACACTGTCATTCTTAATGATAGTGAGCGTGATCTTTTGCGACGTGAGCAGCGGATGGAAGAAAATAGACGGCAACGTCGTGAATTGTTCGAAAGAATGCAACAATTAGATGATGACTTTTCGGTTGAAACCACGGGTTACCGTAATTCGTTGCCTCCCGCTTTGCTGCGAGATTTCGACATGAGTGTTGAACGTGACGATATCCACACATATTTAGCAAACATAATCCAATCCCGTCGTAGGCGTACAATGCCCAGAACATATACAGATGTACCCCGGTACACTCGCAATGTTTAAGTATGTGCCAAAAATAATTCCCCCTTGATGTATATTAATCATTGCTTTTTGTAACATTAGCATGCTTTTTATATCTATAGATCTTTTCCCTTACACAGTATGTAAATTTCTCTTCGTAGTGCTCTTATTTAGATTTCTCACTATATCTTGTTTCTTTTCCTTCCCTTTCTCTTCGTCTCTCTGTCTTAGCACTTTAAATCTTACCACTCCTCTTTGATATATATTCTTTCATATGCTTTCTTTCTATTCGTTCCCTTTTCCATTTAAATATATATATTTCATACAGATCGTTGACTGCAATCATCTTGACAATTAACATAATTGCAGGTGGGTAGGTAAACCTAGTATAAGAGAACGTTAGTTTACGTTCGAAACTGGTATACATATTAGTTTTTTAACAGTTAGCGAATTTTTTTTTTTGTAAGAGAAGAAATTTTATTGTATCGGTGTGAGAAACCGATTTAAATGGAAGATAAGTTTGATACACAGTTGTCTATAAAGCTAGTTCTTGATGCAGGCGGGTGAGCATGCTCACTGCCTGTTGACCAACGTGATTGGATACGAAGTCGGCGTCCTCAAAAATACGTTTCCAGTGCGCCTGCCAGATAGCAAGGGCAGTGCAAGCAATAAATAAGTGGAAAGAGAGCATCTTGTATTTGTTGTTAATGTGTGGCGGAGTAGTGTGTGTAAGATGGAGGTGTTGGTAGTCGAGAGGTGAGGTGTGGCAAGACAGACAGTGGCAACTTGATCCCAGACTGAGCGTTTCCTTGGACAGGTCCAGATAAAGTGGTGATCGGTTACCGTTGGTCGCAGAAAATGCATGAGTCTGAGGGATAGCTGTCCGGGATCAACTGGTGAAGACGAGCGCGACTGGGGAGCTTGTTGTGGTGCCTGCCAAAAATGTTTTCATGCTGCTCGGGTTGCCCGCGGATAGGTGACAGGTAATGTTGACAGGGGCGTGAGAAGGGTTTGGCGATACAATTGGTTGGTCAACTCGTCGATGGCAATTCCTGTCAGTAGGGTAGGCCGGACGAGATTCCTGGGGTCGTAGGTCGCACGGGAGGCAAACGTTGTGTGCGTCGCTGGTGACTCGATAGATATATTATAAAATGGCGGACAAAGCTGGGTGCGAGAGAGCACTGACCCCGTTGGTATAATTCGAAAAAACGGAGGAGCCGATTACGATGTTGCTGGCGAGGCGAGTGTGTGGTACGGCGTAGCAGGCTTGTGTGAGGATCCCGCAAACCAGTGGAATCAAAGGATCTCAGGCGTCAGCGAGCGCGGCTAAGCAAAAACGGATGATTGGTAGTGACAATGAGTTTGGGTCATTGTGGTTGGCGGTGATCAGAGGAATTACCCATCGTAACTGAAGTGCTTGAAGTTGAGTATCGGGATCAAGGATAGACAACCCTCCCTCGTGACGTGGGCGCGTATAGGTTGCGAAGCTGACTGTTGGAAAATTGCGATATTTAAAAAAATCGTATGAGGGCAGACCGAACTTTGTTGAGGAAAGATGTCAGTGTTGGTAAGATTCTTATAGTATGCCAGAGTCTGCTTGTGACAAGGGAGTTGGCGACCAGGCCACGGCTAGCAATGGATAGATTGCGAGCAGTGAGAATGTTGACGTGAGTGTAGATTGTATTGAGGAGCTCGCCAAAGAAACGGTCAAGCTGGCGTGGTGCATTGGTAAGAGGATACCCATGTATTTGACCGCATCGCCAGCCTGCAAATTGTCCCATTGAGTGATACCCGCTGAGAATAAAGACAGGCGCCAGCGAGGCTGGTCCGCGCCTAATAGAGAGACAGCAATCGTTTTATCCCGGTTGATCCGTGCATGGATGTCTGGCCATAGATTTCGACGAGATTTAAACAGGCAGCCAGTTCGTGCGTATCTCGCAAGAATAATTTAGACGACATCGGCGTACGCCAAGGTCCTAACAGGCGAGACGTCGGGATATATCGCTGATCTTGGCGGTGATCCAACCGCTGACTGAAAAGAATGTCAGGGTGTTGCCGGATGGTACATAGAAACGGTTCGATGGCAATGTTGAAAAGCAGACGAGATATTGAGTCACCTTGGCGGAGGCCACGTTGTTGTCCAAAAGCTGATGAAAAAAGCCGTTGGTATTGATGCAGATTGACGTGTTGAAAAAAAGGGACATCAAGCAATCCACCAGTTCCACTGGGAATCCAAAGTGAAGCTGACACTGTTGTAGATCTTGACTATGCAACCGCTCATATGCTTTCCTTCTTCGTCGAGAAGTACTGCCACCCTTGGTAGCTTGAACTTCTGCGCCAGTTCCATTGCCAGTCGCGTGATGAAACCGTTGTCAGCAATAAACTGACCAGCCATGAATCCAGTTTGATGTGGATCTATCAAGTCGGGCAAAACAAACTTGACGCGGTTGGCTATAAGACGAGTAAAAATCTTGGCATCGGTACAGATGAGCGAAATCGGGCGCCAGTTCTTGAGCAGCATGCGATCCCTTTTGTTCGGCAGTAATATAACGGTCGACCGCTGCCATGTTGCTGGAAAAGCGTGCTCGTGTAGCGCAGTGTTGAATACCTGTAGTACAGTTGTACCCCGGTTTTTGCAACCGAGCGTTTGTTCTCGAAGAACTGTAGATAGGAGTGGCTCGGTAATATTAGAATCATGCGATGATCCAGGGCAGTTGTAGCTAAGTTAAGCTCAATTGTCAGTGATCCATTCATACTAGATAGCAATGTGACATGAAGTAAAAGTAAATTAGCATGACACCTACTTGATCCAGCATATGCGACCATTCGGCGTGAAAACAATGTCCTGTGCTACATAACAGTCAGACAGCCATCCATTGTAGTACGCGTCTTGAATATTGTTTTCGCCTGGATCCTCGATTCTTAGGTTGAGTCCATCCACGAAACCGAATACACGTTGCAACGATGGTTCGACATGCTGTATGATTGATGCAAATCGAGCCATTTCTTGCTGTGATGACCAACGAATTCGCCATCGCCTGTCGTTCTCATTTGAGAAGACCTTGTACAGCGTCTCTAGACCAAGATTCCTTGCTCTCGAAGTAGTAGCTGGCACAACACCATAGAGGGAACCGGTTGTGTCCTGTCTGTTGTATGTGTGAAGCCAGGTCAGAGTGAGAGCGACCACGCTGCTTTAAAGCCAGATAAAAGCGCACGAACCGGCGATGCAGGCGATCGAAAGCGGCAACAGTGCATCCACAGCAACCAATAAACTGTCGGTCAACCCGGTTGGCTAACGTAATGCGTGCAAGCGAATCTTCGTAGCGATTTGGAAGCTCGGACCGTGTTACGGGGTATCGCATTTTACGCTGTCTACTACTCCACACATCGACGACGATAACGAAGTAAAAATAGAAGAAGGTTGCAGCATAAGTGGCAATAACGAAAAGGATGAAGAAACGTTTATAGGCATCCTCCGACCCCCCTGATAAAAAATTTCGTAGATTCGGCAAAACTCCTTGTAGGAGGCATTGTTTTGAAGTTAAAGCTGTAATGGCAAGCGTTAAATAAATAGTGAAGCGAAGTGTAGTACAATGTGATAAAGCTAGGGACAATAGTAGCTTGAAATGAAAATGGAGTCTCTTCTTTTATATTAAGCTTCTCAATTACTGTATCGTAATACTTATAAAAACATATATCCAGTTCAAGTTATAAAACGCTCTAAACAAGCGTATCCAAAAGCGTATCCATTTTCAAAAAAGCGTATCCAAAAGCGTATCCATTTTGAAAAAAGCGTATCCAAAAGCGTATCCATTTTGAAAAAAGCGTATCCAAAAGCGTATCCATTTTGAAAAATCCTGCAGATATTGGAGCTCTCCAGATATCTCCAGATTTTGAGACACACTAGTATGCCCCATAAAGCACGGAAACATTATACTCGAATGATCCAGTTTATGTAAAACAACATCTGTACAGCAATGAACGCCTATGACCCGAATGGGCTGGCGTGATATGATGTCGTTTGTGATCTTTTAACGATTATTTACGGCTGATGATGCACTTGGAATGGTTGTCTTGTTACTAGTTATATTGGTGAATTATAATCCAAAAAAGGAAAAGTATCAGGAAAGAAGGGGATGGGGGATGGGGGAGATAGCGGATAGTGTTATGCAAGTTGGTTAATATCTTATCAGCAGGATGACTGGGCGTGTATTAGATTGGGATAGCGCAAAGGTCAGGCCAATGATCAAAGGGTCTCTGTACAGGGTTCGGGTCAATGTTGTTTATATTGAACAATAAATTGTTTGTTTGGGTTTCGTTTGGTGTAAACATGTGCTGAACGCCGCAGCCAGCGTCTTCATGGGATCAGTGAAAGACTCGGCCATCGTTGTATCGACTGTGGTGGCGTGTGTAACGAAAATAAAAAACGCTCTCTTGTACGAGTATATGCGCACGGCAATTAACGATTGCTGATCCTCCAAGCCCGCAATGATGGATGTGGGCAGCTTAAAATAGATTGTCAAGAGCAGAATATGGAGCAGCATGGCTGTTTTCAGCATAGTATGCGCGTCATCCTAGAGCTACTATTATCCATACAGGCTGCTTCTTCAGGTTGATACTGTTGTTTGGTTTGCTCGTTTTAACATCCTTCTCTATGAGGCTTGCTTTATAACCACGCTGCATAAGAAAGCTGCTTATTGCCATGGCATTCAGTAGTCATGACAATCCATGTTCCTGAAAGCCGCTTGTTGCCAGGACAAGCATGTCAAAACACATTTTATTTTATTCGCGTCACCCATTTTGACCAATTCCGAGCGAAATGGCGGCTGCTCTTGCGAAGCGATTCGCAGCGCTTTTTTCACACAACCGCAACCAGCGCAATGGGCAGACTCGTAGCAACACGCACATACTCAACCCTTGTTTTTTCGAGGCTCTGAGGCCAAGTTACGATGTTTTTTGCGCAGGGTCTCCATTGTACTTTGCTGTCATGCTCGGCTTCTTCATGCGCAGACCTTCCGTGCTGGCCGTGAATAAAGTTGGGGGTGGGGGGTTGGATGGGGGGATGGAACCAAAGTTGGGGGACGTCACTCGTCCAGGCGAAAACACTACACTGTATACGCTTATGGAGGTGTGGTTTTAGACTGCTTGTCGTCTTTAGTCTCGCATTGAGCTCGCTCGGTAGTCAGCTTAACGAACGATAATCGTAAGCTGGCAAGCGTGGTGGATGCAGAGAAAGGGATTCTTTTCAAGAAAAACAGCGTCGATCGTATATCCTATCTGTCTGCTTTTCCCAGGGTGCGCGTGAAGTATGATACATGCGAAAAAAGCAAACCAGATTGGCTCGGAACGTATCCTCCGAGCTAACTTTTTTTCCTTTCCATTTTTCTCGCGAACTGAACTACGTGATGTGCTTTGGAATAATAAAACTTTTTTCCTTTCCATTATTTTCGCGAACTGAACTACGCGAACACAGAAAGTAAAAAAAAAAAAGATAAAAAACAGTGCCAAAGTGTGATAATGCGCGTTGTGATCGTGTTACTGTCGTCTGTCATTGTTGTGCGCTTTGTTGAGCACGGAGCTTCTTTGCCTATTTTAGTTTTTTGTACGCAAAAAAAAAAGATACAGGAAAGGAAAAAAAAGCAAGCGTCCCTTCAGAATCTCATTGGGCCCAGACCAGCGTTCTTTTTGGAAATGAACTTTGCCCATAAAAAGACACCCATTTTCCGCAGCGTGTTGCTTCCTCGCTTTTTCTTTCACTTTTCACTTTTCACTTTTTCACGATCATGTATGGTAAGTCCCTTTCTTTTTTTTGTGGATGTCTGGGGAGGGAGTGGGGGCTAACGCGGGTTTTGTAGGTCGTGGGTGGTGGGTGTATGGTGGGTGGTGGTGTTTGTTTTATAGGCACGGCGACGAAGGCGTAAGGTAAGTGGTGAAGGTAAGTGGGTGTGTGGGTGGGTGGTGGTGCTTGTTTTGTAGGCACGGGTGACGGAGGCGTAAGGTAAGTGGTTGAAGGTAAGTGGGTGTGTGGGTGGGTGGTGGTGCTTGTTTTGTAGGCACAGGCGACGGAGGCGTAAGGTAAGTGGTTGAAGGTAAGTGGGTGTGTGGGTGGGTGGTGGTGCTTGTTTTGTAGGCACGGGTGACGGAGGCGTAAGGTAAGTGGGTGAAGGTAAGTGGGTGTGTGGGTGGGTGGTGGTGCTTGTTTTGTAGGCACGGGTGACGGAGGCGTAAGGTAAGTGGTGAAGGTAAGTGGGTGTGTGGGTGGGTGGTGGTGCTTGTTTTGTAGGCACGGGACGGAGGCGTAAGGTAAGTGGTGAAGGTAAGTGGGTGTGTGGGTGGGTGGTGGTGCTTGTTTTGTAGGCACGGGTGACGGAGGCGTAAGGTAAGTGGTGAAGGTAAGTGGGTGTGTGGGTGGGTGGTGGTGCTTGTTTTGTAGGCACAGGCGACGGAGGCGTAAGGTAAGTGGTGAAGGTAAGTGGGTGTGTGGGTGGGTGGTGGTGCTTGTTTTGTAGGCACAGGCGACGGAGGCGTAAGGTAAGTGGTGGGTGTGGGTGTGGGTGGGTGGTGGTGCTTGTTTTGTAGGCACAGGCGACGGAGGCGTAAGGTAAGTGGGTGAAGGTAAGTGGGTGTGTGGGTGGGTGGTGGTGCTTGTTTTGTAGGCACAGGCGACGGTGGTGTGGTGTGGTGTGTGGGTGGGTGGGTGGGCAGGTGGTGCTTGTTTTGTAGGCACGCGCGATTGGTGAGAGCGGACTGGGCATCTCAATACCAATCGACCTTTGATGATCCACAAAGCGACCAAGACAAGACCCTAGCTTTGTGGTGAGAGGGTTACGGGAGCAGATGTCGATGCACCTTCTCGTGGTTGCTCCTGTCATACCTGCTTAAGAGCAGGGAAGCTAAGACATCGACACCCTATTATTGATTAGTAGTATCATGTATCAAATAAAAAATGTTTTTTTCTCTTCCCGTTCGCTAAACTTGCTTGTGCGTGTTTTATATTGTTGTCATATGCGAGCGAGACTCGTCGTTAGTTCCCCCCCCCTCAATTTTTTTGAATTTTAAGGTCAGCCGCCAGAGACACTGTACTGGGCAGCAGAGGGGCATTTGAGGGGAAGAGAATTTTACCAAGTGCCTTATATTCCTTTATAAAAACGTTTTTTTTTTCAGCTCATCTGAGAGCATTCTCTAAAGCAACAAAGAAACCGTTCTTAATTGCAGATCCACATGAAAATGCCAGCAACTTGACCTAATTCAAAAGGTAATGGTTTTAAATGGAGGGGTGAAAAGGAATGAAAAGTGCTATTTCTTTGTTTTATTCTATGTAACGCGGTAATAACAACAAACACGATGGTTGCTTTCTTAATGTTTCTTTAGAACGTATTCATTGTTGAGAAACACTCATTTTGAAGGGATCAATCGAAGCAGCATCGTTGGCATTGGCACACAACTCATTTTACTCGGACGATTTGCTTGACCGACTTGGTACGAATTGTGAAAGCTTTTTTCTCCTTGCTTTTACAGAACGCGGTTAAGAAACTACCACACACTTGCTCTTTGTTTGCGTTGCAAAAGCACGTTGTGAATGCATTTCTGGTAGCGGCATCGTTGGTGAATCATTTGAACTCTTATTTAATCACAGGAATCAAGACTCATTAGTTGATGGAAAAGGAAGAGGTCAGGGCGAGGGTCTTTTTCGTTTATTCTTTATAGAGTGCAGTAAAGATATTCAACACTTTTCTTGCCTGCTCTCAACTCGCCCTTGCCGTCCATCCACTGTATCAAGTACCCACAAGCACTGCTGATACCTAAGGTTTGTTTCATTGATAGAAAACTGACAAGCTATGGAAGGGAATAAGATATGTTGTATATGAAGTTAGCACTTGTAGGTTTGATTTCTTATTTCTATAGGTTCTGCGCCGCGTTTATGTTATACCCTGCACCACACGTTACAAACACGATTCGCTATACATACACGATCCATACATTGTACGGCACATACAAATACGCATATATACATACGATCACTTGCACATTTGCACGAAAACGAAACGATATTGTAGGCATGGAGCTAAAGGGAAGGGATGCTATTGTGGGATGGACGTCAATACATCATTGGATGGAATCGAAGTATGCTTTTTGTTTCTTACACAACGACCTACCTTATGGATCGGCCATCACAGCATCCAGCCTTTGTATCTCAACCTTGCAACAATGATCCACACAAATACGAAATCAATGTAGCAACGATGATCGGATCCGTTCGTTACGGCCTTATCCATCACCAGTGTAGTTGCTTTGTACACGATGGAAGTAAGCAGTTGGATCGACATAAATTTATAGGTAGAGTATTGGGAGATCGAGCGCATCGTGTATGGATAGGAAGATGGTTTTTTATAGAAGAGAATATTCAAACAGACATAAATACAATGATATTCTATACAAAAGATAATGAAGCGATAATAATAGAATAGAAAGAAGATGAAGAAAAGGGCTATGGGTTTTGCCTTTGGAAGTTGGAATTCGGCGGTGTGGAAAGGATGTTGTTCAGGGAGGTATCAAAGTCGTTTGTCCATTTTTCAACTGTGGCGAGCAACTGGGCAACCTCATCAGCTTTGCTATTATCTATAATAGATTTGTCTACGCGACGCATCATGGCATTTGCCTTACTAATATGCTTCTTTAATGCGCACTTAAGGCTATCCTTTGGTCCGTCATTGCGTTGCAATTGATTTTGGGTGGGTGGGCGTGTAATACTATTGTGGGTGCTTGATGTAGTGCTGTTTGTATTTTGGACAGCTGCTAACCAATCCTTTAGGGATGGTCGCACTGTGATGTTGCTCACCGCCTGCTCGACAAGGAACATATGTTTGCAGGGAAAGTAGTGTTTTTGGTATTGAGGGCACGAGCAAGAAACAATTTGGCTACTTTCAGTAGTTATCTAAGGATAAACAATGTATCCTGTTATGATAGCATACATGATGCTGGAGATATCTGATTGGGTATAGATGCTAAAATTTGACTTGATTACATACTGCTGCAGTCAAAATAAATGCATTGGAACAAATATTTCTTGCTTTACATATTTATAATCTTTGTATTTCTGTAGAGTAAACGTACCCAATGGAAAAAAGGCAAAAGTGGAAGAGTTATAATGAATAATCAGAACATACAGTCAATGATGGTTGGCAAGTGGGAAGATAAACAGTACAAAATGGTAGTTAATGATGCTTGTTGACGCGAGCAATACTTCGCCATACAGAATCGCGTTTTTGTTCGGGTGGTGTTTTTGGTGTAGTAGATGTGGATGAGCTATTGCTCGATGACCATAATTTCTTTTTAAACGTGGTGGTATTGGTAGTGCCTGTAGTGCTGTTGCTGACTGTGCTATCATTATCGTGTTCCGTGATTGTTGCTGACGAAAAACGTACAGACGAAGTCAATTTTCGTCCCCGCGACATTAAAGATGGGCTCGGTGATGCTGGGCTTGTTGGGGATAGCAGACCGCTACGCGATGATGCGGTATCGATACGTGGTGGTAACAAGGAAGTGCTTTTTGTTGGGTTTTGATTTGTCAATGTTGCTGTGCGTGCCCATCGTCGATAACGTGTGGACATCCAACCTTTTGGATGGCGATCGAACACAGACCATAGCAAAGTGCCATAAGTCCATCCAAGTGCATCCGTTTCTGTTTTTGACGCAAGCCGCCATTCTGTATCCGTCCATGACCATGTCCACGCACCAGATTGTGCCTGAATCGTTTCTGGAAGTTGAAATTCGGTCTTTGGAGCCAGCGGCTTCTTGGCAGGATCTGTCCACGGTGCTCGATCGATAAAGGGCAGTGTTGCTGCGCGCCAGCCTCTCAATGGCCAAGATCGCTAGTAAATCAAATGACCAAGAATTGTGCATTCGCTTAATTCCTTCATTTTCCACTCATATCTTCCCCTACTCCCCTTCCCTCTGGCATTCGATTTTAGATAGTGTTGCACATATCGGATCGTACCTGGTTTTCATAAATGACAAATTCAAACACAGAGGTTGTTGCATTGAATTGCATCTTTTCACGCTGGAAATCCTCCACGCGTTGTGTCAATGATCGTCTGCGCACCAGTGCGTCTTCTGTTCCGTGTTGAGACTCCAATGGACCGATGAAAACACCCATAAACAAGGATTGTAGAAACGATTTTTTTTTGCACAAAGTGAGGATTTGCAAGTAACGGGGTAAACAATTCTGCTTCAAATAGACACTGGATAAGTCATCCTATATACACTAACCCATTGTTTATCTGTTAGAGATGATGTACGATACGTTCTGTGGGGATTTTACACAGCTCTAAATGTTACTACTTGCATATATAAGACCGTTCTTTTATTGAAGCTGTCTAGTGCAGTAACCGTATCATTTTATTCCTCGATAATACGCAACAGATGCTTCTTTCAGTTGATATTGAAAAAATTGAAGCTGTTTTTACCCCGATAACGCGCAAATCGTATAAACTCATTTGCAAGTTGCAAATTTGCGAAACTACTAAGTTTTTTTGGATTTTTCAAAAAAAAGTTCCAGATATACGAGGAATTGCAAACCCGGGGGTTGCAAAAACCGGGGTGCAACTGTAGCAACTGGCGAATGAAAGGTGAAGATGTCCATAGGTGCCTAAGGAGTTCATAAGGTATCCCATCGATGCCCGAGCTGCTTTTGGCAGGGGTTTTGAATAGAGCATCCTCTACGTCATCTGTTGTCCAGGTACGAAGCAGAGGCGGCTGTAGAGTGGGATCTAAGATTGCAGTCAAAGGGACGGCATCCAGTAGTATGTTGATGGCCTGCTGGTCAATGTCGTCGGGGGTATACAGTTGTTGATAGAACTCTCTAGCACAGGATAGCAGGTGAGCCTTTTATAGACCACGCCATGCTGCGCTTCATGTTAATATGAAAGGCGGATTCATCAAGAAAGACACAGCTTTTTTATGAAGTCAAGGTCAGTCATGTCCCACTTGCACACCCAGTCAAGGCGCTCTTGGATCTTTAGCCTCGCTGTTTCTATCTACAGGCTGAAACCTAGCCTTTTTCAATGAAAAGTTGCATTCATTCTTCACGAGTCAATATAGCGTCGTTTTGGATACTTTAGATCCATCATATATTTGAAGTAGTCGCTCGATCAACTGTTCTAGGACAATCGAAGAATTTTCAACAATGCACTCTAACATAACTTTTTTTTATCTCTTCATCAAGGATGCGCGGACGACCTCTGTTTGTGCGCTTTCTGAAAATGCTGTCAGGGTTCTTTTCATGCTGTAACACCCATCTTTGTGCCGAACGAATATGTATTCCTAGTTGCTTTGCAGCAGCTGATGCACTTAAAACCTTCTCAAACATCAATTTGAAATATCTAACCTTATCCTGATCAGTGTATGCAGTGTATGTACGCTTAGGGGTCGTTTCTTTGACACGAATATCAATGTCGGTTGGCTCTTCAACATGCATAGCTGTAAGCCCGCTGTGATGCTCACTGGTAAAAGTGCGCAAATAATCACTATGAGAACTAATGGTCTGAAGAGCGTACACTTTTTCATCAACTACATAATCCATGGGCTTAGGACATCCATGCTCGTCAACGACATGGCCCTGTCCATCTTCATAAAAAAACTGATTGCGCATTTTCGAATAATAAACCATATGGGTCTGAAAAGTTGGCGTGTCTATATAGGTATAGACTTACCAAGCCTTCTTGTACGGCTACTTCTTAAATGGATACGACATTCAGATTCGTCATCACGCGCAAAGACTTCTGGGCAGACACGATTTCTATTTTTGATGACCTGTGACTTCCGAACTGATGGGGTGCGGCTTTGATTCCGGAAAAGAGTGTATCAATAGCAGCAACCGATATATGTCAAGCTCAACAAGCTGAACACATATGTTCCAAGAATAGCTTATATAGTAAGACTTGTATTACTAAGAATACCAAGTGATACTTAGCACCACGCTATTGAGTCGGGATCCGTTTTATCCGGATGATGACAACTTCACTATCTGGTAGCGCTACACTATTGTGAAGTAGATGAGAGCTGACACGTTGATCAGCAGCAGTCAACGAGCCGGTTGTGATTCGTTTAGAGATGAACCGGTGAGGTTAGCATGGATTACAATTCAGGTTGGTGTAACTGCAATATATTTGAGATGCGGGTGCTGTGCATTTTGGATGGGTGCGCTGGTGACCAGGTTGAAAACGGATAGTTTGCTGTTGTACTTTCGTATAATTAAAAGAAAGGAAGGGACGGTGCAGAAGGGCAACTCGTGTCGCTGGCTGTGTGAGATTCAAGAACAACAAAAAAATAAGGGTTGTTGCACCAAAGTGTTATATAAGCAAGCGGCAACCAGAAACAAGAAACATTGCTCATCAAAAACCTAGTTCCGACATTTGTATTTTTTCCAACTGGCACTGCCACTCACTTCCTTTTAGTCGACCTCTTTATCTTTTTCTACTTTCTCCTTCTTCGTTTCTTCCGCTTCTGTTTACCTGATCTTTGAAATACAATGTACACTGGCAACAATAGCACCACTGATGTACCGCCACCACGGCCGCCCATTGACTACACTCGACACACTCACCAACACAATCAGGCACCGACTTTGTCACCAAGTTCTTACTACTCGATTCACTGTGGGCCCAGTCCAAGTCAGCACATGTCACCAGCCCTATCAGAAGCAAGGAGGCCAGGCGACGTCATCCGTAAATCAACTGCAAATCGCATCACGTCTTACCATGATCGCAAATCGACCTCTAAGCAAGTTACAACCAAGCTGAAAAACCTCTTTGTCAATAACCGAGAACGTGAGGAACTTATGACCGCTTGCTCGAAAGGCGACGTTGATAGAGGTATGTAATGGGGGGAAAAAGGAAGCTAGACCTATCTGGCCATACTTACAGTACACTCTATGTGTGCTTGGATACTGTGAATTATGTGCGTGTGGGTGTTAATGGCAGATAGAAAGAGAGAGTGTGTGATGGTTGCATGCTTCTTTGGAGATGAAGGTAGATGGATGGATGGAATCTAACAGCTTATATATGATTGGATAGTGAGCCATCTGCTTGCACACACCAAACCTAATGTCAATCCAGATATGGTGCGCGATTCCAAACTTCGCACGCCTTTGCTTGTCGCCTGTGCAGCAGGCAAAGCAGATGTGGTTCGGGTGCTAATACGATGGGGCGCAGATGTCAACAATCCAGTGGGAGACGTTATCGGCAATAAGCCGCTTGATTTGGCCGTCATTTCTAACAGTTTTGATACGGTGCTGGCATTGTTGGAAGCAGGTAATACAAAGAAAGGATTACATAATTTAAAACGACGAGTACAGCTATTGTATGCGTGGGTTCAATCATATATGGATATATGGCATTGGGATAGATAGCGTTTTTTAACTGGATTTCTACATATCACAGGGGCCCATGTGACACAGCCTCCTGTCGCACCACCTGCCACTAGTATGAGTGAACGAGACAGTCGCTTGCCAGCACCTGCACACCGTCGCGTTGGTGCCCGATCACCACTTAGCTTGGCCCAGTCGCGACTGGACTTGCTCATTGCACAGCGCCAAAATACCGATGGTGTCAATGTGACCAAGCAACGCGAAGTGTGCATGGATCAAATCGTACAGGTAGATATCAACCCCAAAACATGCCATCTTTCTAACGTTGTACTGATGGATGTATTTTCTCCTTTTTATTTTTCCGCTCTTCGTGATAAATTCCCAGATTATCAAGTTACTACGGTACTTTCCAGCGCCAAAAGAACAACAGGGATCGAGTCGTGTGAACGAAAACGTTACACGCGAGTTGGATGAACTTGCTTCCAAACTTTCATCAATTGGATTGCAGCAGAAACAGCAACAAGAACAAGGGGGAGGAGAGGGTGGGATTGCTGGTGATCCAGGCTCCAACAACAAGGATGATGACGAAGAACTTGAGATCATGACAAGTTTAAGAGACGTCATATCCAAATTACACATATAGTTGTTGTTGTTGTCATTGTTCGTCTTCTATCTGTCTATCGTTCTTTTTCTTCCTAGCTTGTATGCAGTTTTTTGTTTTCCCTTCCTTCTTTTCAAATCATCCTATCGCGTTTCTACCGCTACTACCCCCTCCTGGTCACGCTTGCAATATCGCCAAGATGTCATGACTGGCATGTTTGATCGATGTCTTGCCATTCCTCTCCAAATACGCTGCCAGCTTTGCATAATCTTCTTCCGTAACAAACATGAACGTCGATCCTGACCACAGCGATAGCCGGAACTCTGAGGATGTGGCACATAGCTCCTTTAAGATATCTGTCGCTTCCTATGTGATAGTTCACTATTACCACTTCATTTATCTCACGTATAATAATTCCTTCTTCTCTTCTTCTTTTGCAGATATATTACCTCTTCTGAAAACCCGGATGCATTTGCTAACGTTTCCATGTTACAAATTTTGAGCCGCTAGGAATACATAAATAGCATTGCGATCAGCTGACTGACTAATGGAAAGCGCATACACTTCGCCATGTAGAGTATCTTACCTTTGCAGCATCTGCAATGCGACCACTGTACTTATCAAACCGACTGCGTTTCTTCTTGGCCTCTTTTACTTCTGCCTTTTCCCGCTTTACTCGTTCTTTTTCCTCTTGCTTGGCTTTCTTTTCCTTCTCCTTTCTGCGTTTTTCACTCTGTACAAATAAAGACTCATGATCTTAGCACATATTCATTCCCTGACTTCTTTCTCGTCCGATATGTGGTCCATGTTCACGTTCACTACCTCATCAGCTCTTCGTATTGCTTCCTCTGCTTTTTTTCTTTGGAATTCTTCCTCCAGTACTTCTTCCTGAGCCCGTCGCAGATCACGTTGCTGATTCATATACTATATGTACACATAAAAAATATCAGTCGACTATCCATCTTCCACCTGCTTTTTATTTGACATCCCATGCGTATCCTTACTTCACGATACTGTCGCATTTGCTCCTTTCTCCGCAGCTTTTCGCCTTTCTTCTTGCCAATCTTTCTAACATGAACCCCAGTCGAAGATCCTTCTCCACGATCATTATTATCTTCTGCTGTTTCATCGATATAGTCGTCAAGCAGTTCGGAATCACTATCCTCGTCTAAGGTGCGCAACAATGTGCTGTCTCCTTCTGTACATTTGTATATATATGGTTCGCGAGAAAATTCGTAGTGTGCTTTTGTCAGAAACGCATAAATTGGAGACAATCATACAGCAAAAGTGGTCGTTTTACCTCCTCCAGGACCAGCCCTTAATCGTTCGCGTATTTCCAACAATAATAAAATGCCCAATAAGCAAAGTGCAACGGGTATAAGTATAATCAACACGTCATTGTTGGCCATGCTTAATATAATTTCGTCTCAAATGCCGTTTTGCTGGAAGGGCAAAAGAGAAAGTCTATCTGAACTTTGAACGTCGCACCAAAATATTCGTTTCTTTTGTTACACCAGCACATTCGGCATATGGAACCGACCTGTTTTTTGTTTCCAACTTCTTTCTGTGGCATCATGAATTTCGAAGAAATCAAAAAACACGACAAGCGTAACGATCTTTATGTAGTCATTCATAACAAAGTTTATGACATCACTGCGTTCCTGAGCGAGGTGAGTTATATTGTTTTTCTTGGTTCGTGATAAGTCGTTCTCTTCTTTTTCTTGACTGTATCTTTATAACCTTTCCTCTCTTTTATTACTTTGTTCTCGAATAATATCTAGCATCCTGGTGGTGAAGAAGTCCTATTGGATGAAGGGGGTAGAGACGCCACAGAGTCATTCGAGGATATTGGCCACTCGGATGATGCGCGTGAACTCTTGAAGAAATACCTCGTTGGCGAACTGGATGAAAAGGTCAGCCGAAGTATAGCCACTTACTAGCGGGGTGTGCGCGTATGCAATCGATGAAACTATTCGCTTTGATTATTCGATTGATTGATTGACTTTCGCTTGTTCCTGACCCATACAGAGTGCTCGAGAAACTGTCAGGAAGCCTATACCAGAAGCAAAACCAATCCCAGTGGCGACTGCTGGGAATGCTGGTACAAACTCTAGGTAACGTTTGATCGCTTATATTTACGTAGAGAATGAACATTGATACTTTATTCTATCGTTTTTTTCTTTGTAATCATTAATATTATAATAGCACACTGACGGGTATGGCGATCCCCTTGCTGGTCTTGATTGTGTCCATCATTGTCGTCAAGTACATTTACTCTGGCTAATACCTGCCTTGCTATACCTACCCTCCAAAAAAAACGTCCTATATACACAGAGCTCCTTTATATATCACATATCAATACAAGCAAAGGACATTAGTGTAAAACATATTATTCTCACTCACAAGTATCATTTTATAAATCGACTGATATTAATATACCTAATGCTATGTATTGTTGGTGAGGAGTAGAGAAAAGTTTACATCATTTGTTTGTTTATTAGAGAAAGAAAAAACTTGGATGTGTAATATGAGACGCGGAGGAATAGACAAAGAAGGAAGCGTGTATTAAGCTCTGAGGGTCACGCAAGAGTTTTATCGCGAAAATGTATTACAGGCCTAATTATACACACGCATCGTTATATAATATGTCAGTATTGTTCTAAAATTCAATCAATCAATCGTGGCGTTAGATGTTGTGTATACATACCAATAGGTTCGTCGTTTAGTCACCGCACTGGCCTGCGACGTGTTCCGAATCTTCAATGTCACCGAGGATTTTGAGACTTGGACCTCTACAGCATCCTAAGAAAATATTTTGAGGCCCTACACTGCGGTCTGGAAGTAGACAGTCGCTACCGCGATTTTGCCCGCCGACTTGAAGACAACAGGTTGCAGTATTTCCCTTGTACTCGTTTTCACACTTGCATTTGGCTTGATCGTCGGCCATGACTGTGTTGGTGGTGGACGCAAAGAGCAGAACACAGGTAGCAGCGGCAGCCAAGAACGTTGTTTTTACCATGTTTTGCGATGAAACTGACAAGAACAAAATGCGGGCTCCTCCAGAAAAACATGTGCTTTTTTATATTCTTCTTCTTTCTGCATTTCTCCTTAGATTATCTCTTGCTCTGGGATATACCAATCGTTCTTCTGTCGTGTTATGTACATGGTTTCTTTTTCTTCCCTATGTTCTAAAGACGCGTATAGGAGTCAATTAAGGACCTTGAAAAAAAACCAGGACGCTTATCCAATATTAATGCGCGTCAAGCATAGTACCTCCATGATAGTCTTGCTGGATCTAGGTGGTGACGATTAGTAGGATCACCCTCCTTTTTTTTAAGATGCATGCGAAAGCAAATTCTATTTATCCGGGGGTTGCGAGGAGATTCTGTAGTAGACTGGAAAAACAAAAGAAGAAGGGAGAAATAAAGGACAAAGGGAACAGAAGGAGTTACTACTACCTAGTAGTAGTATGTATGTATGTGACCTAAGTGTACATCTACGCCCTATTTTCGTCCTTCGTGTCCTCAACAAGCATAACAAGACTCATTATTACTCCTGACGGCTTCTTTGTTTCTTTTACTGATCGAAAGATTCTCATCTTTTTGACGTCGATCAATTTTCTCTTTTCTTTGTGTGCATATCAGCAGCACCATGTACGTAAAGAGCCGCTCTTGGTTTTTTACTCATCTCTTATAACCGTCTCGACTATTAAAAATTTAACCGGGTTAATATGATAATAGCTGCGTTAATTCCACGCAGCATCACATCAGTAGAATAATTATCATAGCATATATGCTATCTGACCGCCGTCATCCTATACTACGCCCCCTTGATGCTGCAAGGCGTTTCTTTTCCCTCTAAACAAGAAAGAGGTCTCCTACACTCCTCCACTCATTTTCTCCTTTATCTTCTTGTTTTTTTAAGTTAGTCGCGATATTACTCCGCATGTCTTTTCGTCGTCGAACTCGATTAAGAGCAGGCACAACAGCATAGTTCCTCTTTAACAGGATCAGTCTGGCAAAAATAATGATGATACATAGCGCACCGGGCATCCCATCGAATCAAGTATAGCCATGCGTCCTCGCCACCGTGATTAGCCCCTGATTGTAGTCAGACTATTTATTATGATCACGGTTGCTGATGACGAACCTTACATACGATATAATGTCATCAAACTTTTATCTTTTCCTTTTTCTTGGCAATTTCTCGCTGTCCTATCGGTAGCTCCTTAGCAGTCGAAAACACGGGTGATCAGTAACAAAGGAACACATACATTATCAACTCGCCCATTTCTGAGACGGTGGAAACTACAGCCATTGTCGGCCAACCTTGGACATTTAGCATCGTAGCACGGAGCAGCATATATAATTTATGTCCATGCGATATGCACTATGTATCAGCATACCATTTACACATGTAAAGATATTTATTATCATACGATAGTCTTAATGATGTCCGAGCGAGCTAGACGGAATTATCAAAGAATAAAATAGATGTAAAGCGAGCTTGAAAAGAGGATAGACATGTTGATGGAAGGTTGAGTGATCTCTAAAATGAAATGGTTGTCCAACAGAATAGTCACGTCAATTCAGGCAGACGCGCGCGTCAACAATTTTTTTTTCTTGTTTTTTCGCGACTAGGTCTCAAACCAACATCATGGCAGCCAAGAAATCGCTCAAGACAGCCAACACATCTTCTGCTACCAAGAAGACAACGACCCAATCAACTAAAACAAGCAAGACCAGTGGCACGAAAAAGACGAATGCCAAAGCAAGTACAAAAACACAACAAGCAACACCACAGAAACCGCCACCGCCTACTGTCACCGTAACAGACGCGTCTTCACCAGGTGATAAAAAGAAAAGAGTACAGCAACAACAGTTAGCAGCGACTCGATCTACTCTTTACTTTATATTTTGCTAGTATCAGTGCTGTAACTCATTCTACTATTTTGACACAGATCAAATCTTGCGATCGTCTTGGAAGTTTTTCTATTGTTTCCAATTCCTGTCATTGTTTCGATCACTCTTGAAACTTCCTGTCATTACCATAGAAACATTTGAGAATGCGCTCAAAGTTACCAAAGAACCCTCACTTGCACGATCTGAAGGCAGCTTTCTTGCTGAAGAAATGAACAACAGCCTTATACTTGATTCAACGCGAAAAGACGCAGCACGACAAACGCTTGAACAAATCCTCGTAGCACTTTTGAAACATGTTCAAAGTCAACGGGTCAAGTACGTATTATATATAGCGATATAAATGATCCGTGTTTTAAAAGCAGAGATATTTATTGTCTTTCTCCATCTTTATACATACATGTGTTAGCACATCCAATTGTCACGGCTTCTTGTATGATTTTTTGGTGTCACAACAACAACATAATGAAGAAAACGATAACAGCAATTATGAGCATGAGGATGAATGCAAGTTGAGCAAGCCAAAGAATAGCTGGACTATTTGGGACCTTGCCGTGCCGGTGAAAATACGCGTGTTGAAATCCTTGATTGATCGTATCGAGAAGACGGATCAGATAGTGGAGCTACGTGCTGGTAAGGCTCCTGAAGATATGGTATGGATTTGATTTTGTTTGATTTGCATTAGAAGAAAATGCAAAGCTAATCCATCATGGGATTATTTCTGAATAGCGCTTGGCACCTATCGGAGATGACGCTGAAGGTTGGAGATATTGGATGTTTGACGGTACGTCATCTTGGTACAGATATACAAGTGTAAAGTCATCTATAATCCGGCTAATGGTTAATGTATTTCTTTTTTGGGATGCGATACTAGATATGCGTTTATACAGAGAACTACCAATGCCACAAAAGAAGGGTCTGCCTTTGATGAGGGATACGGATTATACATTTGAGATGGTAAGTCATCATATTGGATCCAAAGTTAGAGTAAAGGTGTCGATAAAAGGTGACGGGAGAGGAACACAAAACACGAGTAGCAAGAACAACGATACTAATCAAAATGGGGTACATTTTAGGTCTGTGATACACTCGAAAGTTGGCAAAGCTGTCTCTCACGGTTCTCGGTCAAGACACGCAATCACAATGGAAAAGCACTTGGCCACACAATTAATGAAATCGCACCCCAAATTATTGCCAAACTAGAAGCCAAGCAGGCAGCAAAAGCACGTGAAGAGGCACGATTGGAAAAGCAGAGATTACTCGAAGCATTACCACGCAAGCGTAGTAGACGATTAGAAGTCAAGGTAAATATCATCGTAGTATTCTTTGTTTTTTAGGATGTAATGAAAGTCTAAGCATTTGCACTATAAAAATTTGTAGGAGGAAGAATTGAGCAAGCGGCTCAAAACAGATGAATTGGAGCAACAGCAGATCGCCGTTGAACAAAAAGAACGAAGACAACAGAGAGAACAAGAAAAGATTGAACAAGAGCAAGTAAAGCAAACTGTTAGTATGATTACAAATTTTATGCACATGCATCGTATAACATTCTGTGTCAAACCAACTCATACATGTTTTCATAATAGGAATTGGATCTCAAGGATTATGTCTATAATCTTATCGATACTAAACTCAATGAAGCTGCTACACGAGAGGAAGAGACTGGTACTGCTTCGGAAACGCGTAAAAGCCGTTCATCGCCGTCATTTGTCACTCCAGAGATTGCGTTTTTAACAGAGCTGCGTGGTATTCTGAGAAAGTCTGCTCCGGAGGAAGAACGCGTGGCAAAGATGCAAGGCTGGGCATTATTGCTAGACGATGAAAACATTGTGCACATTGGAGAAGGCTCCAACGGTGATGCTCCCCTTGTGCTTGGACAAGGCCTTGTTTTAAAAGGGGCTGGTGCATCTGGAGGTAAGAATAAGATAATGAGCTACGCGTGACACTAGGCCGTAGTAGATATTAGTAGCGTGGCAGTATTTTATTAATTGCACACACATGCACCAATAGATCTTACTTCTCCATTACTCAAGAATATCTTGCGGGTGTTTCTCTCGACGTTACCCAATGAAACGACGGATATGGGTATGGATTTACCAGCGATTCGAAAAAAGCTGCTCTTGGACCGATATACAGCAGATGAGAACTTCTCTGGTTTGGAAAACTTTATTCAAGACCTAGACTTAGCATTGCCAGCCGAAAGTGAACGTCTGGGCGCTGTTTCACCACAAAGATATGCAGCAAGCCTTCTCACCCGTATATTCCAGTGAAATCATCCATTCGACGATTCTTAAAAGTGCCCCGCAATCACCTTATGTATATATACAGAAAAAAGAACATATAGAGCTGCCGTAAACATCCTTTAACCCACACCCATCTATACATTCTCTTATTCATTCATAGTTGCTGTGTACCCACCATTACCGAAGATTTATCTTAAATATTGCATATAAACAAACAATGTAGCTCTTCCGTGTATCTATTTTAGAATGCTATTTTCCGCTGGTGGTCGCATAGAATCTACCGTAATACTTTTGGCGGACGTAGTTGAAGATGAAAAAAAATCACATTTATACGGTTAGTTGCCCTCTAGTTTCTGTTCCTTAATAAGCGAAACAGGTATAGTATTTTCCGTATACATACATAAATCATTACATATATGCGTTGTGAAGCCCGCGCTCCATACACACACTAGCATAAAGTAGAAAGGATCAGTAAAAGAGGTTTTTCTTATATCTGCTGTGTATACTCACAACAACAGCAGAATATATATATCTAATTATTCGCTACACCAGTTTATGATGCTCAATGAAGGACCATGTAAGTGATATGAATCCAAACGTATATGTACATATTGTACCTTCCATTATCATAAGATCAGTATGGAGTATAAATCTTTTAAAAACGACATTTGTTGTGCTGGCTCAAAACAACCTTGATTTTGCATGGGGAATTTTAGGTCTTATGTTCCGATGGCAATGGCTACACCAGAGGTTGAAGGGCTTACCTAAATATATTGTATACTTGTTTTTAACATGTTCATATCATGGATACATAGACGAAATAAGCTGTGTCGATCTCTCTCCTCACATGGGCCTACTATTTTGGCTGTTGCAGCATATTTTTAATCACCATAAGGAACAGGCAAACCATCTCACGTAGTGCTAAGGATATAATGTTAGTGCACAGTGTCCTTTTGTGAAAATCTTGAAAAGATATTTTTCGTATGCATCATAAATGTAAAGCATGGGAACATTGCTTTGTTGCGTAGCCATAGATGACAGTACTATAACTGGAATCTATTGAATGGTGTTGTGCGAGGATATACCTACTTTAAAAACTTGTGTTTGCTGCGTTTAGTATCATGATTGTGAGGATGTCTATGCTACAGAATTGAACTGTGCTTAAAAACAACTCCAGCTGTCAATCCACAAATTTTTTTTAGAACTTTATTTTCTTTTTACACAATACAATGGACGTAGACCAAGAACAAATTCAGGTGCGATTGGTGAGTCGCCAGGAAAAACATGCTATTCCTGACGCGGCGATCCGTGTACCCACTGCATTTAAACGTTTCGGTTTGTCCGAGATCGTCAACAACCTTCTTAGTCACGGTAAGCTTTCTTTCTTCCAAGTAGATCGCGACAAGAGCTGCATGTTCGTTCCCAGTAATAAGCGACTATACTGATTCAACCTGAATACTTACACAATTGGAACACATGTAGAGAAGCCGATTCCATTTGATTTCTTTCTCGACGGTCAGATCCTTAGAACCAGTCTTGCTGATTATCTCTCTGAGAAGCGATTGTCTACTGTAAGGGCTCTATCACGGGTGCTTCATTTTTTTGGAGGGTGGATTTAACTGATACCACGGCTTTTTTTTCTTTGCAAAAAGGAAAACACGCTCACTATCGAATATGTCGAATCAATGCTTCCACCTACACAACTCAGTGCTTTTCAACACGATGATTGGATTAGCTCTGTGAAAGCACATAATGGGTACGGATCATGCTGATACAAGGTTATAAAAAGATCTTCAAGAAAGAAAATGGCTTGTTCGACTGACAACTGTATCTCATTATATATGCATGTATAGTTTATTCTTAACGGGTTCGTACGACAACATGCTTCGATTATGGAACAAGTCAGGAGAATGCGTAGCAACATTTACTGGACATAGCGATGCTGTCAAATCTGTTGCATTTGGCCCCTCAACTGGTAAATATAAACCGACCTTTGTGGCCTCTTTTGCAGTTGGCAAGTAAGACTGTTGTTGTGCAAATTTGACTAAATCAAATATCCTTATTAACCCAATAGATTCCGAAGCTATTATATTGTCTGGATCATTGGATCACACGTTGATGGCATGGGCTGTAAGTTAGGAAACAAGCTTGAGTTACAAAAAACAGTTCGAGGGAAGGGATTTGACAAAAAACGAGATATACTCAACTGGTGCCATGGCGATACATTTTCATCTAGTACAATGCGGATAATGGAACACAGCGTGATTTGTATGAGTGCAAGGGACACAAGGCCCCAATCGAGTCGATTTCAGTGAATGCAGACAAGGAACTCGTACGTTTGGATTTCAATTCTTTTTCAGTAGATTATGTCAGCAAAATGCTAATCCAATTAATGATTTCATAATTGAAATATGTTTAGATGGCTAGTGGATCAGCAGATAGCACGATCAAGATCTGGTCTACTGCAGAGCCTGAAGAGGATGAAGAAGAAACTGCTGCTGCTGGAAAATCGAAGCGAAGAAAGACGGAAAAGAAGAGTGACAGAAAGACCAAGGCCAGTATGTGCACTTTGGAAGGACATGTCGGTGCTGTCAATGCAGTTGTTTTTGACGATAGCGACTCAAGCGTCGTGTATTCGGGTGGCTGGGACCATTCGATCCGATCCTGGAACATTGAACAACAAGTGAATCTTGTTACAAAGGTAAAGGAAAAAGAAAAGATGGCGACCAGAGGCAGGATAGATAGATAGATAGGCTAGACGTAGGCAGATCAAGCTTCGTTCCCTTCATTGTAATTGCTAACAATGACTGTTTGTCCACACAGAACTGCGAAAAAGTTGTATTGGATGTTGACTACTCTTCTCGTTCGCGATTGATTGCTACTGGTCACGCTGACAACGTTTTAAGATTGTGGGATCCTCGTTCAGAAGGTAATGTATCTTTGATCATCGTCCTTTTCCCCCCTCCTTCTACAGTGTGATAAGAGGAAAAGCTGGCTCACGTTTGCACATGTTATTTAACAATTCTATATGTAATATGAAATCTATAAATAGAGGGCACGAACGTGAAGCAATCTTTGCGTGGTCATTCGGCATGGATTTCTTCGGTATCTTGGTCAAAGACGTCGGAGCATCTTTTATGCTCTGGCTCGTACGACTCTACTGTACGCGTATGGGATATTCGAAGCAAAGGTCCTCTTTACACTGTCAATGCAGCCGATGCCTCTTCAAACTCTAAAGTACTTTCTGTTGACTGGGACGAGCAGTTCATCATTAGTGGTGGTGAAGATAAGCACCTGCGGATATATCAAACCAAAGCATAAAACCACACTCATTTAGCTACTGATAACAACGTAAAAAAAGAATTTGATAACCATTTTTACACACATTTATGCATTTTCATCCTCTTAATAAAAGTAAAAAGCTTACACATTCATATATTTGTTCCAAGTAAATATATACATGTTCACGCCGTTCTGCTGAATGCGCAGTGAATTTCCTGCCTGTTCATTTAAGTGTTGTTGACATGTCACGTCTGCTTGGTGAAAGTAGCACGTTGTTATGAATACGGGAATGATGTTCCCGCGTCGCCAGGAGACAGTTATCTTAAACGGATCAGATAATACATACTCAGTTAAACAGCTATTGTCTTTGTGATGTATACTAGCAACGTTCTCTGCAAAATTTTTAGGAAGGAGCGTAATATACGCTGCGTCAATCATCATCACTGGGTTTGTAACCACTTCTGCAGCTAACCCCAATTACACACATAGCGCACGCTGCATACTATCCCTTACATCTTGGGCTTTTGTGATACCCGAATCGAGTAATGATGCTTGCTTTCAAGAGCAGAAGCGCTGTTGTAAAAGAAAGATATAAAAAGACCTAGTGTAATTGCGATTGGCCGCCGTAACGTGAGAAAACACTGCGGAATAAGAAGTTTTTTTTTTTTTTTGCATGTCTGATAACTGCACGTTTGCCTCTCCCAGCAGAAAGAAGCGGTATACCAATTTCGGTACCACACATACGAAACGCCACACCACTACAGCAAACAGCAAGCTTTGACCTTTTTTTTTCTCCACTTATACTTTCAATACCACTCGAAGCATACACACAACCCACTTTTCACACACCCTTTCGCTTACTTTCCCTGTCTTTCTCTCTTTACTTTCTTTCTTTTCTACACACCACACTACACTACACTCACACATTTAACCACAACGACAAAATAGCCACCATTCTACACTTACGCCCTTCACAGCAACCTACCTTGCATGCATCTCAACCCATGGAGGATCAGGTGTCTTACCATTTTGCAACGGTTAAACAATCTCGGCAGAACAGGCAGAGAATGTATGTTTATCACTTTCTTTTCCCTTTACGTATAAATGCTACACGCGCTTGGTTTTATACCAAAAAAAAAAGGAAGAGCAATGCCCAAAAGTTGATAACTTGGACTTTAGTTAAAATTTGTATTCACGCCTCAATGCCGAACACGCATTCATTTTATCTCTTCTTTCCCATGTAGTGAGTATCAACTCAAGCTACGCCAACAGCCAAAGCAATCACGCATGTGTGGTGTAGGCGAAAAAGGTAAATTGTAGTTTGTGGATATTCGCCCCTGGCATTACAATTTGTTTTCGTTTTTTTAAATTATGACTCGGCATTTCCCGTTTACACAGCGGACCGAAGACCAATAGATCCTCCACGTAAGCTTTTCGTTTTAAATTATTGATTGACTCCTCGCCTTCCAGAACGGCAGTAAACTAAAAATATTGTGACGTGTATGTGTATATATATGTACAGCCATCGTCCAACTCAAAGTTAATGATCCGAATCTGTCGTCCATTGATCGAAGGTATTGAAAGGATTGTTGGGTGTGGCGAGTCATCCACGGGAAGAAGTGTGTGAAAGTGTGAGAGAGGGAGAACAGTGTGTGATTGTATTTGTGTATTCACGCTTTACTTGTTATGTGTCGGTTTTCTATAGCTCGTACTTGCAGAATCCGTACTACTTCATGTACGCTTCCCTTATGGCTGCAGATCTGGATGAAGAGTTACACCTGCTGCGGGACGGCAAAACAAGAAGCACGACTGGGTCAGTGGTTTCGTCACTGTATCATTTAAAGGACATTGACAATTCGGATGCTGGGTTCTTTGTGTTTCCCGATCTGTCCGTGCGCGTCGAGGGCAATTATCGTCTTAAACTAAGCTTGTTTGAAATCATTGGGTGAGTTTGTATATGGAAAAAGAAAGGGATGGAGAAGGGGAGCGGAAGGAAAGGAGAGCCGAACGTATTGTTTTCTGAAAGCACACATATACCCCTTCACTAAATGGGGACGTGAACGAAAACTAACTCATTCTTGTGTTGTTTCTGTTTTTTTTCTCTTTAGCAAAGATGTATTTCATTGCAGATCGATTATATCGGATGTCTTTATTGTATACTCGGCCAAAAAGTGAGTTTGAGTATTCTAGAAAGAGTGAGATCATGACGATCGAATTATCATGGGTAACTAAACTTCTGAGATACTACTATTTTCTAAGGTTCCCTGGCATGGAAGAATCGACTTTTTTGTCCAGGGCGTTTGCAGATCAGGGGCTGAAAATTCGGATACGGAAGGAACTTCGTCGTCAGCGAAGGAAGCTGAGCCGTAGAAAGGATTCAGACGAGGCCGACACTACCATGTTTTCTGAACCAGAGACCAAGAGTGGCAAGCGCGTCAGAAATGGAGAGGACGACGAGGACGACGACAACGGCTCTCCGCTGCCTGATCATGCAATTGCTACAACAACAGATCAGTCATCAGAAACGGCTGTTTTGAGCGATACGCAAAGCCCATTTTTACGAACCGCAGCTTACGGATACCCTGACGCCTCGACGCCACCGACTCCTGTTGCTGTTGCTGCTGTTGGTAGTGCTAGTACTAGTGCTCCTCCACACCATCATCATCATCATCATCATCATCCAGTAGGAACAACAACAACAACAACAACTTCAACAGAGCAGCAACAGCAACGACAGCAACAAATCATGTCCGATATACCTCCACAACATTATCCTCCTCCTTCTCGTGAAAGAACAGCATCCTTGGACGATTCTCGAGTAGCAGACATTCCAAATCGAGCTGCAGCATATGATATTCCGCCGGATGCAGCCCCCCGAGCTGCTGCCACTTATTTGGCACAACGTCAACACGGATCTTCACCTGCCTTAGAACCTGTACCCTTAATGCGCGTGCACCATCCACCACCACCACCACCACTACCGAACCAACAAGATCAACAACAACAACAACAACAGCAGCAGCAGCAGCCAATGGCCGTTCCCATGGATTCATCACGGGCGCCATGGCCAAGCGAGTATCAATGGCGGCGAAGAAGTGAAGAACAACAAATGTATGCACCTTCCCAACATGTTGCATCAGGTCGGATAGCCGTGCCTCTAAGCATTTATTTCGCACTTATGCACACATTTTAGAAAGTTGCACTCTGGTACTAACCTAACATTGTGCATTTTCTAGGCCACGGTGGACTCGCTAGCGTAAGCGTGTCATCTATCAATAACAACAGCAACAACAACACCAAAGGCGTCCCAGTAGTAGAGGGTACTGCCATTACTGCCGCTCCTCGTTACTACCCTGAATACGCACAACAACGCAACACAACACTCAGCCATCATCATCCTCATCAACTTCATCATCATCATCCAACCTTGCATCCACTTTTCTCTACGCCCGAACAACACGATACCCTCTGTACTTTGCCATCTTCCCTTGATCCTAGGAGCGACTCTCCACTGTTATTCAGTGGTGATGACGGCGGCACCGGCGGGCCCAGGACTACCGGTGGTGACAGTATCAGGAGCAGCAGTGGTGTCTTTGCGGAAAGGTCACGAACCCCATCGGTGATCAATAGTCTTTTGACTCAAATGCACATAGACCCCAAAGTAATGTCGAGGAAGGACGGCTTCTCAATACCTACCACTACAGCAACAAAAACAAGTAGCTGGAAAATTCAAGGGAAGGATGGAGAACATGGATGGTTTTAAATGTTTTTTTTTTATTTTCTACAATGTAATAATGCGCGGTTTTTTGGGGTTGTGGCAAGAGTAGGGAAAGGTAGGGTGGGAGACGAATTATCTAAAAAAACACAGCACATACACACACGCACACACAATCAATTAATCAATTATACATAAGACACACATGCACATATCTCCATCATTTGGATTTTCTCTTTCTTTTTTCCCCCTTTATATAGGAGTCTTCTTTTTTTTTCATTATAAAAAATCAAAAGACTAACACGCATGTCATACACGCTCTCGATATATGATACGGTGTATGTACAAATCAGTGGGTGGATCGTATTTATTCTCATCACGCTATAAAATGTCGCTATAACTGTCACGGCCACCACTACTACGTTTGCTTTTTGTTGAATAGTACAATTGTTGATATCCTTTCACTTCTTTTCGTGCCTTTTCAATATCTGCGATTTCCAATTCAGTTTCTGCTTGCACACCGTCGCGCTCCAGTGTTTCTTTCGAAACAGCATCCGCCACGTCACTCGCGTTTTCCTCAATCACTTTGCGTAAGACTGGATCTTGAATCTTGGATAGGATTCGATTTGTGTTCGAACTCGGGTTTCGTTGTGGCAAAGCATAATACTTGCGCATCTCGTGCTTGTCTTGTAGAGATAGCTTATCATTATCCACGACTCGACTACAAAAAGAAAAAAAAAATAAGTTTTTTGTCCGAGACGGATGGAGAGATTATTATTACCTTGCTATTCCCCGTTTATGAATGCTTTGGTATAACAGCTTGTGTTCAATGGTGGTATAAGTATACAGTCGATAGATGAATACATCCTTGGTCTGGCCATAGCGGTACACGCGGCCGACACCCTGTTCGTCATGCTGGGGATTCCAGTCCGAGTCGCAGAGAATCATTCGATTGGCACCAGTGATATTCACACCCAGAGAACCAGCTCGGGCAGAAAGGAACATGATGTGTTGTGTAGTGCTGTTATTGAATGTCTCGATAATAGGTTGTCGTTCCTAGTAGATCAATCAGTACATGGTGTAAAGTTCTATTGTGATCACTACAAACACTTACAGTAGCGGGCGTGCTACCATCAATTCTCGCTGTTTGGAATTGGAGTGTTCCCAGTAGGTTTTCCAGGTAATCTATTATATTATAGTGTATGAAGAGATTAGACTTGGCCTCTCTGTTCACGTTTTAATGTAAGGAAAATTACCCAAGCATAAGATACTATGTGAAACAATGACCAACTTGTCGTTAGCATCTCGACATGCTGTGGCGATGCCAACAATCACTTCTGTCTTGGAAGAATGCCGCGGGTCATCTATATCTAGATGTATTAACGAATATCAGTCGTGTTGTCACTCATCATTTATGGCAGTCTACAAAATTTAGTATATTTGTAAAACGCTCCACTGCAAATATGATGGCTTTACAAACCTGGGATGGTATCAAATAACTTTTCAGCCATGGCCATTAGCTGGGTGGTTTTGATAGCTGTACTGATCTCCATCATTTCTTCTTCAAGTGCAATATCGGATTCTTCAAGTTCATGATTCCTTTGCGTAGAAATTGTTGGTACTGGCATCACTTTGTCTTGACGTCCCACCGCCATCTAATCAATAAAAACAAAAAATTCAGCACGACATAACCCGAAAAGAAAGGCATTAGAAAAATGACCAACAACGCTCGTATCATTATATTACCTGATTAAGCACCGAGGGATGATTACAGATGGCTCGTAATACACACAAGTTGATCATTGGATTTTCTTGGATATCCGTATGTTTAAACAGATGCAACAACGACTCGTATCCTTTGTATTGCAATTCTTTTAACTTGCATCCAACATAATATTCAATCTTTTTAGGGAGTTCCTTTGCCAAAATTGTAGTGTCCCGACTAGATAAAATGTAGACGTATAACGTTCAGCTTTTTTGCATGTGATATGTGTTTATATAGGTAGAAATAGTAAGATTTTTACCGAAGAATGATATCAGCAGTTAGCAGCTGTAGCTTGAATAACTGTTTTTTTGCCATATAAATATTGGACGCTGGTGAATCCGCATATACATTTTGAATTGGTTTCAGATACAAGTGGTTGAACTCTTGTTGAGCTGGTAAATAATTGGGACACGCGAATTCGACGACATGATAAAATTCGAGCAAATTGTTTTGCAGTGGTGATCCAGTCAGGCATAACCGTGCACGCGTCTTGACGAGCTGTAAAGCTATGGTGAGTTGTGATGTGCTGTTTTTGATTCGATGTGCTTCGTCGGCGATCAGTATTGCTGGACCTGGATCGACGAGCATGGTTCGTATCAAGTCTCTATCGTGGCTCTCCCGGAGCACAGAAATACGAAATTGTTCATAGCTCATCAACAAGATACCGCCATCCTTGTACCAGTGTTGAAGGTATTTCAGTCGTCGTGATGCAGATGCCATGGGAGTATCTGATTATGTATCAGCAGTTATCTTTTTAGTTGCACACATTAAACGAGGTTGGAAAAGCCCTCTTTTAATTCGTACCAGCATAGTTGTAGATGTTTCCGCTAGTCTCAACACATCCGGGAGGTCGCCACTTGTCGAATTCATTCACCCAATGGCTCAACGTAATTAGTGGAGCAAGAAGTAATATTCGTTTTGACTGTTTCGGTAGTATACAAAGAAAAAAAAAGGAAATTGTAACTTCCAATGAGTGTGTTACTTTTATCATGATAAAACCACAAGTAAAAAAAAAAAAGATGGTATATTTGCCTTGAATTCATCAAGCTGAAAGGATGAGCTATGTTCATGCTTTGCCATGACATCTAACAGGGTGGTAACAAAGGTGACAGTTTGTATAGATTTGCCTAAACCCATTGAATGCGCAAGCACACAGCCTTGTTTTCGTTCAACAATGTGCTTCCACATGAACCGTACACCCTCAATCTGGTGAATTTTCATGCGTATGAATTATCCCAGATAATAGATAAGTGTCAATATATCCAGTGGTAGATTCTCTCAGAAAGTTCATGAACGAACCTGGTGTTCTTTGAGGTATTTTGACATCCCATAAGGTACGCGTATCTTCTTACTAGGATCTGTATTCTTTGGATTCAAAACAACTTCAACTTTAAAACGTTTTCGATCATGTTTGACGTCTGGACGTCGTTGTTGTTGTTGTTGCTGTTGGTGCTGCGACGATGAATGTTGATCAAACAGCTGATAATACAATGGCATGGTTGTTGTGGTAGTACTACTGCTACTTGGATCGCCGTCATAATGAGTCAGTTTGGTAAGTTTTGCGGTGTACACCAGAGTTTTGGAGTCATTAAAGATGCTTAATGGTAGACTCTCGTTATGCCATTGGCGTGGATCGCTTGATCGTCGTCGTTTTCTAAAGATTTTCGACATTGTGGGTAGTGCAAAAAAGAAAAAAAGTAAGCTGCTGAGCCTGATAAAGCTCGAATTATTTTCTTACAGCGCATTAATCATAGGCCGCAGCAGGCTGTTTCTTTTACCAACACATACAGTAAATACTATATACACTTGTCAATAAGGTACTATTGCTATTTACTGCTACGGCTACCAGTAACCCCGGTTATTCTCTTTATTGATTGTGTGCCTATACAAACGTTTGCTGATTAGACGTCTTTGTTCGCTCCTTTTTTTCTTTTCTTCACCACATAACCAGATTTATCATACTATGCCCCACATTGAAGTAAAATGGACTGGAAAACGATTCCAACTACATTTTAATCCGGAACAATTCGAGCATGCGACTGTGCACGACTTGAAACAAAAATGCCACGAAACCACGCATGTCGATCCAGCAAGAATGAAACTATTGGCCTATGGAGGTAGACAGAACACGAACCCATAATGAACAGAAAAGGCGTGTCGACTAATGTATTGTTGGGATCACTATATTTCAAGCTGTCATGAAAAACGATCAAGAACGACTGATCAGTTACGGAGTAAGAGACGGTTCCAAAGTGATTCTTATGGCTGCGCCTGCCAAGGTAACAAAACAAATTCGATATAAATGCGTTGAAAGACAAAGTATAGATAATGACCCCAAAAAAATGTATGTTTGAAAAAGGCAACGGAAGGTGTTCCTGGAGGTGCTGAAGGTCAACTGCTCGCAATGATTGGCGCAATAACCGAGAAACTAAACGGACGGATTATGCCTGAGATTGACTCGTACGAGAAGCGAGTCAAAGAGTTCATGTCGAGAGCACCAGAGCAAAAGGAAGCAAAAGAACAAAAAAAGCTGGTGGATTATGGAACGTACTTGAACGAGCAGTTGATGAACATTCTGTTTGACTTTGACGGTATTCTCTGTGGACCCGAGTATGAAAAGGCACGCAACCAACGGAAAGAAGGTGTGCGGCAAGGACAGGCATTGTTGGATAAAGTAGACAATATCAAAGCACTTGTAAAGAATTAGAAAAAGTATATTTCTTGTAAATTCGTCAAAAGATGGGGGGGAACAGAACAGAACAGAGCAGAACAGAAAAGGAAAAAAAAAAAGAGACAGAAAAATAGCTAATGTATGTGTTGGCACAAAAGAAAACAGAGAGGAAACTATGGGAACAGTACAAAGTCATCATCAGCGTTGCTGGAAGAAGAGGAGAATTCGTGCTCGAAACAGAAGGATGGGGAAGAAGGGTCAGCAGTTAACTGAGCAAATTCTGTAAAGATTGTTTCGTCATCGCAAACAGTCTCGTGAAAGTTGTTGTTGTTGTTGTTGTTGCTTGATTCTAGCAGTGACGACGACATGGAACAAGTCGACCACGTCTGGGATTCGGGGATGCTACCAAACAAGTCGAGCTGCTGTTTATCAGGTTCTTTTACTTTGTTGTTGCTTGCTGGTTTGTCTGTATGCTTGTTGGCGAGTAGTGGTTCTTGCTCGTGGTTGAGATGAAGGGTGGAGTTGTTGTTGTTGTTGTTGCGGGGATGAGGATGGTGGTGGTTGGGGTAAGGTCGGAAGCGCTGCTGTGGTTGAATGTGCCGACGAGGTGATGGGTCCTTGCCAGCGGATCCGACTACAGGAGGCAGTGGCATGCGTTGTATAGATGGAAGAGGGGCGTCCAGGTAAGAGTGTCCGTGAGTTAGAGTAGTGTTAGATTGTAGTAGTTGTTGTTGTTGCTGCTGTTGCAAAAGACTTGGAGGTGGGGGCTCTTCGTCGTCGCTGCTCATGGTGGGAGCTCCCGGCAGGCAAGGATAAAACACGGCTTCGTCGCAGCAACCAGACAGCCGTTCGGTCCCTTGCGGGCGGCCAGCGAGCTTTGGTGGGTGGTCCAGTAGTTGGTGGAGGGATTTTCTTGGTAAGCAAAGTGAGTAGTCATTTTGAGAAAGATGGGTTGAAGAAGAAATGAGGGTTCTTTGAGGAGGAATGGTTGCTTTGTGGGGTAGGGACACTTGGGTTGTGGGTTTTCTTGAAGACACAAGCGATATAAGAAAAGACCCTGCTTATCACTCGTGTGGAAGATAAGTTTTACGTGTGTTTGGAAAGTCTTTCTTGCTGTATTTCCTTTGCACCTTCCTTTGCCGTTGGATTAATGGTATGGGCAAAGAATGAGAGAGAAAGGCTTTTTTGTATGAAAAAAGGGAAGAAAAAAAAAAGTAAGAGAGAGAGAGGGAAGGGGAAGCAGCCAGATACGCTGTCTGAAAAATAGTACGAGAATTTGGGTTTGGGTACTGTAAACCGCTATATACTGTGCACCCCAACAGGTCCATTTCCGACGCCTTGATTGGCTGTTCCTCCACTTCGCCACACGTTGCAGATTGCCTTTGCAGATGCGTCCTTTCCTTCTTGTTGCTGCTGCGCATTTCCTATGTCTACATATAAAAGAAGCTGTTCTCATTCACGCCATGGGTATCTATCTCCTTCTTTCTTCACTTACCATGCGTACTATGTGTTTCTCAGCTGCCCAAAGCAACCTGTGTGAGGGCGAAGGGAAACGAGAATAGACTCAGCAGCGTATGAGGCTTAGATTCTAGTTTCAGGGCAAAATCAATTTCACTACACGATTATCTCTCCTCGTCCAGGTAGTACACGGAACACGCTCTTTTTCGCCATGGCATCATCATCAGTGTGCTTGCTATTGATAACCTTACTGTAGACCCTACTCGGTGGCTGGTTACTTCACTAACTAACCATTGCTACGCTTGCTCCTATAAGATGACACCCCGTTGATTTGATAGTACAACAACAACAACAACAACAACAACGGCGTATACATGAAAATGTATGGACTGGAGTGCGTCAAGTGCGAAGCTCCTTCATCCATATATTCGGCTTGTAACAATGAGTCAAGTAGTCACCAGCCCCACTGCAAGGAGAGTAAGGATCTATCCAGCAGGTGCGTGGTAGAATTACCTTCCCCCTGTGTTTTAATATGCACGTACATTATTGTATACAGCCATTCATACTATGCATCGGCAGTTCCCTTTCTTATTATCGACAAGTGGGTGAATCACTACATAAAAATATAACACGCAAATCATATATATCTTGAGAAAGAATATTCATTGAAACCGCCTTGTTCACTTCTCTTTGGTGGAATCTGTCGTAATGGGTACTCACCGGTCTCGTTTTTCTGTCATGCTTCTTTTCTATCTTGCTGTGAGTATAATACGTACAAGCAAAAAAGAGAACTGGGATCTCGTACGCAAGCGAATATTTGCGTGGTGTCACGAGTTATGTAAATATTTGGACACGTCTGTCGAGGTATATCCACGTAGAACACAGTCCATTACCCGGTTGTCTATTGTGTACTTTTTGGAACGCGTAATTTGGCAAGTGCTCGTATCCAGCTGTGTAGCTACTGGCTTGCTATCCAATGTTGAGATATTAACGTTGAAGAAGAACAAAAGCAGCTGGGTCACGTGGCTCTTTTACAAAGGAGAGATGCCCATTTTCCGGTTGTAACGGCCATTATGTCGACAAAGTGATACTTTCCCCAGATGTGTGAATGTCGCGCCTCTGCACGAACAAGTATTATCAAAGAAGGATTAATCAATTAGGTGAGCTGTTGTTGAATTTGAAGGATGCTTGTTACTCTGGTAAAGGCATCATTCTATACGCCCTTTCATTAACTTTTTTTTCGGTACGGCACCTTAGTTTGTTAGCTTGCCTAACTGCATAAATAAGACGATGCGCTTTAAAACGCCTTTTTATGTTTGTCTCTTTTTCTTTCGGATTTTTAGAAGCTATGTAATTCAACATAAATACCTGTATTCAAGTAGCTATTCATGAGGATTCGATGGTCAAAAAAAGTCTTCTTCCGAAAGGCAGCACGAGAATTTAAAGAAGCCGAAGAAGAGACAATATCGTATACGTCACTGAAAGAAGCGAAAATAGAAATCCGAGGCTCGACTGGCAAACAACTGTTCAGCGTTCTTTTTCGGGAGGGCAAATCGTTCGGACAATAATCGAGTAGAAATGTTAACAGCGCGTCGAACTTTAGGCAACCTCTACTAAATTGACAGCGCTCGATCACTTTGCGCGTTAACTGCCTGCAGATATGTGCCAAGATCTAACCTTATTGTATCGTATAGTAGAAATCGCAATGTTGGTTTACATCCAAAGTTATATACTACTTTCTTCATGACGGCACAGAAATCTGCGCTAGCCCCCCTTTGCTTTAGCTTTGAAAGAAATGGAAATTATACTGCAGACTGTACGAAGTGCGTGATGGGGAAAAGCGCTTCTTATGTTTAATATGATAGATATGGAGGTCATCGGCTCTTAGTGCGCACATATTCCTTTGCGATTGACTTGACTTTGCTCTGAAGCCAAACATTCAAAAATGCTTTCCGTTAAAAAAAGTACAAAGTGCTAATCATAGGCGCTTTTTGACTGTATTAGAGAACGGAGACAACATCATGGCAACCAAATTCCATTCAGAAAAGGTTGTTTGTTGCAGCGCAGGCACTTTTCTTAGACGACTTTAGAAAGCGATGATGTCCTTACAGACTGTAGATCGAAAACTTCGCGCCGACAGACCTCAACTAGTCCTGCTTAGATGTTGACAAATTGCTGTTTTCCATTCAGTGTTCTTAGTCAAAGAGATCGAAAACTCGGTTAATTTGACATTTATACAGTATGTCATTCAACTCGTTGCTTGCACTATCTTCATTGTCAGAAGTGACCCGCTTTGGAAGGTACATTGGAGGTATTTTCGTTACCGTTTTATGCATCCCAAGCTTGTCTCTTGATAAAATATAGTCGATCAGGAGGATCCTGGTCGCTAATTAACATGTTGTTAGTTGAGTGAGGTGATGTACTTGCTCGATACGGATTGGTTTTGAGAGCCTTTAGTGACTTTTAAGGATGTCGTGTGTCTTTAGCGGTCGACAGTCTCGCCTATGCTTTATATTATCATGTAACTGTTGTTTTATCGTTTGAGAACAGTGTCATGAAGTATGGCCGGAGCATGTTTATCCAAGAACACGCAATTGGTTCATGTATTCATGGCTTGCCTGGTTCATTGAATCTAATGTAGTATTATCAGCAAAGAAAGCGGCGGAAGAACATTTTGTTTCGTTTTATCCTTTGTGCCTAATCAGTTGATATCCAGAAGAGGCCATGTTGCTTGTTGGCGATCTAGATGACCAAGAGAGCTCTTTTGACTACATGGGAGAATGTTGTACGTGCTGTCATAAAGGCTACCGAAATATCCACAGAAACCATTGTTGTTCTTGCATGAATCGAGCTCTTTGTGCGACTCTGGTAATCAATTAATTCGGGAGGGGCTGCCGCTCGCCCATCTGTGTTGATCTTCTGCGTTTTTTTCTTCCAACCAAATTGGGAAGCATATGAAGTTTCCGTACAAGGTGAGTTCTCCCCATTACACTTTCCACCCATTGCCCTCCCACGAGTGTAAAACAAGTTAACTAATACAACTTTGCAGCTTGACGATTTAACATGGATCGACAATGACCATTCACGCAACGAAGAAAACGTATATTGCTACTGTGGTGGTCCATACACAGAGTATGTTCTTGCTGTGAAATCGATCGATCTATAGAAAAAGTTTGATTCATGAGAGAGTAAAGCTAATCGTGACATTTGAATGTATAGGGATAAGCCAATGGCTCATTGTGATTCTTGTCGACAGCTTTTTCATTCAGGTAATACACTTTTTCCTTCTCATGTTACATGTGTTGTTGAATCGTGTTTTTTTAACTTTCTGGTCTGCTTTTAGCTTGTATAACTTGCTTGCCGAGGCCACTATTATATGGCGATAACTTTCTCACGTTTCGCTGCAGCGTATGCACACAAGACGCGGAAGAACATCATCGTCATAATATGAGCTGGGTGGCTGTCGTGCATTTGGTGATATACAATTTGATGGTACGACAGGATCTACGCGACCAGAACAAACCCGATGACCAAAAAGGCCTGAAATATTTTCGGTGGAAGGATGATATATGTGCGTTCATCGATGATTATTGGGATTATCTTGTCCCGGGAAAGAAAAGTAAGATTTAAAGTGAAGATGATCGTAGAGGATGTCAGGATCAGAAGATTTATCGACTTTGGTATATGCTATTGTAGGATCCGTAACTTGGAACAATACGATCGCTAGTGTATTATCAACGCATGGCACAGTTTTTAAATCTGGATACGAGATTTTTCATCAAAGTGGTATGTGTTGGCTGGTCGCTATTTATTTTGTTTCTTTTGGTGATGTTTCTGCTAATACATCCTTCTTTTGTATTGTGCTAGCTTGGTGGTCGTTACATGAACAAGTGCCTCCGAATAAAGGTATTTAGATTATGATTCTGCTATGGGATATTAATAAAGATGTCGCTAATATGTTTTAATGTAATTTATAGATAAACCTCGAACAACCAAAGTAAAAGCTCCGGGAAAACCAACTCAAAAGCGGGCACGGCCAGATGGCGAAAATAAAAAACAAGCCAATAAACCGAAAAAGATCAAGGTTGAGAGTAGAGAAGAACATGTGGAGCCATCACCAAAGCCATTAAAAAAAGGGCAACGGAAAGAACAGAAACCGGTTCATGATGCTGAAGTGCCATCTAGAGAGGTATCTAACGAGAAGAAAGATTGCCGCAGGACGTTGTAAAACTGAAAAGGCTAACCGATCATTTCATGTGTCTACAGGATGATGAGATGTTCAATATGAGCTCACTGTCGGAACTGTCATCGGACGAGGAGATGGCTCCTGCAAATGATCATACGGTATGCTACAATAAGAGGATTAGCATACACACTGTAGATAAAGACTGAATCCCAATCATTTTAGGATGTTCCAAAGAGGATCACAAAATCACCACGAAAAGTCGAAACTGCATTAGTATCGGTACCTGCTTCTACATCCGCACCTGTGGGCGAGCCAGAACAAAAGCAAGAAATTATGCCAACACATATCCCCTCAATGGATGAACCTGAAAGCCCATATGCTACAGTACCACACCACAACGTAGAGCAGCACTTTACCACCACAGCAGTTACAATCAACCCTCCTAACTCTGCACTCGCCGCTAGTGCTACGGCTACGGCTTCTGCTGTTGCCGAATCAAAACGTTCTGACAAAGTGGTAAGATTGTAGAACACGCCATCTGTTGTTTATTGTCGACTCAAGCTGTTTCTAAATATTAGGATAAGTCTCAAGATATAACGGTTCAGGGAACATCAACACCAACAACAACCGATGCACCACCCAAACCTGCTCGAAGCGCGTTTTTGTCGCAACAAGAAGAATGGCAACTACTCCAAAAACTTAACAATGCTAGTAAACGATTACCACCAGCCGCACTACGCTACCAACGAAAACTTACAGTTCGAAGGGTCAGTGTAAAAAACATTGTTCGAGTTTTGCTTTTTTTGGAGAACAAGTGTCAAAAAAGATTAATCTTAAATATGCTATATAGCTGAAGCGCAATTTAGGTCTTAAGCTATTTGACTTGGACGCACATGTTACACGACAAATACGATCACGATCAGAACTTGTACCAATATCCAAACAGCTTTCCGGAGAGAAGGGTGCTGCGGATCATACACAAAAAGAAAACGAGGAAACGTTGCAATTATCCAAAGAATTTGAGAAAATCACGCATACCACATACAATTGCTCGTTTGCTCGTCGACTTTATGGATCGATTCGTCAAGAAAGCGCGGTGACAAGGGAGGAACCATGGCTGTCGTCTTGGAACGGACGCAAGTTGCGACCCTTTATTCGAAGGGACTTCCAAAGCAGGCCGCCCATGATGCGAATTTTGCATGAAATTGAGGCATGTGCGGGAAAACCAATGCGACGGCCACTCTCTTCGCAGCGCAGCAAGGACTACACGGCGAGCATTGACTATGTCTATTTTCAGCCACAACATTTGGATCAAGCCAACGCTATGCTTCGACGCAGTTTTTGGGAAGGGATCGATGTTTCTGAATCGTTATTGTTTCCAGAATTCAGCATTGTTGCTTTGTACAAGCAAGCGGTGATTGGATGTGCATTCATGACACCGGAAGCATACATCACATACTTTGCAGTATCACCAGGATGGGACGGTGCAGGAATTGGCCAGTAAGTTGAAATATCTTTCTTCGTGTGTGTATGTAGTAATGTGATACTAATCGGTGATGGAACTCCATTTTTTCTGTTCACAGATTCATGCTTTATCACTTATTCCAGGTAAGGCTGTCATACCCGGAGTGGATGAGAGGGAGAAAGGAGTACTCGGTATAGCAGTGTTGAATACATCTAACCTTTATTTTTCGATGAATTTGTAGACTGCCATCAGTAAGGATATTACGCTTCACGTGTCGGCCAACAACAGTGCCATGATATTATACCAAAAATTTGGCTTTAAGCCAGAGGAGTTTATTGTGGATTTCTACGACAAATATCTTTCCTCCGATAGTGTATATAGTAAAAATGCATTTTTCTTACGGCTGCGTCGATAAAGAACCTCAATACAATGATAATGTAGTTGTAGCAGTATTAGGTGTTAAGAAAAAGACAAGCGGAGTACATCCTATTGTTCGTAGTGTTTGGTATAGGGCAACTGCGCTGTATGCGGCTCACGCCTGCACCCGAAAGAAGTATCGTTGATTGGAACGACAGGTTATTTAAGTGAAATAGTGCGAGAGAAGATGAGGCGGGGTGTACACACAAACCTCACCTGGCCCAACCCCTTGAAATATTCTAATGATATGCATTAAATCACTTGTGACAACTCGAGAGCTTTGAATCAAGTGGAAACCTTGTTGAGCACTTTAATGAGAAAGCTTTAGAGAATTTTACATCTAAGGGTGTTCTCAAAAAGGGCGAACGGCCGTCCGGACGGGGTCCTGATTCAGAAGTAGGGTATTACCAAAACTGTGGTGGTCCGTACGGACATTTTGAGACCAATTTTGCAGGCATTCGGACCATGTTATTTAGTATTCTCATCTATATATATCTCCAATAAGTAGTAAGAACGTTTATTCCAGTGAGATTTATCTGTACTACTGGTACAGCAGTTATAGACAGGTATGCTTTTTGCCGTTGCATGAATGTGAGACAGCAATTTTCCTTTTCGAGTTCGGACCAAGGCGTCGTCTCAACAATTTGTTGAGACTACGAATCGCTCAATTTGGAAGCTTCGACCCACCTTCATATGGAAGCCGAATGTTCGGCATTTTAAATTTATTTCTATTCGTGGGTGGGGCGAACGACCGTTCGCCCTTTTTGAGAACACCCTAAGTCGAAATACCAAGTAGCGAGGACTTGGTTTTTTTTATACAGCTTCAAATTCGAATTCATTCCAGAGCAGTATCAACTTGCTTTCGTCGACATCATCGAAGCGCAGCACCTCTTAATTTTTGACAAAACTAAATGTACTCATGCCAATTGCAAGACTATAAAAGCCCTGTCTTGTTATTTATTGTCACTATTTCCCCATGTTGGGGGTAACTTGCGTGCCTGCTGCCTTCCTTGGATGTGGTAACCGTTTCTCCAGCTCCTTCCGATTTGTTGTCTCAAACAATTTTGGTGAAGATTTCCAATCCGATTGGGCGTCTAGGTTTGCCGCCGTAGCTAAAAAACTGAATTTAGTTATGTAAGTTTCATTAATGTGTTATATGAATATGTTTCTATTTCTTGAAAGACTTCTGACTGAATATTCTATACTGTTTTAGAGACGCAGACTGGTCAAAAGTTTGTGAAGGTCTTGTTCATAATCAAACTGCTCCAAGTGCTCCACCTGCTAGTCCGCCTTGATTGGCTCTCAATCACCGCTTCTATATAGAGCAAGTGAATTTTCTGTTCTGTATGTCTGCGATCATTATCGAACAAACCATCACTATCCTTCCAATTCGCCAGGAAAACATGTACTTTTCCGATAATTAGACTATATCCAAATCTTTACTTTGTTCCAATAGATTATCTTGTATACACAAACAGTCTTTTGTTTATCCGATCTGGTGGTGACAGCCGATTAGCTGGTTTGATGCTTGCTGGAGCAACCATGGCGCCATGGATGGTGGGTCCTTGGATCGTTGGCTATGTTCCCACACTTGTTGTCGGAAGCTTGATTTTTCATCTCGTGTTGGATCTGTTGAAGGAAGCACTGTATGATACATGGGGCAGCGTGCACTATCTCGAATACATAACAATCTGCATGATCATCTTTTTCATGGCCATATGGGGGTTCGTCGAAGGTATCCTCGTCGGTATCGTCATGGCGTGTATCTTTTTCGTGGTGCAAAATGCTCGACTTTGCGATGCAATCCGATCCATGCACACGGGCCAAGAACTACGATCCACGGTCAGAAGACTTTATCGTCAGCAAAAATTCTTAAAACATGTTGGCGGACAGATTCAAGTCATCAAGTTGCAAGGGTACATGTTTTTTGGTACCATCAATCAAGTTGAACGTGCTATTCGAGATATGCTGGATGAGCGCGCATGAGAAATGAGTCCTGTCCGTTTCTTGATCCTCGATTTGCAGTTGGTTCAAGGTATTGGTTTCAGTGCTGCTGAAGCGTTCGTTCGTATACGGCGCCTGCTCAAGAACAGAGAAGTCTACATGATCCTCTGTAACATTGCACGCGATTCAGATCAGGCCAAGGCACTGATGAAGGCCGGTATGTGGGCGGACGAGCTCGACGATGGTGACCTGAAGTGTTTTGAGTATCTCAACGATGCATTGGAATGGTGCGAGAATACATTACTGCGTGCGTATTTTGCGCGCGTGCCACATCATCGGATCCCAGGTAAAGAATATAAATTATCTCTCTCTTGTTTTATCTTAATAAGCTTACAGATTTATTATGCTTGCTGTTTTTTGCAGTACCAATCAAGGACTCAAACACTGCTGATAGCGAGGAGACACATATTGACATGATTTCTGATGCTTCTCCACGCCACAAAATGGTGACCAAAGCTATCCAACAACTAATTCCAGGTGTGTATTTTCTTTTCTCACTGATGTGTCTTTCGTTTTCATTGTAGAATAGGATCACTCACAGAAGCAATTGAAATAATATTGTAACAGACACGGGCACACCCCAAATGTACTCCAATCTGTCACAGCCAACGCTATTAATGGTCCAGGCACTTAGCGAGCTGACTCATGACGACATACCTGTGGAGTTCTATCATAAGCTCGGTGGCTATCTAAAGAAAGAGACTTGTCAGCGTGGCCAATGTCTATGGAAAGATGGCGACCCTGCAGACTGCCTCATTGTACTTGAGCAGGGATCGTTACGAAGTTTGATGCCTGTCGCCAAAAACGACTATGTCGTTGTTGAATCGATTTTACCAGGCACTGTAGTGGGAGAGCTTGGACTCTTCACATGTGGTCCTCATCGTACGCGGTCACTTATTGCAGAGCAAGATTCAGTTATTTGGAAACTGACACAGGAAGCCTTTGAACGTATGAGATCAGCAGATCCGCAATTTGCAACTAAGTTTATCATGCTCTCTCTTCACTTCTCAAGTGATCGAATGGAAACAATGACACGATACGCGTTTCAACTGAATTGGACCATATAATCATTTAAACTTGCATACACTTTATTCTCTCCAACTCTCTGTATCATTACTACTACCCACGTAACAATTCCTACACCCCACCTTCTTTGATAAACATCCAGAAACGCACGATAGTATCCTCCCATCCATCCAACTTTTCAGTCCTTTGCTGTGCTCCCTTGCTCTTTATATATAGTACAACAAACATTAACAACACGCACGCATGCTTTGCGAAAATTGTTTGTAGCCTAATACATACGCCTGTAACACATATGATATTACCAGTGTGGTTTCTAAAGACCTGTCGTACTGTACTGTATTTGTCCTGATGATGGTTACTGATGTGTCGAACTCATATATGATAAAAATAATAGAATTTTTCGATGGTATGATAGCGATGATGGTTCAATCAAGAAGCAAAACAACAAGAATCCAGACAGCAAAGAATGACCAATGCAGTAGTGGAATCACATATTCATCAGGTGCAAGTTTATTTGGAAGAAGAAGAAGAAGAAACAGGAGAAAGCGAGAAAGATGGTGGATCCTTTCGTAGATGGCTTGTTGAGTTGAAGGAATTCATTCGCGCCCTTCAAACTTCAGTAGTTTCATTAAGCAAAGTATACATCATTCTTTCCCTTTCTGTTATGTAATAAGTCTCAGTTACTGCTGCTATTAGGAGACTAGTGCGTTAGTCGCAAATCATCAATCACAATGTTATGATTTTTAAGCAATGATGTGATTCGCTTCGTTCATCACTGTATCGGAATGCTTACCGTAAAAATTTTGAAGCGGATCATACACACACAGTTAATGCTGAATCATACCTTTCCTTCCCGTCTCGCTAACGCTATATGTTCTATACGTTTATCCTTTCGGTTACATGGTTTCCTGAACAACAACGCTGAGTTTGTTGTTAAACATGAGATGCGTATGATAAATGTTGCTGCAGCAGGAGAGAGACATATTTCTAACAAACAATGAAGCCCTTGAAGTGTAATAACTCGCCTTCGAACTTCATTTATCCATATCTCGAAACCAAAACGATCGTCATCACTTTTTTGCATGAAAACACGTACCCTGTTCGAACTTTTTCTTGCAAAGAAGTTTTTCTTTTTACAATCAATCAATATTTTGATATTATTTCCTTTTAGGTAGTGTGATTCTCATAATTCAATTCGGATGAGCAACGGACACCAAAAATCTATATGCGATACGTCATGATTTTCCACAAACGAGGAAGGACCATATCCGTCAATGTCAAATTTCCGGCTCCGGCCTTTTTACAAAAGGAGTTTGGGAGAAGAGTTATGTTTCGAGACGCTTTTATTATCTTATCACTAATTTGTTTCATAAAAAGCAAACGACCTTACACTTTGAGGAATAGACGGGTCTTTCGCTACAACAAATTCTTTTTTCAGAGAAACATTGCTTGCTTAGATGGACAGACGGCATTCCATCGACGCGGAATCTTTGCCGCCCGTTCCCGAAGAACAACAATGTGTCTCTTCTTCACCAAGAGATATCGTCTCGCCAACAATGTCTCGCCATTCCATCACCACCACCGCCACGCATGACCTTCCTTCTCGTTCTTACTTTTCGTCTCATGTCAACTATGATCCTCGTATGACCCGTCAAATTATTCTTCTCTTGGCTATACTGAGAGACTGTTATACACACGTCTAACTCTGATTATGCGCATTTTCTTTATACATAGATACGGACACTCGATACTCTGCTTCAATCGATTCAATTCGTGCCCAGTCAGTTGCTTTAGGCGATCTTTACATGACAGAGGATACCCAAAATCGAGTAAGACGAGGCGACGGCTCTGCTGCTCCCTCTGAAGCAGAACCAGTAGTACCTGCGGCAACCTCCAAAGTCAGCAATCTGTCAGCTCTGTTGAAACACCAAAATGGTAGTCGTAACAATGGCTCGCCACTACCTACAAAGCACTACCAGCAGCAACAACAGCAGCAGCAGCTACAACAACAACAACAAGACGAAGAGTCGAGACCATTACTTGAGCATGTCGATACTGGTCGTACAACGTCCACACAATATCATTCTATAAGCGCCGTTGATTCAAACGGATATAGTACACAATACCCATCACACCATACCACGCATTATCAGCAACAGCACCACCATCGAACACAGCAGCAACGTTCACCTTCATTGTGGCTACATCGACTGTTACGTGCTGCTTTCTCCTCATTACGTAGTACAAATGACGACAAGCAGAGTGGCATGGCGCTCGTGATGTACTTGGTCAAGAGACCGCTAGAATGTATACCAGCTGTCATTCTGGGATTATTACTTAATCTTTTGGACGCAATTTCATACGGTAAAAATATGTGAAAAGATCCAAGATTTCTACACGCCTTGAACGGATATCGTACCAGCAGTAGTAGTCGTAAGAAAATCATGCTTTCTAATCGTAGAATGCGGTTCTAACGCTATTTAGGCATGATTACGTTTCCGCTCAACAATCCGATCTTCGCATCCTTCGGTCCGGATGGCATCTCGATGTTTTTTGTCAGGTATTTGATCGGATCTGTCACGTGGACTAGACTAATTAGGGAACCGAACTCACACACATGTTTAGTTGCATAATTGCACAGGTTGTGTATTCATGCGGCGGAAGTATCTTTCCCGGAGGCAACGGAAGGTAGTATGCCAACGATCTCAAACAAGACAATTTTCTTGTGTGTACGCGCGAGAGAGAGAGAGAGAGAGAGAGAGGCATATGATGATATGCTTACATGTTTGATTTATATGCTTTTTTTCCTGCCTGCATCGTGAAATCATATTCTCGCTACAACGTGTAATTACGTAGTATGATGATTGAAGGTAATAAACTGGAGGACGAATCTAAACACTTTGGGTTGATAATCTATCAGCGTATAGCCTTTTAATAAAAGTGCGTAAGCAGAAAAGTATCATAAACTCACATTTTTTTATTTTATTTTGCGACTATTTGCTATAGTGGTTCCCTTCCTGCACATCATGGCCGAACGAATCGTCCTTTATGTTGGAGAAGAGCATAAGCAGGAAATTATTGCATCCACCATGGTTGCTTTTGCTATTAGTAGCATAATGACGGGCGTCGCGTTCTTTTTGCTAGGTGCATTCAACTTGGGATCCTCATCGGATTCTTTCCGTGGCACATCCTGGTCGGGACCATCGGTGGCGTGGGATGGTTTCTGGTGATCACTGGCATTGAAGTGGCTGGTCGGTTGGACGAGAACTTTGATTATACCTTCCCCATGTTTCGAAAAAGTGTTTCTTGATTCACATACCTTGATGCTTTGGTCGGCCGCTTTGGGTGCAGCACTCGTGTTACGGTTGATACAATAACGCTACAACAATGCATTGATCGTACCTGCGTATTGTATGGTGCTTCCATTCCCTTTTACTTCGTGTTAGCGATCGCACGTCTCGATGTAAATCAAGTGCGCGACGGTGGATGGAATGCTATCAAGGTTGCAAGTCTCATTATTTCTGGTAAATATATCATTTACTACTCATACTGCGTTTTCTTAATTTATTGAATTATATTGCTTTTGAATAGGCTTCAACATCACGCTGTATATCGAAGACTGTCCTGCTGGTTCAGTGACAAGGATAAAAAGCAATTCGGTCCTTACGAGTTTCCCGGATCTGTTGAAGAATTTTCAAAGAAATTCATTCCGCTCCTTGCTCTGGTATGGCAAACCAATGCTATCATGAAAAGTACGCTAGAAACCATAAACGCTGGTGATGAAATTGTTTTTTCATCCAGCGAAGGCCCGGATCCCCACCAATTTTACCATGTATCCCATCACCAAAACTTGGCTCCAAAAGAAAACATAACCAGGTTAATTGACATTTCTACATTTGATTCGAAGTGGATAACATGAAAGTTAAAGAAACAGCGATATTTACACATTATTTGTTGGATAAAAATATACATGCTAACAATTATTACATCAAAATCTTTACTGTGGTTCATATAACATTACTTGAACAGCATTCATTGAAGTATAATCAAAGGATTCATACTAGGGGTCGTAATCTGACCCGCAGTTCAAAACCTACCCACAGGTCAAGGACGGGTCAACGGGTCAGGTTGATGCTTTTCTGACCCGTGTGTCGACCCGTCCAACCCTTGACCCAATTCGTTGACCTGTTGTGACCCGTGTATACATATTAAATGTATGAGGTACTGGTATCTAAGTAGTCAATCTTCTTCTTGACAAACATCATTATATCAAAGATGTTGTTGTAAATATATCTGCTATAAAACTTTGACATAAAATGCCCGTATGTTCTTTTTATTGTGGGATTATATTGTATACTCAAGTGTATAAATAAGCTATAAGCAATATAAGGAGTATAGAAGTAGCAATAGTACACTAAGAACGGACAACATGAGGGTGGCAGTAAGAGACGAGATTTGACAGAAGACGAAAAAGGAATTGAGAAAAGAAAAACGATTGCAGAAAAAAGAAATAAGAACGAAGAAGTGAGAAGAAAAGGAAAAGAATTAAGGGCGTGTGGGGAAGTCGATTTTAAACCTCACTACTTTAACCATTATGTACACTTTTTTTAATGCATATGAACCCAAGCGATTTCATTCTGATGGAACAAAACCCTTTACCTTTAAGAATAAACGCACACAAAGCAGATGTTACTAGCACTGCTAGACATTTGCGTGCCATCACCTTTGAGAGCAGTGTATATATGGAGTCTTGCACTTCCAGTACTTAGGTTGGATGACACTTCCTTCATTACCACATCGAAATCGGTCTTAACCCGTCAGCCCGAGTGTTGACACGTCCAATTGCGACCCCTATGGTTGATTGCTTAAAAAGACTTTTTTGGTTGAAGTTCTTTCATCTTTCAAACAAAAGCAGTCTACGTGTCTTTAAAGATGCTGGTAAAAAATAAATATTAGATTTTTCTGTTGCTCCTAATGTCGAAAAGATTTACATTATGATTCATTTTGATAAATACAGATCAATACTGGAGCAGCAACAAGTTATTATAAATTAATTAGTGAGAATCTATCTTATTGTGTATAATATTTTGGCGCCAGGTTAAATGATGATCGAATAACTATTTACCAGGAACGGTTAGTGATCAGAATATCATCATATAACATCGCATTGATACTTCAGTCACTTTGCCAACGTAAATATTACTTAATAATAATATAAATTAACACCGGGTAGTTTCAAGTTCAATGGTCGATCCACATCCTCGAAGCAATAAAGCTTCTTTTTAGGTACAAGGATTGATCTAGTCATCAAAATTTATAGCAATGTTATCATTTGGATGAAATTGACGGTCGATGAATCTCCCCTCAATTCGAGGAGACCGTCGATTCCGACATAGAAGTACTGTATGTATGCTGTGATTTTCTTATTCGATGTTTTATTGAGCGAATGACTGAGAAAAATAAAAGAGAACGGTAATCTATATCCAAAGCGACTGGCCAAATGGGACTTGGGCGGATGAGAGCATATATACTTCCATGTCTTCATCTCTGGTCTAATGAAAAAACTTGAATACATGTGCACTTCTTTAATTCGAAATACTTTTCTTCGGTCCTGTTTTCTTGTTAAAATTTATATTAATTAATGATACAAGAATATGAACTATATATAATGTGTTGGGATTGAGGGAACGTGAGCAAGCACTATAATATAGAGGTTAGGTTTTTAGGGGTTTATCCGAGTACTTGAAATTATTCCAATTCGTGGTATGCATTAGGTATATACAGGAACAACCAAGAAGTGGGCAGTAATAATAATGTATCAGGTCTAACCATGAATAGTGATGTTCCACAAGACCCAATGACAATGGTCTTCATAAAATCGATTTTATCAGAGAGAAAATACTGTTAAACAGCATGACAAACATTTAAATGAAATGAAAGGTATAACTTTTTGAACAAAGTATAGTGTTTCCAATTTGATCCTTGTGTACACATACAACTGAATAGCCCACATAGTATAGTCCATAGCATCCCGTTCATGAATTTTGGTAAGACAATCCAATAAACCTGTACTAGCTTGCATAAAAGAGTCGGTGTCGTGTGGGCTGAGCAATAGATAAAGCGATTCCTTAAAAGTAAGCTAAAATCAATTTTACAACATAATACGTTAGTACAAAATTTTATACTATGATTATGTCACACCAATGATAAAAATGTAAAGAGCAACGTATAGTGTCTCTCATTCATGCAAGGACTTCCAAATAGAGCCAAAAAGGGATCTTAGACTTACTTTCAGATCTTGGATTGTTATTCGTTTTTTGGGACTCTTCTTAACGTCCGCTTGGTCAATCGTCACCACGTCCGGATCCTTCATACTAATCAGAGTCGTGCGCCTAAAGTCAATCATATTTCTAAGCATCCATACGGGAACCCACCATTGCATCGTCGATAACCGCACACAGTGTTTCAAGATGAAGATAGTTGATTAGAAAACTAAAACAGCACAAGAACACTGGTTAGTATGGTACTTAATTTTATAGACTTTCCTCCAGAATATTTCGTTGAGCGCACTGATGCCGGATATACTTCATAGCTAATACTTTCGCCTTGTCTTCAACAGTCACTTGTACTAATCCTGCCTTGCCAGTAACTAGTTCTTGGTCATAACAAACAATTGCTGACGTTGTAGCCTTGTCCACCCCGTTTGTACATTAGGTTGCACCCGCTGGTTGAAGGAACTGCATCCAAACACAAAATTCTAAGCAAGATAATGTTTACAAATATGTATTGTTAGTGTATAAATAAAAAAAACATAAAAAAATTCGCAAGCATGGAGAGGGACAAGGCAAAGGGTCTCTCGACCAAGTATGCATCCACAACCTACTAAAAGACAAAATTCGCAAGCATGGAGAGGGACAAGGCAAAGGGTCTCTCGACCAAGTATGCATCTACGAGCTGCTTAAAGAAATATAACTGAAATCGAGGGAGAAAAGGAAAAATCTTTTGCCAAAGAATAAATGCACCCTGCAAGACGTAAGTGCCAGTGTTGTTGTCACTTAGTCGTGATCGACAAGGGATCTACTACAAAGTGAGAACAATTAAAATCCTAAACAAAAAAATTGAAAAGAGAGAAATATGCTTGTTAAATGGAGCTGAGAAAAGAAAAATACATTGTTGAGTCAGCCGCATATGTTCATCTACTCCATCATCATTAGTTTTGGTTTTGTAATTCAAAAAAGACAAGAGGTACTGCGCTTCGGTGATGACGAATGCCCAATTTTTATATCCATGATAATGACGAAAGCAAGTTGGGACTGCTCTGACGAAATTCGGAAATTGTAACTTTAAAGCTCAATGAAGATCCTAGTAATACTCCGGCCCCTGTCGCTAGTGTCTATGACTTGTGGTTTCTAGACTAAGTTAGGCTTTCGGTGCCTTTTGCTTTTTTCGGCGTCGCGTCACTTACTGTTCCATTGCGTACTTTGTCTTTGTAATATCTAGTGGGTGCCCCATAATTCGGAATAAGAGCACTTGAAACTCCAGCTAATGTTGTTGTACCACCAAGTTCATGATAAAAATATCCCAAAGCTGTCAACTGAAGGCGAGATTGTTTCTTTTTTAAATCACGGACTGCTGCGGCTGCTATGTGCTGCAGCCGTTATCAGTAAAATTGACTGAGTTCGAAACTGCAGCCTTGACTTCCTGTACAAAGCTCAATCAAACCGCTTTTTGCCTTCTCAAACACCATCGCCATGGAAGCAGAATCAGAGCCGGTCCAAGCAGAAATCCTTGAATAGAATTCAGGTAATAGAAAAAGAGTGACTATGGAAATGATTGCTTGGATACTAAATATATAATTATTTATAGTCATCAAACAATACCTTTTGAATGCAGCCGAAACTGGCAAAAGTTTGACTCTCCAGAACTTTGTAAATGAAAACACAACACTCATTTTGTCTCAAACAATCCTTGGTGACGATTTTCAATCAGACTGGACGACCAGGTTTGCCTTCATAGCCAAAGAACTGGATCTGATTGTTGTATGTTTTATTAGTGTGGTACATGGATATGTTCCCTACTGTTTGAAAGACTTCTGACTGAATAGTGTATATTTTTAAAGAAACGTAGTAAACCAGACTGGCCAAAAATTTATGAAGGTCTTGTACACCGCGTCACCAATCAAGCAACACGTCGATCCCATAATCAAACTGCTATACCTGAAAATGAACCCCAACTATCAGCTGCCGGTCTATCTGGATCTGTCCCAAGTGGTTCAGCTACCGGTAATGGATCTACCCCACGTGACTCAGCTGCCCCTGCGACATCACGCAATTAATCTACTCCACGTTCTATACCTGC